AACTGCTCAGATAATGTTCAGGGCGTCTGAAAACTCTCTACCGTCCAATATAAGTCATCTTTTCAACGATAGAGATCTCATCATAATTACAGATTAAGAGGAAACAAACTTTTATATGTACCTAGATTTAGGACGACATTAAAATCTATGTGTATCTCGGTCCGAGGCGTCCACATTTGGAATGGATTAAAAGAAGAATTAAAAACATGCTCAACTATGACTGCTTTTAAAAAGAAATTTAAAAGAGACATATTGAAGAAATACATGGAGGACAGAGAGTGATGCCCTGGGCCTGGACAGAGCGGTTGGAGAGAGGTGTGTGGTCAGGGAGTGTTTGGGCCAGTGTCTGTGTGAGTGAGAGAATGAGTGTGCGTCTTGTCTCTGTGTGTCTTGTTTTTTTATTATTATTTTGTATTTTGTATTTGATGCAATGATATAACTGTACAGTGTTAGTGTAATTTGTATTTGCTGTTTTGCTGAAAGTGTGAGGGGGTTGGAAATGTATAAGCGTCTGCTTCACCCAACCCCCTTTTCAAAACTTGTGACTCTTTTTATTTGATAACTGATATTTGTACTTGTTTTTGTGCAGGTTTTGAAGTAAATAAATAAATAAAAATAAATAGTTCCCGTTATTATTTTGGTTTGAGAGCTGCTTCCACCAAACAATGTGTACTTGCAGTTTATTTATTTCCCACGACAATAAGCATTTAGCCGGTGTTTCTCAAACTGTGGTCTTCTGCAAGCTAATTCTGCTGATTTTACTTTTTTTGGTTTGAACTTCTGTAATACGGTAAACATAATGTACTCCTGATTTAACTCTGGAATCATGTTTTGAGAGAAGTATTAAATCTACTCAGAAATACCAACTTTTTACTGAGTGATGCTTGGTGTGTGAAGTTTGAGTCCATGAAGTCAGATGGAAAACCCAGATAACAGAGATACAGACAGGCTCAAGGGACAAAGAAATCTCCTTTTGTAGATAGTTGGGCAATTACCAAAATTGGAGCCAATTACCGGGTGGGAGGATTGTTATGGTTGGTAAATGAAGTCACATTTCTTATCATCGACCGGTGTATTCAGTGTTGCCTCTTTACTTTGGCTTTGGCTGAGACAGTGTAACTACAGTTTGTTTGGCATCAAGAAACAGGAGCAGAATCCACTTCCTGCATCTGGGCTCTGCCACTTCTCTGATGAAAAATGTCCCAACTGTAAGTATTTTGTAAGCTTTTCAATGTACTTTTCCTGTGTGGTTTCATGTTATTCTTTGCCAGTTGCCATAAAGATGTCTCTATTGTCTCGATCCAAGGTGTTAGGTGTGCTGCTGTGTAGAATTAGTTATTTATGACTGTTTTCCAATATTTACTGTGAAATTGTGTAGAAGAAAAAGTTAAATTCTGCAGTATATGAATTATGCAATACATACAATATTTGAAAATATAACTTATATCTTATAACTGAACATGGAGCCAGACAAAACATCTTTTCCAAATGTCTTTTAGTGGTGGACTCCCGCCCAGGCAGACTGTAATGCTACTTATTTAACAACAAATGGGGATCCATACAAAATAAACAAAATACTATGGAAGTCAGCAAGAGGAGTCGAGATGGAGGCAGTGTAACTTTTATATTGTCAACTTCACATTAAAACACTAATACTAAATCTATTTGGCCCAGACCATTACCGTACTTTTATACTAGAAAATTGTGTTTGTTTGGGGATTACTACAATAACTGTACACAAGGACATTGAACCCAATTAATCTAGGAGGAAGAAAAATTGCTTAATCTATATTTACACAAAAAATAAAGTACTTTCATTCAAAGAGAACCTGGCTCCATGGTGTCTTTCTAGAGTAAGTAAGTGAAATTCTTTTTTGCTCTGAATTCAGCCTATAACTGCTATATTTGATTGTGTGAGTAGCATGAGCAGCTTGTGTTAACCACGACACCTGCGTCAGTTACAGTCTGTACAAGTGTCACATTTCCATCACGTCACTGGCTCACAAAAAAAGCTGATTAAATATTTGTGTTTGTGTTGCAATGTTTAACACATCTACTTGGGACAGTATGTTTCTTCAAATAAAGGAGAACTATAATGCAAAATTGAACTTTTAACCATGTTGCGATTTCTGGCACAAACATGGAAGAATAGCATGATGTCATTGTGCCGCTATGACATCACGCTCAAAGCTGTTTTCTCTCTTTTAAAATTATTTAATCATGGACATTTCTGAAGTGAAAGGATCTTCTTTGCAATCACATTTGTTCGCAGCTAGTGAAGAACAAATGCTACACTTACGTCTATTAGTTCACATTCTGTAGTCCAAGTTTAATTTTAATGAACAAAAATAATGCATACATTTTGTTCTTTGAAAACAAAATGTGTGAGTTTCTTGTTTTGAAAATCTCTTTGTGTTTCTCTGTGTATGAATTATGTTATAAAAACTTGAAGGGCCATGCATTTGAACTAAAAATAAACTAAATAGAGACCAAAAAAAGATAAGGGGAAACCTGTAACATTGTTAGTTGTTATGGTGAGGAAGGATTATTGCTTCCTGTAGACAGTCCTAAACAGACAGTTCCTTGTCTCTTCGGTCGGCAGCCTTGTTTGCAAGTTAAATATGTCCCTCCACTTTACAATCTGGTCCACATTTTCCTGTCAGTGATATGTGCTGCTGACCGTGTGGAGGAGGATGTTGGGCTCATTTGACATTCAAAGTCTATAATATGTCTTCCTCATTAGAAAAAATAGATGTGTTGATACATTTAAGAACTTCAGTTGACTACAGACTCAAAGCTACAGCACAGATTAACCATTTTAAAGTGGCTTATATACTGTATCCGTTTATCAGAATATCCCAATTTTATCAGGATTCTTTAAATCGGTGCTCAACTGCAGGGTGACGATGCTTGGGAGGAGATGCCAAGAAAGTAAGTTCATGAATGTACTGTAGCATCATGTTCAAAGTGACTAACACATACAGGTGATGCAGACAGACAGGATGGTGATGGTGAAGTAACCAGGTCTTGTGGAGGTGGAAAAAAAACTACTGCCAATCACAAATAAAAGCAAAACATCAGAAGGAAAGCGAATTATAAACTTGAAAACAGTGGGATTCTGAGATGAGGTCTTGGATCGTGAATGGTGTGGTGGTATCTGTGGTCATCAGAGCTCTGGGGGCAGTAACACAAGTTGAATGATGTACTGTATACCCAACTCCCATGGATGATTGTTGCTGTGGTGTGCTTGAGCAAGACACTCTTCCCAGTGTCTGCATGCACTGGTGTGTGAATGTGATGATGAGAAATGGTGTCTGATCCCTTGATGTAAGTGCCTTGAACGGTAGAAAAGCGCATTATAACATTTAATATTGTAAAGTGAAGGATTCCGGGGAAAACACCAGATGTCAGTCCATGTACATCCATGGTCCAGACCCCAGAGACAGACAACACTATAATGAGATGCTGCACAGGCCCCTTGAGCTTATACGGGCCCCTGAGAACCTGAGCTTACACTGAAACTCAATATCACAGACCTAAATCACATAAAATAAATACAAACAATAATTATAACCTTATCATTATACCACAGTACACACACACACAGCCAGAATTTACGACGTTGTTATCCTGTATAGCTGGCGAATGGCTTCCCTAATGCCTTTTCCCCCCACCACAGATAGAGAGAGAGACGGTCGAGCAAATGAGGAAGTGAATTTTGCGACCTTTGTAAAGTAAAGTTGTCATCTGACGCCCGCACGATCCAAGCAGGTGTCAGAAGAAGAGAGACAGGATACTTCCCCTCCAGATTGTTTTAATTTATTTATTTTTTTAGATGAAACGCACTTACGCCGTCTCTCAGCCATGATTCAGCGCGCGAGGCTTGTGCGTAAAAGCAGCGTACGTTCCATCGCTGCAGACTTCTAAAAACGGAGATTACGCACGGCTCTTTTGACATTTTCAGAAGTCCGATCAAAACTGAGAACCTTCCTGCACTAGCTGAGGAGGATTTCTGTGCGTCAGCTATTTTTTTTCTTCTTTTTTTTCTTTTTTTTTTTTTTGTTCCTGCCTTGTTGTCGCGTGTTTTGTGAAAGCAGAAGAAAAAGGAAGGAAGAGGAGCCAGAAAGAGGAGGGCAGTACTCAAATATAGACCACGCATCACAGCTTGAGTCTTGAGAGACGCGCCGCGCAGAAGTAAGTGAGCCAACATACCTGACTTTTGTTTTGGAAACGAGGGTGCATATAGAAATAGGGCGCAGATTGGAGGAAAGTGACTTAGGAGGAGGAGTGAAGGGACTCTTGCTCTGTCATTATGCGCTCGCTGGGTCTATTTGTGACTGTAAATGTGTGTAGGCTCTTTCCCACTGTTTTAACAGAAGGTAGTTGCACGCCTAACGGTTACAACATTGATTTATGCTCACACTATCTGGACATCTATCAGAATAATGGACATGGCTTATACACCAAACAACCGCTTAAAATTCAGTATAGTATGAATGTCTTGAATTGAATTGAACTTGCCAATTTATTGTTTTCAAGTAGTAACAGATTTGAAGGATGTCTTTACTAGAAGAACTATAACAGGTCTAAATCAGAACTATTTAGACCTGTTATAGTTTCAAATAGACCTGTTATTGTTCTGATAGTTCTTATAGAAGGTGTGTGTGATGGTCCACAATAAAGTATCTATCTGTCTAGAATCTTAACTAGGAATCAATCAGGGCCTAAAGTATAGTTATAAAATCAAAACATATTGAGAATGTTGTCTTCTGCTTTGGACCCATTATTTTTGTGCAGCGTCCAAAGACCCATCTCCAGATCTTGGTGGACGGATTTCACATATGGAGCATGTTTTGGTGTGTTTCATTTAGAACCAGGCCCAAAGCAGAACTCCGGATGCCCAGCAGAGCGCTAAACCACGGCTAAAATTGGACTATTTCATGCCCATTTCTCACCACTACTCTCCTGTTCTTCTACACCAGAAGAAGTGACCAGACGACATGGTGCGGTGAGTCCTCTGAGCCGCAGCCAGAACTCAAAATAGAGTTTAGAGTTATATTTACCAACATTCAAAGAGACAAACACGGTAATAATGTTTGTCTATGGATTACTGTCGTGACACTAAAAATAAACCTAGGAGCTAGATAACACAACAGAAGCAGACAAGAGACATGCACTTTAAAATTACTTTTGAAATGAAGTAATTTGGGCTTTTTTTCTCTCCGTTACCCCCTCCCCTAAATATGATCAAATTCTATTTATATTTCTTTATTACGAAGAAATTACATAGACATATATTCTGTACTCTTTTAGTATGAACATTATGCACTTCAAAATAATTGGAGAATTCTTGATTATTCACACAAACTGAACACAAATTGAAGTTAATATAGTTGAAATGTTTGCTTAAATGTTTCAACTGAATCTTTAGAAGGTATTATTAATGCTGTCTAAATTATGTGTGTGTTTTTTTATGGTTGAAAACATTTTAATATGAGGTGCGCTTTCTTTCCCACTCGACTCGATCTACATTAGCTCTTACTCCAGGTTTTTTTTACAAGTGATTTATTTATTATTATTTGTATGTCTTGTATCCTTGGCTTTTTCTTTGCACAGTTGTTGAGCATGTGTGGGTTTGTGCAGGTGGTTCCACAGAGACATCACTGGCCTGGAGGCCGAGGAGCTGCTCAAAACCAATGGGATCCACGGCAGTTTTCTGGCTCGTCCCAGTAAGAAAGTGAGCGGAGACTTCTCGCTCTCAGTCAGGTACAGAAAACTATTCATTCATTTCTTGTGAGAGATGTATTTATGGCATCTGAATTGAGCGCATGATTGGTTCAATTTTTTTGTTAGGGAATGATTTATCGGGATAGCTTTTAAGGCAATATGCTGTCTCGGAGGACTTTACATAGACAGATCAGAGACAGTCAAACAGTTCGATCACAGGAATAGCTTTAATAACAAACATTGGTCCACAGGGAGGGATGACCAATCCAAACATGAATAAATGTGCATAAATTATAGGTCTACTGATATATTTTCTCATATAGCCTACTCCATATAGTATGTCTAATTGAGTCCTATGAATGTCTATTTTTAGTATAGATTCATACACAATTGATAGATTTAATAATATAGTTTTTAGTGTACATTCATATCTGATTTTTGAAACTTTTGACAAACACAATAAAAAAGAGGTTAAGATAAACATGCTAAAAATACAAAAAATACCTTTCCTTGAGAAGGCTCTGTGGTTGAAACTATTTCAACAATAAAGAAAATTCAATTAACTGGTGTGCCTACTTTCCCCACTTTCCAAAGAAAGACATTTACAGTCGTTTACAACACTTGCTGCTATAAGCCGCCAATTATTTCAAGTTCTTCAAACCACATTATATTGGTTGAATATTTATGGAATATTTATATTGTTAGAACGCCTCCTGGGGTCAGGAACGGATTTGGACACAACGATGTAGCACTGATAATGTGACCTGAGACCCAGCACAAGAGGGTGCAGGGAAATACATTGGGCTTGTGATGTGATTTGGACCTTTGTCAAAACAGAGTTTATGGACTTATTAAGATTTAGTAGGGTGTAATTGTGCATGAAAGCACCTCATCATAGTTTAAAGAACTGTCCAACTGCTTTTTGGACATTAAAACATGAAAACGTGTATTCAAGTATGGCCTGCATATGGAAACACATTACTTCCTTTGAGAAATGTAGCTGGAGCGGTCTATATACAGGTGCGCTTAATAGTCAGCAGTACTGTAGCCAAACGTAAGTGTATGTTTCTATACCACTTTTCACAAACAGAAAGTCACAAACTGTCCTTTTGATTGAGACATTTTTCATAATTTTATGTTTTAGATTAGAAAGAGCGTTTCTAAAGATAAATATTGCTTCAAAGAAAAATATCTTCAAACATGTTCTTAGCTTCTGGATGTGTGGAAGAATAAAGAAACCATTTTTTTCACAACCATCCACTAAAGAGGACATTTCATCTACGAGACTAATAGTTATGTTTCCTCTCCTCATGTGTTGAATGCTGAGTTCATGTTGGGCTGTGTGCTCATGGACGGATTATACAAATCTGTAGTCAAGATTGCGACGGGTGTTTTTGGTTCCTCTTTACAACGTCTTATTTACAAAATGGTCTATTTCTCCTTTCTTATAACACAATGATAATAATAGTTTAAGTATTATTGTCTGAATATTCTATATATTGCAAATTGTGGCCTCAGAAATTGTATTTTTTATTTATTTTTTTCACTCAATTTTATATCCGTAATTGCAAAATTAGTTTGTGTTCATGTGACATCACAACATTCCAAAGACCCATAAAGCATTAAACTGAAACTGTCACAAAGTTGCATATCAACTATGGTCTAACTATTTTTTCAAAAAGATGTCTAGAATCGGTGACATCATTAAAAAAAAGTATGAATAAAAAGGCGGATTTGTGAATCTCATTATTATCAAATAATCATCAAGGAACAGGTTTTTCCCATAGATTTGTATTCTCCAGCTCAAATAGAATTTTAGAACATGAGCGCAATCTATTTTCAACAAATTTACCTCTCCAAATGTTATTAATAATTGATCAATTATATTTTCTAAGAAGACATTTTTCCTCTTAGGAATATAACTTATTTGCTTGTGTTAGTGAAAGACATCCTCCTCGCACAGATACACATCTTCAAATAAGGAGTTATTTCTTGATGTTTTGGAACAATCACATCAGATATTTGAGTATAAAAGCATAAATCCTCATGAATTGTAATGCTTGTTGTGTTGCTCAGAGTGGGTGACGGGGTGACCCACATCCGAATCCAGAACACAGGGGATTACTATGACCTGTACGGTGGGGAGACGTTCGCCACTCTGTCGGAGCTGGTGGATTATTACACCGCCGACAACGGGATCCTGCAGGACCGAGACGGGACCCTCATCGAACTCAAATACCCCCTCAACTGCTCCGACCCGACCACCGAGAGGCCAGTACTCCTACAGCACTCTGCTAATCACACATTTAGGGTCACTCACGTACAAATGTAGAATTGTTTTTCAGTGAGGGTAGGATGGAGTACAGAGAAGTTTTGAGGTGTGTATATGGTCTGCTCAGTTCAAGCATTCAATTAAATGGGTGCAAATAATAATTGGTTTTTGTGTAACAGCCACCTCAAATGAGCCACTAAAGTAGTTCAGTCAGGATGACTCAAATAGGAAAAGTACAAATGAATTAAAAGCAACAAGGGTAATGAGACATACAGCCGTACATATTTATTAGCAATGCATCAATAAAATGTGATACTGGTATCAAATAGTGGGCCATAAATGTATATTATATTGTTACAGGGAAAGTGATAGTCAGGTGCTGTATTCTCTGCTATGTCTTTGCAAACGAGATCATATGAAATCTATTTGATACTTGGTTTGTAACCTGTATAATGTCCATAGCATATTTATTATGTTTGAACCCACTCACACTGTCAGCCGTCTGTTCTGAAATGCACAAAATCATCCAAATAAATCAAAATAAAGCTCCAGACTGTTGCGCCAGTCCACTGAATGACTTCACTCAGGTTCTTCAGCCCTGCATTAGCTGCACCAGACATATGTCCATATTTAACAGTTTAAAAGTTTTGAATGAGTTTTTTCCAAATAGTTTTTTGGTTTGTATTCATTTTACAATATCAATCAAACATTTATTTAAATTGTATTGAATTTTATTTTAAATGTATTTGTTACATGCACAAGTCCATTTGCTGGGCTGTATTAAAGAGATACAAAATAATGTCAACAGGTGCACTTAGATATGTGGGCATTAGAGCAGAGCAGCCGAGCTCAGACCACAGTCATGAGTGGTCCTGTGGTCCTGTGTGCCTCAGCCCTCCCCTGTGTCCCTCTGCAACAGTTCAACTTCCCTTTTGTTGCTGCGGTTGGAAACTTAAGTTTTGACACTTGTGAAAGCCCTGGCCAGCGCCCGGGCTCTTCCTCTATTGCACTCTCCCCATGTAGCTCAGTATGTAAATGTCTCTGATTTCTGAATATAGTATTGTTTTATCCTTCTGCTGGGGGCAACTCTTCTTACCGTTCGTTTGCAGTACAGTCTTCATTTATAAGATATCAGCCTGGATAGTAATGACAAACCTTTTTGCTCCAAACAATTGAGCGTAATTGGTTCAGTTTCGGTTCAGTATAAACATAACTATGCTCAGTTTGCTCAAAAGAACCTACCCAAAAAAATATCCAAGCCCAAATTCAATTACAAGACATATTTTATATCCATAGACCTTTTGAAAACAAGTAAATCCAAAGCAACAACAGATGCAAAATATGGGCAATAAGTATACTTTTAACAAATAAAATACTGGATGTTTTTCCTAAAGCCATAATGCACAGCGACATTGGTTGTAGAGACTTATATACTTATTTTGATATTTTTATAACATTGCACCAAAAGATGACAGTAACGTATTTGAATCAAGTTGAAGATATGTCTTTCCAATGGTGCATCACTCAAGCATTTAGGAGAAAGCTTTTATTTTCAAAGAACATATTAAATGTTAAATGCATTCAAAATTGTGTCAATAATTTCACATAGCCCACTCCAATTGTAAGAAAACGTTTAAAGGTTTCAATCATAAGCTGAAATGAAGACAAGGGGAGATTTTGATGTACATAAAACACTAGGTGGAGCACAGTTTGTATTTATAATTGCCTCAGACTTTTTTTTAACACATGGAAACAATCTCATGACATGTACGGAGTCTTGTGGCACTGTTATCTGACGAGATCTTGTCTGACCTCATCCGTACACGTTAAATATACAGAAGGCCAATGCAATGCGAGAAGCTATTCGTATGTGGTCACCTTTGCATTCTAGAGTTACTATTGTGGTGTACTATATGTATGCACGCAATCAAGTGCAAATGATGCTATAGATATCTTCTTAGTATCAAATATATATATCACTTTGGCATGTTTACAAAGAGCACAATGAAAATCTCTTCTTCGAAAATATCGGCTTAAAATTCTAATGTCTTAATATTTGCTTTTAATCTATGCATTGTCCCTTTTCCAGGACACTCTTACAAAAAGGTTTTTTTTTTTTTTTTATCTCAACCTATATTTATAAAAGTTAAAGAATAGAAATGTAAAAAGTGTTGAGAATTCTTGCAGTGCTTAGAGCAGGTTTTTTTGGTGAGTGGATGTTTTGTAGTGATGGTGGCTGAGCTAAAAATACTTTCATCTCTTTCAGCCACGAAATCTGTCTTCAGAAATTTTCCGACCACAAAGCAGGAAGTTTAGCGGACGAAATTGAGAACTGAACCTAAATTAGTCCACAGCCCAAAAGCCACCGTGCATTCACTCATTCATTTAGACCAAACTCAAATGTGCACTATGATTACAGCAAGTATTTAGCATTGTGCTCTGTATAAGCTCTATCGGTGATTCTAGGGCTAGTGTGCTGTCTTTTGACATGTTCTTCGCTTAGTTCTTTGAAATAAAAATATTAATTTAAATTTACATGTAACTTTAATTGTTTTTGGAAATGTTTCTTTCTCCGTATATATTCGTTTTTGCACATTATTTTTATTAAACACATTCATATTAATATGCATGAGAGAGCCATGCTCCTTTTGTAGCTGTAGCACAAATTTGCTACTAAAAAAAGTGTTTTGAAAAAACTAACCAGATTCACCTAACCTAGAAGTGAACTACCAGTAAACGACCAACCAAGTATAAACTAGGATCAAGGCAAGGCAAGGCAAGCCAAGTTTATTTGTATCGCACAGTTATACGCTATAGGCAACTCAACATTGAAATCACCCAAGGCATTTATATCTTAAACTATCACAGTACATACAAATGTGAAAATACAATCCCATAGCTGTATGCACAGCTGTGTAGCTACACAGAACTGTTTTAACCTGGATTTGAAGTCTGTCTCACATTTTCAGGAAGACTGTTCCTAATTTTAGCTGCATCAATCTGAAATGTTGCCTACCCATGTTTCGTCTTGACTCTGGGGACCAGCAGGAGGGCAGTCCTTGTGCTCCTCAAAGTCAGAGTTGGTTCATATGGCATTAACATGTCACAGATGTGCTTTGGTGCGAGACCATGGAGAGAATTATACAAAAGCAGAGCTGAGAAGACTACTCTCTGAAGCCAATCATTTCAGTTTTGTTTGAATCTGATCTATAGGATGCAGTGAAGGAGTGAGTCCACTGGGTCATGTTCTCCTGCAGTCAGTGAGACATAGATCCGAGTGTTGTCTGTGTACTGGTGATAGGACATGTTGTTATTGTGTATTAACTGTGATATTGAACAGAAGAGGTCCCAGGATTGACCCCTGTGGTACTCCACAGTTTCCAATCTCCACAAACTACTTCCTGTCTTCTTGATAAAACTTAAACCAACTTAGGGCAGTGCCAACGACACCCACCCAGTCTTCTAGACAAAAGTAGCAATGGATTAGAACAACCGTTTTAGAGCCAGGATTTAGATACATGGATATTATTAGGCTAAAAAAATGTAGTTTAAAAATGAGGTCCACCATCACTACGAGCACAACTATAAATAAGTATTGATTATATTTTTGGGTTGTAGGTGGTACCACGGACACCTGTCAGGGCCAAATGCAGAGAAGCTGCTGATTGCGCGGGATGATCCGGGCACGTTCTTGGTGAGAGAGTCTCTGTCCAAACCCGGAGAGTTTGTTCTGTCGGTGTTGACAGACGAGAGCGGCAAGCACGGAGCCAAGAGGGTGTCCCACATCAAGATCATGCTCCAGGTTCCAATTTTTGTATAACTATAAATCAAAACAGTAGTTATCTCAGAGGACTTTACAAAACTGTCGAAGTTTCCAACACAGATCAGAGAATCAAACTGTTTAAACACGGAAATGCAATGATTTAAAGAAACACATAAAGCCATTGGTCCATAAATGTTAATAAATGTTAATAAATGTTAATAAATGTTGATAAATGTTCATACATGTTAACCACAGCAGGGACACAGCAAGGAATACAGTGTCGCAGGGCTGGCCAAAACACAGATTTTAATTCCAAATCTGTCAAATTGATTAATAATTCCAGATAATCTTTCACTTCCCAAAATGTATACCTCATTTTAAATGGCTTATTTCACAACACATCAGTCGCTAGCTAGTGTGAAAAAAAGCTTCAGTTCTGCTAAATCAAATCAGGTTTTTTAAATATATTTTTGAATACCCATTAGAGTTGGAGAGTGGAAACTAGAGCAGGATGATATTGATGAGAATTTGTGTTTCCTGTCAATAACTGGTCAACAGTTTTGTTTACAAGAATAACTGCAAAATGTTTCAAAATGAAACCGTTTTGAGCAATTGCTTTTCTGTGGATTTGTAACATGCGTCATTCTCTCAAACATTGGTCAGCGCCACCACAACTTTTTTGTCTAGTGTGGTGCACCTCTGGTCTTGAAGAACAAGTCAGAATATTTCCGTTTATAAGATAAGATAAGAATCGTAATTTCCCTCGAAATGAAGTGAAACAATTCTGTCTTTTACTAAACTGCTTAACGAGTCAGGGTTAGGAGCTTTATTAAAGTTGAATACCTAACTTTTTTGTTCATACATAATACCTTGTTTTGGCAAACCCTAACAGAAAGAGTCTGGACGAAGTATTTTTTGTGAACAAATCAGATTACAACACTCTTTATCTTAATAAAGAGTGTTGTAATCTGTGATAAACTGTTTATCTTATTAGAAAACAGTTTATCTTTTTCATTCTTGGAAAAAGGTGCTATTAGTCGCTTTGGGCCAAGAGCTGCTTGGCTGAGTAAGGGCGATCCTGCTTTTTTTTATTTTTCTGTATAAAAAAGCTGCTTTGAGTGTGAGAAACTGCAATAGTACATGGATTGAATACGGTATAAACATTTTGGTTTGAAAGTGGGGTGCCCCAGATCTTTCGGTGAAATTAGGAATTACTGTATTTAGAAAACAATCACTAACAGTTTTTGACAAAGACTATAGTTTTTGATTACTAAAGCAAGAATAAACACCCTTCAAGATCATTGTTAGTCATGGGATAGTTTAGTTATGGCATAGAGCTTTATCTCAAATCTCTAAAATACAAAAACACTTTCTGGAGAGTAAAACAGAATAAACATTCTAAACAATTCTGCATACCTCACACAAGAACACAAACATACAGTGCCTTGCAAAAGTAAAGATTTTTAACTATTTTGTTACATTACAGCCTTTAGTTCAATGTTTTTTTAATCTGAATTGTATGTGATGGATCAGAAAAACAATAGTTTAAGTTGGTGAAGTTAATTGAGAAAAATATATACATAAAACTATTTTTCAGAAATACAAAACTGGAAATTGGCATGTGCATAATGTATTCACCCCCTTTGTTATGAAGCCCATGCTGTGGGGATGTTTTTCAGCAGCCGGGACTGGGAAACTGGTCAGAGTTGAGGGAAAGATGAATGGTGCTAAATACAGGGATATTCTTGAGCAAAACCTGTACCACTCTGTGCGTGATTTGAGGCTAGGACGGAGGTTCACCTTCCAGCAGGACAATGACCCCAAACACACTGCTAAAGCAACACTTCAGTGGTTTAAGGGGAAACATGTAAATGAGTTGGAATGGCCTAGTCAAAGCCCAGACCTCAATCCAATAGAAAATCTCTGGTCAGACTTAAAGATTGCTGTTCACAAGCGCAAACCATCCAACTTGAAGGAGCTGGAGCAGTTTTGCAAGGAGGAATGGGCAAACATCCCATTGGTAAGAGGGGGCAAGCTCATGGAGACTTATCCAAAGCAACTTGAAGCTGTGATTGCCGCAAAATGTGGCTCTACAAAGTATTGACTTTAGAGGGGTGAATAGTTATGCATATTGACCTTTTCTGTTATTTTGTCCTATTTGTTGTTTGCTTCACAATAAAAAAGACAACATCTTCAAAGTTGTGGGCATGTTCTGTAAATTAACTGATGAAAATCCTCAAACAAACCATGTTAATTCCAGGTTGTGAGGCAAAAAAACACACAAAATGCCAAGGGGGTGAATACATTTGCAAGGCACTGTACCTAGTACACTAAAATAATCAAAACAAATACAAATTCAAAATAAACAAAAAATTACATAGTTATGCTGTCCCGCGCGCTGTGGAAATCTCCAAACAAAACGCTATTGTCTATGCATGTCATTACCGACTAACGGCAAGACAGTAAGTGAAGGAGCTTAGAATAAAATACAAAAAATAGCCACCAGATTTTTTGCAGCTGTGAGCCCATTCAAGAGAACCCTTTGTTTTGCTTTGTTAAGTCTGAGCCAACAGAAGTCTTTCAGACGGATGACCGGGGAGTAGGGCACCAGGCACGACATGACCACAGACAGATGACCGCCCACTATCTCCCAAAACCCAGCGACTCTCATTTTAATATTTATCATTGTCAAAAAGTCAGAGACAAGAAGCCCACTTTCTACCCATTCAAGCATTCGATAACTCATGCTGTTGTTCATTCCACTTGTTGTTTTCCAGAATGAGCGTTACACTGTGGGAGGGTCCGAGTCGTTTGAAACACTCGCAGAGCTGGTGGAGTCCTACAAACGTAAAGGCATAGAGGAGGCGTCTGGAACCTGGGTGCACCTCATACAGGTGACTGCATTCAAAATACTAGTACAAATGGGAAAGATGACAATAATCATATCATAGAATTCCCCAAAGTGATGGAAATGTGCTAAATAGACAAAAAATAGTAACTTGTCCCATCTTTAGTTCTGATTCAGATGTCGTGTGATCCAGTTCTGGCTCAGTCCCACTTTGGAGAATAGCTACTTTTGCTCAACATTTACTACCATTGTCCGACCTTTGGAATATTTGAATTACGACTCTGAGATAATGAAAGCAAATTCCCACAGTATAAGGTGACAATAAATCACACATCATGGAGTCTCAGTAAATCCTATATTATCCCTGTTTCATTCCTGCAGCCGTGTTGAATTTAATGTATATTTTTACTTGGGACAGTGCACATTCATGAACATCTGTAGATATAGTGTAAATATACCATGTTATAGCAGAAAAAATATCTCCCTAGGGAAAAAAGTCTGTTGTGCTTTGGGAGGTACCCTGCTTAAACTACACCCAATCTGCTTCTACCTATTATTACAATTAATTCATTCTTTGTTCATTCCTGGGACTGTCAGCCGTACTATTCGACCCGTGTGATTGCGGCAGACATCGACAGCCGTGTGAAGCTGCTGGATGAGACTGCGCAGACCCAGCAGGACGAGAAGAGCAAAGCAGGATTCTGGGAGGAGTTTGACGTGAGGCTCTTTCAACATCGTACATTTCACCAGCTCTGTTCCCGAAACCCTGGGGTTTTAAATAGACTGTGTGTTACAACACCAGGGCCACTTCCTCTTGCTTATGTTCACGAGGGATGGTGCTGCCCTCTTGTGGGTAAACCTGTATCCTCAAGTTTTGTGCTAGAAAAAAACGGATTATAGCATTGCAACATTACTTGTTTTAGTTTTTTTTTTTTATCAATTATACATTAACAACAGAAATAGTCTTGTATAATGTATGTTGTTGCATACTTGGGCTGAGAGCTGATTGGCTGAGAGAGGGCAGTCCTCTTTTTCTCACTGTTTGAAAAAGCTATAAAGGTATAATTATAACTAAACTGTTTTGAGATCAGGGTTATATAGATTTGATTACATTGTTCATTTTCTGTGGTTTGAGAGAATGAATTAGTGCGGGTGCTAATTTATAGATTACAAATCGGTCTCTATCATTACGTTGTTTCAATGCAGCTCATTATTGAGATTTGTTGTGTTAAAAAATATATTTATTGTGTCCAAGATTTTAACCATATAACAGGTAAGATGAATTCATGTGAGAATGTGATTCACTTAATGATGAATAATTGTGTGGTTCTGGCTGATCAGGCTCGACAAAAGCACAGTTTTAATTAATTAATAAAAGTTATAACACATATTTAAACTTAAGTTCAATAATAATGTAGCCTCTTCATCTTTTTGAAGACGCTGCAAAAGCTGGAGGCAAAGGTGAAGAAGAGCCGCGAGGAGGGACAGCGGCCTGAGAACAAGAGCAAAAACAGATACAAGAACATCCTTCCATGTGAGTCACTGATTCTTTTGGCACGATGTGTGAGAGAAAGTTTACTGAGTGTTTTTGTTCTGCAGTCAATGACACCAGGGTCATTCTGCAGAGCGCAGACCCCAACGTAGTCGGCTCTGACTACATCAACGCCAACTATGTCAGAGTAAGTTCTTGCTATGTTTTTATATCTGCACACGCACACACACACACGCACGCACACCTACCTGAGATGAATAAATGTTCTTGTATCTTATCAGCTAAAGTCAAAGTATCATCTCAGGACATAAAATCAGTCAATTGGAAAAACTGCACACTCAGGTTTTTTAACCCGGGTTGAAATGCTGTGTCGCTCCGGGACAACAGTGGGAAAGCTCGGCGTGTTGTTCAAATCTGTTTCTTTAGACAGGAGTGTGTCAAAACAAAAAGGGTCACAACAACCAGCATTGTAAAAGACTGTGGCATGTTTATCAACCACTATCAGCAATAAATTAAATCCAAACATACTACTTTATAACTATTTTATAAATGAAAGCCTAAACTTTGGTGGTCAGAGCTTGACTCCTCTCACACAGCTTGTCACGCTGTATTGTTCCTTGTGTGCATTATATAATCACCTTCACCTAACGCACTCTGAACACGCCTCGGGCAAAAAGTGAACCTTGTTAGGCAGGTTAAAAGACCAGTTTTAACCCACCAGCCCGTGTCTCTCAGATGTAACTATTGTACAGACTACAGATGGTATGAATGTATATGGTTAAATTGATTCAGTTATTCATTATCCTGTTTTTGTGTGTGATTGGTTTAGATTTGTGCGTCAGCTTATTAAGCGACTATGTGACTGTAGATTTATATTAGTGGTAAATGTATACATGTCAATAAGGTTTACTCACAGACTTCATTACTCACAGAACACCATGCGAGAACCATGTGGGGACCAGAAACGATACATCGCAACGCAAGGCTGCCTCGCCACCACCGTCAACGACTTCTGGCAGATGGTTTGGCAGGAAAACACCCGGGTGATTGTCATGACGACCAGAGAAGTCGAGAAGGGTCGGGTTAGTAAACTTGTCATGCCTTTATACATTTCTATATTTCACTACGGTTTTTACTGAAGCTTAGTTATTTCAACATGAATAAAACCCTAGGTGACCCCTACGCCTTTGATGGATTTTGGACGCTGAGATATTTACTAACAGAGATCCATGCATGACAAAATTGGCTAATTTACTTCCATCTGTTAGCACACAAGTCAAAAATATATGGTAAAGAACGTAAATTCACCTGTGGAATTGACACAACTAATTAATGAGCAATACTTTTGTTGTAAAAAGCAGAAAACTGCTCTGAGTGTGATGTTGTAGTGTGATGTCAAAGTGGAACAATTATTACAGGACTGAGACAGAAGCTTTTAGACAAATTTAAGTTACATGTTTGTGCCAGAAGTTTCTATTATTATTGTGGATGGAGCTGAAAACTACTCCAGGTCTGTTTTGATGAGGGAACAATGTTGTTTTAAAAGTTGATTTTGCATAGTATGTCTCCTTTAAAGAGCACATTATGTTTGTTTTCCATCATTCCTGAAACTTAATTATTTACAGTCACCTTGATTTTCTCTTTTTGGTTTTTACTTTAGAATAAATGTGTACCATACTGGCCGGACCCCAGCAGCTCCAAAGAGATGGGCCCTTACCTCGTCACCAACGTGTCCGAACGAGAAGCCACTGATTATAAACTGAGAGTGTTGGAGATAGCTTCGGTAGAAAAGGTAATTCAAATCTCAAACCGCACAGAATTCAACCCGTTTCATTGGATTTACTCTGACTCATTATATGGTTGTCGTCAGCCTCAAAAGTCGCGGAGGATTTGGCACTTCCAGTACCTGAGTTGGCCTGACCACGGGGTGCCGCAGGAGCCTGGAGGAGTGCTCAGCTTCCTGGAACAAGTGAACTCCAAACAGTCTGAAAACCCCAAGGCTGGGCCCATGGTCATCCACTGCAGGTACCCGTGCCGACATTATTAGATTCATCTGGATTCATTTAGATTACCAAATATTTCGGAAAGGACATTTTCCATTGATGTTCCAAATGTTATTTATTATTTGTATTAATTTCGAGGATCATGAGATTATTGACTTTCATGTTTTAGAATTATATGACAGAAATATATGAATACACAGTACAATTATAGAACAACTCCCTCTAGTGGTAGACATTTGAAATTACATTCTGCGTGTTATGGAGCAGTAATTCAACATTTCAGCTGCAGTACGTATAGTTTGAACAGCAGAAAGAAGCTCTGTCCATATAACATCATTGTCAAGGAGTTTTATGGTGTACCAGGTTTGACAGAGATGCATTTAGACAGAAGGTGGACGAGTTTTGTGCCCATCTTTGCCAGTCATTATAATATACAATATCAAAATGAGCAAATGCAGGGAATTAAAGCAGAAAGAGGGCACACAATGAAAAAGAAAGAACTAAGACAAGACAATGTGGAACAATAAAATGCAACAAAAAAATCTCAACAGCTCAAAGGTTGTAAAACTCTCTTATTCGTCTTATTTGACCAACACGTATCACCGGAGTTGACAAATGGGGGGACCAATAGTCTTGATGATTCACCCAGAAGTAGAAAATCCTCCTGTATACCTTTTAAGGACGGCCATTCAATAAGAAGTGATTATGAAGATGGTACGGATGGTGCAGTTCCAGACCGAGAAGGCTCGATCACCTTTTGTCCAGGGCCTAGACCTTGGAATGAGGTCTCAGGCTGCAGGGGGGCTCGTAAGGGGTTTGAAAGGGGGTTGTACATTTCTCCATCGTGAGATCAATAAAGTTTTATCTTATCTTAAAAGATAATTTCACAATCAGGCGGTCAAATTTTAAAACAATAAAAATGTATTATTTTGATGGCCTGAAATCTGAAATTTGTAAACTTCAATACAAGATGGAAACAATTTTACAAATGTTCCATGAATGAAGATTCTGACAATTTGTATAATAATGTAGATTAACCATTCCCATGATATTAGTCGATTTATTTGTAGATTATTTGTTGAAGCACTACGTAAAATTGTGTGTTGTGTAATTAGTCTCAAGAGTTACCTGGACTGACAGCTATTTTTAACATTTGCACAGGATTTATAATCATAAGGTTGTGAGGTAACTAAACCTTAAAATGCATTAAGTAATTCTAGCCAGGATTAGGATTAGAATAAAGGTTTATCCATGTGGAATTTATCATGTGACATGTTTCATTTTTAGCATCAGTTTGTGACAGCTTAATTTGAGCGTTCTAAATCATTCATTTTTCATTCATTTTCTGTGCTTTCCTAATTTACTTTTTAAATTATGTTTGTTGCTGAGATTAGAAATAGTAAATTTTTCGCACATAGTTAAACCAGATGACTGAAAGCTGTCATAATAATGTCGTAATGTAATTTGTCAGGCGATCACTCACTATGTTACCGCGTGACCAAAAGGCAACCACTGTCATTATGTGATAATACAATTAGTTTCAATGTATTTATTTAATAAAAGAAACAGAATAGTGTGTTTCTAGAATCTAGATGAAGTTAATTGTGTATGGAGATTCAGACTTGCTGTAGGTTGAAAGTGGATTTGCATTCAGAGTTTAACATACAGTACATTCACACTTCTGGTCCGGTTCACTTTACATGGACTATTTCTGGTTCAGTAAAAAAGTCTTATTTGAGGATGTGAAACCACCGAACATGTGAACAAGTGCGCACTTGTCACTTCAGTCAGTGCACATTTTTAGAAACAGATCTGTGAAGCAGTGAACCAGAACGTGGCCTTATACACTGTGATAAAATATGTACAAATATGTAAAATGCTTTCGTTCTGCTGCAGCGCTGGAATCGGCCGAACAGGAACCATTGTGGTGATTGACATGATCTTGGACACCATCACGACTACAGGTGAACATTACTCGTTCATCAGGTTTAATGTTATGATCGAGACAGTTCAATATAATAAAAGCTTTGTCCATGATAACTGAGAGGAAAAAAGGTCTGTGTTTTTATACAATGGGTCCCAGTGATAATATTGTTTTTCTCATTGGATTGTTTCTCATACCGTATTGTTTCTTAGACAGAACTGGGAATCCTTTTGTTTGTTTTATCATGAATAAACATTTGTTTTGAGTATGATAAATATGTTATATATTTTACAATGTATGATAGCAAGGAGCAGGCAATTTATCACAATTTAATGCAATATTTTCAAATCAGCAAAGTAAAGGCTGTGAGGGAAGCAGCTCAAGAAACAATGTATTTTTTTGTTTTACATTGAATTGTAAATTGATGAATTGATACATTTAAATTGATGTACCAATGTAGGATGTACCAAAGTGTAACTGATTTCTTATCTTTAACATAACACACCATTTTTAAACAAGTGAGTTTCTCCGACTGAAATCTTTGTTTGTTCTCAGGACTGGACTGTGACATTGATATTTCCAGGGTCATCCAGATGGTCCGAGAGCAGCGGTCTGGCATGGTTCAGACCGAGGCCCAGTATAAGTTCATTTACCTGGCTGTGTCCGAGTACATCCAGTCCGCCAAGGTCACGACCACCGCCTACATGGTGAGTCCACGGGCTGCACGAGGGCTCTATGGCAAACAAAAGATATTTGAAAAAATAGCAAGAATAATTGTGCATTTTTTCCTCTAATTTGAAGATGTGTCTTGCTTTGAATGTATTTTGACTGTCTCACCTGTATTCTTATTTTAGCAAGATATTTTGTACTTTTTCTATTGGTAAAATGTCATTTAATTTAGTAAAATACTTTATCATTTGTTTCACGGGATCCATATTCTCTACTGAAAGTTTGACCTACAGTAACAACTAAAAGGGGGTATAATGTAATTGATTTATGAAAAAAAGTAAAAACTGCTTGAAAATTATTAGGGAAATGCAATAGTTATTAACCCTCGTTTCACAATTGCATGTGAAGGCAAGGCAAGTTTATTTGTATAGCACAAAACATACACAAGGCAACTCAAAGTGCTGAACAAAATAAGAAAGCATTAAAATCATAAATAATCACAGAACATTAAAAAGAAAGATAAAAATATAAAATCCCTCAGTTGTATGCACAGTTAAACAGAACTGTCTTTAACCTGGTTTTAAACATTGTCAGAGAGGAGGCCTGTCTCACATCTTCAGGAAGATTGTTCCAGATTTTAGCAGCATGAATCTGAAAAGCAGCCTCCCCATGTTTAGTTCTGACTCTGGGCACTAACAGGAGTCCAGTCCCTGTGCTCCTCAGAGTCCGGGCTGGTTCATATGGGACTAACATGTCACTAATATATTTTGGTGCGAGGCCATGGAGAGACTTGTACACAAGCAGAGCTGTTTTAAAGTCCATTCTATTAAAATAAATTTAGTAAGCTGTTGGTAGAAAGCTTTCTCAAGGACTTTCCCCATAAATGGCAGATTTGAGATGGGACGATAGTTGTTAAGTACTGTAGCATCCAGACTGCTCTTTTTTAGCAGGGGCCTGATGACTGCAGTTTTCAGGGCCTTTGGGAATATTCCAGAATGAAGGGACATGTTTACTATCTGTGTGAGTGAGTTTAGAAATCTAGTGGGTAGTACATCCAAGCTGCATGTGGAGGAGCTCAAACTGGAGATTATCTCTTGGACAGTTTGATCATTTACAGGTGCAAAGTGAGTTAGCTCAAAAAGCCTTGCTGGCTGTTGGATCGCTATCTGTGGATTGAAGAAAATGGCGTTCTTGATGCCTTGAGCCTTGTCATTGAAAAATTTGCAAACTCATTACATTTACATTATGTTTACAATACGTAAAGAGTAATGTACAAAATTAATCCTAACCCTAGTTTTAGGAAATGCCGCTAACACAATATTTAGTCTTACTCTTGACTTGAAGATGAGTTATTCCCGTACCTCACAGTAGTTTGCAGTATAGCCACAGCTGCCCTGGGGCGCACAAGAAGACATGTAAACCCCCTATTAGAGTAACACTGACCTCTGCTCTACATCTTCTGAAGAGCCCATTGTGCCTGACCCCGGGCGGCCTACTTCACTGTGATACGCTATCACTGAGCCTTGTGAAATGTAAACATTGAGCCGAAGCAAAGTTATGGCTGCAGCGGGTCGCCTAAAGAGTGCTAAAAGGAATTATATTATTCTAGGACTGTTACAGAATGATGAACTCTTCTCTTTCCTGTTTCAGGAAACTGAGACAGAATATGGAAACCTGCAGCTGAAGCACCAGCCGGCCTCCAGGAAGGTCTCCAAGTGAGTCTAGTCCAGACTACAGACACGCGCACACACACACAGAGACACAAAGAGACACACATACACACACACACAGGGCTACGTACACACACACACACACCCACAGGGCTACGTACACACACACACACAAACAAAGACACACAAAGAGACACACACACACAGGGCTACGTACACACACACACACACCCACAGGGCTACGTACACACACACACACAAACAAAGACACACAAAGAGACACACACACACAGGGCTACGTACACACACACAAACAAAGACACACAAAGAGACACACACACACAGGGCTACGTACACACACACACACACACACACACACACACACACACACACACACACACACACAAACACACACACACAGGGAGGCTGCTGCCCCCATGCCCCGGCAATGGATACAGTGGACTAGAGTTTAAACTCTAGTCCACTGTATCCATTGCTGCACAATCCATCCATTCAGTTTCGTCCTCTCAATCCTTTTCCGGGTCACGGCGCAGCAGCCTCCCAGGGTCTTCCCTGGGGTCTTGACAGATTCCAATCTGGTCTACGTATATTCATAATTTGTCGAGTCATTACGTTCAGGTGTAAATCAGTGATGGTTAAATCAGTGATTTCATATATTTTATGTGTTGGCCCTTTGAAGTTCTTCTCATTCACAAACATCCTCTCATGCCATACCAACATGGGACCAACATGGGACCAACATGGGACCAACATGGGACCAACATGGGACCAACAATGTTTAAGCTTCTTTTTGTTTTCACAGAAATAAGGACGATGTTTATGAAAGTATATCAAAAGGAAAGAAAGACACCAAGAAACAAAAACCTGACAAGAAGAGCGGCTCTGTGAAGAAAAAATAAGTTATTTTCTCAAAATATATATTTGTATTGATATAGTTTTACATTATAAGGTGAGGAAGACAAAACAGATGTTTTGTTATGTGATTGAAATGCCTTTGTTATTTTTTAAATACTGATAAATTTATACAAAAAGATATTGCGTCTTACTTTTGTCATTGCTGCTACAGTGTGTGTGTGTGCACTTGTTTTCAACTCCTGGTGGGTTCCATAACCTGAGATTCCACTCACGTCATGGGGACTGGTTTTACGTGGTGGGGCCCGAACACCGGACCCCACTGGTCCAAGCTTAATAATCAATGGGTAATGCTTTTCTAACGGTCCTTATGCAGTCTCTGTAAAAATATGGAAAGGACCCCTGGAGGTTTACTTTCCTGAAAAAAGTGTGTTATGTGTCGGAACCCTGGTGGTGGGTTGCGGGATATCAAGGAGGGGCACACTGGGGCAATTTCAGTCCAGCAGGCTGGAGCCAATCATGGAGCAGCACAACAGAGGAAATCAGGTGTCAGGCTAGAAAAAGGTGCAAGTGTGTGGTTCATTAGGCTGCAAGAAATCATGGAGGAGCACACTGAAGCGCACGCTTACAAACCACTGGTAAGTGCTGACTACAAGTCATGACTTCAAATTGTTATATAGAATGATTACAAATTATTTGTTGTTTGTGCAGCTTAGTCAAGAGTCCCTAATTGATGAAGTCGACTCAGATTCTGACGATTTAACTGTCAAGAAGAAACCTGTAAAAAAGTATGGAAAAAGAAAAATCAAAAACACTTTTCTTCAAGACTCGGAAAGTGACGAACCAAAGGCAAATAAGATTGTTATCATGCAGCTGCAAAAGAAGAAAAATGGGGGGCGAGTATACAGCAAGAGACACTTCTGCCTCTACTGTTCAATGTCCTGCCACAAAATGTCCCGTCATTTGACTAGAAAACATGGAAATGAAAGTGACGTAGCCAGAGCATTGGCTCTACCTGTGAAATCTAAAGCACGTAAACTTCAGTTTGATTTGATCAGGAATAGTGGAAACCGTGAGCACAATTTTGAGGTTTTAAAGGCCGGCATTGGAACTTTAGTCCCAGCTAAACAGCCAAATTGCCCAGTTAAATCCAGTGAGTTTTTGCACTGTATAGACTGTGGGGCATTGCTTAAGCGAAAGTCGCTGTGGAGGCATGTGGCCAGGTGCCGGCTTTCACAGAAAGATGCCCAGGCTAAACCAGGTAGAAGTAGGGTCCAGTCCCTCTGCTCCCTAGCCCAGCCTGTACCGGAGGGCATCAGCAAAAAGCTGTGGTCTTTAATTTCGGCAATGCATCAGGATGAGGTCACGGGTGTTGTCAAAGCAGAAAAGGGGATTCTGAGACTCGGAGAGCACCTGTACTTAAAACACGGGCATGATAAGACAAAGCATGATTACATTAGGCAGAAAATGAGAGAAGTCGGTAGGTTAATTAACGAAGCAAAAACCGCAGGGAAACTGAAAACAATTAAGGATTTCTTTATTCCTTCCAACTTTAACCATGTGATTGATGCAGTCAGGTCTGTGGCTGGATATGATGAGGAAACAAATCAATACAAGACTCCATCCTTGGCCCTCAAACTCGGCCATAGCCTCAGAAAGCTAGCAGATATTCTTGAATGTGACTCAAAAATGGAGCATTGTGTTGATGAACTATTTATTAAAAACCTCCAACGAAGCCGGCTGCTTTTTGAGAAGAGGTGGGACGTCTGTGTTTCTTCTGCTGCCCTACAGACCCTCCGGCAAGCCAAGTGGAACACTCCGGACCTGCTCCCTCTGACTGAGGACGTTAGAGCCATGCATGCACATATTGAGGTATGTCGACCTGAATATGTGCAAACCCTAATAAGTGAGCCAACGTCTAAGCATTGGTCTAAACTGGCAGTTTTGACTCTTTGTGAGGTCATCATTTTCAATCGAAGAAGGGAAGGTGAGGTTTCAAAGATGCCACTGACAGCCTTTACCTTAAGAAGTAAGACTGGGATCCATTCTGACATTGCTCTGGGACTGTCCCAACTTGAGAAAAAGCTGTGTCAGCATTTTCAACGCATTGAAATTAAAGGGAAAAGAAGTCGGAAAGTGCCGGTTCTTTTGACTCCTGAAATGATTGCTTCGATGGAGGTGCTGGTGGAGAACAGAAGGGCCTGTTCCATCTCTGACCATAACCCATACTTCTTTTCCCGCCCGGGCGCAGACACCCACATCAGGGGATCAGACTCCCTACGCCAGGTAGCCAAAGAATGTGGTGCGGTGCATCCAGAGATGCTATCCTCAACCAAACTTAGAAAGCACATAGCTACTATGTCTACAGTTCTCAATATGAAAGAGAATGAGATGGACATACTTGCCAACTTCCTCGGCCATGACATTCGCATCCACAGGCAATATTACAGACTACCAGAGGGGACACTGGAGCTGGCCAAAATCAGCAAAGTGTTGATGGCCATGGAGCAGGGAAGAGTGACGGAATTCGAAGGAAAGAGCCTCGACCAGATACAAATTGAGCCTGAAGGTAATTCTTGATATTATTAAAATATGTATGATTTTTTTCCCCTAAAGGCCACTTGTATTTTTATTTTCTGTGCGACAGGGAGAGCAGTAGAGATCCTCTCACAAACGGACGGGCTAAAAGAAACTTCAAGCGGAGAACCTTCAACCATTCATCCAGATGCACCCCATGGTAGTGGCAGTGCCCCTTCTGGTAAGTGTACCAGGTGGGGGATTACAGCCAGGCTGCTTGGTCCTCACCCTGGGAGTGTATATTGCTAATATATTTTTATTTCTCTCCCTAGAACGTGTAAGAAAGCCATGGTCTGCATCTGAGGTGAAGGCTGTGGAGAAGACCATGACACCTTTCATACAGACTGGAAAGGTCCCTGGGAAGTCTCACTGCCTGGCCTGCATTAATGCCTCACCAGATGACCTTAGACATCGGACATGGAGTGGCATTAAATTCTATGTCAAAAATAGAATCACTGCAATTCGAAAACAAAATCTAAAATAAAATTCCTTTAAAATAGTTGTTTGGTTTCTATTGACTGTTTTGTATTACTTAAAGTCTTGGTAAAAAAAGATTATGTCTATGGGTCCCATTCTGAACGGCCCTGTCAAAGGGACCCACCAGGTAACAAAAACGTGTGTGTGTGTGTGTGTGTGTGTGTGCACGTAAGGAGTACTGGCCACTTTCCCACTTTTTAATTTGGCCTAGATTATTATTCCTTCCATTTGTTTTTTAGTGTGAGAGTTGTCCCAAAAACTACTTTTTAACGTTTGTGAACACTCAGACTCTTCTCATGGCAGTATTCGTTCAGTTTATACATGGTGATAATCTACTACTGTAGCCACAGTTGCTCTGGGGCAGACTGTCTGAAATGAGGTTGCCAAGTGTCTTAAGGACATGAATATCTGAAGTTATGGCTGTTCCCAGAGGTCTCCCATCGCAGTACTGACGAGGGCCTGCCCTGCTTAGCTTCTGAGGTCTGACAGGATCTGGCTTTGACCAGCAGGTGGCGTCACACGTATCATCTCATCTTTATCTTATTCTTAGCAATTAATCATTAGCACCAGGGCCGACAATGGCTCAGTTGGTAGAGCATTGAACCCACCACCTGCTGGAGGATCAGCGAGGGACTGGTGCTCAGAGTATTGGGTGACAGCTCTGATTGTCACCCCCCGACTCAGAAATGGACTAATAAAGGGATAGAAAATGAATGAATGAATGACACCAGTATAAGTTTTCTCCCACAGTGAGGAAATGTCTGGGTTTACAGTCTGTGGTTGCAACACATATGACTCAAAGACAGAAGCACACAAAACAGGATTTAAAAAAGCTATTCAATATATTAAATATTGATCAATCGGTATATACATTAAATAAACATAAAAAAAAAAAAAAAGTACATAATGCAAAGATTAGCCCTGCAGGGCCGCTCCTACTATAAGCAGATGTAGCAGTGGCCCCAGGAAGAGAAAATGGGCAATCATGTCCAGACCACTTAAACATGTAAGTTTTTAGAAATATTGAAATATGGGTGAAATAGTAAGAATAAAACCATAATGATCCTGAAAAAGATTCACTGTAGACTATTGTGAGTGGAAGGTGAATGTTTTCCACAGACTTTGTACCAATGCGCTGTAATCACTAGAGTCCTCTCCTCACACTGTATTTCGTCATTTACTTTTTGCAGCATAAGGTTTTAATCCAACAGGGAAATATGTGTGAGGTAATTCATCCTCCAATTTCACTTCTCTCTCCTCCCTCCACACCCCCACGCCCCCGCCCCGCACGCACCACCCCCTCTGTCTCTGGAGCAATGAATGGGAATCCTCTTCGTATGCACCGCGCACACCACTAAACTTTATCCGCACACGGAGCAACTCAAAGGGAGACATTTGGCGACTCTCCAAAGCCACGACTTAAGAATCAGAGCGAATTTGACACGTCTCCATCTTGTTTTACGCGTGAAATTAAGAGCAGATCCGTGCAGCGTGGTGCGTGCAACCAGCCCAGCAGCACTTTCACAACAGCCTGCGCTCTTTGAACCATCCATACGCACAACAAGTGGACGCGGAGAAAAGGAAAAACATGTCTAAACCAAATTACAGCGGGACTTTTCACATGGTGGAGCAGGATAACATGGACGCCTACCTGGCAGCGTTAGGTAAGTTACATCAGTGTCCTGCAGTTACGACAGAGCTTTTGGCTTTTTACTGTTCAATGGGAGCGTTTGTTCGCATCCAGGCGCGCACAGCTGCAGATTTCCGTTCCCTTTGAGGTTTGCTGACTTTATTGATGTTTGCCATCATCGTCATTCACAGCAGGGCGTTATTAGTCTGATGTCTTCAGCGCCTTGTCCTCTCCATGACCCCAGATGCGCACAAAGGGGGGTACAGGCAGAGAGAAGAGAACAGAGAGCGGGAGGGAGAGACCAGAAGGATAAAGAAATGTGATATTCTGTGGAAAAAAACTGAATTGTCACTGATTAACCATTAAAGCTAGAGTACATCCTTTTTTCCATAATAAGAATTAGGCCTAACATTTTGACAACAAAAAAAGTAATGTAATAGTTCCTCGCTCTCCAAACAGTTTGGTTCTATCACTAGTTTTCACACGTGTATTTTTGGTGTCACAGTCACGCAGCCAATCAGCGCTCAGCCCAAAACGTCAAATAGTGACTCGCAGGACTTTTTGTGTGTAACAAGTGTGTAATTTGAAAGATAACATGTTTTCTCTCTAAAAATACAGAACATTGTGGTTACATTAGTTCACACAATTGCACTTATGCAAGAGAAATAAACTGTTCTGGCTATGAACAATAACAAAAGTTAGGAACCCCAGCTTTACGATAGTGCTGTCTGCTCTCTGTGCAGAGTGCAGACTACATGGCTGCACTCTGCACAGAGATGATTGATTTTCCAGGCACTTTCTCCTTTATGAGCAACATGATAATCTAAAACAGAGCTGCGCCTTGTAGGAATGCACTTATTCACGTTAATACAGGTTGTAATGCTACATTAGACCCTCTCCTGAAGGATGTCAAAGCAAATGTAGGGAAAGAAACATATAATACAAATATTTTATTTAGTTTGTTACTATAGACATTTGTCCATGATTTTCAAGGTTCAAAACAGTTCATTGTTGCATCCCTAAATCACAACAGCGGCGCTTCACATGTAATTATTTTTTTAATCCATACAAAGTGGTGATAAACTGCAGTCACTGCTGCCCTGAGGCACACTGACAGAAGTGAGGCAATCTGTATGTACCATCAGTCTCTCCAATCACCACCAACCATTCACATACACACACACTCAATCTAGGCAATGTGAGTGAAATGTCTTGCCTAAGGACACAACAACAGTTTGGCACTTTACAGCAGTAGCCGCCCCACTGTGGCACCTGGTGTTCCCAGAGGCCTCTCATCACAGTATTAACCAGGCCCTGCCCTGCTTAGGCTCAGATGTCTGATGGGATCTCTACTTTCCTGGTAGTCTGCCAGTTGTTTTGTTCCGTACGGGTTATGTGCCTCTTTATCGGAGGTGGTATAAGTTTAGTACTAAACAAAAAAGGTTTTTTTTAGGTTGAAGTAATCTGCACTGATATAACTTCATCAGTGCTTATTTCTTCTTCATATTGTATTTATTGTTGATCATCCAGAATGTTCCTTCTTCATCGGCCCCCCATCTGTAAGAACCATAGACTGTATATATTAACGGACAGAGTCACGCCTATCTCCGAACCTAAAGGACCACTCCCTTCCTTCTCTCCTTACTATGTTACAGATATAAATTTTGCTTTGAGGAAAATTGTGTGTTTACTGAAACCAACCAAAGAGATTACTCACGATCCGGCGACTGGGACCATGAAGATCAAGACCATCACCACCTTCAAAAACTTCTTCATGGACTTTGTGATCGGGAAGGAGTTCACCGAGGACCTGGGACCAGTGGACGGCCGCACCTGCCAGGTATGTCTCAGTGTTGTGTTCGTTTGTGCCAGTCCAGACATGCCAGTAGAGAATACAGTACCTTTTAATTTTTCAACTTGCCATCTTATAAATACAGATAAGCTGTGTCAATCTAAATGTTGTTGTTTTGCTTACTATGACCCACAGTTTGACATGAATACTATTAGGTTGCATGTTTCTGAGGCCATCAAACAGGTCACATCTGCAAAAAGGCGAGCTGAACCTAGAATTCTAATATTTGAGCAGTAAGTATGTCTGTAACTAAATAATGTAATCTAATTGTAGTCCATACTGAGGAGGAACATTTAAATCAAAGCAATAACATCCCCATGTGGAAAAGGAGGTTGCAGTTTCCCACCAAAAAAGCACCTTTAGAATAGAAATGGTGAACCTAAACTTTTAAACAAATGTAACACTGGTGCTTTGTCTAATCAAAAACAGTAATTGTGGCTCCCTCTTCCATTTGTAGCCCTAGGTTGGCCCCCAAAACAGTTGAGGACTCTCAGAAATGCCAGACTGTATGTAAATGAAGTGGACGTTTGTGCTGTGTGCAGACCACCGTGAGCTGGGAGGGGGACAAGCTGCTGTGTGTGCAGAGAGGAGAGAAACAGGGCCGTGGCTGGACGCACTGGCTGGAAGGAAACAAGCTGCATCTGGTGAGAGCCCAAAACACATGAGATCAGATTGCAGCAGGCTCTAGACATCAGTATGACATCAGTATGACATCAGTATGACATCAGTATGACATGAGGATAACGTTATGCTGCAGTATTATGACCATTGGGATTCAGCTGAAAATGAGTTTGATTGTTGTCACATTCTAATCAGTTGAGGATGTGGACGCACCGGTGTGGATGTCTTCTGTCTTTTTAACTTGTATGTTCGGTCTTTTTTGTGTCTATGTTGGACCCTGAGTCTGTAATAAAAGCAAAATTCATTCATCCATTCTAATGTGAGGTGGACATTGAAGTTTGGTCAAAAAACCTGACAAAAGCACGCCAGTATTCTACGTCAATCAGGCCGATCAAGATAATTTATTTCAAAACCAGTTTTTTGGAATGCGCTGGAAAACGGCTGCAAGTCCTAAGTAGCTCTGAAACAGTTGTTGTTTTGTGCTTTTGAATTTTTCTTTTTATTGCTTTTTTCTGTTGTTCATGGTTTTACACTGGTCCAGACCGGAGCAGATGGAATTCATGGTCCAAACCGAGCGGATCAGGTGAAAATCCACTGGAGGAATGCTAACTTTTTTGAAAAATGCTAATGAGCATTTTACTTTGGACTAGCAGAGAAAATGGTCTGAACCAAGCGGCTACTTCACCTTGTGACCTGTCCTGCTCCCCCCAGAGGCTACTCCACCTCTGCTGCGATGACCTGAAGGGCTGTTGCTGATTATTACTATTTTTGACTTTTTAGAATCATCAAGTTTTTTATTTTTTTTTATTGCTACTGGACACCTGAATTTCTCCTACGGGGATCAATAAAGTATCTATCTATCTATCAAAAGGGGTTGGAAGAAGCAAACACTTATAAACGATACCCCCCTTCACCCATTTGATACAGAGATAAGAAGATTTGGAACAAAAACGTCAGAAATGGACAAGATCAATACAGTAACACACACATGAAGTACACACTAATACTGCATAGAACAGACGTTGGATTTTGATTACAACACAACGTAAATCATGTGCCTGTTGAGATGTATTCAATTAAAAAAATGCACTTGGTTTTTAAATTGACTTGATACTAGAATTATGATTTTATGCATTTACATTTCAGAATCAGAATAATTTTTATTGCCACGTAAGTAACAGGAAGTCAGACTTGGAAATTGCTTTGGCTCAGTGCAACAGTCAGAAAGAGATAATAAAAATAAGAATAAAAAACACTTCTAAAGAATAAATTTAAATTTAAAATAGAGTTACAGTTACTATTTACAATATACAAGTGCACATGGTGCACACAATGTAAGGTGACAGCAGTACAGTGAAGTAAAGTGACGTATGATGGGCAGTAAAGTGACGTTATAAAGGGTGGAGGGACAGGTTAAGAAGTGTTCAAGAGTCCAACAGCAGAGGGGAAGAAACTGTTCTTGTGGCGGGAGGTTCTAGTCCTGATGGGCCGCAGCCTCCTGCCTGAGGGGAGTGGTTGGAATAGTCCATGTGCAGGGTGAGAGGGGTCGGCTGTGATACGACCAGCCCGGCCTCGAGCTCGGGCGACGTACAGGTCCTGCAGCGATGGAAGGCTGCGGCCGATCACTTCCTCTGCAGAGCGCACAATGCGCTGTAGTCTCTGTTTGTCCCTGACTGTGGCTCCAGCGAACCACACGGTGATGGGCAAAGAGCCGTGGCGACCGTGCGAGGCGCCATCTTTAATAAATTTACCTTCTTTGCAGACACAAAGTAATAACTAACAGAACATATTCACTTTACACACAGACAGAAAACGTCCATACAATTTCTCCTGGATTCTCGATTGCTTGCATCATTTCTACCATTGAATGTTGATTGTAGGTGAAAATTGGAATCTTGTTGCTTTGAATAGTGTTGATAATTGGTTCACAGCTTATTAAAAACTCAAATATATCATCTCCGAAAATGTGAATATTTGGAAATGGAATGTAAGCCATAATCACTAAAATTATATCAACAAAAAGTTACTTAGCTTGCAATGAGGTGTTATATCTTAAGTTTTTTATAGAGAAATTACATTGACTTTGACCCTTTGAACAATATTCTAATTTTCTGCGTTTCACCAATATGGTTTACTACTGAAAACATTCATCACAGCTATTCAGACTGCATGTGTTTTTGAATGTATAGGATTGGGACATAAGTCAGGATCAAAAAGGCTTGAGCTGTCACATGTTTGGGCTATAACATATTAGGTACATTCTCAGTATGTTGTGAGTAAATAAGTCTCTGATTAAGACTTCAGCTCATTTAAACCTCTCGCTCTGGATTATTACCTCTGTGCGGCGGACAAAGCTCCTCATTGTCACCAGTGTGTTTCATGCAGGCCAAGGCTGATGCAGAAATACCATTAAGGATCAGCCTAGAGCGGGTTTAGAGTCTACACAAAGGAGAGGAAGGGGGTGGGAGAGGAGTCTGGGAGCGCAGCGTGGCAAGGGAGGTAATTGTGAGTCTGAGATAATTCACTGGTGTTACTGTTATATCAAAACTCATGATATCGATGTGGATTCACTTTTCAATGATCGTAACAGAGCTTATGTGTTTAACCGTTTTATTTTGGGGAAACGGAAAATCTCCTAAAGGCTTCAGGTCACAAATAGCGTCAATGTGGTCAGCATGTTTTTGGTGTATCAAAACATCAATCATTCCGCTTCAGCTGAGGGACAAAACATTCCAAAAATCTTGAATAAATTGTGTTTAATAACTAATTTATATGAAAATCTTGTGACAAGCTCCATCTTCTGCCAACATATTTATGATAATTTAATATATTGTAGAAGTTCTGAAGAAAAGAGAAGTTACACATTGAAAAGCCTTGCTGTATTTTGGTCTTTGAACAAAAACCTTCAGCATAAAAAGTCTTTCATCTTTTTTCTGCAGGAGCTGAGAGTGGAAGATGTCGTGGCCAAGCAGGTCTTCCAGAAGGAGTGAAGCGACTAGACAAGTACTAACACAAGGGGGCGCTCTACTAAAGTGTTATAGACCAGGCTGATGTGAATATTTAGTCTTTGTTATTTAGCCATTTTTGGCTCCATAAAGCAGGGCCCATGTGGGGCTATGGTTGCTATGATCCTGAGGTCTTGTATTCTGGAATAAATAACACATTTTTAGTTTTTAGTGCTACAAATACTGTACGATGGAGTTCTACTGTGAGCTGCGCCTGTCTTTACTGTACATCTTGCCAGTAAGTTGGTTTAGTGTGGGATCATCTGCATCTTCATCCTCTTCAGAAAAGTTGCCAGGTACAAAAGTAAAAGTACTTTATCTGTACTTGGTGGATACTTTTTTACTTATCTTTAGTACTCCTACATTGTTTAAATGTACCAAAAAGTAAAAAGTACCTTCAAAAAAAAAGAGTATCTATGCTTACATTCCATTATTTTTGACTTTTTTCAAAATGAACGACACATAAGTTTACTCAATATAATATTTATAATCAAAATAAATGCTTTTACATGAGTTGCAAAATACTTTCACAAAGTGAGTTTGTTTCTGTTATATCACTTTCACTTAAAACAAAACATTTCTTCACCACTGCCTTTAAACCAAAAGTATTAAGTTGCAGTAAATCCTTTTTGTCTAAACCAGACAGAACCTTGGACTAAACAAGGACTTTGAAACCACTGGACTCTGTTACAGTAACCATTGTCAGCTATATGGTGCCAATTAGATTTTTAGTTAGATTCTAATCATAAATGTGTGTGTACTATGTATTCTGTACATGTGTCTTTGTTCTAATATGAAAACGACGTCACTGTGGGAGCGACGGAGCGCTGTTCACTTTGCACTAATGTAAAGATGTTATAAAGGAATCCAACATCTGCTTTGCTTGACTGCTTTTTATACAGAATTATCCATATGAAAATATGACATAGATAACAACATGATCATTTTATGTTCAGTTATAAACAGCAGATCACACTGCTGTGCTAAGAAGCCAGAATGGGTAAAAAAAATTGGCCGTCCACAAAGCACTGACTTTTGGTTTGATGAAAACAAAAACATTTGCTTGAGCACCAAATCAACAAGAAGTCTATTTACAGTCTATGGTCAGGAGTAGTGGTCGCCACAGTACAGCGCATGGGGCCCATTTCCGTATGTATTGATATTGATGCTATGACTTGGTCACCGGAGTTGGTGGACTTTACCTATTGTGCAAATCTTTAGTGATAGAGGAAAGAAAGTTATAGTTGAATATAAATAAACCATGGCATGTGCCAAGACTTTTAGATAAGTACAGTTCGCCTCTGAAGAGCCCTGGTCTAGTTTATGCATTGGTTTTATATAGCACTTTTTTGGTCTTCTGACAGAAGCGAGGCAACCTTTTTGTGCCATCAGCCCCTCCGACCACCACCAACCATTCACGCACGCAACAGAGTCACACTAGGCAATGTGGATGAAGTGTCTTGCCTAAGGACACAACAGCTGCTCCACTGTGGCACTTGGTGTTCTCAGAGGTCTCCCATCACAGTATTAACCAGGCCCTGCCCTTATTAGTTTCTGAGGTGTGCCACGATCAGTCTTTCACATGCAGATGGCGCCACATGTATGAGTCCAGAAAGCTTCACGCCTGTATCACGTGCTGCACCACTCGTCCTCTTGCGGCTCAGAGATGGTCCTCTGGAAGTTTCCGCTGGTCCCATTTAAATTTGGTGAATCAAAAAATGAGATGGAGGCTTTGAGAGGAGTGATGGCAACGCTGCAGTCCTCCAGGTCCAGTCCATCACAGCTGAGGTGCAAATCATCTGTATGGAAAAAGTTGAGGGAATTAGAACTATGGGGATAGAGGTCGACCAATATGGTTTTAGGACCAAATTATTAGTCAAGGAGCCCGATAATGTACAGTACTTGATGAACTATAAGCGCATCTGTATAAAACGCTCCAGCTACTCTTTTGATGGTAAAAGTGTGTCCTACAGCTTCTAAACCTGTCAAAATAATAAATCCATAAACTCAGTTCTGACAACAGCTCTAATCACATTAAGTCCCTTCCATTGCTCCTTGTGTTGTCTGTCTCTGCTGTTCCCATAAACATAAAACACAGCTGATAGAGTTCAAAATAAAAAAATCTTGCTCCCTAAGAGGTACTTGACCATGATAAAAATACATACAGTACTTGGGTCGCATCCCTATATAGGCTGCACGCTTTTATTGTCGTATAGTCTGGAAAATACAGTAAGTAAATGTTATGTAAGAAAAAGTGATGTGTTGCTAAATCTTCTGAAATATGAGCTTGTTGCAGAAATGAATGAGTATTGGCGTAATTTCATATGTTGGAGGGTTTTACTGACCTGGTTTATAAGCGGGCAGATCGCAGGAGTACGAGGGCGTGTACATCTGTTCAGGGTAGAGTCCGTTCAGCTCCTTAAAGGGCAGAGGAAGCGGGACCTCGTCTGCAGCCAGCACCACAGCCACACGAGCCTCTGGGGGACTTACAATCCCTGAAAACACATGTGATGGATGATAAAAATAATTATTGCCAAGAGGAGGAAGGAAGAACATGCAGAGTTCATAGAGAGAGAAACAAGTTATGATTCTAAACTTGTCTGGACCATAAACTCTGGTTCACTTTGGGAGTGACTTACAGTAACCCACCAAAAGGAGAAAGACCTGGAATTCTGTGAGAGAATGGGCAATCTTGTATTTATTTATCATTTGCATTTTTGACTGAAACAGATAAAAGCAATACTGGGATGTATAATAAATATAGATATACTGAATAAAACAGCATTTGAATAGTGCCAAAGCCAAGCAAACCACTGGATTAATCGACGCATATCTGGCATGTTTTAATGATCGACACATTCTACAGATTAACACACTACAAAGCAGGATGTTTGTGTGCAATAGCTTGTCTTTTTCTCACACATTTTCATTTCCTCTTCAGGGTTACAGTAAATGTTGCTGAAAAAACATGACGGCGTAGGAGCTTGTCTCAGAATGAGCTGTCACCTTTAATATTGTCTTTGAACCTGTGTCGACGTTTGCTGAAGATCTGTGTCACCGGAAGTAGCTTTCTGTGCTCTGCAAGGATCAGGTTGCATCACGATTAAGACGGCAGCAGTGGTTTTAAAATGCCACCACGTCAACATCAAACCACCGTCATTACAGAGAAGAAAGTGAATGTGGTTCTGGTAAAACGAGATTATGGGTGACATTTAGGCTGCGAGACGTCACACAGGATAGCGTGCTTGTTTGCCTGGAGAAATCCTTTTGTATGATCAGGAAACATGATTAGGACACTGTAATCACAACTACAGTTTCATGGTTCAATAGTAATAAATTATCACTAAATTTAAAAAAGACCAAAATTATGCTCTTTGGCAACCGTAATAGTAATATTTCAGTCAGAATAATAATTGATGATACACCAATTGAGAAAGTCAAACAAAATGCCTTCTTAGGAGTTATAATAGATGAAAAAACCAATTGGAAACCCCACATAAGTTACCTGAGAACAAAGGTTGCTAAATGTGTCGGAATGATGAAGCGAGCGAGTCCGCTACTGAACACAAATGCCCTACTCCTGTTGTATCATTCATTCATTATGTCATATTTATTTTATTGTATTGAAGTTTGGGGAAACTGTTACAAGTCTCACTTACAGCCTTTAGTCACTTTGCAAAAGAAGGCTATTAGGATTGTATCAAATGTTCACTATAGATATCATTCACACCCATTATTTTTAGACTTGGGACAACTCAAACTTCTAGACTTGATTCAATTTAAAACTGCTCAAATAATGTTTAGGGCATCGCAAAATTCCCTCCCACAGAGTTTGCAAACGCTGTTCCATGATAGAGATGCTCACCATCAGTATCAACTAAGAGGAAACAAACAACTATACTTACATAAATTTAGAACGACTTTAAAATCAATGTGTATCTCCGTGTGTGGAGTTACTCTGTGGAACAGTCTATCTGATGAAATTAAAACGTGTCCAAACCTGATTCAATTTAAAAGAGTTTATAAAAAAGAAATAATGAAGAAGTACAAGGAGGAAAGAGATTGATGCCCTCAGCACTGAGCAGTTGGAGGAGAGAGGTGTATGGTCAGGGAGGGAGGGTTTGGGCCTGTGTGTGTGAGTGTGTGTGCGTGTGAGTGAGTTGTCTTGTCCCATACCATTGGTGGTAGATGTTGTATTGTTCTTACTGTATGTACTGTACAGTAAACATTTGTATTATGTGTTTTTACCCAGCATGGTATTGTTTCCGTCTTATTGATTGTCCTGTGAGTCTGGGTGAGGGGGGTTGGATTAATATAAGCATTTTGCTTCCTCCATTTTGCTTTTTGCTTTTGTTTTGTTTTCTGTAAAATTGTGTGCAGGTTTTGAAATAAATATTTCATTCATTCATTCATTCATTCATTCATTCATTCATTCATTCATTTTTCATGTAATTATCTATGTATCAGACTAATGTACAATTACTTTATGCTCAAAGTAGAGACGCTTGCACCAGACTCTGATCAACAGTTGGATGTAGTCAAGTTAATTTCTGTTTCTGTTGCAAGTCTAGTAATTTTGAATAGATTCTCAGATCCTTTTTGTGTAAATATATTTAAAGATGGAGCATTGGCATGGAGAGCACTCCTCTCTCATGTACATTCTTAAGTCAATTTCTAAGCCTATGACAACAATTCAAAAACATGGTGAAGGTAAATATTCTTAAAAAGGTCCAATTTATTATTGGTTAACACTTTTGTTTAATTTGGAGCAACTGTAAAAATTACACAAAGTACCTTTAAGCGTAAATTCATACAGGGAGAGCAAAAGAGACGGCATGCCTACCATAATGGCTCCTCCCCCTCTGCACACTTGCGCTCAAGTTCAACATCAGCCTCAGCTGCTCAGTAACAAACCTGAGCGAGTCATCTCTTCATGGCTGCATTTAAATAGAGCCCCTCAGTTCTCAGCAGCTTCAGTGGCTGCAGCAACCCACCTCCTCCCCTTCACCACCTTTTCCGTAGAGTAAGTCATGTCTTCGGCTCAGCCCTCTTCGCCAACAGGTTCTAGGCCCGGGGAGGTTCTAGGCCCCGGGGGGTTCTAGGCCCCGGGAGGTTCTAGGCCCCGGGGGGTTCTCAAGCTCATAATTTCTATTAAACCCCCCCCTGCATACGTCATGCAGAAAGCTTAACAAACATTCACGTTCAAATAAATGTCTTAGTACCCAATGAATGAGTCTGGTGGCTTTAATCGTCTATTCATGCAATCTTTACAATAAACATACTAATGCAATCATTGTCTCGAGTCTTTCCAGATTCAAATGTGTGGACTATAGCATTTGCAATGCACAAGAATGGTTTTGGTTAGAGCCATCAGATCAACATAAGTGAAATAAAACCATGTGTGTGGAACCCTCACCTCGTCTCTGAAGGCGGCGGTTCCTCCTACAGCAGAGCAGAGCCACAGTGAAGATCAGAGCTGAGGTCAGGACCAGAGCCACCCACAGACCTGCAGGCAGCTCCCAGGGACACGCTGCACAAGTATTAGTAAATCAAAAATCAATAATTTCATAGAAAGAATAGCCAAAGTCTGTGAACTTTGGCTATTAATCAACCTAAAGTTTTTCAATAATAATGTGTCATACTCGTTGTGTCCTTGGGCAAGACACTTAACCCCACTTTGCCCAAAGCCCCCACTGAAAGATCAAGGCTGTGCTCACACTCAGAGAGCAGCCGTCCTCCTGTGGACTCACCACCTGCAGAGGGTCAGTGAGGGGCTGGTGCTACGAGACTTGGGTGGCATCTCTGATTGCCACCCCCCTGACCCAGAAATGGATTAAAGGGTAGAAAATGGATGGTATATTTTATTTTATTTTATATAATTATATTATATATATATATATCCATATATATCCATATATATCCATATATATACATATATACACACACACACACATACATACATATTGCGTAATTGCACTACAAATTATTTTGATAATAATAATAATAATTTTAATCCTCACATTTAAAGCGGCCACAAACAGCATCAGATTTGGTTGTTCCGGGAGTTAGGAGCTCTCTCCCAATGTCGTCACATCTACGAAACACAAGCAGAGGAACAATATGAATGTGTGAACTGATTTATGCTGGTTCCATCTGTATTTATTGAAGTGGTTCGGGCTGACCTGGTGTGGGGTGTGCAGGTGGAGTGGGCGTCCCACACGCTGCTGAAGGAGCCGCTCTCACACACAGAGCAGAGGGTGTCATTTGTCCGTGAGGCTGAAACATGGACAATTGTTACAATGAATTAAATATAGTAAATATAGTATTGAAGTGAATTCATAATGTAACTACATTTCTATTTTGATTTGAACAAAATAGTTTCAACAAGATTTTCCTCTGAAGCAAGCAGAAAAGAAAAGGTTGCCAAAAGAAAATATGAGCCAACACAGATGTTCATCTGCAAAAAAATGAACATCTATATTTTTCGATGTTCCAGGGCCTCAATGGAGGCTGTTTTTTGTTTGGGCTGAAACTAACACTTACAGTGCCTTGCGAAAGTATTTGGCCCCCTTGAACCTTTTGCCACAATTCAGGCTTCAACCATAAAGATATAAAAAATCAATTTTTTGTCAAGAATCAACAACAAGTGGGACACAATTGTGAATTGGAACGAAATGTATCGTATAATTTAAACTATTTTAACAATTACAAAACTGAAAAGTGGGGCGTGCAATATTATTCGGCCCCCTTGCGCTAATACTTTGTAGCGCCACCTTTTGCTGCAATTACAGCTGCAAGTCGCTTGGGGTATGTCTCTATCAGTTTTGCACATCGAGAGACTGGAATTCTTTCCCATTCTTCCTGGCAAAACAGCTCGAGCTCAGTGAGGTTGGATGGAGAGCGTTTGTGAACAGCAGTCTTCAGCCTTTTCCACAGATTCTCGATTGGATTCAGGTCTGGACTTTGACTTGGCCATTCTAACACCTGGATACGTCTATTTGTGAACCATTCCATTGTAGATTTGGCTTTATGTTTTGGATCATTGTCCTGTTGGAAGATAAATCTCCGTCCTAGTCTCAGGTCTTTTGCAGACTCCAACAGGTTTTCCTCCAGAATGGTCCTGTATTTGGCTCCATCCATCTTCCCATCAATTTTAGCCATCTTCCCTGTCCCTGCTGAAGAAAAGCAGGCCCAAACCATGATGCTGCCACCACCATGTTTGACAGTGGCGATGGTGTGTTCAGGGTGATGAGCTGTGTTGCTTTTACGCCAAACATATCCTTTTGCATTGTGGCCAAAAAGTTTGAGTTTGGTTTCATCTGACCAGAGCACCTTCTTCCACATGTTTGGTGTGTCTCCCAGGTGGCTTGTAGCAAACTTTAAACAAGACTTTTTATGGATATCTTTGAGAAATGGCTTTCTTCTTGCCACTCTTCCATAAAGGCCAGATTTGTGCAGTGCACAACTGATTGTTGTCCTATGGACAGACTCTCCCACCTCAGCTGTAGTTATCTGCAGTTCATCCAGAGTGATCATGGGCCTCTTGGCTGCATCTCTGATCAGTCTTCTCCTTGTTTGATTGAGATGAAAGTTTGGAGGGACGGCCGGGTCTTGGTAGATTTGCAGTGGTCTGATACTCCTTCCATTTCAATATAATTGCTTGCACAGTGCTCCATGAGATGTTTAAAGCTTGGGAAATCTTTTTGTATCCAAATCCGGCTTTAAACTTCTCCACAACAGTATCTCGGACTTGCCTGGTGTGTTCCTTTGTCTTCATGGTTCTCTCTGCGGTTTAAACAGAACCCTGAGACTATCAAAGAGCAGGTGCATTTATACGGAGACTTGATTACACACAGGTGCATTCTATTTATCATCATCAGTCATTTAGGACAACATTGGATCATTCAAAGATCCTCACTGAACTTCTAGAGTGACTTTGCTGCACTGAAACTAAAGGGGCCGAATAATATTGCCCCACTTTTCAGTTTTTTATTTGTTAAAAAAGTTTAAATTATCCAATACATTTTGTTCCACTTCACGATTGTGTCCCACTTGTTGTTGATTCATGACAAAAAATTTAAATGTTATATCTTTATGTTTAAAGCCTGAAATGCAGCGAAATGTTGAAAGGTTCATACAGGTGCCTTGCGAATACTTTCGCAAGGCACTGTATTTGATGATCCCCACGTGACCATAGATCTCAGAGATACATTTTGTGATAACCCTGTGTCATGTTGTGTTTTAACATTGAATGAACAATCACTAAAATAAGCAACAATTATTTAAACATTGAAAAGTTTGAAAAGTTAAGTTGTTACATATACCAAAGTAGAGTCTCTATATTTGTCCGGTGTAAAACGGGAACCTGAGTCATCATTACTCTTTGTTCGACCTTCAGAGAGTTGTCTTGAGTCTCACTTTAGGATAAATGTTTCTCTCAGTTTCACCCATTGTGCTGCTTCCTGTCTCTCATTAGTTCAGTTTTCTTTCTGAAATGTATCTTTAAGCAGCGTTTTCCGCTGCTGGGCCACTGAAGTGGAATAGCTACAGTGCACTGCAAAAAACATCTAAAATGTTTCTTGGGTTAATTCAACAGCAAGAAAAACTGATTTATTTTGATAGTATTTTGATGGAGAAAACAAACAAAACAATGCTCTATTATAAACCAGTTTAAGTGTTGAGTGGGTGACAAGTCAATACGAAGACAAAAATAATTGGGCTACAGTACAGTAACGCTAACATGTTTACAGGACTCTGTCTTAAAAATATCTTTGAGCACGTTAACACAGTTGGTCTGGTTCACTATAATAGGACCAGTCTGGTTTAAAAAAATATTAAACTGACTTAAGTGACAAGTGGACACATGTTTTAACTTTTATCTCCATGAATTAGTCCAGTTAAATGTCCGTGCGGACGGTTGTGCATATTGTAATGTGTTTCCATGGCAAAGATATGGAAAGAAAATAAATGTGTTTATTTTTGCAGTGTACAGGAAATCCAATAGTGAGTAAAAGGCTGGTACCTAAAGCCTGGACCCCCTGTCCCTCTGGGCAGCGCGTCACGGGGCGGCAGTGGTCACAGCTGGAGTCAGTGCAGTAATAACCAGTCACACACTCACACACTGTGTCCTCCCGGGCAGTACACTCACGGACCATCCTCTGTTTGATGTCTGAAAGCAAGAAGCCAGGATTAGTGACCGGTTTCACAGAACACACACAGGTGAAACACAAAAGTCATTCATACGCATCATCACTCAGAGTCTGGAAGAACACTTAGTTCAATGTATTTTGTGGCGGAAGATGTATACTGTAGATAATGATAATACATGAAACAAGTTCAACAGATTCAAATTCAAGCGATACAACAAAAGAATAAAAAACATCAAAGTACATCAAATATTTAAAAAAAAGATGAGAGGGTTAAGAGCTCATGAAGTATTAGAACAGCTTAAACAAGAAGGTTTTTTGGCCTTTTATAAGAGACTGTTACTGTTATATGGTAAAAATCTGTGTATTTTCATTTGTATTGCACAGTTCATATACAAGGCAACTCAAAGTACTTAAAATAGAAACAATCACGCAAGGCATTGAAACCATAAATAATCACAGTACTGAATCAAAGTATTGTTTATTTCCCCTGATGACGTCATTACGAGTAAAAAGTCTAGTGGGCGGGAACGGTAAGAATCATGATTATGCATCTCTGCAGAAAAAAAACTCTCACAATCTTCTCAATCTTCTAACCATTGGACAGTTGTTAATCATAGTACTATGTGCACTATCCGAATGACCATATTTACTCAGACTTGACAGTAAGAAGCAGAGGGAGTGAGTGACTTACTGATGTTGCACGTTCTACAGACTCGGCACTGGGTCATGTGATTAGCTGTGGCCATGAAGCGTCCGCGTTCACACTCTTTGCACTGCGTCTCTGCACCATGACCACAATCTTTCTCCTTATATTTGCCTAAAACAAAAAGGAGTTCAGAATCTATCAAGTCAAACAATAAGCATCAAAGTTGTGACCAGATTTTACAAAAAAAACGTTTCGAACAGCCCTCTTCACATTTGATATAGTTTTGGTTCAATCTAAACAAACAGTAACTGACCAAAACTACCAGGGATTAATATCCAAACTTATAGTAAACTTAATATTTTAATAAAATTCCCTTCACACTGTAAAAACTTAACTTTCCATTGAGAAAACCACTTTTATTCTGCCTCTGACCAGCTATTACTTAACCAAACCAAAATTAGTTTGACTTACAATAATTCAAGCAATATCTGATTTGTTTTTATTTCTAAAGTAATAGTTGCAATAGTCGTTTATCAGAATATTTCTTCTTGTTTCAAAGACGCAAAACGAATGGCAGATAATGTCACTTGTCATGTTAAATCTGAGAAATCGTGTATAATTGTAGTGCTCTCGTGATCACAAAGGAACACAGAGAAAGCACTGCTGACCCACCTGCCTCACAGCGGCGACAGCACTGGCCATCGCTGCTGAGAAAGAAGTCCTCAGTGCAGTTCCTCATCTGATTCCCTTTCAACACCTGCTTCTGCGTGAAAATCCTCCTGCTCTCGACTCTTCTCTTCAGCCTGATTTCAGTTCCCAAATTCTGCTTAATCCCAGCTGTACTTTTGCCCGACCCTGTTCTGTTGGAGCTCCTGTTCCCTGATTGTTCTGCAGCTTTATGACTTGTTCAGTGGAAAACCCCATTGGCTGAAAGCTGTTTTCCTCTTCATGGCGGCTTCCTGTTGCCTGTCGGTTTCCACGTCACAGACCCCGGCCTCGTTCTGGTAACTGCAAAAGATGACTGACATAAATGTCACGCAATGTCTGATGTCACATGACTTGTATATGTATGATGTATTTGCACAAAACAAATAATCTTGGTCATATTTTTGTATTTAATTCAAGATTCTTCAAACTTACTCAGAACATTTTTCTAATTACAAAAGTACAAAAGCCATTGTGGCTTTCTCGGTGTGGAGTCCCGATTTTGATTAGGAAACCGTGAGAATGAATTTAAAAACAAGTCAAAGTGTTGAAGAAAGTGTTTTGATGTATTTTTGTAAACATTTATATTTTATAGTTTAAAAAAAACAGTCAAAAGTATCTATGTCACTGCACTTGAATACTGCCTTGTTTCATCACATTTTGTGTTTCCAATGTAATGTGCAAAAAATGTACAAAATACAACCATTTAAAAATGTTTTACTGATAATTATTAGTAATACAACTAATTATAATGTTTAGAACAAAGGCATAGTTCCTAAACCTGTGAGTGTAAAACCCATGACCATCTGGGGGAAATATTCAATATCCCATGAAACGTCTCCATTCATAAAGTGCTCATGTGATCGTCTGATCGAGTTTGTACAAGAAATTCAAATTCATTTATAAAAATTGCAAGGTAAGTTTTTTGTGTCGCAAAGTTCATACACAAAGCAACTCAAAGTGCTTAAAAAACCGGTAAAATTAATTAAAATCACAGTGCATTAAATAGAGCACAGCTAAACAGAACTGATTTAACTTGGATTTGAACACATTTTCAGGAAGACTGTTCCGGCTTTTAGCTGCGTAAATCTGAAAAATCTACAAACCTATCACAGAGCAGGTCATTTCTCTTTTCTGTAGCGAACAAGAAGTGCACAATGAAACATTTCCTCTGTTCTCCGCACACTTCCCGACTTAGATACACTCTTGACCCTATTGTTTTAGAGTATACCAATCCCACAGAATGCTATGCAAACACATAAATATCTTGACACCCATTATTAATAAATTGACATCCTGACAATCCAAAAAGGAAAAGATTCAAATCAAACTCTCGCCAACGCCTCACAGAAAGAAGGTCCTCTTTAAGAAGGCACTAAAATATAGAAAATATTATCATTATTTCTATGTCTCCAGGAATGTGCCACATTATTATATTCAAATCTAAAGCTCGGGTACATTTTATTATGTGGTTTGAAAGAAATCGAACTAGTTTCCTCATGGATTTATCACTAGTTTTCATAGATATGTTTAGATCAGCATATTCAGACGGAACAGCAAAAATACAGGACCACCCTCACTCAGCCAATCAGATCTTTGATGTAGGTGATGTAGCATGTTGGTGTTTTGTAAAAGGAACTGACAGGAAGCTACATTCGCTTAATGGCAACAACTGACACCTAAGGCTTAGAAGGTTCTTTTAATACGTCAAAAAAGTAAATAAAGCTAGTACTGCTTAATTCCCTGACATGTTTCGGCAGTAGACTTCCGCCTCTGTCAGAAGTGACATGTGATGGTGTGACACGTGACCCGTCTCTTATCAAATGTTGTTTCCAGTTGTGGCCAGTCTGACAGATCTCACCTTATGATCCTCTGATTAGTGAGTAATCTGCATTTCAACAGCACATGTCACAGGCTATCATGTTTTGGACCGATTACCGACATTTAATCCATTCACATCACACACAGTGATGACAGAAGCGAGACGCCGAGCACACTGGCGCATCGAAGCCTACCATCTGTGCACTCAGTCATTACATTCATTGTAGGTTTCTAGGGAAAACTGGAGCACTCAGAGGAAACCATACAAACACAGGGCGAACATACAAACTCCACACAGTCCTGTCTGGAGGTGGAATTGAACTGTTAGTATTAGATAGCAATATGGCCTACGTGCAGGACTGTACAAGGACTCTGATTATTTTGACTATGATGTGACTGTCTCTGTGTGACACGTATGTCTTTCGATGTGTGACGTGACAATGACTATATAGGAAAGGAAACAATGGAAACCACTGGAACTTGAGAGAAACTTAAATAAACTTCCAGAGTTTGGCGCACCACGATCCGTCTCTGTCTGCTTCATCCCTGACAGAACCTTGGATCCCCTTGCTAAGAAGCACAAATTCTAATCGATGCGCCTCTGTGTCAAAATGTGATGAAAATAATAAAAGCTAAACCAAATTGGGGCATCTTACATATCATTACCCTTTCTTTATGTCCCTTATTCTTTACGGTAGTGTGCTGTGTCATAGATCCATGCCCGTGTCTGAGTCGCTGGATCTGGAGTATCATGGAGGCGGAATGCTCATTTCAGACCAAGGGATCCTGACAGCGGCTCATATTGTCTGTCTGTATTCTATTTCATATGTTGCTTCAGCCCTTTAGGTTTCGCTATTCCACATCTCTTGGAAGCACCGCTATCCGCCCTGAAAAGATGATCAACGATCAACCGCTCCAATCACCTCTATGTCCTGGTATAGGCCAGTCCCCCTGCACCATAGCTCGTTTCCTTTCTCTCTCAGCTTGCTGTGGATCTGCGACCCTGTGCTCTCCCAAGCTTACCGCCACAAATCCTACGTCTTCTGCCTGGGTTGGCGTCAGGATGTGCAGGAAAGCTACACTTGTGTGGCCTGCTCATGGATCTATAATAATATCTGGATAGGTACTAGCTTATAGCTGTCCCACTAATGGGCACAGGTGACTAAATTCATGTGGGCTACCCAGAAAAAGTTAAACTCAATGTAAAATAAAACAGCTCGACCTCAGCTGACAAAGAACCTACATCTTGCATAAAGGTAGGATTTTATGGGGATTTTCTTGTTAAATCCTTTTGTTTTCTATAACTTAAGGTTAAGTAACCTTAAGTTCTTCTTCTAACTTCGTTCGGTGTTTCACTATGGGAGATATGGACAACTCCCGTATTGCAAGTAATGCTCCTGAAGCAAAGGACCACCGAGGCGCCAGACGGTGACCTCAAACAGTACCAGAAGCACTTGGCTCCAAGACTACCTGAGCCAAAGAGGAGCCAGAGAGTCGATAAAACCGAAAAAAAAATAGTATGCGGCGATGCCCAGCTGGCCGCCGCACATATATCCTGGACAGATACACCTCGGAACAGGGCCCAAGAAGTGGCAACACCCCTGGTGGAGTGTGCCCTCCACCCCTGCGGTGGAACTATACCCCTGCAGGTATAGGCCAGAGAAATTGCCTCCACAATCCAGTGAGAGATATTCTGACTGGACACCGGCCTTCCCAAATGGGTAGTAGCCCAGGACACAAACAACTGGTCGGCTTTCCTTAAACCAGCTGTCCTGTCAACATACACCCGCAGTGCGCGCCCTGGGCACAAAGAGTCCAGTAGCCGTTCCTCCTCAGAGGAGAAAGGCGGAGGATGAAAGGCATTAAGCTCCAGTGTAGGGCAGCTATATGCAGAATCCATCTTCGGTACAAAAGCTGGGTTAGGGCGCAAGCGCACCTTAGATAACCCCAGCGCAAACTGCAGACATGAGGGGCTGACAGAAAAAGCCTGTAGTTCACTCACGCGCTTCGCAGACGTCAGAGCAAGAAGCAGAACTGTCTTATAAGCAAAATACTTCAAGGCCACAGCCCCTAAGGGCTCAAAAGGGTGATGACAAAGGGCATCAAGCACGACCGACAAATCCCACAAGGGAACCAGGGACTTAACCACTGGAAGTTTACGTTGTGCACCCCTCATGAAGCGACAAACTAGAGGGTGCTGTCCCACAGTTTTGTCACCGATACCAACGTGGCACGCCGATATGGCAGCCAAATAGACCTTTATAGTAGAAAAAGCCTTACGCTCTTCTAACAAATGTTGCAAAAAACAAGACGTCAGACACGGAGCATTGGAACGGGATGATCTGTCTAGCCCCACACCACTCCTCAAAAACCCGCCACTTGCAGCTATACAAAGAGCGAGTGGAGGAGGCCCTAGCACACTGTATAGTATCTATAACAGGCGCCGGAAGACCCGTGGCATTCAAGTTCCACCTTTCACGGGCCAGGCCCAGATTGCCACCCGGTCTGGGTGAGGATGAAATATCTCCCCGCCTGCCTGGCATAACAGGTCCCTCCGCAGAGGAAGAGGCCATGGGTTGTCCCATAAAAGCTGTATTATCTCCGCCATCCATGGCTTGGACAACCAACGAGGAGCAATTAAAATGAGCGACAGCCTCTGTTCTCTCACCAGCTGCCAGCCTGTGCAGCTGCAGAGAGCGGGTACCACCCTGGCGATTTATGTACGAGACAACTGTTGCATTGTCTGTTTTCACCAAAACATGATGGTCCTGAAGAAAAGGCAGAAAATGCCTCAGAGCTAGATACACAGCCCAAAGTTCCAGCACATTGATGTGCCTCTGGGCTATATGTGGGTCCCAGGTCCCATTCACCGTCCGACCGTTTCTCTCCTTATATAGTCAGCAGGAGAGAAATAGTAACCACCAAATAGTAAGATGCTAGTATAAGCTCTCAGTTTTACTGTTGTTCATCCTGTCATCTGTCAGGACAAGACCTTAAGCTGAACATGAGCCAAGCAGCTTTTTGACTGTTTCAAACCTGCAGTCTGAGGGCTCCTCGTTTTTCCTCATATACCTGAAGCATCTAGCTCTAACCACTGTCCCTCCACAATATGGTTAGAGCCACCCTGTGTAATTTTTACAGCTGCTCCATGTGAAAAAACATGTTAACTAATAACAAATGTGACCTTTTTAAGAATATATACCTCCACCATGTTTTTTTAATTGTATTCAATTGAACTTATAAGTGTCCATGAGAGAGGAGGACTATCCGTGTAAATGCGCCATCTTGAAAACCGGTGGTGAATATGGACAAAAAGCGAGAAACGCGTTTTCGTTTCACATAATCTACTGATATTGATTTCACCGTGCCTTCACAATTTGGAAGAAGGAACCATGGAGGACCACAGTTATGTAAAAGAACGATCGGAACAACAATCTTTTAGATAAATAATTATGTAGAAGTCCAGCGTCATAGCAGCGAAGTGTCAACGTCGCAAAGCACACGCACAAAGACAGCGTTAACAACAGGAGGAACATTGTGTATTTTGTACACAACAGACTCACACGTGAACAATACGTAACTTTTTCACACTGACAATAAGTACGAGGCAGAATCTGCAACACAGTCTCACGATGTTCTGACCCGATCCAAGCGCAGTCCAACTACTATGTCACAAGTTTCAACTAAACTTATTCAGGACAAGCATCAAAGAAAACACACAGAATCCCCACAAAACGATCGCCAGAATAATTTATCAGCAGCGACAGTGAATGTTCTGTTGATACAGATAGGCCGCTGTGGCTAACGCTAATGCTAACATGAGCTTTGCCATGTCCTGCTGCTGCTGTGAATATCTCCTGCTTCTTTGATCACCACAGTTTTAACCTCACACAGACTTTATTCCTCCATGTGTCTCTTCTCTTCACACTGCGTTTGTAAAACTATATATTATAATAGATCCATGGTAAAACTCAGTAGAGCCTCTGTGTAGGGTGCTGCCCGAGACATTTGGAGAGATCCGGTCATTTATCAAACTAAAGTATTCTTTCCTTGGCAGTCTGGTGAAGGACTGAGAGTTGAGGAGCACTGTCAAACAGTATAGGCAAAAGTCTCCTTAACTCTACAGGCACCCGTACTCAAATCTCAATATATGAGACTGCAATATAAGATCTCAACGCTAGAGGCACTAGAAATTACACAGTGTACCTTTAAGGTAGATCTAGCATCATCTTTTATTACCAACATTTAGCATGTTTTCTTTCACCAATAGACAAACATATATCATCATGTTCTAATAAAATATGAAAGTCTGTTTTTTTACAATAGTAAAGCACCCAAATTACATCAGACCAGGGGGGCTTGGAGCTAGGTGTGGTCTGGGCTGTGATTGGCAGCTCGCTTGTCACACAATGAATAATCAGACTGTCATTGCTACTTAGTTTACACACCAGAAAGTCTCATTCCAGCCTTGTTTACACACTGAGATAAGTGTAGAGCTACACACCTGAACAGACGCCACAGAATTATCTCAGCAGTTTTTGCGGTCAAATGATGTAATTTATTTTTTATCCACTAGATTTCGCCAGAATACTCCTGCTCGCTGCTGGGGCGTGTGTGACACTGGCGCAGAGCCAACGGAGAGGCCAGGCCATGGATCTGGGCCAGGCACGAAATTCAAATGTAGTGCCACCAAAAAGGCAGAGAGGGCGCCACACAGACGGTTTTAGGCTAAAAAGTGAAGTTTTATCTAATTTGCACAACAATTTAAAAATAAAATGACCAGGGCATGTAGAGAGCACTAAAAGAAACATAATTATGCAGTTTATGAGTTAAAAAAGAGTTGATTTGGGGTTTAGTTGTGCTGTAAGCATTTTGAGTATGAACTTTCCTTGCCTCTTTTACTTCTCCAAATAATTGAGCACATGTTTTTCTCTTCTCCTTGTAGTAATCTTTATCGTGTCATGATGTTCATTTATCTGGTTTTATTCTGATATAATTTTGTTCTTGTGAGTTTTCCTTCCTGTGTCTTGTTGATTGTTTGCCCCACCCTGATGTGTTACACCTGTGGAGCCACAACACCTGTGTCTACTTTATTTAGACCCTGTTCCCGGTTTCAGTTTTGACTTTTTGTGGCATTTATTGATTAAATCATATAATTCTTGCAGTTCTGCTTTTGGGTACATCCTTGTTTATCTTCGACATTATGTATGCCTTTCACAAAGCTCGTCCTGAATTCAGCTAAAGCCTGAGAATCACGACAAAATAATCTAAATTTGTGTAAATAGTTTCTCACAACAGCGGTTTTTGTAAGTAGTAGTAGTAAGTAATCTTTATTTATATACCGCCTTTTCACTGCAGATTTGAGTCTCAAAGCGGTTTACAATTGTTAATTTTGGGCATTTATCTCTCACTCCACACAGAGATGGGAGCAGGGTCGCCAGTACAGGAGGCACATGCCAGAACTATTGTGCATATTTTTAGTGGTAGGGGAAACCGGAGTACCCGGAGGAAACCTACGCAGACACGGGGAGAACATGCAAACTCCACTCAGAAAGGCCCTGGTCCGACTGGGATTCGAACCCAGGACCTTCTTGCTGAGAGGCGAGAGTGCTATCCACTCAGCCACCGTGCCATTTTTGTATTTGTCCCTTTTGTTTTGCTCACTTTTTTCATGGTCACGCAGACGCTACAAAATACCACAACAATCCAGCAAGTGCAACACGTTCCATGAAAAGATACAAGAAGATTATAGATAATTTAATAAATATCTATGTAATCAATAAAACAAAAATTAGGATTTTTTTGTTCTAATTATAACACGCGTCCTGAACTTGGGTGTATGTTTTTGTTAGAGTTTTTGAAAAATGAATTGAAAAAAATGTATTAAAAAACCAAATAAAAATGCATCAATACATGAACGTGTATATAAATCCACATAAAATACTACTATGGTGACAAATACGACGTCAACACAGATCTTTTGTCAGTCTAATACGTCATCCTTCATTTCCTTCCACCGTATTCTCTGATATACGGCTGGGCAATATATCCCGCCATGAAAGGAGATTTGGTCTGCGAAGGATTTATAAATATCTTAACTACTGTGCAAATATTTGTCCCTAATCATTAACCCATGAGAAAGTTTTTGCATGATTAGCAGCTGGTCACGTGACTGATGAACCACTTTAAAAGGAGGATGGACGAGAGGCAGAGCAGACACTTGGATCCCAACCTGCAAAGAAACCAGAAAAACACCAAATAAATACTAAAAACAATCATGAAGACTGCTTTGATCGCTGTTGTGTTCCTCGTACTCGGACTTGGCTGGACCTCCGAAGCTGTACAAGTGCAGGTAATTAATATAATATAATTTAGTAACTTGCTGAGACATTTACTTGTATGGCTTGGATTGGTTTGAACATCGTAAAATTCGTCAGACTCAAAAGATGATAAAAGAACACAGCCATTGGTCCATAAATAATTTCCTCAATGTGTAACTTTTTTTTTCTTCTCAATAATTTATCACATGCTCCTTGATGTAAGCCTGAATTTGATTTAAAGCTGGGGTACTTCACATTCACACCACAAATTAGAAGTATCAATTATTTGCACTTTTCACATGCAGTAATTTTTTTTGCCTCCCTCACTGAATTACTAGTTAAAAATCCTAGTCGAATTAATATGCATAGCTTTCTGAATAAAGCTGTTTGAGCTAAAAAACATTACCTGCACAATTTTATTTGCCAGATGATGCAAAATGTGCTCAAATTATGACTCATTTTGGCACACATGAGCAATTTTTGACCTGTATTTAATCAATTTTTTGTAATGCTGCATTTAATCAAAAAAGAGAACTCATTTGTTTTTCTGCAAGTGTCTTTATCTGGCTTTTATCTGGCAGGAGGGCGGCATGTACTTCTCCCTGGAGGCTGTAAAAAGACTCCAGGAACTCACAAACAAAATGCTGACGGCCAAGAACCCACACGCCAGGCCCAGTACTTCCCTGTGCTTGAACCCCCTGTTGCCCATGGAGTTCAAGCAGTTGTGCAAACAGAAGGGAGGGTCTGCGTCTGTGGCCCGACTGGGTAAGGCTTAATGCAGGTTTACAGAGCATGTGCATCAGTGTGGTGGGAATGGAGTAAGAGATGTAGATGGCTTGTCAACATTTATAGCTGGGATGATGTGAAAGTATTCATAAATAATTGTACATGGTCAAGTTATTTGACTTAAATCAGCATTAATGGTTATGGGCTACCAAGGCATGTTTCACATCTATTTTCTCAGGTTAACAACCAAATTTGGCAACATCTTAATTTGAGCCAATGGGACAAATTATGTTTTCATTGCAAACAAATGTCTCCATTGGAATGAGAATTCCGCAACAGTTTTTGAAATGAAGTAAATGGCTTTGCCAAAGGTCCTACAGGCAAATCTTGTTTTAAAACGGTCAGAATGTTCTCAAATTAAGACAACCCACTCTATTTAAGCAATTACCTCCATTTTATTTATTTTTTTGCAGTGAAGTCATATACTTTAAATTTGAGTTTTGGTTAAATCAAAACCAGAAAATACTGTGAAACTCGTGTAACATAAGTCATGTCAAAGTAACTATATTCTGACCCCTATAGAGTTTGACACCCCCGACATGGGTACTTACAGGAGCCATGGTTACAGAATGTTTATGGCAAACAATTGGAAATTGGCCTAAGACAGTTTTACGATCATCAAATCTGTTAGAGACAAAAAGGCACTCTAGTTAGTATTTAGTGTAATTAATCACGGTCTCGTTCCACTATGACATGGGGAACGAGACAGTTGGAATCTTCATAAATTAATATAATCTACTATCAAATATTGTCTTTGTAAATCAAAGAAAATGATAGTGATCAAATAGTATAATCTTGTGCACTAAGTGTTCCCGTTCTCTCTCCTCAGCGTTGATTCCAGTGGATGTGTGTGAGATCTGTTCCTTCGCCGCCTGCACCGGCTGCTAAACAGATCTATACGAGGAGTACATATTTCACTACTCTCCAATGATCATGGCTTGCACTGTTACTTTTCTAACATTTATGTACTATTGTTACATTCCCATGTTGCCTGATTTTAAATACTGAGTAAATGTTCTTTGTATCTTTGTTCCATTGTTGTAATAAAAAGCTGCATATTGAAAGCCTTTTTACCCGACCTGGTTTTGTAAACTCTGCACTTTTAGGTCAGGCTGCCAACACACATGGAGTGACATGTAATCCAGGAATAAATGGAGATGCTGCTTATCTTTAAAAAGTCCAAGATAGTGGAGACAATCCAAATGACATACATGAGGAAGGGAAAGTGGATTTAAGATGACATGGAGGACCCAAAACTTCTGGAGAGAATACTGTGGCTTGCGTGGTAGCAAGAGGGCCTTTGAGTGTCCAGGTTCCTCCTACCACTAAACATGTACAATAGGGCAAGTTTATTTGAATGTAGCTATTGTCAATGCCACCGAGGGTAGGCCTAGGACCATACACGGGTTTAGCTTTTCAAAGCGTTGGCAGACAACAACCTTATTACAAAAGTGCAAGGTTTATTCTGTTTTATAACCGTTTTGTTTTTTAAGAATTCTAATCAAAAGCACAACATGCAAAGAGGGGAAAAAAAACAAATGAAACACAAGCCACGTCTTCACAGTAAAAAATGTACAGAATTTACAGCTGGGTGTCCAGGCGCTTCCAAGCCTAGCTGTGTGGTTACCAGTGTCCACAGATGGAGAGGTTATGGCTTGTGAGGTCAGTCCAGGACAGCGGAAGCAGGAGTTGCGCCGGTGGAAAAAGCGCTTTGAATTTGTAGTGGGCCGATTAGCAGTCTCCAAACTGCCGCGGGAAGTGCAGCTCAGTCCCGCTGGAGTGCGGGGAAGCAGGGGTTGGACCACTATAAATTAGAATTTGGCAGACATCAGGCAATTGGCAACTCACCAATCGGAAAAGCACCGCTCTCCGAGGCCCCGAACAAGTGCGCTCTCGATCTCCGCTGTGCGCAAGTGTGCACCACAAAGCTCAATCTGGATCTAAAAGCATTCAGTGAAATAAGTTCAGATCATTTCCAGTCTTTTTGCAACACGTTCCATGTAGAAGGAGCAGCAAATACAAAAGCCTCTCCCCAGTTCTGGGCAAAAGGAAGAGAGCAACAAAAGATCATTTGATCCAAACCATATGAACCAACATGTCTTTGTGTGAGTAAATGGCAGATGTAAGAGGGCAGCAGACCAAGCCTTATAAACACAAGTGTAGTGTCCAAACCTTCTGCTGGACTCATTCACATTGGTGAGTCAAGGCTTTGCAAATTGTAATGAATTGAACATTTTAATTGAATCATTATTTAAGTATAGTTTAGTTTTTTCCCCCCTATATTTAAGTCTTATTGTTGAAACTGTGTAAAATGTTAGTTGTGTGGCTGACAATATTAAATATACTTCTTTAGGAATGAAACCTCTGCCTTGTTTTTGATGAATACAATAGGCTTATTACGCTACTGTGTAGTGTTGGTCATTTGTGGTGGTACTTGGAGAGGCAAGTATTTTCTGAGGTGGTACTTGGTGTAAAAAGTTTGAGAACCACTGGTACAGCACAAGGCAAGTGCTGAACAAAATAAGAAAGCATTGAAATCATAAATAATCACAGTACATTAAAAAGAAATATATCGCTGTCATAACCTGGCTCAAGGCCATGACAAATATGGACGCAGACACCGTAAATGGATACTTAAAGGGTGTTTATTAAACGAAGATTAACCCAAAGTACCAAAGTAACAATGATAGTGATGTGTGACTGTATCAGTGGTGTATGCGAGTGAATGGTTGTGTGTTCGTATGGTGCGATGTGAAGTGTGATGCAGAACAAAACCATAACGGGAACAGAAAACAAAGTGGTGTGGCACAGAACGCAGGCTGGGAGAGAGTGAGGCTGTCAGCAGGCCGGTCCATAAATAGGCGTGGCGCCACGCTCCAAGGTCCGCCCACAGCTCCACCTGTACAGAGGTAGATGGCAGTACAGAGCACGACCACAGAGAGGAGGAAGAGGTCGTGACATCGCTCAGTTGTATGCACATCTAAACAGAACTGTTTTTAACCTGGTTTTAAATATTGTCAGAGAGGAGGCCTGTCTCACTTTCAGGAAGACTGTTCCAGATTTTAGCAGCATGAATCTGAAAAGCAGCCTCCCCATGTTTAGTCCTGACTCTGGGCACTAACAGGAGTCCAGTCCCTGTGCTCCTCAGAGTCCGGGCTGGTTCATATGGGACTAACATAATATATTTTGGTGCGAGGCCATGGAGAGACTTGTACACAAGCAGAGCTGTTTTAAAGTCTATTCTCTGAGCCACAGGAAGCCAGTGCAGAGACCTGAGGACTGGACTAATATGGTCGTACTTCCTGGTTCTAGTCAGGACTCGAGCTGCTGCATTTTGAATGTACTGCAGCTGTTTTACAGCCTGTTTGGACAGACCTGTGAGCAGGCCATTGCAGTAGTCTAACCTACTGGAGACAAATGTACGGATAAGAATCTCCAAGTCTGCTTTAGACACTATGTTTTTGATCCTGGCAATGTTTTTTTAGATGGTAAAAAGCTGCTGATGTTACTGATTTGATGTGGCTATTAAAATTTAAGTCCAGTATTACCCCTAGATTTCTGACCTGGTTTGAGGGTTTTAGGGAAGGAGAGTGTAGGTGACAAATGACGCACTCTCTTGGTTTCTGGGGACCAAAGACAGTCATTTCGGTTTTAAAGATTTCATGACACTTTGAAGCAACTGTGGTTAAAGTTCTAACTCATCATTCTAACAATATGCACAAGCCAGTACTTTTCCACAGCATGTATTGATTTCTGAAGGCCAAGCTATACGGCATTGTGGCGAAAGCTAATTGGACGGTGTTCATTCCTCCGCTGTATATTATCACTTGCAGTCTGTAACATCCTTGTTCGTGTTCATGCTGTCTCTACCATAGACAATAAAATGTGTCTTCTGTCTGAATTGAAAGACACGATCCCAGACTTTGTCATCTTCTTCACGGTTTTGTCTGTGTTTAGCTGGAGAAAGTTATTTTGCATCCACTCACTGATCTGTTGGATACAGTGAAGGAGTGAGTCCACTGGTCCATGTTCTCCTGCAGTCAGTGAGACATAGATCTGAGTGTCGTCTGCATAGTTGTGATAGGACACTTCGTTTCTGCGTATTAACTGACCTAACGGCAGTAGTCTGAATAGTGAGTTGGTGTTGGTTGGGTCTTTGCTGTGCCAGTTTGTTGTCGTCTTTCCTTCTGTCATCACTGTGTATTGAACAATATTTGAACTCTGAACATTGCAAGCACTTTGGGGGACCTTTGTCTGAAATATCCATCCATCTTCTTTCGCTTCATCTGTCGCGGGGGCAGCTGTCTACGCAGACCCCCAGACTTCCCTCTCCACTTCCTCCAACTCATCAAGGGGGACCCCAAGGCGTTCCCAGGCCAGCTGAGAGACATAGTCCCTCCAGCGTGTCCTGGGTTGTCTCCTCCAAGGAGGCATCCGGAACAGATGCCCGAGCCACCTCAATTGGTTCCTCTTGACGTAGAGAACCTGCGGCTCTACTTCAAGCTTCTCACCCTATCTCTAAAGGCGCGCCCAGCCACGAGGAAGTTCATTTCGACCGCTTGTATCCGTGATTGTGTTCATTCGGTCATTACCCAAAGCTCATAACCATAGGTGAGGGAGGAAACGAAGATTGACCGGTAAATCGAGAGCTTTGCCTTTCGGCTCAGCTCCTTCTTTTCCACAACGGTTCGATACAGCGACCGCATCACTGCGCACGCTGCACCGATCCGCCTGTCAATCTCACGCTCCATCCTCCCCTCACTCGTGAACAAGACCCTAAGATATTTGAACTCCTCCACTTGAGGAAGGACCTCTCCACCCACCTGGAGAGGGCAAGGCACCTTTTTCCGGTCGAGGACCATGGCCTCAAATTTGTAGGTGCTGACTTACATACACATACATTCCTCAAATTGTGAATTCCTGCACAAGGCTTAACTTGCAAAAAGAAGAGAATTTGTTAAGACATCTCAGCACTCTGCCTTCATGAGGCTTTGAGGAGGATGGGCTCCAGGTCGTCATCTTTAACAATGTGAAGACTTTTACAGTGCACCAAAAAGATCAGATTCACCCAACTCTACATAGCACACGCTACCAACTTCATTTGGCCACCAGGCGGCACTGTGGGTAAGTAAGTAATCTTTATTTATATACCGCCTTTTCACTGCAGATCTGAGTCTCAAAGCGGTTTACAATTGTTAATTTTTGGGCATTTGTCTGTCACTCCACACAGAGATGGGAGCAGGCAAGATCTATTGGACATATTTTTAGTGGTAGGGGAAACCGGAGTACCCGGTGGAAACCTACGCAGACACGGGGAGAACATGCAAACTCCACTCAGAAAGGCCCTGGTCCGACCGGGATTCGAACCAAGGACCTTCTTGCTGAGAGGCGAGGCCATTCTCATATGAGAGACAAAACAAGGTGGCACAGGTGCTGCCAGGTTTGGAGATAAAAGGCTTGCTCTTCTGTCAATAACTGCAGAAATGTATTGTGTTGGAATGTTGGTACCACTGTCTGGTAACTGTAATCCTCTGGTCAGGAGGGCCAGCTCTGCTCTGGGCTGCTCCCTGGACTCTGTGGAGGAGGTGAGGGACAGGAGGGGGCTAGTCAAAGTCACTTCCATCATAATATTAATTAGTAGATAGTATTATATTGATCCCCATGTCCGCTTCCCATTCGTACCACCTGACACCAGCAGGGATCCCACGTATTAGGGTTTTTCATGGACCTATAAGCGGGTTTTTGTGGGCTTTGTGCGCATGTGCGATGACCGTAGTGACACATGCGTTTTTCAGCTTTGACATGTATTAGGGATGGGCGATACCAGTGATTTTGGATTCGATCCGATACCAAGTAATACCTGGGGCAAAAGGGTCGATATCGATCCGATACCGATACCGGAAGTAGTTTTATTTTTTATTTTTAATATATATATTGGATCAACAGCTGAACAAAACAGTCTTCTACATGGCTTATATGAACAAAAGGGGTAATTTATCAATACAGGTGCTTAATAGCAAGTGCAAGATGAAAAATAAATATGCTTTTTTGTAGGTATTATGGTATAAGGGATCCAGCGGAGTTCATCCCTCAAATACAATACAATACAATACAATTTATTCTTGTATAGCCCTAGGTCACAACAGAAGTCATCTCAGAGGACTTAACAAAACCATTGAAATCACCAACACAGGTCAGAGAATCAACAGTTAAAACACATGAAGAATACAGTATAAAGCACACACAGAAGAAAATGTCCATACATGTTGTAGAATGCTAAAGTGTCCTGATCATCACCAATCCTTTCTGTTGGACACTAACTGTCCAACAAGACCCTCCTGCATCGACAAGGAAAAACTCTTAAAAAACCCAGTGGGAAAAAGTGAGAAACCTTGGAGGAGAACTAGGGAAACCCACAGGGAGGGAGACCCATATGAGAAAGGGATCCGCTCCTCCGGACGGACAGACTAATGATCCAGGACCTAAGCTAGCTACAGAACGTGGACCAGTGGACGCTGAACGTGGACAGGTCCGGTGCAGGACTGAAGCACTCCCAGGCGGGTCGGGCGGGGCAGTCCGCAGGTGTAGATGGTTAGTGCAAATTGAACACTGAACACGTACATTGATGTACACATTTCCCCTTCATATTTACTTTACTTGTATTAGATCAAATGTAAAGCCAGTAAAGTACCCACATGTTTTCTAGCACAGATTGGGACTTTTTAGGTAACATACATCAATAAAATGTATCACAGCATTTGACCATTGTTTAATATTGCACATCGACCAGTAATGCTCATGTCTTTTGGTTATCTATCAAACAAGTTTTACCTGGATATACCCTGCCTTTGTGAAACGCCTCTTGTAATGTACTTTGCCTCGGTGCTGCTGCTGAACTGCTTTCTCCTCCCGCTGCCTCAGTCACAGCTCGTTTCTTCTGTAACTCTTCGTGCACCGTCGGATGAACGTTTTTTAAATGTTTCGTTAGATTGGTGGTATTGCCACAATATTTCACAGTCTTGTCACACACATCGCATCTTGCATCGCTGCTGTTAAGCAATTGAAAATGACTCCAAACAAGACTCCTCTTACGCTCGACGCCATGGCCATGTTGCTTCACCTCCTGCATGCCGTCACTGTGTTTATTTGGAGGTCCGGCTCACGGAGCACATGTGAGGAAAGGAGGGGACGGAGGGGGCAGACGCCAGCAGCAGCTTGTGTTGTGCAGATGGCGGAATGAAAAGTAGTTCGTGCTGGCGCTGCGTGAGTGCAGAAAGCGGAAGGAAAAGTCGTTTGTGTGTGCAGAAAATATAGGATTATTACAGAAAAATAAAATATATTAATTTAATTAGAAGTATCGATATTTTAACTTGAGGATCGATCCTTAAATTTGAGCCACCTGGATCGAAATATCGATATTTTGGTATCGATCCGCCCATCCCTAACATGTATTTGATAATGATCTAATATAAATAATTAGCTCTGTAGGACATCTGCATTTTAGGCTGTTATTTTATGGACGGTAACACACGCCTACTCGCAAAACCAAAAGTGAAAGTCAATTGAACCTTTCACTTTTGATTCTTTGACCTGCACTCAAACTAACAAATAATGTTGTTAGTTGCTTTGTTTGGATACTTTGTGTTGCGCGCATATGGTAAGAGCTATTTATGAACTTTGTTTTAAAGCCCATGGAGGAGAATTTGTCTTTTTTTATTTTTTAGCTACGACAATGTTGTACTTGTTATCTCTTTGTAAAACCTATTTTCAGAAGTGGGGAGACTATAGTTTTTGGATAGCAAAGAAAGGTGTTTCTTTAAAAAGTGTTTTTGAAAATGGTAAAAACCACCAATTGTATTGTATTGTCTGTCATTTGGGACATGCGTGTGTTGTGCCAGTGATCTAACTGAAAGATACGACATTCTGTACCTTTACTTGCTCCAAACACATCCAGTTTTTAATGAAAACAAGCAATTCAAGATACAGTTAATGATGTCATAGCTCATCCATTTATTTACTACTACTTCATTTATTTCCTATTTCCATCTTATGTATGTCACCAGTATTTGATAGCCCAATTTCAATGTAAGAGCCAACCCCTCTCTTATATCATAGGCAAGGCAAGGCAAGGCAAGGCAAGTTTATTTGCATAGCACAATTCACACACAAGGCAACTCAAAGTGCTGAACAAGGTAGCATTAAAATCATAAATAATCACAGAACATTAAAAAGAAAGATAAAAACATAAAATCCCTCAGTTGTATGCACAGCTAAACAGCACCGTTTTTAACCTGGTTTTAAACATTGTCAGAGAGGAGGCCTGTCTCACATCTTCAGGAAGATTGTTCCAGATTTTAGCAGCATGAATCTGAAAAGCAGCCTCCCCATGTTTAGTCCTGACTCTGGGCACTAACAGGAGTCCAGTCCCTGTGCTCCTCAGAGTCCGGGCTGGTTCATATGGGACTAACATGTCACTAATATATTTTGGTGCGAGGCCATGGAGAGACTTGTACACAAGCAGAGCTGTTTTAAAGTCTATTCTCTGAGCCACAGGAAGCCAGTGCAGAGACCTGAGGACTGGACTAATGTGGTCGTACTTCCTGGTTCTAGTCAGGACTCGAGCTGCTGCATTTTGAATGTACTGCAGCTGTTTTACAGCCTGTTTGGACAGACCTGTGAGCAGGCCATTGCAGTAGTCTAACCTACTGGAGACAAATACATGGATAAGAATCTCCAGGTCTGCTTTAGACACTGTTTTTGATCCTGGCAATGTTTTTTAGATGGTAAAAAGCTGCTGATGTTACTGATTTGATGTGGCTAAGTCTGAGTCCAGTATATCATAATGACCTGATGAAATGCGTGTGTTTCAGCGGATGGGAGAGCAGATGTGGTTCTGTCCTGTGTGCTGGTGGATGTTGGGGGAGCTCAAGGCGGAGGGATGGGCAGAGGGGGCTTCAGTCGGACTCCTGCGACTCTAGTTCTGAGGGATGTGCCCACAAACTCTGACCAAGCACTGGACACTCTCAGTCCATTTGTCCTGCCCTCAGCCCCCAACCCCGACTTCCTCATCTTTGAAACTAGAGGTTTGTCTAATTTAATTACTTAATACAAATACAATGAAAGTGCTAAGGCTGTTCCTTACTCATATACACACTGGGGTACATCCAGATTGTGGTGCATGGGGTTGAAAGTAAAATAGAAAAATGTACGATCTAATCTTATTATTATATTGTATCATCTGTTATCTTGAATATTAGATCTTGGTTGATGAGTGCATAACCGGAGTGCTCTTACTTTTTATTCTGATGTGCTGAGGGCGAATAAAGGTTTATCTTATCTTAACAATAATGCACATTTAATGATATTCTATTTGCTGAAACTTTAAGTTTCTTTGTACTTTTGCGCATTATTCACCCTTTCCATAAAATTGTAAAAGGCTGTTTTGCAGTCAATTGAAGCACTGCTTTATCATGTTTGGCAAAAATAATGAGGTACATTTTACTAGGGCTGTAATGAATCATTTTCAGATCCCAAAAACGTAGTCAATATGGGATTTTTTTTTACACATTTGACCGACAAAACGTGATTGAGAACATCTTCATAGAATATACTTCTTACACATAGATTTCTTTGATTAAAATACCTCTCCTCACACTTGTTCAGGAAAAAGCTGGGAACTGAAGCTGGTTCAGTCCCAGTTGAATAGGGATGTCTAATACAAATGTATAGACAATATACATGTATGATATGATGCATTTTATTATAATGTAATCATTTGCATACTTTTATGTCCCTATTGTTGATCATTCACACTCTGCTTTGACTCCTCTTTGTGGCAGTGTCTCCTGACGTTCCGAACCTGGACGTCCTGCTCCATGCGGACTGTGAGGGGCTGGAGGTGACCTGTGAGCTGAGCCGCTTCTCTCCAGCGGAGTCTCCACAGAGCTCAGAGCAGGCCTTCTTCATGGTGCTGGTGAACGTGGAGGGCGAGAGCTTCAGCGCCTCTCTGATTCTAAAGAGTCTCACAGCAGAACACTCAACCCTGAGGCAAAGCATACTGGGGCTGCCCCTGACCTCTGCAGGAACTGTGAATTCTGAAAGTAAGACATCTCATCATCTGTGCAGGGATTTTGTTTTTATCTATTTTCCATCTAATTACAAATGTAGATATGTAATTAGATGGCTTTGTGTGTGCAAAAAGGGAGGTAAACATTAACCTAAGCAAAACCTTGTCTCAACTTTTCAGTGCAACGTTCTTGACTTCCTTGTCGTTAGATCAAGTGACATTGAAATCTATGAAATAGTACACACACAAATTCAACATGGAATATATGGTGCAGATTTGACCTCCAAGCAAATGGATAAAATTCCACCTTTAACTCCTAAATTACTTTAATTCAGAATATTTGTCTTGCGAAGTTGAATGGTAATTATTGCGTATTATAGCCCGGCTCTGTGATGTCATTACAACAAGAATTTAAAGCCAATGATGGCTTTTATTTGGAAATATTAATAATGATAATAATAATGATCATCGTATCTTCCATTCTCTCTCTGCAGCTGTGATGGTGGTCTTCTCCCATGAGAGCTCAGTTTCTGGTTCTCTGAGGGAGGAGGTGCAGCTGCCATGTGGCTTTAGGCAGCAGGATTTGGGTCAGTCCGATGTCCTCATCTCCTGGAGGGTCCAGCACAGAGGCCAAGGACGCAGGGTGCTGGAAATGAAGACCCGCCTACAGGACACCCAAGGGACTGCAGTCAGTAAGAGCAGGCCTTTCATATTCATTTGTTTATTTTTAGCTTAAAGAATAACTGTGTGCCTATGTATGTTATACGCACACAAAATTACCCTATTTACGTGATTGAATAGGGTGATTAATAAAGAAACTAATTTGCTAACGTCCATAGTGAAAACCAGAGCAGTCTTCACTATTATGGCATGTGCTGTAAATACCCTCATAAAGATAAGGCTTGCAAATAGTTGGGCCGAAATGATTATGTTCCTCTGCTGATTCATATGTGGATGAGGAAGATGTATTTTCTTATTACCAACAAACAAAGAAAATAAAAAATGAAAAGTGAGCACGTATAGGTGGCAGTGATCGAGATAAGAAAACATTTATTCATTTTTAAACAAATCTTATAGTGACTCCAAAGAAGAAGGGCATTTACCAGTCAATATTTCAGTTTGTCTTACCATAGTGGACATATTTCATATTGAGCTGCAAAGTGGGCACAGAATCTCCATTCAAAATTCTCGTAGGCGTTTAAGTATCGAGAGTTTGAAGACATCCCAGAGCCTAATGATCGACCAGGTGAGTATTATACTATTATACACAGCACCGAGGTTTCAGCTGAAGGAAAACACCATCAAAACATAACTTTGCAGTTGTTAATGCTTGATTAACTCACACTCTACAGTATATATCAATCACCAGATCCCAAATGAAGGATGGAGAATTTTACTTCCAGAAAATCAACTCCACCCACTTTGCAACACAAAGCAATCACAGCAAAAAAAATATAAGATAGAAGATTATAAATGGTTGAATCAAGTGTTTTTATCTTAATTTTAGTCCATTTTGACAATCTAAAAACAAGATTTTCCATTGGGACAAAAGATACAAGACAATTCAAGAAACGTCTTCCTTGGAATGAGACATAAATTGCTACAGCACTTGAAATTAGACTAAATGGCTTGTTCCAAATCTGGTTTTAAGAAAGTCAAAATATACCTGAATTAAGATTTTTTTTTTTTTAAAAAGACTTGATTCAAGCATGTATTACGTTATATCTTTGTAACCTTTTGCAGTGAAGTCCTTAACATTTTACTGCCCTTGTTCCGTGTCAGCTTGAGTTATTATTTGAGTTTTATCCACAGAGAGTTTACTTTGTACAAATGTGTCCAGTCCAGGCAGAGAGGGGAGGGGCGTCTGTCCGTGAGGAGCAGGTGTCCGAGGGAAACGCGTCTCTCACTCTGAGGGCTCTGACGGTGGAGGACGAGGGCACTTACATCTGCAGCATCACTATCGGACCGCTTCACGCCCAGCAGGTCATCCAGCTCAGCGTCATCAGTGGGTTTGCAATCAGTCTAAGGATATAACTAGGTCAATGGTCAAGTGCAATATAGACCCACATGTGTCACTGTCTCTTTACTTTACTCAGCTGTGCAATAATAACTGTAATAATGTCACACTGTGCAATGTGGTCCCACATGTGTTACTGTCACTTTGTCCCGTACCCTATTATAAATTACAATATATTACTTGCACTAGATAGAATTTACAGCGTTTTATTCTTGCTCCTTATCATGCTAGAGTTAGATATTTTTCTACTTAAGTCTTGCTTCTTCCTCATTTTAACGTTGTATACTGCTTCTTTTTAGGCTAGCGTTAGATATTTCATTTTTATGTTATTTTAGTATAGATTATTTATTTATCTTGTACGGTGTGCTCCCCATTCCTATTGTCTGTCACGTGATGCAACGCTGACATTTCCCCACTGTGGGCCAATAAAGGATCTTAATCTTAATCTGAATGGTATCTGACAATAAGTACTATTTAAGGAAATACGTAATTATTGTTTAGCCTTCCAAAATCTAACAAATGCCCTAAATTCTACTCTGTTTTGATAGTGGTATAGTTCTAAATGAGGATTAACACATAAAAATGAAACAGTAGGGCGTAGAAGTTGGTGGTTCGAATCCCGCTCCAGACATGAATGTTTGATTGGTTGAACGGTCAGATTTACTGACTCACAGGGTGAATGCTGCCTTGTGTTGGGTGATCAGCTCCTTGATGTAGAAAAACATTTCATACTTTTTGAATTGTGTAGAAATCACCACCATTTGAGAGACATTAAAATAGATAAAATTAGTAAACAAAGCCCAATCTTTTGACAGTGCATTCACTTAATAATATAATGTGATGACTGTCCCTGCTCCAAACCCATTTCATTTTCAGACCAAATTCTGTTCTTAATTTACACTTTCCAAAGTTATGTGTATTCGGCTGGGTTCACATCGGTTCGATCACTGCATGTTTCTAGAATAGATGTTCTAATCTTACCCAGTCTTGGTCTTTAATTAGTCCCTGTTATGTGTTATTTTTAAGGTAACATTTTTTCCTGCTGTTGACATTGTTGTATTTTTTCTCCAGAACTGCCTGAGGTCTCTCTCTCAGTCGACAGATTAGTGTTGAAATCTCAGACCACACTGGTTTGCTACAGCAGTAAATTCTTCCCTCTGGATGCTGAGGTACAAGATTTTCTAAGCTTTGTTGAATGTTTAGAGTTACATCAATTTAAAGAAACTGCTGTAAGATGTGATGGACACAAAGCAATAGAAACACTGCTACACAATTGTGTGTTCTTGATGATGTGCAGATACAGTGGTTTACCCGCGGCCCCGCAGACTCGGAGCCTGTGGAGTTTTCGGGAAAGACTTCTCTGTCTGGTCATCGTCGTCATGGTGATGGGACATACTCGATCTCGTCTCAGCTGAACGTCCCGCCCACCATCTCTGTGGGAACAGTGATCATATGTCGTGTGTCCCACCCGGCTCTGGACGCGCCCCTCTCCATCAGCGTTACCGTGGAGAGCCCAGAGAGCGGTACGGGCCACAAAAGAATATCACATCTCAATTATCTGATGTGTAATAATTGTTTGTTATTGCTTTGTCATAGATTTTCTGGATTTAAAGTTAACTATTCAAAAGTTTTAATTTAGAGCTTTGTTTGAGTAAATTAAATGTGAATATTAGAGTTTTTAGGTGGCCAAATCAGACCCCCCCAAAATTATTTTCAACTATTATTGTTTACATTAGGTATTGAAGGTCACTGAGAGGTTAATATGGGTCACACATGGCATGATTCCTGTAGAAACCATATGTAAAAGAATAGATTAAAATTACACCATTAAGAAAACATTGGTTACCTTGGCATAAAAGAATCTTAAAAGCTTTTGGCCCAGCCAAAGCTTTTTTAAAGGTTAACTGGGAGCCCATGGGATAGATACTTCAAATGTGTTTGATATATTTATATTTATCTAATTACTAATGAGGAAAACGTATATGATAGTAAAAACATTTAAATATCCTCAGGTAATCAACAATGTGCTGAGTTCAAACAAATATTATTTGACAATTTTCAATGCCTCATTATCTCAAGTTTCCAATTTGGTGATACAATTTACTAAGACATTTTTTTCAAACCAGAAAAACATTATATGTCCTGTAACCAAATAAATGCATCCTCATCAAAAATAAGTCCATTATTCAGATGTAGATAACCTACGTGTGTCCATGATGCTCCACGACTTGCTCCTGCTCATTCTGATCCTAAGACTTCATGTGTGGTAATTACACTCCTCTGTTCTGTGTTTACAGCTTCGTACTGGGGGGTCCTGGGGTTCCTCCTCATCACTGGGCTTTTCTTCTTTCAGGTCATGAAGTAAGAACTCTGTCGTGTCTTGACAGTTTGCACTAATAGTGAATTTAAGAATGTAATCATGTCCTATATGCACTGATGGGGGCAGTGCTAACATAATCCTACATGGTCTAGATCCTAAAAACTAGTTTAAGACAATTACTCCTATAATATAGTCTATACACTGCAAAAAACATCTGTAAGTTAAAAGTCGATTGAGATGTCAATGGAATCAGCTAATTTTGGTCAATCAATACATAATTTCCCTGTTTCATATCTGTACACTCAATATTCATCTTAATTTGAGTTCTTACAATGTATTTTTTTCTTCTTATAAGCAATGTATGGGCAGATACGGGTAGAATATGTATATAAATCTTAAATTCTATGGTAATTTTGAGCAGCTGCTGTGTTACCTTTAGAGGTGTGTTTTTTGAATTAACAAGTGGCAATTTTCTTTATTATTTTTGTGTAAAATGATATTCAAGAACTTTGTGATATTGTCAAGGTCTGTATGTGTGTAACGTCATAAATGCAACAATCTGAATCATGATATTGTGGGTAATATAACTAACACTGAGATGCTTTGCTTTTGTGAATCTTTATTGGCATCAGCAGAGTAGTACGCATGCATCTGTTTTGCATTTCATCCGTCTAAGTTCATCTCATAAATCTCTTCTCGCCACCGCAGTATTTACACTATCCATATCTTTTTTGCTTTATGTTCACGGTTCATTACAAATCCCTTAAAATTCAACATCTAAATGACAAAAATACATCTCCGACAGCTCGATTCGTTGACATCTTGAGGAGCATAATGCGATTTTTTTTTTACACGAATGGTTCACTAAGCAATTTATTTAAGTGGGGTTAAAACAATGGAGGTCCTGATGGGTCGTTGTCGCATAAGCTGCAGTTATCGAGTCCGACGACGCATATTTTTAAGGTAAACCACAATGGAAGAGTACAATCGGCAGTTAGATTCAAAAATGGAAGAAGGACAAACAATATATAGGCAAAGCTTTGGACACATCAGCCATGCAAGTAAGGAACAGTTCATTCAACAACTCTGCACCACTACACTGTAAAAATGAATTTCTTTGATGGGCTGAGCTTACTTAAATTGGCAATATTTCAACATTTCTATACTTTTAACTAGTCTAGATGCCTTGATGAACCTAGATTGATACTCTAACCTATTGACAAGTATGCGTTAGTTTTCAAGCTTAATCAAAACAATTCTAATGGAATCCAAAACCACTCAAATCCGTCATTTTAAAGGGGAATTATGCAACCGTTTATGTTGTAGAGTTGCGCTTTGCGTGTGTGACGTTGTAGTGACTCAGTGGCTGCATGAGTGGGTAACATGGTAACTTTACTGTGCAATCATACTCCAGGTTGAATTGTTTGGTAGGTTTGCAGGTGCGGGGGGTCCCACAGCAGATTAAAGTGCGCAAACAACTGATCCTATATCATCGGAAAGAGAGTTAAGGCGCCATGCTGACCACTCACACAACTGCTGGGTCACTAAAAGGTCAAAACATAAATTTTAAAAAAGTTGCATACTGCCCCTTTAAATCATGTTCTGCAAGACTAATCCATCCATTGTTGCTGTAATGCAGTATTCCCACCAATTGGGCTCAACACTACACATGCGGCATCTATGCATTTCTAGAAATCCATCTGTCTGTGGTTGGATCGCGGTGTGGAACAGAGCCTAACTTGTCAGTGTGGAGATAGTCCTATTTGGCACGTACCACTGATAAACAAACGGTAATCTTTCATTTATGCCGATCTCTAAATATGTTTTAAGACTAAAAACAGCCCCTTTTTGCATCACTAACAAAACCCATTCATAGAAAATAACCTGTTTGCTACATTTGAACAAAAAAGGTGAAGCATTTTCCATATATTGTTCACAAATACACACACATGGCATACCACAAAATAATATGAACACAATGTTAGTCGTTGGTAAGAGCTACTGCGGTGACAAAAGGAGTTTGTTAGTTGGATTTACAAATGAATGCCGCTCGAAAAGTCCTCGCTCTTGGATGCATCCGTGTGCACATGATGAGGCCGTTTGACAGTGTCCCGCCTTCCTCTGGGCCTGGCCTGGCTTGTCCTTCAATAATGCATAAGGTGCAGAGACTTCAGAGTGGAGGAGTGGGGCACATGAACACTACAGTTGTGAAGAAGGGCATGTTTGATGGGGGCAGTTCGATGGGAAGAGCTGTGGTGCTTGTTTTTTTTTTTTACTTTCTCCCCCCTGGCGTCGGTCTTAAGTCCATATCCGTCTGTATCCAACTGAAACGATGAGCTCAGTAGAAGAAGTACACTGAAAATGAAGGAGAGAGGATGCTATTAGTTTAATGGACCTGGCTCTGCTTCAAACACTGGTAATGCTGTGACGATGCTTGAATTCAATCAGGTTTTGATGCCGTGACTATATAAACATGTGTCGCGAAGCTAAGAGTTAATAAAACTACACAATACAATACACAATAATAAAACTGCTATTAGTTTACTTTTGGATGATAATCTACTGTACGCTGAGTCGTCCAACATTTAGTGATACAAGTGATACTACAAGCTTCTATACAAGTGAATTTGGGCTATGCAAGAATATATTGAATTGAAATATGTTTGTGTTATTGTTTTAGTATGATACTTGCTAAAATATGTACCTAGTTTTTGTATTAGTTTTAGTATCTGATATTTGAGAAAAACTCAACAAATGATGGTCTGCGACTAACATTTGTTTTGCTTTGTTAATCTGGTTGGTTAGTCCTTCTATGAATCAATTAGTTTCATATTTTCTCAAACATCTGTCGAAGTTAAATCAAATGTGGTTCAGGCAGAATACATACAGTATGAAAAACCAGTTGAAATAGTGTGAATTTTATAGCAATCATTTCTATGCAGATTTGGACTACATACTCCTTCAGGCAGTCTTGGTGGAGTATAGACCAGTTAAAACTTGGGTGCCGGATTTTTAAACAATAAATGGTGTATTAAAACCCCCTAACTAGATTTTAGCTCCCATAAGGTTGGGTTTGTCCTTTTTTAAAGGCGTGATAAATGGCCTTTATAACGAGGTGATGACCACCCTTTCTCAGCCAATCAGCTCTTAGACCGACGCGTATGCAGGATATTGACTCACTGGGCTCGTCTGATAAGATAAAGACGAGTGCCATGAAGCCTGATTTGTTTTTACAGAATTTTTTATTTGGATTTTTTAAGAAAACATTGGTACCTCATCTCATCTTCTTTTAATCATCTTTTGATTATGAAAAGATTTGACCATTATTTCAATAATCAACAGCAGCTGCATTGTGGTCTTTTACCAGCTCCACTATAATGGTAATAATACATGCTTTCCTGGACATGCAAAAAAGTTCCATGAGGTCTCCCATCATGATGTGCCCATGTTTGTTGATGCTAAATGCCCTGTTGTTCTAGTGCTTCTTGATCTTACAGCTGCATTTGACACTGTGGATCATTCTGTCCTCTTGTCCCGCCTGGAGCATCATGTTGGCATCTGCGGCCCCTCACTTAGATGGTTCCAATCATACCTCAGTGGAAGAACCTTTTCTGTTATGATTGGTGATAAGTCTTCCTCTGTTTCCTCTTTGTCATGCGGTGTGCCTCAGGGTTCTATTTTGGGTCCCATGTTATTTTCTCTTTACATGCTACCACTGGGGTCCATTATTGCCCGACATGAATTAGCATTTCATTGCTATGCAGATGATCTGCAAATCTATTTGCCAGTTTCGTCAAATGGGAGTGATGCTGTAACATGTCTGATGGATTGCATCTCTGATATTAAACTGTGGTTACAGCAGTTATTTTGTTTGGCGATTCACATGTTTCAGATTTTGGTCTGTTGTCTTCTTGTTTTAAACCAATGGTCAGAAACCTTGGTGTTGTTTTTGATCATTCTTTTCGTTTTGACAAACAGATTGACAGTGTGGTTAGGTCAAGTTTTTATCAGCTCCGTATTTTAACCAAGGTTAAGCCTTTTTTAAACCGCTCCGACCTGGAAAAAACGATCCACGCTTTTATCAGTTCAAGAATTGATTACTGTAATGCCCTTTATTTTGGAGTTCCCCGGTCTTGTTTTAATCATCTCCAGTTAGTGCAAAATGCTGCAGCTCGTTTTTTTAACAAACACGCCCAGACGTGAACACATCACCCCAGTCCTCTATTCCCTACATTGGCTTCCAGTTTCATTTCGAGTTGATTTTAAAATGTTACTCTTTGTTTTTAAAGCCCTCAATGGTCTCGCCCCGCCGTACTTGTCCGAACTTTTGTCTGTTCGTGACTCAGGCAGATCATTGAGGTCCTCATCTCAACTCCTCCTGGAAGTACCTAGGACTAGGTCCAAACACTGGGGAGACCGGTCCTTTTCAGTCGCTGGACCCAGACTCTGGAACAAGCTGCCCCCTGATATATGCGTGTCCTTACTGATTTTGGCCTTTTTAAATCGAGGCTCAAAACATATTTATTCAGACTGGATTTTAACACTTTTATCACTCAATAGCAGGTGATACTTTTTAAATGCTTTTTTAAAATGTTTTATTGTTTTAGTGCATAAATGTTTTAAATTGATTTTATGTAATTTTATTGTGAAGCACTTTGGTCGCCTTGAGTGTTGTAAAGGGTTCTATAAATAAAATTGATTGATTGATTGATAAGACTACCCAGAATCTACTCTGCTTACCTTCTGAGGTCTAACTGATCAGGCTTTCACATTCGGGTGGAGCCACATATAGAACACAACAATGTTCAGCAAACACTACATTTTAGTGCGAGTGTGTGTTTTATCTGGAGATGTTTTTATGTTATTATTATCTAATAATACTATCTGAATTCAAATAACTGTATACAGTACCGGATGTAACAAATAGTAATGTTGCTATGCCCAGAATAAACCTTCCTATTTAATGGAGCGGAGACACATTAAAGAAATAACCAACAGGATGATCAATAAATAGCAGTAAATCATTGCAGCTTCGCCTCGGACTCAGTCAATAAATCACTTGTAATCTACTAATGGTACTCACAGAATATGATGCCAACTACAATGACTCCAATGATCCCCATCATGATCATCATCTGAGGTGAAAACACAAACCGTGAAAGACTATTATCAACTTCAACTCCACGCACAATTCAACATCAAAGCTGGTATCATGGGTTTAACAAATGAAAAAGGAATGGTTAAAAACTCAGTAAGTGCACACAATACAAATGCCCCAAAATGACAGAAATAGTAAAGCAGACCTTGGATTTAGCTTGTTGTAATATGCAAAATTTAGGAGAGTTCTCTTTAGATTTAAGAAAATATAGAGTATATATGTCATGTTTAATGTGTAACTCTTGTAGAACTCTTTTTACAAACCCAAAGAAGTGGATGACGTCATCATTGGGTTACTTCCTGATTCTAGAACTTTGAAATCGATTCTATTATCAGTTAGACAAAACATGTAGTGCACTGGGTCCAACGTCCTCTCATATATTTTGCTAGCTGAGAAAAAAGTTGGATGTGTAAAGTATGCCAAACTTTTGAATTATTTCCTAGTGTCCTTATCCACTTATGCATGTTACATCTCTTCTGTAACATGCAGCATTTGGACTCCCCCCCTTAAAAACAAAGATAAGAGCAGTTTTCTGATTTTAATCATGGTAGAAAGTCTTAGTTCTGAAACTCATGGATAGTGTTAATTCCATGCTCTACTAGCTGTGCATTTCAATATATAAGTCTACAGCTCTTTAATTCTCATTTGCAATAGTCATGATCCCAGCAAATGAAGTCCTAAAGAGCCGAGTGCACGTGAGGAGGAGGCCGCAGCAGTGATGCATGGCTCTGATCTGCTCACCTTGCAGTTCTTCCACCAGTACTTGTTCTTTAGTTTGGCAGCGCAGCTTTCAAACTGTGAGGCTCCGGCCTGAAGAGCATCCGCTCTGTCATCCAGCTCTGAGAGCTTCTGATCTCTTTCCAAAACCTTGTCCACATTCACTCGCATTATGTCCACCACCTGCACAGGGACGCACAGGGAGTTAATAAATCCAGATCAAATTCAATGTTGATCTCAAGAAGTAGATTCAACGATCCAGTGTATGTTTAGTGACTGACCTCCTCGACTTGGGCCTGTGTCTGCTGCAGGCGCCGGTTGCTGCTGGTGTTGGGAGGGGCCGGAGGGCCTCCTCCCGGGGCTCCATCTGCACCTGGAGCTCCAGGAGCTCCTGGGGCTCCAGCCTGGGCATCTGGGGCAGACCTGAGAGACCATGCAGTGCAAACATGATTAACTTTGGACATTCAACCAAGTTTAAGTTTGACATTAAAATAAACATCAAAATTATAATAAATTCAAAAAGATGAGACAAGTAAAGAGAAACTGAAAGGGTACAGTACAGTACAGTACAAAAGGCTGGTGAGACAAGGCCCATAAGACAATGGTCTGTTATAGAATCATGTGGTTATAAGGTAAGGCAATAATGGACATCTTAGGCCTGACTCATACTATTATTGGAAGTACTTCATTGGGAACAGAAATGCCAATTGTCTGGATGCATTATTTAGTGATGTGAAATTTTCGCTTGCGTCAGCAGAATCAGCAGTCCTGAAGCCCCCGCAGCACACGCACAGCACGTGACTGACGCACGGATACTTTACAGCTGTTGTGAAAGGATGCGGAGGAAAATGCGCAGAATACTCACATCTTCTATGCAGTTGTGAAGTGAGTCACGGGCAGCTGAGCAGGATGAGAGTCCTACAACACTATCAGCTTTCCGCAGCGCAAACAGTCCTGACAGCCTCGTATTCTTCTGAACCAGCGGTGTTAATTTATCAACCTGAAGTATAAAAGAGCCACTCCAACATTACAATCCATACGAGCAAAACACGCTCTGACCGAGGAAAAGTGGCAGCCCGAGAGGCTGGCTGTAGAGTTTCTGTTTCTGAAGATGCGATAATGTTGAGTCCAAACGAAAACAGAAGTCCATAAAATCCCAGAGTCCGTCTGTCCGTGCGGGTGTGCTCTCCTCCGGTCTCACCCGGCCGTAAAGTGCTATTGCACTGAGCTACTGCAATGATGCGTCTCTGCTGCTTCTCTCACTTGGGCTCGTAACGACAGCGCAGTACCCCTCCCTCCCCCTCCCCCCCCCGCGCTCAGCCTCAGCCTCACTTTGCAGTACTGCAGTTCTGTGTGGGATAGGCCCGACACACTGCGGAACACTGGGATCTCCTGCTCCTTTACTCTCGGCTCACATTTCACACGTAAAAGCTCCTTTCATGTTTGTTTAGTCGGGTCTCCGGGCTTCACACAGACCTTTGGTACACTACAAGTTTTCTAATCAAAGGAAAAATTCCCTCTTATTTCTGACAGGAAGATTAATTGCTATGTACAGTTCACCATGAGAAGGAACGCACTCAGCATGAATAATATATTGTCGTGTGTCCTGGTCCAGCTTTAACTGAAATGGGATTTATTGTTGCAAATTTACAAGCTCTTATTCACAGGCTTAATAGGCTACTAGTTATAATGTTGAAAAGATGTGATACATTTTTTATAAAGAACAAGACCACTTACACATACATAGAATAACACAATTTAATATTAATTGTTGACATTATGACCATATAGAGTAGCACATGGGCCTCTTTTTTCCACATATATAAAACAAATGAGAAACAGTTCATAGGCGGCTGGGGAGGTTTATCTGTGTTTGCCGTAACGGTTAAAGCGGCGATACAAGAAGCGGATTCTCTTCTCCAGGTCGTGTCGGTCTTGAGTCATCATCCTGTCTCCAACCATCCTCTTTTTCCTAATGAGCCGCTGCAGTTCATTACCCTTAAATCCTTTCAACCAGCAGGGGGCCAGAATGAGGTCTCGCGGATGTGCCTTGAAATCCCCTGTATGGAAATATTTGGAAGTTTGAGTAAATAAAAAATAATACAACATATACATGTGTTGTTGCTTGGGTGCTTACCTAAGATGCCTATGTTGTCATAAACTCCAAACATACTCCTCTTCTCAGTCCATCGATCGACCTTCTTGAATTCTGGGATTGCATGCATTCGAATGGGGCAGCGGACACCTGGAAAAAGAACAAGAACATTTTAATCAACTAAACCTAATCCGGATTCTAGTACGGCACAAATGTGAAACAACTATTTTAAAATACAAAACAATTTTATAAATCTGAACATATTTATTTGTTACAGGAATTGTGCATATTAATGGACATGTCAAAAAAATAAATGCCAGCAATAAGCACTATTATCATATCCTCTACATAATTATATTGTCTCTTATATTTACCTTAGGGCTGTCAAAATTATTGTGTTAATTACATTAATGCCTTAATAAAAAAATAACGCGTTTTAACGCATGTCCGAATGACCCGCCCATGTATCCCATAATATCACACAGAATTCCGCGGACACATGCGTGTGTGAGACGGCAACAAAGCAGGTAGGCCCTCTGGGAATTCAAGTTTTAAAAGAATACGCGCGTGACCGCGGGGCACTTGCTGTTTGCTGTATGAACTGAAGTCCGCCTTCTTAGTGGCTGCAGTAAAAGATTGTGAGCCAATCAAACAGATTTAAGTACATTTGGTATTCTTAGGTTTCCTCCGGGTACTCCGGTTCCCCCTACCACTAAAAAGATGTACAATAGGTCTGGCATGCGCCTCCTGTACTGGCGACCCCGCTCCCATCTCTGCGTGGAGTGAGAGACAAATGCCCAAAAAATAACAATTGTAAAACCACTTTGACTCTGGTCTGTAAAAGGCGGTATATAAATAAACGTTACTTACTTACTAACATTTGGTATGTATGACTATGTGTCATTACATTTGATAATCTCATTTAACTTCAAATGGAGTGGATTTGAAACAGAAAGTTAAAAATGCGATTAATTGTGAGTTAACTCACCATTACTATGCTAATCGCATAGTCAACCAAAAAATGTAAATCGTTTGACAGCCCTAATTTACATATTTTGATTTATACAGTTTACTTTATGTGCCAAACCCACAGCATTGGTTTGTATTATTGTTAACAATAATAATAGTGTATGCCCTGCATGTGACTATGAAAATGTTCTACATTAAATTAAAAGAATGAATAGTCAGAAAATATCAAGTGTGTTTTATGGCAGTGCATTAAACCCCACAGTAGGTGGCAGTATTACATCTTGTTCGTGGAGCTTTGTGCAGTGAGGCTCATTTTTCCCATTATTACATCTGAATAATGCATGTTAACGATCATCTGAGGCTGTCTAAAAGTTAAGAGGTGCAAGACCTGCATCTACTGGTAAACAGCAAGACTACTATAACATTTAGTGATAATACAGCTATTGTAGCAGCTCCAGGTTTAAGTCAAAGTAAGTGTAGGACTTTGAAAAGACTTCTAATGGTGTTTAGGTCAATTTAACACCACAATGTGGATACAAGTATTCCATCACATTTGTATAACTATGAACATTTATAGACAAACATTCTCCTCAAATCATGAGTATGAACATTTTCCTACACTACCCTTTACCACTGCTGCCTCTTTCTGAAGAGATTCACTGACATAATATGGAACATTATAAAGTTTTTACTATCCAATTTTAGAGGGGCTTCCCTGTGGAAGTTGAGTTATCGAATCTACATTTTCACACTATTTAGTGCGTGTCACTTCTGCCAGATTGTTTCAATGACTAGACCAGGTGTTGAATTGGTCAGTTATGGAAAAATAGAGGAAATCAGGAGTAGTGTGGTAACTCAAAAGAAGTGACAAAGATAAGGAGCCTGTGTTATGAAGTTTTGGGACGCAGTCAAAATGTGAGAACACACAACAGCTGTTTATGTTAATTTGTTTTTACCGGTGGAGAAGCTCTTGGCAGCTCTCAGCATGACCCCCGCAGACTGACAGGACGCCTTCAATAACCCTCCAAACAGCGACATCTTTAAAGACAACCTGGGACAAAAGGTAGCAACAATATGAACGAAACATGGAGTCACCACAGATGTGAAAACGCTGCAATAAATGAGTGAACCGCGATTACCAATGACCCCTAGCTTTAGCATCAGCATTAGCATTAGCATTAGCTTGGAATGCGCAGAACTTTCCAATCTGTTTGTGTGGGAATTTACCTGGTTCAAATAGATGTAAAATCTGCTATTCCTTCACCAAACTGGATGTAAACAACTAATTCACAGTGATTATTATCGCAGATAGAAGGCTCAGAAGGACATGCTTGTTGTGCTCGCTGCCATATTTGGTATCCCCACAATGCAACGCGCTCGTACTCTCACCGGGTAAAAAAAATATATATTTATAAATAAAAGGAAAGTTTATTTGTATAGAACAATTCATACACAAGGCAACTCAAAGTGCTTTATGAATCAATAAGGAAAACATAAACAAAGCTGAATTTACTGAACCTGTTGTTTTTTACTGCACGTAAAAACATTTGTTCTAAAAAGTTGGTTGTATAATTATTAAGTGTGTCTATAATAGTTTATTTTATTTGCCATGCCAAGGAATTGAAAAGAATAACAGATAGAATAAAGAATTAGAATTATACATTCAGTAGGATTTGGCAAACGCTAATCAGTAATTTTCATTTACTATGAGAGACAGAATGAGAAAAAAATCAGAGAAAATCACATTAACATTTTTTTTTTTGTGCAAATTATGGTGGTAATTAAGTATTTGGTCAATAACAAAAGTTCATCTCAATACTTTGTTATAAACCTCTTCTTGGTAATGACAGAGCTTAAACGTTATCTGTAAGTTGCTGGTATTTTGACCCATTCCTCCATGCAGATCTCTTCTAGAGCAGTGATGTTTTGGGGCTGTCGCTGGGCAACAACTCCAGGACCTTGAAATGGTCCCAGCTCTCTGCAGATTTTTTCTCACCGTTCTTGTGATCATTTTGACCCCACAGGGTGAGATCTTGCGCTGCGCCCCAGGTCAAGGGAGATTATCAGTGGTCTTGTATGTCTTCCATTTTCTAATTATTGCTCCCACAGTTAATTTCTTCACTCCAAGCTTCTTACCTATTGCAGATTCTGTCTTCCCACTGTATAGATAGATAGATACTTTATTGATCCCCCGTGGGAAAAAAATCAGGTGTCCAGTAGCAGCAGAAACACATGCATCCATACAAACAAAACAAATAAATAAAATTCAACAGCAATTTAGGTCACAGCAGCAGAGGTGGAGAATCCGCTGGGTGGAGCAGGACAGGTCACAGCAGCAGAGAGGGTGTAGCCGCTGGGTGGAGCAGGACAGGTCACAGCAGCAGAGAGGGTGTAGCCGCTGGGTGATACAATATAAGAGAACTTCCTGCTTTGGAGCCAATCATTCACCAAAAGTCAGCGCAGCGAGAGATAAAAGAAAAAGGCCAAATATGTATTCTTTTTTTTTTCATTTCATCCCTTCTTTAATCCATTTTTGGGTCGAGGGGGTAGCAAACAGAGCATCCACCCACTAAAACATACAGTAAATCCACTGTACATATATTTGTGTAAGTCATTGGTTGTAAAGAAGTAAAACCAACAACTCGTTTAATTATACTTTAACTAGTTTTTATTCCAAATTGTTACTAAATTCAACAACAAAATAAACATATATTTGTGTAAAATTTCTGTAAATATAAATTATATAGCTAAACATTTGTTTTCTTCAAAATACTGACTTGTCCAAACTGAACATTTATTTTGATTATATACATGTTTTACAATATATACACAAGTTAATATACAGAATTACTGATAAGTGAAATACCTACAAATTCTACACAAAAACATTGAGGACTGAGAATCGAAAAGTTCAAGGTAAAAGAGTTGGGGCAATGTTAAGTAAAAGCACCAGAACGTAACTTTTTAATTTTTGATAATGTGTGTTATGTTGACATGTGTATGGTATAAAAATGTACTTGGATTTTTAAAAACATAATTGGGTTTTATGATAGAAAAGAAGCCTGACTCATGGAAACATTCTTCATTTGGCTACAATTTTCCACTAATGTTTTAAATTTCTATTTCTATGTCAACATGTACCTCCAAAAAGAAGTGAAAACTTGTGCTCCACTATCCAACTATTCTCTGAATATCAATCAAAACGTCCTGTGTCTTTGTAAAGTTTGTTTAATTTAATTGATTATTGTGGTGCCACATGCATGTCAAATCCAGATACCGGCAGACCTCAGAATCTAAGCAAGGCAGAGCCTATTTAGTACTGTGATGGGAGACCTCTGGGAACACAAGCTGCCACAGTGCGGTGGCTGCGGCTGTAAAGTGCTAACTGTCATTGTGTCCTTAGGCAAGGCAATTCACCCACGTTGTCTAGTATGAATCTTGTGTGTGCGTGACTGGGTGGTGGCGGTTGGAGGGGCAGACGGCATATACTGGTTGCCTCACTTCTTACAATCCCAGGGCAGCTGTGGCTACAGCAGTAGTTTCTCATCACTGTTTATGAAGTGGATAAATATGACTATTTTTCATCAACGTTTATACATTTCTCCCTTGTCCTTTGTGTTTGACCCATCATCGTGACGGTTCTGAGGCTGCAGAAATAACCCATAAAGACATGGGAGAATACCTCACTGGACCTTCTGAGTTGTCAGAGAGTTACACTTGGCTGCACTCCCCATCCTCATGCTTGGGCAATTCAGGCCTTTCTTGTAAGTCCATAGAAGCCAGACTCTTGTTGATGCCCTCCAGTAGCCCCTCTGTGCCCGGCTGTAAGTGGTCCATCAAATCCTCATCGTCTAAGCACCAGCCGGCCCAGTCCACGTTCACACCATCTGAGAACATCGGACTGCAACGCACAAGGACAAATTATCATTACATTTTTTAAATGCATTGTGTGTGGCAAAATCTGTCAGAGCCAAATGTTAAGCAGTGCGGAGCCTAGGTAGTTTTGTGATGGGAGACTGCTGCAAGTGTAATACCCGGTGCCACAGCGGCTGTGGCTTAATACTGCTAAAAAGCACATCACTCACATTGTCTTGTATGAGTCTGGTGTGTAAGTGAATAATTGGTGGTGATCACTTTTGTCAGTCTGCCTGGACTCCATGTACAAAGTAAATGAATGAAGCCTTGTGAAGCGTATTTGACAACAAATATTTGATGAATAATTCTTTGAACAAGTCATTGATTACAGCAACTCAAATGCACCAACCTGCGCCTCCAATCGTCATCCCCGTCCACCAGCTGCTCTCTCCAGCCCTGACTCACACTCAGGACCCGGTGTCTCAGCAGCTCCACCTCCTCCTCCCACTCGCTCTCCCGACTGGCTTCACTGGGGGTGGGGGAGGGCGATGTGGAGACAGAAGGAGATCGTGGAACCTTCAGCCTTGAGACAGGTTCTTTAACACAGGAGTCCCTCCTCATTGAGTCTCTGCCCCTCTCTTTGGCCCGGTTCAGCAGCCCCTCCAGAGGAGATCGTGTGGGCCGCTGTAGGCTCTGCTCCTGGAGCACAATGTTGGGGATGGAGGCACTGCGCTGTGCCTTCATCGTTGCTCGTCTGTTGTGCAGTTTCTGCTCTGGGAGCTCAGACTCAGAGACAGTCTGAGAATCATCTTTCATGCTCCAGAACATGTTTGGCAGAAGAGAATTCAAGGTGAGCACTCGAAAAGAGTTCTTATCAGCAGGAAGTGAATTCCTCTTTGCAGGAATACTGCTGTCTGAGTCTGAGGAGGAATTATAGGACACAGACCTGTTATGTTCAGGCCTCTGCAGCGGCGGCTTGTCCATGTCAGAAGGGCCTTGTGTGCTCATTGGCCTCCTCCTCCTCAAACCAGGGGACCTGAGCTCTTTGGAGAAGGCCTTGGGCTCTGTGGCATTGTCCGACAAGCTGTTTCTGACAGTCCCCTGAGCCACCTGTACAGAGTCTGCTGCTCTCCTGTTCATACCCTCACTGGCTCTCCTCCAAGTCAATCCTGGTGGGTTCTGGGTGTCTGTTGTTTTCTGTAAAGTGCTGTGATCATTTACAGGATAATCCACGTCTGGATACCCGCCCACCAGCATGCTGTGTGGCCGTGTGCTGTGAGGTGTTGTTGAGTTAAAGATGAAATGTTGCTTTAGATCAGGAACAGAGTTCACCTTTTTACCATTCATGCCTTGAGTTTCTGCTCCACATGACGACTCCTCCATGTGGCTATCACTGTTCGTTCTAAATCCTGGACTCCTCACAGCCATTTCAATGGACTCATACCCTGGGGTTACTGGCTGTCGACCGGGAAAAGATTTTCGGTCTGATTTCCTGTTAAGAGCAGGGTTAGGGCGTTTTGCCTGCCACAAAGGGTGAGGGTTTAACACAGAATTAAACATATTGTTTTTTAAAACTTCTACAACAGGAGGCAGTTGAGGTCCATTCACTGCCTGAGACAGTTGAGGTCCATTCACTGCCTGAGACAGTTGAGGTCCATTCACTGCCTGAGACAGCTGAGGTCCGTTCACTGGAGTAGGTCCAGTTATAGGTCCATTGTTTTCCTTGTCAATTCTCTCCTGAAATGCGTCTGTCTCAGCTTCGTTGCCGTTGACTTCACTCTGAGACTTGGACTCCAGCAGCAGCCTCCACTTGTCCATCTGCCGGCTCTTCTCCTTGTCCCTCATCTCCCTCAGAGTTTCCTGTGAAGACATGTTTTAGTGACATGGCCTCAAACAGAAGCCTTCAGATGGTTTTGCACCTTTGCCTGTTGGATGTTGAAGACCCAGTCGGAGCAGATGTTGGTGGTGCCTGTCACAAAGATGTAAACGTTCATCACACTGAGCAGCTCCCCGACCTCCACAACAACAAAGGAACCTGAGGAGACACAATAGAGATGAGGAGTTGGGCATTTGTGATAAAATGATATTAGTTCAGATTTTAACAAGGGTAATCAGTCTTCAGTAGCCTAAACATTTGAGTATTTACTCACATCCATCTTTGAGAGCGAAGCAGTGTGTCTTGTCCAGGGCCAGAGGAGGACGGATCACCTTCAGACGCTCCCCTTTCTTTTGGACTTTAGTCATGAGCAGCACATCCGAAAACAGAAGAGCTACAACCTCCATCTAAAAAAAAAAAAAAAATTGCGTTTATATGAAGTGTTCTGTGTCCATAGTAAAATTCATGTACTTTGAGTGAGTCATGCCTTAATCTGAACTAAGGGGGGCCGTGGAGGAGGACTGGCAGGTTTGACAGTGATTCTGGATTTGTATTAAAGTCTGGTGCCCTATTCAAACCCATGGCTTGTGCTCAGTAGCCCGTGCATGGATCTATGGGACCTCCTTGTGTTCAGCATGGCGGAACTACAAGGGTCTGGCAAGAGTGTCATTTTTCAGTGTATGTTTCAGATTGCACTCACTTTATTGTCCTTCCTGCCCCTGATCTTGAGGTTTCCCTCCAGTAGTAGTCTCCGGATAACCTCTGGACCAACCCCACTGACCGGACACGAGAGGTCAAACGTGCTTACCTCCCTCACACGCTGAAAAGAGACATACAGTATACAGGTAACGTCAGTCTCCACCTCACTTATGGATTGTTAAATTATTAACTTTTATATAAACTTTACCTTATCAATTTCTTCATTAATTCCTTCCACTTCGTATCCCTCTACTCTCTCGGCAGAGATGGACAGAGCAAGTTCCTCATCTTTAAACCTCATGTAGTCATTGATGCTTTCCAGAAAACGGATCACACAAGACAACTGGAAGTCACAATTTCAAATCTGGTCACTTCCTATTCATCTATAAAAGTAGATTAATTAATAAAACAACCAATTATTTAACCTTATGTCTTTTAACATTCTAGTCAGTCTATTTACTAACTAGTTACAGTAGTTAGGCTTGTAATAGCAATGATTTGAAAACAAATCTTCTCCTATGTATAAGAATTTAGTTAGTTGTAGATCTTGAAGAGACTTAAAACCCGTCAGACTGGTTCAAAGAAGAGAGCAGATAATAAGGTACATTTCCGCACTGTATAGCAACCTTATTAGAACCTGAACCTGATTTCTAATTTTCCAAGAACATTTACAAGGTTACAAGAGGGAAATGCAGGGATAAAAAAATGCAGAACAAACGTGTGAGATCAGGTGCTCTTCAAGGATCAGTGGGAAAATAATGTGGAGTACAAAGAGGAAAATATTTGATTTAGATTTTAAAATCCTTTTCCTATAAGGATATTGTGACGCGTTTCAATCCTTCTTGGGTGTTCTTCAGGGCAAAACAGCCAAAATAAAGGATTTTTTGCTTTTCCTCTTTGTTCTCCTGTGGAATGTTTTAGCTTCTGTTCTGGGACTGGTGCAGTTAGTCCAGAAACCTTTTGGTGAAATCAGTTTGTTTAATATACAATTGTTGAATATTATTAGATGTATTCACTTCCATTGAACAGTTATGTAACAGTAAAGTAAACCTGCTCATAAAACAGCAGGATGCATGAAAATTAGTTAGATTAAACACATTTTGGACCAAATATTTTATGAATGTAAATGTCCCACACTGCTGATACATTACATTTTGCAGTGTGAGCACAACTAAAGGGAACTGGGTGGCTCCTCTGACTAAATTGTCCCCTGGGGATCCGATTGGGACTAGCTGTTGGTGCTGCTGGTCCTCACCATGGTTCGGAGCGCCTGCTGGACCCCCTCGTGTGAGGTGTTCTTCAGGATGGCCCCCAGCAGCAGTGGATACTTGGTGATTCTCTGGTGTGGTTTGGCCTGCATGTCGCCCAGCCGCATCCTGTTGGCCTGCGGATGGCTCTCTATCCACTGCACACAACAACACGGGGTTTGACATGTTACTTGAATATAATACATCCCATTATAGTCATGCAGCAGCTTGAGGCTGAAATCACATCATTCTTATAGTTAGCTATAGATTATTTTAGAAATCAAGTAATTACAATTTAATATAACCCTATTTTTGTCGGATCAGATTACATTTATTATTCATTTAAACCTGTGTACATACTATTGTCAAAAAAATGACTGACGTGTCTCTGAATTTGGAACAGAAATAAGACGAAGATTCAAGAGTTAAATATAAAACAATGTATTTCTATATATATTTATTTTCTTTACAATTAAATATTAATACAAAACTCTCTGAGCTCTATTTCTGTAACTAGCCCTATGAGCTGAGCCATTTTAACTATCCCTCCAGGCCTGAAAATGAGAGGAGACATCCAGGTGCTCTGCGATGACCCCTCTCTCTGTCCCTGCTCAGACTGCTAACAAAATGTCCCACCAACACTTCTATCAAAATGTCCGATGACGTCATATGGTGAGACCGACTGAGGCTCTGGTCTGGGTCTGGTCGAGTCCGGTTTTGGGTCTCATGCCTTGTCCCGATAAGTGAGGCATTCTGTTCCTAAAATGATACTTATATCACAGAAACCAACATTGTCCTTGTCCTCATTGACTAAACTCAGACTAAACATTATACAAAGGCTTTTTATGCAAACACCTAATGATAATCATTAGTATAAAACATTTTATGGAGACATGTGGAGTGTGGATGGACGGAAGTGACAGAAAAACACACGTAAACATCTGGAGAAGTGCTACAGCAATTGTCCTGGCCTCATAGTCATTTACTTTCATGTTAGTGTTCTGACATTTGAGCCAGTTTTGAACAACTTATTTCTCTTTTTTTTGTGACACAAAGTATTATAAAAGTAATGTAACTTAGTTACTTTCTTGCAGAAGTAATTTGTAACTAATTAATTTTTCAAAGTAACTTGCCCAACACTGTTGGTTAACATGTTTTTCATTTGGAGCAACTGTAAAATATACACAGAGTACCTTTAAATACATACAACATACTCTACATAACTAATTTCAGTAAAGAAAATGTGAGTAAAACAAGCGCTGTAGTCGTAGTTTCACATTGTTTCAAGTCATTATGAAAATGAAATGATAAATCATGGCAATCATACTGTATTCAGAGGTTTTTTATTGAGTAATTGATTTTGATGAATGGTATCAGCCTTAATAATGTTGAAAGAGACACTCTGTGCTGTGTTTTCTCTGACCTCATTTAAAAAATGGACTGTTCACAAAAAGGCATTAAATCCACGAACATTGGAATATGTTGTATCTGCGTCTTGTACTTTACAGGGGTCAAGACCTGAATATCCACGAGATGAGATGTATGACAAGATTAGCCTCTCAGTCATCATTTATCATTGTCATGTTCTGGTCCTTTGTCATGTCCTTGGTTCTCTGTTCTCTTTGTTTGTCCAAGACTAATTTCTCTGTCAAGAGACAATAAAGACAAATCTAAACTAATAACAAAATTAGATTTATTTTGATTTCATATATTTGTCATCAATGTAGCAGCAAGTAGAGCAATGTTCTTTTGTAAGAACTAGTCCCATGTAATTTCAACCTATTTGTTGGTCACCCATAAATGTTGACTTAGGAAACCCACTGTGTCAGCTTTGACCCTTATAAACATTTGCGCTGTATGAATACCTGGACAAAAGCGTGGAAATGTGGGTTGCTTTCCTGTAGTCTTCGTGCAAACTCCTGAGTGCTCTCCTCTTCCCAACAGTAGTGCTTGTACGAGGAGAAACGCTTACGAAACTGAGTAAAACAACGCGGACAAAAGTCAGTCTTCTTGCTGAACAGATAGAGACTATTGTCATGTGTATTAATATAGACTGTAGGTTCCAAATACTTGCCTCCAGACAGCCAACCTCTAAGCACATGGGGTCGAAGGGAGCGCCCGTCCTCCGCACGGCCTCCAACATGGGGAACAGCACCTCCTGCCAGAACAGCTGGTGTGCACTGATGATGGACGGCAGGTTGGAGAAGAGCAGCAGAGGGGTCACCTAAGAACCAACAGAATCACACACACATGCATTATTCAAGTAGAAAAGAGAACCTGACTGAGAGCCTGCACAAACTTAGAAAAGACTCAGAGATCATGGTTTATTTGTATTTGCTTTTATAGTTCTCATACTGTAAATGTCAATAAAGTGTGTTTGTTTTGGAAAAGTCAAAAAATATTGTATTTTTAGACAGTGCCTTATTTTTGTTGTCCCTTGTTATAGCCTTGAACCTTGAACCTTGAATAGCATAATAATTGTAATAACAATAATAATCAGACATTGGTTGTTTGCGCACCCAAGCGCTTCACATGGCATTATTCATTCACTCCCTGCTGCAGACTGACTGAAGTGAGGCAACCAGTCTGGGCCATCAGCCTCTGTGACAACCACCAACCATTCACACACAAGCCAGACTCATACTAGTCAAAGTGGTTGTAGTGTCTTGCCTAAGAACACAACATCAGTTTGGCATTTTACAGTGACACAGCAGTAGCTCAGTTTGTTCTCTGAGTGGTTAGTGGTTTGAATCCTGCTACCAACACAAAAATCTGTGATTGAGTGGTCAGAGCTATAGATCTACTCAGAGCTACTGACCCTCTCAGATTTACTGACTGGTGTGAAGCTCCCATTGGTGAATGCTGTTGTGTGTCTTTGGGCAAGACACTTAGCCTGCTCGTCCCCAGTGTCTGCTGGCCTGCTTAGCAGGATCAGGCGCAGGAGACATTTATATAATCAAACAACAATAAGATGTAGATTTAACTGCCAAATACCAACTTAAGTGATAAGAAAAATGATTGGGAACCCAAACTGTGGCAGGTTTTATGTGTAGTAAGAACCAGAGGCAAAGGGGCAGATAGTTGTCTTCAGAGCACAACTCAAATGTTGCAGTTTCAGCACTGACCTCTAAGAGAAATCCATGTGTGTGCAGATGTAGAAGACACTCCAGGACCAGCTGTGGAGGACACACAGATCTTAAACCAGACTAAAGACTTGAAACACTCAACTCTAAATGTGAACGCTGCCTTACGTCTCGAATCACCAGGAGTTTGTTTATGTAGATGAGCTCCGTGGACACAAACTCCCACAATGCATCCTGTTGGTTCCTCTGCATCTTAGTCATTTTCTTTTAAACAATTAAATAGAAAAAAGGTAGATTATGGTTTGGGAACTTGTTCACTGAGACAATAACTGAGGCAATAATCAGCTTCTGATTCTTCATATTTGCAATAATAAATATGGCCTTTTGTAAATGAGATGAAAATCCCAGCGTAACATATTGATGTGTGCCCTCACCGCGTGTGAGTGTACAATCTCAGTCCAGTTGCTTTCAAGGCTGCAGCCGTGGTTCTGCTCGGCCCACCTCCAGCCAAGGCTCACAGGTACAGAGAAGGCCTCCAGATGGTGCCGCAGCAGATCCAGCTGACCAGGCACCTATCACAAATAACAAGAAAAATAATGTATGAAATAAATCATAAGTAGAGAGTAACTTGTGAGATTGCATTTGTTCAGGGCAGCTGTGGCTATAAGAACAATAGGTGTGATTAATGGGTAATTATTATACTTTATTGATTCCCATAAAGGATTTTCCATTGCTTTTGACCCAGCCTGCAGTATAGTGAATGTGTTGCATATGTACACCTCTTGACTAAAGAATAATGGACTTTTAAACTTTCACTAACGTGTGTGGACACAATATTACCTTACCACCAATTAATAAAGCAAGTAGTGAAGTAAAGTGCTTTGGGTATTACAAAATGTACTGTATGAATATCATTCATTATTAATATCAAAAGTAAAAAATAGACACAATTGAAGATGAGGTTTATAGTTATGCAACAAGAAAATATTGTTCACACTGATAAGAAATTAAGTGTGGAGGAGAGAGGGCATTGAGGTTCTTACAGTATATGCAAAGTACAGTGACGTCATTGCATTCCGACCTATGCTAGCATGAGCTCTCTTTGAGTCCACGTGTGTCACTGTGTGGGTGTCTTGCCCCAGGACACAACAACGACCTTTGCCAAGGTATACATGCCTGAATATTGGTGTTGATAAACTATACATTTATCTATTGTCCAATTTACCTAATAACCAATGATGAAGTGTTTGGCTGTGCGTGTGTGCGTGTGCGTGCGTGCGTGTTTGTGTGTGTGTGTGTGTGTGTGTGTGTGTGTGTGTGTGTGTGTGTGTGTGTGTGTGTGTGTGTGTGTGTGTGTGTGTGTGTGTGTGTGTGTGTGTGTGTGTGTGTGTGTGTGTGTGTGTGTGTGTGTGTGTGTGTCTTATAAACGTGTCTGAATGCGTTGGCAGCAGCAGGTTATTCACCTCTGGAGCCGGGTTCTTCTCCGTCTGATTGAACAGCACTTGTCTCAGAGCCACTCGAGGTTTGGCCCCTGCAGACGTCCCTTTGCTCACGGTGGAAAAGTCCGTCACCACCTTCTGCTTTGTGCGCCGCTGCAGAAGCAAAACACCAAAGACCAGAGTGGGTTAGTGTGTGTATACAGTATAATGCATTGTTTTAGACGCTTAAAAGATGGTGATGGAAGTGAAGCGGATGTCATTGTTTAGTCGTTCAGTTCATTAATCGGTTGATGGTTCCTACGTTCAGTGTTTCCCAATCAGAGGCGCGATGGTATTATTACAAGATGATTTTCAAAACCCGCAAAAATTGAAAGTAAGAGGTAAGTGCTGCTATGACATGTTATACATACTGTAATTTCGAAGCCAATTTTCTCAAGAAAACAACCACATCTTTTATTTTATTCTAAATATTGAACCCAGGACAGAATTATGAATAATAATTGGTGATGTAGGAGAGGCAATGACAAGCCTTCCTAACTTTTGATTAGGCTCTAGCATGCAGTCAAGTAAAATAAAAAATAAAAATGTGTCAAAATTCACATTATACATTATAAAACAAATCAAATAAAATGCTATATCAGATGCAAAAGATGTGCTGTAAAAAAGTATGAGACCTCGGTATAACAGTAAAGCTGAGTGGAGGCTTCTAACCAAAGCAGTTTGAGCTCTACGCAACGTGAAAGATTTCCTCCTCAACATCAGGGAGTACTCCTGCCCTGTCCATGCCGGGTTGGGGGTACATGGGGAAACAAAGGTTGGGAACCGCTGCCTTATAGTTGATAAAAACAAAAAAGAAATGTGTTGGTGGATGACAGCCTGAGTGTCTGCAGAGCACTTGTTACTGTGCGATGTATACAATTCTTTCTCCCAATGAAAAGAATCAAAATAACATGTCCATCAAAGGTCACGCTGATCTGGACGTGAGGTTGAGCAAAGATGGAGTATGAAACAAGAAAACCAATCTAAAGGACTTTGATATTGATTTCAGTGGAATTCAGTGGACACTTTCAGGTTTGTTTTTAATTAAGGAACAATGTTGCTGTTAAAAGCTACAAATAGATCACTTGGCTTAATACGTCTCTTTGACTTCAATATTGTCTGACAATATGGCCAACGAAATGCATTCTCAGAAGAACCAATCTTTTTTCGGCTAATAAGATGACAGAGGATTCAGTGCTGTTGAGTGCTGTTCTGATGAGCAATAGCAGGAAAACTATATTAAAGTGAATGACAAAGAGAGAAAAGATGTCAGTTTAAAAACAGGGAGTTTTTGGTCTGCTCAGTCATGCAAAGAAACCTACCTGATAACTGTAGAACTTCTTATGGCTCTCCGCAGACCCCCGGTGATGGAGGGTCGTCTCTGCAGTTGGAGACACGTCCCCCGGGTGATCTCTCCCCTCAGCCTCCCTCTGCTTCTCTGCTTCCAGGCTCCATGTGTCCCCCACCTCATCGAGGGACAGGCCGTTCAGCGCTCCGTTCACCGCTCCGTTCAGGTGGGCACCTGTGGGGAGGCTGGGGCAGACACATCCAATGTAACATCAGTATTATCTCACAGGTGTGTATGAATGGATTATGAATTATTCTGAATACTGGCTATAATTGAGACAAAACCATCAGTAAACTCATCAAATCCATATGAAAAATTAAATTAAAGATCACAGTGTTACATTTCTGGCGACTGGTTTTATAGGGTGCAGTGGTCGGCATTCTCGTCTCTCAAGAACGTGTTTTGTGGAATTTGCATGTTCTGCACACATCTGCGAATGTCCCCAACCACTAATTTAGGGGGGACTGATGACGGATTTAATACAGTAAGACAATCTCTCAAAACTGTAGGAATACCTGAATATTGATACAGGTAACGTGGTCAGAAAGCCCTGGTGCATTATTATCTTTAAATGACATTTAGAAACACGAAGAAAACAAAAAACTATAGCTTTAAAAGATCAAGGCACGACCACAACACATTCATAGACAAGTCTTCTGTTCGTGCCTGTGGTTTTCACGTTGTTTGACTTGTGAGCTCAAAGCAAAGGTGTGTCTGCAGCAGCTCAATGCCACATGTTTGCTTTGGGCTCTTTATGAAATTTTTTTTTTATCTCAGGCCTGTTTCCTTTAAAGCAGCAAAGTACTAGGCAATCACACTACCTCTTTTCAAAAGTGTCTTCCTTGTTTGTGTCATTTCTAATGAAGGAAGCAACGACCTGAACTGATCTAGTTTCACACTAATATGCAAAAGCTTGATAAACTTATCTATGATCTCTTTTCATAGAGATCATAGATTCATTTTTTCTGAACTGTGACAAAGGCCTGGATTCTTGCAGATTATGACAGTGGTATAAGCACATTACAATGTATTTGTGTGGTTAATATTTACAGTCTATGGGTTGCATGGAGGTTCCTTTGGTCAGTGCTAGAAACACTCATGAGGCTTGGTTTGAACACGTATATGACAGCAGTAACAGTGTGATGACTGCTTTGAGACAGGGCTTTGGATCATTAAACATCTACACTTGTGATGTTGTGTAGTAATGTAAGAATGTACATACTAATGCAGAGCCTGTAAAGCGTGTCAGTGCCTGTAGAGACTGTATGTTCACACGAGAGGAGCTCCAGGGAAAACCATAGTCAGAAAACCTAACAATCTAATTAGTTATGTTGATTATTGATGGATATTTTCATAACGGCACGGTGGCTGAGTGGATAGCACTCTCGCCTCTCAGCAAGAAGGTCCTGGGTTCGAATCCCGGCCGGACCAGGGCCTTTCTGAGTGGAGTTTGCATGTTCTCCCCGTGTCTGCGTAGGTTTCCTCCGGGTACTCCGGTTTCCCCTACCACTAAAAATATGTACAATAGGTCTGGCATGTGCCTCCTGTTCGGCGACCCTGCTCCCATTTCTGTGTGGAGTGAGAGACAAATGCCCAAAAAATGGCGGTTGTGAACCGCTTTGTGGCTCTGGTCTGTGAAAGGCGGTATATAAATAAAGCTTACTTACTTACTTACTTACTTATAACTGATATTGGTCAGAAGACTGTACGAAACAGACGTTGAAAGCACTACCATAGCACATCTGTTGTCGCGGCACCTACATGTGAAAGCCTGGTACTGTCCAGTCGTAGAAACCAAGCTGGGCAGGGCCTGGTTAGTTCTGTGACGGGAGACCAACTGCGGCTAAACTGTTGTTTCCTTAGGCAAGACAATTAGCTTACATTGTTGTGTGTGTGTGAGTGTGTGTGTGTGTGTGTGCGTGCGTGTGTGTGAACGATTGGTGGAAGTCGGTCAACGAGATCAGTCCAAAAATGTAAGCGATTTTAACCAATAGGTAGTTTTAACCATTTGTTATAGAAACCCTCAAAGCAGGTGAAATGAAATGAAATGTAAAGTAAAAATTGCTGTCAAAGAAACAATATTTAAATGGATGGCATGAATCCTTTATTCAGAACAAGAGAAACTTTGTTTTGTATTTGTCTATATATTGTGAAAAAAGGAACCAGGAACAGACAACTTTCAGATGTTGATGAACACTCTGTGGCTCGTATCAATCTTGTCTCTCATTGTAAATGTTGCAGTGTTTGGAGGATAGACATCAGTCAGATTGTCCTGTGTCACCTCTGACCTCTGCTGCTACTGCTTCAGGACACATATTTTTGGCTTCTGTTCAAATAAAGGCAAGGATCTAAGAAAACAAAGATGAAACTACTTACTGTTACTGTGACGTTTAGTCAATGATTGATATTTCATTATTCATTTCATTATTTTGTTAGCTACTTTTAGAATGATGTATTTATTTGTTCTGTTTGTTCGGATGAATGTGTTTGTGGTGCTTCTGTACACCTGCATTTCTCCTTTGGGGAACAATAAAGTATCTATCTATATCTATCTAGAAAAAATACTTGTAGCACATTTGAAAAAAAAGTACAAGTATATAACCTATAAGTTGCTTTACAATGTTCATTCATAATATTACAACTAATACTTTCAATACAAATCGCATAACCTGACAATTCAGGGACTGACAGACGTGTGACACTGGGATCAAAAAGTTGAATCTCTCGCACACGCAGGATGGATGCTCTAGTTTCCAAACCTTTTAATCTCTGCAGCCACAACATGTTAACAAGGTATTTACATCTCAACCCGGAATTTTTTTTTAAAAGAAGAACCAAAGCATTAGAAAGTACCTCTTTGTGCTGTATAATGCACCATGGGAAAGTGAATAGACCCAGAGAGTCTCACATGTGAAATCTATGGTTCCACATCCTTCACCTGACATCACCTGACACATGACTGTCTGAGAAGAATGTGACACTTTTCTCAGGAAGCTTGTGTATCTCAAGGAAAGTTTGCTCACAAATGGCGTCATGACCACAGACTGTATCATCTGACATTATGAAGCAGTAAAAGAAAAGAGTATGTTAAGTACTGTAGACAGCAGCTTCACTCAGAGTTAGAGGAGACACATGTTTTCATCGCAGCCAGCTGTCGTGTTCACAAATCCTTTCACCAGCTCAATGATCAAACAACTTAATAGTATGAAAATGTCTGGATACTTAAATGTCAAAATGTGTACTGTTTTATAGGAACATGTTTGTGATTAATAGATTTGGTAACTAAAAGAGAAAGTGACATTTCTGTGTAGCTGTTGTATAGTTGTATACATCAGATAAAAAGTTAATGTTTTAAATGGAATTTCTGAACTAAATCAAACCATTCCCCATTTGTTTTGTATTCATTAATCAAATTGCGAGGTCTTTTAATAATAAAAATATCACAACATCACGAGTCAGATTCAAACGATATAACGTAATGATTTTTTTTTTTTGGAGAATTCGTCCTAGAATAACTAGACTTAGTGAGTTGTCTTGTCAATCAATCAGTGCTTTAAATACGTCAACATAACAGCTCCAATATGTGAGACTGCTTTCCAACACAGACCACGGCATCCATAACGCAAATAATCCTACTTATTTCCACCAAAACTCTGCGAAACACATTTAAAAACGCCAAATATCTCACCTGTTCCTGGCTAGATCCATGTCTCTTTACGCGCTCATGTTTGGTTTCAGTTCTCTCCAGCCGCGCGTCTTGGCACAGCGCGTCTATGATCCACCCACCGCGCTTTCACCTGAGCACCGGGCCCTGCAGAACAACCTACCTGACTGGATCGACCGGATTTCGGCTTCAAATCTGTGCCGAGAGCTGCTGCCTGGAGGGGAGGGGATGGAGAAAGCGGGGCTGGTTAATGTGTCGCGGGTAAATGCTTAGAGGCGTTGATGGATACGTTTCTTCCTGCTCCTGATTTTTCCTTTAATTTTTGTCAATCAATCAAGTTTGTTGGTGATGGCAAAGCAAACAGGAGGAGAATGTCACTCGCAGTTCAATGCAGAGGGAAGAAAAGGCGTTTAAATATAAGATACAAAGCAAGTTTTTTGTTTTTTTGTTTTTGTTGTCTTTTTTAAAATAAGTTATTCTATGTTCAGATAAACACAAATAAATAAATGAAATAAAATAAAAAATAAAGTCAAACTCAAAGGGATGCACCAAAAAACAGAAATAGACAGTAAAAAAAAAATCTATAAAAACGCCCAATTTGATTTATAGTGGCTAATTGGTCACCACTTACACACCCTAACTGTTCTAAAATTATTAACATATCTTTAATGTGGGGTAATAGTCCTAAAGTATTAATCTACTCAAGTATAATAGGGGAAGTTACCAAATAATAAGAGTAAACCTGGCCTTTACAGGTAATTGGGTCTAAAGTTATATTTATAGCTAACAAGCTTGTACAAACTAACATCTCATTGTTATTTGAGTCTGGACAAAGGCATTGAGAAAGTGACCAAATCCTCAGCTCACAAACATGTACCTTTTATGAGTTTTGAGAGTCCTGGATGTAATTGTTTATGGATGCAATAATGTTGTGCTCTTGATGCCAAATGTCCCCATCTGGAAACAATAAAGGATTATCCCTTTTCTTGAAAACCAAATCGATTTCTTAATGAGATTTACAAGATGCGCACATGTTCAACTGATTGTTTCAGTTTGAGTCTAACCCCTTAGCGACAGGTCAAAAAAAAAAAACATGTACATATTGACCAAATTGCATTGATTTTTAAATAAAAGTTGTGATGTCATCTGAGAGATCATATCATTGATGCCCGATCAGGAGCTTGTATTCTTGCCAGCGCTAACATGTGAATGAGTGACTGGAACACACTGCAAGGAGGAAATTGATGTACAAGACAAAATAATATTCCCACAATGTTAGATAATGTAATGATGAAATGGAATGTGGTTTTCCGAGAATCCTTTCGTCAGGGTAAAATCATAGAGAACTCATTAAGCTTACAGTCATGTCAGCAGTTTTCATGTTTCTAGGGAAATATTTACAATAGTAAACATTAATAGCATCTGAAAAAGCATGTAGACATATTTCAAATATACTTTTATTTCTGAAAACACAAATTATAAAAAAAAATGAAGAGTATAGAATAAATGCCTCTTGTGGTAAAATGTGCACACACCACTGGAATAACACTGTACATACATACTACATACATAATATTGAATTGATATAATCGTTGAGTGTCTGTGTTTGTGATTCACTAACATGCCGAGACTGGCCTTGAGTTCTTGGCAGGGACCGAATAGGTGTGCCCTGGTTTTGTCTGTGTACTTGTAATGATGATGCGGCTAAAAGGAATGCAAATTAATAAGGCAGTGGAGATCCTGAAAAGGGGCATTTCAAAAGTCAACTTCACTCAAGTTTAAGTGCAATAAAAAGGGTGGACGAATGTCAAAATGTGACTCGATAAGTGGTTACTAAAGTGTCCACGCCCTCTGATTTGATGATCCAGTTTGAGCAGAATGTGAAGAGAAAAGCCTTTAAACATCTTTGTCATGGGAAGATATTGGATAGAAAACTGCTTTGTGTTGAGAGTGATGAGAAAAATAGTGGCTGTAGAGAATGAAAATCCAAATTGACAATAATACAGGTTTGCAGTGATTAGCAATGCTTCTAAGTCCATTCATGGTGATGATATATTTCATATTGTCCTTCTCCTTGACAAAACCACCAATAATGTTTGTTGGAGGAGAAGAGTTGAGCCAATGACACAGGCCCCGTCTGAGTATAAAGGATTTATTATGTCCAATCAGGAAGCAGCTCTCTTTCCATAATTCACCATTTTGACATTCATTTATTTACTAAGTGAGAGCTGCAGTACCCGTCTAAGTATGTGCTTGTTCACTGTTACTTAAAGGTGCAGAGCAGTTAGCTTAGCCGTAGCGCCAACTCGAAACCCTCGCCTCTCCACCAAACCAAACATCCAGCATTTTCTTTTCTTTGTCACAACAGGGAGAGTGGGTGGCTAAAGTGAAATTGGCCTTTTCTGTTCAGCCCTTTTAGGTTTTAGAAAATCCGATAACTCCGGTGCGCACACCGCAAGAAACAGGAAGAGGGTGAAGGGGGGTAAACGCATCCTATTGGTTAATTTTCATCGGTCCGCTCCAAAATATTTGTCATGAATTTTTGGAGACTATAGCATCTGGTCAATTCCATTACTATTTGAAGACGCATGATAACTTGACTACTTTTAGGGTTTAGGAACGTTTTCCCACAATATTTAAAAAAATGGGTCTGGAAAAAATCACTGACTGCATCTTTAAGGGAATGACTTTGACATGTTTGTTTGTACATTTATACTTTCACTTCTGACACAGCTGCACCAAACACACAGGGGATCTGAGATAACAAATTTCCCTATAACAATAAAGTAAACCTCAACCTTAACCATAACGTTCAAACCTCATAATAAGTGGATAACGGATTATGTTTCAGCAACTACATTTCTCACTTTTACACATTATACGTTTCCTCAATCTGCTAAAATAAGAGAATGACAAGAATCTCTCTTTAATACGTATCTCAGACAGAGATCATGTGCACAGCTTGATTCATTTGTGTGCAAAATGACAAATTAGACTTTGAGAAAATTCTAAACATCATATATAATCTAAATAAAAGCACCAGCTCACGTTAAAATCCAATAGTTTGAATAGTTTTCCTATCCCCAGTAGTTTGACTCCTTTACAGCAGAGAGATAGGATTTACTATGAATATAAAGTACATCAATCCATTCCTCAAACAATAGCTCCCAATATTAGCACGTTTTCCCGACAATAAAACAATATTTTATCGAGGATAAAAGATACAAAAATATGATTCTTCTGTGTAATACATAAAAGTATCCTGTTTAATATATATACTGCATATATACAGGTGAATCTCAGAGAATAACTTTCAAATATATATATTTTTCTGTAATTCAACTTCACTCAATGTGAAACCAATATATTTAAATTTAAATGTTCACATCACCAGGTTCGTTCAGATACATTGATCTTTTGAGTATGTCTTTGTGGCACAAAAGATTGACTCGCCACGAAGTTATGTAAACCTTATAAATGTTCAACTTTGCATTGATAAAAATTATTAGGATTGAACAGAGAATTTCCATAGTAGTTTTGTACAATATGATATTATATAGCAGTGTCCTAATTTACTTTTAAGATTTTAAGATTTAAGATAAGTAAGTAATCTTTATTTATATACCGCCTTTCACAGACCAGAGTCACAAAGCGGTTTACAATTGTTATTTTTGGGCACTTGTCTCTCACTCCACACAGAGATGGGAGCGGGGTCGCCGAACAGGAGGCGCATGCCAGACCTATTTTAGTGGTAGGGGAAACCGGAGTACCCGGAGGAAACCTGCGCAGACACGGGGAGAACATGCAAACTCCACTCAGAAAGTTCCTGGTCCCACCGGGATTCGAACCCAGTACCGAGAGTGCTATCCACTTTGCGTTGACTGCATTTTGAATTATCATAAAAAGTATTATTAATATTGTTGTATGTATTTATTTTAATAATATATATTATTATTTTTACACTTTTATTGTTCATAAGATTGCAGTATATAATCATAGTCATTATATAATATATTATTTACGTGTGAATTGTCGAGCCTGATCATGACTTACAGTCCATTGTCAAAATGGTTTTTTTAAAAGCTGTGAGCACATTCTCAACATTGTTACAAATCAGCTTGATGAGTTATTTTCATATTTTAAGTTGAATTTCAGAAATGAATGGACTTTTGAACAAATATTCTAATAATCTGAGTTTCATATATATCATGCCCTCTTTAAATACCCTCCAAAAGTGTAAAAGTCTATAAAAGGCATAAGTTGTTGATGGTGTGGCTCTGAGGTGAAAGTGCAGAGATGTTCAGGAGGTTGTACTTGTTCTCCAGCTCTTGGACTGTTTGCTCCAGATGCATGAGTCTCAGTTTGTGCACCAGTTCTTGCAGTTGTGGCAGATGAAGGACCCCCCCATGGACTCCCCCCTGGACCCCCCCGCGTCGCAGCTGGCCGCCCTGCTCGGCCCAGGCTCTCAGCATCTGGTAGTGGGCCTCTTTGGACGAGCGGTGGTCCAGCTCGGCGCGTTCGATCACCGTGTCACTGACGCCCAGAGACCTGACCAGCTGCTTCACCTGATGCACAGGAACCAGCTCCAGCAGGAAGTAGATGACCTCTGGCACTGCGCACCATGAACAAGACTTGTGTCAAAAGGCTGGTGTCAAGAACAATGCAGTACATAATGAGGCTGCACGTTTAATCACAATCGATTCACTGCAGCCGAGTACGGCGGCTGGACAAGATCAAAATCATTTCATTACATATTTTCCTTTTATCAACAGCAAAATATTGTTTTCTAGATCTGGCAATCCCTGTGTCAAAAACGTAAAGCAAGTATGGATCTAGTCAGCAGATAAATGAGCCAATTGTGGAAAACTCAACAGTAGATGAGGAGCAATGGTATTGTGGCATTTCAGAACACTGGTCTTTAAAGTGATTGTCTGGAGTTTGTCGGAAAAAAGAGAGAGGTACATGATTTGAAAAAAACCGACCCAAGCGCCCTCCCCCTTCCTTTCTGATTGGTCTACGCCGATACGTGCCCGTAACAAACAATCAACACATTCAAATGTAAATCGGAAAACACATTATACATATACATTACTAATACACATACACAGAGGTTTTTAGAAATATTTGTTAAGGTTTTCATGACAAAAATCAAAAGTTTTAATGCACAAAAAAAGCGACTGCGGTAAACATCAGCAGAGGATCTGATTATGGATATAGGTTCAGTATATAAATGAGTAACTCAGCGTGGATGTTCAGAATTCTTTGTTCAGTTTTAATGTAGCTCCGAAACCTAATAGAGGCTTGATTCGGAGGCTCCGTGAAAACAAACAACTGCGCATGCGCGCAGCTGCGAGCATCAGCGCCGATGATTGACAGCCCTTGGCATCACTTGATTGGCTAAAATCAACGGCATCGTCGATTCTGAACTATAGCTAAGAGAAGGGAAGGCGGGACTTACCCGTAATTCGTTATTAGAATTCATAAAATGACTTATTTTATATCAACATTTAAGGCCAGGAGGTCAATTTAATACAATTCTTAAAATGTGTAATTCATTTAGAGTTCCAGACTATCACTTTAAATGAATGTAGGTTCTGACTGTTTCATCTCTGTTTATTTCTCTTACTGTTTAGTTCCAGCGGGACACAGTCCGGCAGGTTGGACGCCTCCAGGTTCATCACATTATGAAGCGGAGACGCCTCGTACTGAAGACCCGGAAACGGCTCCTCGCAGTGAACTGTGAGCTCCTGCGGAACAGACAACAAAGATCATATTATATATACATATTTATATTAGTGCTGTCAGTTATAAGCGTTATTAATGCCGTTGTTTAACTGCGTCAATGGTTTTACACATTTAACAGGAGCACAAGAGCGTGGCTGCAGCTGCTCCTTTATGGAGAAGTGTAGAGGACAGAGGACCTCAGCAAAAGTCAGATCATGAATCATAATATATCATAGTTGAAGTATCTAAGAGCCTTGAGCAGCCAATGTTTATTCAGATTCAAAGTTTCCAAAAGAATATAAACAGAAAGGATATTTAGAATATAGATGTAGCATGCTACTAACTAGAAGTTAACTTTAAGATATTAAGATATTGAGTGAAAAAAATACATAAGCATTGATTGACATTTCAAGTCCATCTAACGGCTGTGGAAAAAGATAAATATATATCAAACCTGGTATATTTCTGGAGGTTCCTCTAACTGTGAGGAAGACAGCAGCTTTTTCTTGGTTTGACGTTTTGTGGCTAAATGAGTCACAACCACCACCAGCACCAGCATGAAAAGCACCGCCACCGCTACTCCAGCGATCACATTTATGAGAAAAGAACTTGTGTCTGGTGGAGCTGTGGCAAAAAAGTTACATTAATTTATTTATTTTATCATTTAATCATTTTATTTGAATCAACATTATTGTAAAATATGCCAGTCATAGGCAAGGTGTAATACACCAGCAAAAACACCCCAAACCTCACAATATAAAATACACAGACATTTTCAGTAAATGTAGATCAAATGTAATAATGCATAATATAATTTAAATAACTGGTGGTTTTGATACAGCTACAGAGGTCTTTAGATACATTATAAATAAGAAATATGCAGTCTTGGTGAGGGAGTTTGACTTTTCTGTTTTTGAAAGACATGAGAGTATTTATTTGAGACATTTTAAGAAACACTTTACAGCCGTCATATAGTAGTTATATAGTTTCATACTGGCAGTAGACCAGACACAGAAACACAGACAACTAAGATGGATGGCTAAGATTAATTTAGAGGCATGGCTAACCACTTCAAACCTGTTTGTATGTTGTTTCATGTTGTATGCAAAGTTACTAATCATTTTTAAAAAGGAGTAGAAATTACAGATAAAAGTCAGAAGTTCAAGTAAAATGTTTTCATAAGAAATACAGTAAGTAGTCAAGTAAAGTACTGATACCTGGAAAAACAACAGTATTCATTAGAAATACTTAAGTTACTCGTCCTCCCTGCTTAATAGAGAGTGAAGTATTTGTTTCGTCCCTCCAGAAAATACATTGACAATTGCCATATCAAATATCACTAAAGTGAGTAAATACTCAATCTGGAGAGACTCGAACTGACACAGCACGGGTATTAGAATTGTATGTTGTTTGGCAAGTAATCTGACACTACATAAACTACACATACAGTGCCTTGTGAAAGTATTCGGCCCCCTTGAACCTTTCAACATTTCGCCACATTTCAGGCTTCAAACATAAAGATATAAAAATTAAATTTTTTGTCAAGAAACAACAACAAGTGAGACACAATCGTGAAGTGGAACGAAATGTATTGGATAATTTAAACTTTTTAACAAATAAAAAACTGAAAAGTGGGGAGTGCAATATTATTCGGCCCCCTTGCTCTAATACTTTGTAGCGCCACCTTTTGCTGCAATTACAGCTGCAAGTCGTTTGGGGTATGTCTCTATCAGTTTTGCACATCGAGAGACTGGAATTCTTGCCCATTCTTCCTTGCAAAACAGCTCGAGCTCAGTGAGGTTGGATGGAAAGCGTTTGAACAGCAGTCTTCAACTCTTTCCACAGATTCTCGATTGGATTCAGGTCTGGACTTTGACTTGGCCCTTCTAACACCTGGATACGTCTATTTGTGAACCATTCCATTGTAGATTTGGCTTTGTTTTGGATCATTGTCCTGTTGGAAGATAAATCTCCGTCCCAGTCTCAGGTCTTTTGCAGACTCCAACAGGTTTTCTTCCAGAATGGTCCTGTATTTGGCTCCATCCATCTTCCCATCAATTTTAGCCATCTTCCCTGTCCCTGCTGAAGAAAAGCAGGCCCAAAGGGTGATGAGCTGTGTTGCTTTTACGCCAAACATATGGGTGAGAAACCTTCCTTTGCCAAACATATCGTTTTGCATTGTGGCCAAAAACGATTGTGGCCACGATTGTGTCCCACTTGTTGTTGATTCATGACAAAAAATTCAAATTTTATATCTTTATGTTTGAAGCCTGAAATGTGGCAAAATGTTGAAAGGTTCAAGGGGGCCGAATACTTTCGCAAGGCACTGTATGACACTGAGGGCACGATTACAGAAGGAAGAAGAGATTATGAGACAAAATCCCCCTGGGCCTAGACCCTGGCGGTGGTAGCTAGGAAACGGATGACGGAGCTGGCCTAGAACAAGGCGGAGATGGGGAGGAGGAGGGTTGTGGCTGCGTGGATGGAGCAACTGAAGCCTAGTTCTCCTGTCTTCCAGTCTGAATTTCCGCTTTAGCTTCATGAAGAGGGCAATTCTGAACAGTTTCAGAATGCAATGATCTGCAACTTTCATTATTATATTTATTTGTGATAAGGTACAAACAAACAAGATTCAAATAGTTTTTTAAAATACTGGAATCTTTGTGATTTTTCAATACATTTAAAGCATTATATATTCTGCTATTTTGAGTGTGGGTTGAGTGACAGAGTGTGGTCTTAAACATCCCATTACCTTTGGTCGTCTTATTGCGTGGGCAGTGGACTGAGCATTCACTGCTGCAACTGTAAAAAAGAAAACATCCCATCATCAAAGGGGGAAGCGGAACAATGTGAGAGGAAGAGATAAACAGAAGTACAGCTGCCAAGGGAAAATCTGTGTTTAACAAAGTAAACTCTGAAGAATAAATCATCTATGTTGTTTAAAGCAGCTCTATGTAACTCTAAGCAGGTCTGATGTGACATATTTGTGCTGTTTACATGAGTGGTTCCCAACCTTCTATGCACCGTGTACCCCCTCACCAGTGTAGACAGAGGACCCCTTTACTGTAACACCAATATGGGAATTAGATAGTTGTGTATCCGTGTTATGATTCTAATATGTTCTGATTGTCTCTTGATGTGACACGTATGTCTTTCCATGTGTGATGTATGTGTGACGTAACATTGACTATATAGAGCTTGTCCTGACTTTGTTCTCTCTGAAAAAACTGAAAGAAGCTGAGAATAAACTTCCAGGTGGCTCTGGTGCGTAAAGATCCCGTCTCTGTGAGGTTGATTTTCCACACCAATGTCAACATTTTAACATTTTTGCTTATATTTAACATTTTATTATTGAGGGCATGTTTGGACTTGTAGACTATTGCCATTGCAGACTGATAGAGCGTTTATTCATTATAATTGGCCCTGGTTCAATGTGATCAATAATATAATCTTCTTAGTAACAATGTTCACAAGTTTTGAAAATAGTACCCGCTGAAGTACCATTGTGATACCACTCGGGGACAGTGTACCCCTGGTTGGGAAACACTAGTTCACACAATCAGGCAGGAATTGAATTGCTTTGGCCACATATTTGGGAGATTATGGATGATAATGATTTGAATCAGTCCAGGAATTTACAAGACTTGGAGGGTTATTTGTAGGAGAAACATTTTCTTATCAAATATTTCATCAAGAAACTGTATGCGCAATTCTGGGAGTCATTTTGAGTGGAATTGTTTCGTCATTGTTCTAAATGTAAATAGGACAATATATAATGCACTCGGTGCATTATGGTGGTTTAATAACAATGACAATCACGATCCAATGTGTATTACCAGAAACTTCAAGCCTGTGACACATGTCACTTTAAATGAATGCTTTTTGTACCTTTGTACCTTGATTTGTACATGAGACTTATAATCAGTGGATGTTCATAAACTATGTCCTCAGAAATCTTTTACATAAATATGAGCGACTCATTTAATTAAATATCCATTTTAGATTTTAAGAGGTTTCGCAATAGTAGTTTTACAAATGATTATTAATACTTTTTGCTGACTGTAAAGGAAAAACACAGTGTTAGCTCCAACTAACTTCCTAAAAGATTTGTCTAAAACGGTACTAGACCAAATAAGAGGAAGGTGAGTAAATACTTGTTGCAGGCCACACACTTGTTCTTCACTCTGTAGTAGTTGTCTTTACATTCACACACTGTATTTGACACAGAGGAACCTGAAACACACAAAAACATTTACCAATCACACTAAAAGAGCATTATGCTGCATCTACTGTATGACAGTATTCTGGGGGCGAGTGTGGGATAATAAACATTCTTAGCTATGAGTGGGGGACCAGAACCAGTACCTTTGAAACCACAATAAATAGAACTAAAATGCTCCTTGTTCTCAAAACTGTTCTCACTAGTTTTCACACAAGCATGTAAAGCCTGGTTCACACGAGACGATTTTAAAATTGTCGGCCAATTTTTCTCCGTGTTAGACCCCACACGGGGAGATTAAAAATCCTGCGTCTAACCACTTTGGTCGTGCAGTGTGTGGTGCGTAGCCACACGGCAAGATCACGCAAGCCACAAACATCACACACGAACCGACACCCCCCCCCCCCCCCGAGCATTCTCAGGTCAGACGGAAATCTCACAAAATCTCTCGAGATCAAGCGTGACTTCAGAGTAAACAGTCATGGCGGACGAAGAGGATGCAGTGGCGATAGTGTGCAGTTTGTTGTTAACAGAGAAGAGACGTAATCCAAAGAAAAGGCAATGGTCAAAGCCATGCTGCTGTGTTTTGGTTTTTTTCCGGTGTTTCCTCACCGGCTTGTCACCTCGTCTTCTTATTGGCTACACGCCGTAGTCATGGCAACGCGCTCGCTTGTCCTCGGAGGACACCACACACGACAAGAAATCGGGCCAAAACAATCCAACATGTTGGATATCCCCGATTTGAGATCGGGAGCAGTCCCGATGTCCTTCCGAGCGACGAGTGCAGTCTTAACACACCAGACACGGCAGGATAATCTGTAAGATTTTGTTACGGAAATCGGAGCGTTTCTTAAGATTGTCGTAAGGGGTAAATCGGGTCTAAATCGGCCTAAATATCCTGCCGTGTGAACCAGGCTTAAGTCGGTCTCTTTCAGTTGTTTCTGTACAAAAGAGAGTACCAGCCCTGCCTCAGCCAATCACATCTCAGAATGTAAAAGAAAACGTTTCCTAATAAGATAAAGCATGTTGACGTCTGGTTTACTTTGTCTGTTGGGACACATATAATGTATAATGTAAAAATGTAACACATGAAAGAGTAAGTTAGTGTCACTCACATTTCTGGACTTCTCGCTCGTTGTCTTTACAGGTGGAGCATTTGTAACATTCGTATGTGAGGTTGTCTATGTTGAAACGGTAGTATCCGTCCTTACAGCGGCAGACGGCATCTTTGTTTCTCACACAGGGGGATATCTGGATTTCAAAGAGAAAATCTGTCGACAGAGAAATATGTTCACATGTGACTCCTTAAACATGATCAGGGGTCTGTAAGCATTTGCATCAAGGTTTGAGATATTAATAGAACAGATATTTTGAACGAAGCAATAGCAATGAAAAAAATACATTCAAACTAATCTTCCACAGACTGGCAGAAGATGCCAACATACTCGGGTGGTTTTATCGATCTGTATTTGGACTTATTCCCTTTGAGACTTTGCAGTGTTCTCTTATACTACAGCCCCGCTGGATATCGCTCTGATGTAATCTGAAGCCTTTTTCCCATTGCAGCCCCTGCTTTTTAGACACATGTTGAAATGGCCTGTGTCGGCTCGGGTTTTCACCGACGTATCACAATAAAAGTGTCAAAACCAACAAGTGACTTTCAAAACAAGTCTTCTAAAGTCACAGTGCAGTGCACCAAGGACATTATAGTGGACTATAGTCCATCCACATGGAGTGAAACAGACACTTCAACCCCTTTTTCACAACATTACTGAAGGAAAGAATAGAGCATGCAAAACAGAAGATAGTTAAATAGGAGAGAGTTTAACTCCTCAGACATACTGAATGTAACATTAGATTTGTAGTACTGCGAAGCTTCCCATCACGGCTTAAAGACTTTATCATTCACAAAGTTAAAGATGTCTCCAGGAGTGAATGGACACATGCTCCAAACATCATGAAAAATGAGGGCCGTTTCCACAATGAGCAACTATTTAAAGCAAAATGCTTCAAATCAAAACATCTACTGACAGGTAACAATAGGTAACAATACCTCTTACATATAACAATACAATACCAATAACAATAATAAATAAAAGAGATAAAGCATTATCTATGTTTGGACTCTCTCTGACTAGAACAATGGAGCGATCAGTTCTGACCACTCGCTTTGTCCCGAGGTCACAGCAAATTATTGCCGTTCAAAGTAGGACTGTCCAAAGTATCAAAACATGTTAAATCGATACTATATATAATCCATAAACAGAAATCACTACACTAAAACAAATATTCAATACCCAATTTTGATACCACAGCAATTATTTATAAATGCTCTTTTCAGACAATAAACTGTCATTATTAGGTTCTTCTGAAGTTCTTCTTATAGGGGAAATGATTAAGAAAAGCTCAAGAAATTCTCAAGAAATGTCAATTTTGTCTTATTTTTGCAATTATTTTTAGTGTTGCAACTAAACTAGTATTGCAGCTTAAAATTTGAATCTCGTTTTGACACTAGTTTAAGTGGTCGAGACTCGATACATGTTTGATACTTTTGACAATCCTACAATGATACAAGACAGACATTCAACTTCTCTGAATAGTTTAAGATAAAAAAAAAAAAATCTATTTCAGAACTTATATAAAGCCACGATAAAAACACTTTTAGTTCTATTTTCACTGCAGAAAGTTCTAAGCAAAAGATCATAAGTTCACTTCAGTAACTGTAAGTACCAGTAAGTTACTATGAATGTATATTGTATGGAAGTGGATGACTGAAAATGGGATATGACTGATTTTCAACGGAGCACTTGATGTTGCAATGTGGTTTTGAACATAATAGAGAATCTTTGTATATTGAGACTTCTGTGAGACCAAAGCAAACCTGCATGTCATGTGGCTTTGAGGTCACAGGGAGCAGGTGCATGTGTGATGTGCATGTGTGATGTGCACGTGTGATGTGCGCTCACCTCTGCAGCGTTTGCATTTGCGACAATTGGGCGAGTAGTTGACCCTATCCATGAACTCTCCCTTCGGGCATTGCGTGCAGTTTGTCCGGGTGTTTTGCCCCCGGCAGTTTTCTACAAGCTTATAACCTGTGAAGCACAAAACAGGCTTGTGATGACAACAGTACAGTTTATGATAGAAGTAAATAACCTTCCGGGATCAGCAAAATCTAAGTGCTGGACTCCACGGCCGCGTCTCCGTTTACGCGCGTAGGATGCTGCCCGTCAGACGTCCGTAAAACGGAATTGTGGCCACACCGGCTTCAGCAGTGCGCAGCTCTGGCTGTGCGTTTATCAGCACCCCGTGAGGCTTTGTTTTAAATAGAAGAAGCGGTGTGTGATGTGCATGAGCTGTGGCTATGATCTCTGCAAAGCACAGCATATTGAAGCATCGAGGACAGTGCTTCAAGATGGATGAGGCAAAACTTATTGAAAACAATTGGAAAAAGGGGAGAGAGAGGGGGCGCGCCTCGGAGGTACATGGGGACAGAGCGAGAGCAAAAAGAGCGAGATGTATGTAAAGTTTAGCGTGAGAGCGAGTGCGACCGGAGCAAGACAGGGAACGAGTGTATGGCATGTTGTTTTTGGGATAAACAATAAAGCCCCACTCTTGAGCAACAGTCCGGAGTGTCCTTGAATGTGTGTCACCACGCTTTTGACAGAGGGTAAACAGAAGGGGGTTACGCCCCGGAGGAACGCATCCCTTCTGCCCTGGAGCAACAAATCTCCTCTGGGAGAATACCAGGCTTTTTTGAAAGCGAGTCAATATTAATATTACACAAACAATAACTGGTAGATTTACGATCAGGAAACAACTATTTCACTTTGAATATAAATTACACACATTTGTTAATTAATCATTGTCATTAACAAACACTTATAACCAAGAACTACAGCATATATCAATACATGTATTATAATGTAGTAAATATGTTTTTCCATTGGATTTCCAATGGAAAACGAACCAGACACGCGTCGACATACGTCTATTTCGTCCGTCGGCGTCCGTTGCACCCTGCGTGGACGGACTGCTCCCTACGGACGTTATACGGACGCATGTTGCAGGCAGTGGAGCCACTTCCATTCGCCCTCATGGAGAAAACGGAAACGGAGATGAAACGGACACGTTTGGACGGATACCTAGTGCGTTTTACGCAGCCAGTGGAGTCGGGGCCTTAAATAAACAATGCTGATAACAATATTGATACCAATGATATTGATGCATGCACAATATAAATGGAAACATTTCTGAACTTTGAACATTGTAAAGCGCTTTGAGTGACCTTGGTCTGTACAATGTGCTTTATAAAAGATTACTTACTCACTATTCATAATAAAGTCATTTCTGAAGACACGTGCTCCCGATTTAAATTCAGATAAATTTTTCTTCCCATTTGCAGTAAACCCACGTTGGAATACATGTACAAAAATACTCCAATGTGCACCAGACTAACATACTGTATAAGGCAAAAAAGCTAAAAAGTACAAGAAACAATTGTCACTGTGAAATCTATCCACTATAACAGTTTTGCATTGTTTCCACTGATAACAACTTGTGGGAAGAAACTGTTAGAATACTGAGATGTCTTGTATCTCAGCGAACAATATCTTCTGCCAGAGGGAAGAAGCTGGAACATGGCTTTTCCAGGGGTCAGAAGAGTCCTTGATTATTAAGAGCTCAGTTTAGAGTCTGGATTCATAAAGAACTTCCAGAACCGCTCACAGTCCACTTTACAGAGCGGTTAAGAGCTCTCCTTTCTTTAGCTGTGATGTTGCCAAACCAAACAGAGCCACAGAACCCACAACAAGCAAACTTTCAATGGTGCAGCAATAAAAGTTAGTCAGATCTTAGAGAATCTTAGAGTCCTGCATGTAAAGAGTCCTGCAAGCTAAAATGTAAAGATGTGAAGACAAAAGACAACTTAAGACTCATGTTGGAGACCTCGGTTCATACACACCTGCAGGGCATCTTTCACAGCATATATTGTCGTTTGTGAGATAATCTCGTTCTTCACACACATGGGCGGCGGCAGCAGGGATGGACAGGAGCTGGAAAAGATAGGAGAGAATAAATTAGTCAATATATGTTGGTGAGAGCGGTGTTTGGAATCGATAACTGAACTTTATCTAAAGTGCTGCACACAGCGCCAGTGTCCAGTGTAGCAGCCTGTTTCCCTCTCAGCTCCTTTCTGGTTTCAGGGACCACTAAGAGTCTGCTGATCCAACCCCTTTTCAAAATATATCCATACACTTACAGTACTTACTCACCTACTACAATCAGGTCAGCCAGATGTAAAGCCAATTTATAAAAAATTTATGACTATACAAACTATACAAAGTTACTATGCACACACACACAAAAATGACATGATATGATGGCATGTCATGGGCTGCCCTCCTTTGGGGAGCTACTTGGAAGGGTGACTGGTAGGTTAGAGACCCTGTTGTAAACACTTTAGCATAACAGAACACTTATATCTGCATTCTGGGTCGACCACGACGGGCCTTCACCAGTTAGAGAAAATCAGAGCAGTGGATGAGTTATAAAGAGAGATGATAATGCACAGGACAATAGAGGAGCTGAGGAGCTCCTTCAGTGGAAGACTGGCACCCTCAGTGTAGGAGCGCCACCGAATTTCTCACCAAGAGAAGCAGTGTCCAACAGAAAGGTGCTCTAAGTATGATCACACGCCTGTTGTTCCCCAGCGCCTCCATCTTCTGCCATGAGAAGCAACCTGCAAAAGAAAATATTCAGTTCATTGAAGTCCTCTAACATAGTATAGTTTAGGTATTTGAGCCAATACACACAATACACAAAAGTTTGATAAATACAATTCTGTGTAAACACAGAAAAGTTTCATAGTGCACCTTAAATTATATGTATACATATATATTATTGAGTTGATAATGTGCAGACAGTCAGCCTTTTAGTCCCAGATGCCACTTACACAATACTTCCTGTGCCTTTACACTTAGATTTCCCCACATTGACACTCACATGACTCTAACAAGTTTGTAATAAGTTCATATCAGCTGGGGTTTTACCATGGATCTATTATAATAACGGGTTTTACACAAGGCCTATTAGCAGAACAATGAGTAAATAAACTTTTCTCACACTTCGCGTTGGTTTCTCTTTTGGCAGCGCACCACAGAACGCCCACAGAGCGCTCACGACAGATCACTATCTGTTCACCACAATCACACAAATACTCTTTTATCGCCACTTACGTGAGTCTGGGAGAGGGCCGGCCAGTGGGCTTCTTCGCCTCGTTCACATTATACCACAGATGTTTATTTTCGCGGATAAATCCAAACACGAGCTTTGGTGAGTTTCAGACAGATCTGCCCCACAGAGCAGGAGGCGGGCCGACCGGGAAACCGCCGCGTCACCGCCATGGACTGGAACTCACTGGAACATTCAAGGAATTCAGCCTCTGCTTGGTCTGCACTCTGCACTCTGCAATGCACTGCACTGGACTGCACTGGACTGCACTGGACTTCACTGCACTGCACTGGACTGCACTGGACTTCAGTGCACTGCAATGCACTGGACTGGACTTCAGTACACTGGACTGGACTGGACTGGACTTCACTGCACTGCACTGGACTGGACTGGACTTCAGTGGACTGGACTGGACTGGACTGGACTTCACTGGACTGCACTACACTGGACTGGACTGGACTGGACTTCAGTGGACTGGACTTCACTGGACTGGACTCGACTGGACTGGACTATCATAAGTGCACAATCTGAGCGGACAGACTGGAGAACTGTGCGTATGGCCAAATATGCAGAATCTAGAGCAGTGTGAAAGGCATAGGTCAATCCATCACTGTGGTCTCCTGCTCCAACAGAGGAACTGTGGCGTCACTACGTGCACGCGCACATGCGTCGTGTTTACTTTCCGCGCGCACGTGCCTGTGAAGCACGGGCCCTCACCGCAGCTCTGCTGAATTCTAATTTACAACAGTCTTTGTACATTAAAGCATGTAGCATCAGCTCACAGCCTTGTGATTAAACTTTGGTCTAATTACTTTGCAACATCTATAAATGAAACTGTCTGCTTTAACATTTGCTTAAGCTTCTCATGTAGGCCAAGCTTTTGTTCAGTCTTTATTCAGATTAAGAAAACTTTATTGATACCAAAAGGCAATTCATTTGCAGCATAATCTCAAAGCAGAACACACAGACTCTACACAAACACACAGTTCACACAGCAGCAGGTTACACAATCTAAGTTAAAAACAACAATGAACAACACAATTCCCAAAAGTCAAACACTTATTCTCATGTTTTGGGACAGACACTGTGTCTTTTGATTGAGTTGTGCATGTTTTGGTTGGTTAGTTTCTGCTCTGGACCTGTGGAATCATTTTTGCAAATTCAAATACATTTTATATATAAAAAATATAAAAAATAAACAGTTTGCATGTTCCTATTGTGAATAATAATCACAAATAAATACAATATTTTGAAATATATGCATTTTATGCCATTTTGTGAACAATTGTAGCCAAAGGGAGATTACCATGGCAATAAACAGCCATTTTCTTCAGATAATAATGATAAATATTATCATCTGAATAACTGAACATATTGGTTCTGACCCACATTGTCACTAGTATCTATTTAATATCTCAAGCTCAGTATTATCCATTGTTGCACCAAAAGTCTCCTCAAAGATCCGCATCATCACCGTGGTCCTCCACTACTGCTCCTGATGCAGAGGACGTATTTTAATAAAATAGGAATAACCCAAATGATCCAAGTTAAAATACAACCTCATAATATTAGAAATGTATTTGAGGTATTTTTATTTTTAAAAAATGTCATTTTTTTAATGACAAAAAAACATAGCAATGTTTTTTGTTTTAATTGCCGGAAAACTGAGTTTTGTGCAGAAACGTGGTCTTTGTGGCAGAGCTGTGCTTTTATCTCATCTGCATTGAAAAGGACACAGGTTCTCAGTTTGAGTCACTGCAGCGTGGCTTTTAATAAACTGACACTTCCAGTCAGTCTCTGCTCAGAGCGTCTCATCACCGACAAGGTAAGAGCATATGTTCAAAATGTAGAGTCAACTATTGAAAACATTACATATACATTCAGACTTTTTAAGTAATATGTGTATGTGTGTATTGAAACCTTGTTGTTGTCCTAGATGATTGAAATTATTAACACTACCTTGTCCCTATGGACCAGTACACATGTGTTCTATAGTTTTTGTCTTAACTGTTGATTCCCTGAACTGTGTTGGTGATTTTAATGATTTTGTTAAGTCCTCTGAGATGACTGCTGTTATGATTTAGGGCTATACAAGAATAAATTGTATTGTATTGTATTGTTTTGTGTATACACTAGTGACTTCTGATGGAAGTTATACAGAACTCTTTTATATTCTAAGTAATTCTTCTTCATGTTGTTCCTAGATGGATCGCTGGGGCATCACCACTCTGACATTATTGTTTATTTGCACATTCATCACCGTTGTGGTTTCTCTTCACTGCAGTTCAACAGAGTATCCATGGCCAAGTGGAAAACCTACAAGATGCTGCAACAAGTGCCCTCCAGGTAAATGTCCATTTCGTCAGATGAGGACAATGATGAACACGAACGCTAATATAATGCAATGATAGGAACACTGCTGACCCTGCCCTTGTGCCAATCACCTGTGATGGTAATAATGTGCAATACTATATTTTCTTATAATGAGTTCTGTGTATTCTGTCCATGTGACTGTGGTTCAAGATTCACACAACAATAAATTATAACCATGTATTTGATCTTGATACAATCTCTTGCAATGTTAGCAATTCATTTAATTTTTTCATTAGTTTATTTATTTTAAACATGCACAAGACACAAACTATTTTTCACTGGAAAATATGATAAGAGAATGATCTAAGCATTGTTTGTGTCAATTAACAATACCCTAACAAAGTTTAATCCCCAACCAGGCAAGTACATGGATCGTCGTGATAGTGAGACGTGTTCCATAGACTGTGAGCCCTGCACCGGCCGCCGCTTCACCGACTCCTATAACGTTGGAACCTGCAAAATCTGTGACGACTGCAAGACGAGTGAGTTGGGCTGAATTTTGACTGTTTTTAAAACTACAGTATACAACATTCTTCATAGGAACTGAATAGCCAATTGCCTTGTTGAGACTTGAGAAAACAGGCCAGTCACAGCATTTACCAAATATGTTGTCTGTATCGAGAGTTCATTTGCATAAACAGATGTCTCTGTTTGGAACATTTGTCAGTTGGATTCCTCTTGCTGCAATTTTCAACAAGTTTTGTTATTTGCAGTAAATTTGAAAGTATTTACTCAAGAAGGGATGAAACTTTTATGGTATGGCAATTTGTAAGCCTTTCAAATATTTCCATTATGGCCCTAATGCAAAATGAACTATTAATTTCAGTTTTAAACAATGGTCAAACTCACCTTAATCCCAACATAAAGTCCTATTTTAGTCTCCAGTTAAGTCAAATTATAGTTGATTTACCTCAGCTATAGTAGTTATATCTGCATTTGATGCATCTGTGCTTCGTGTGGTGGGAGAAAAGATGTGGTAGATATTCACACACACATCAGCCATGGGGCAGTTTGTGGCAAAATGTGAAAGGAAAAAACTTTGAAAAGATACAGGAAGCAGGTGAGTTTCTTTCTAAAGTGGTATGTCATTTGAGAAAAAGGCTTTCCACTTCAGGCCCAAGAAACATTTTGATAATCATACAAACTGTTTCTTGTAACTACTTTTTCCAAATCAAGCATGGAAAAGCAGCATTATTCCTGCTTCCATCTCTGTGTGGAGTGAGAGACGAATGCCCACAACAATTAGCGCTCAAAGTCTTGTGACTCTGATCTGTGTAAGGTGCTATATAGATAAAGATTACTTACTACTCTACTTTTAGAAAGTAGAAAGTGATCTTTATCTGTATAGAGCCTTTAACAGATCAGTCACAAAGCGCTTTACAATTGTTGTGGGCATTTGTCTCTCACTCCACACAGAGATGGAAGCGCGGTTGCCATAATGGGAGCGAGGTCGCCATAATGGGAGCGGGGTCGCCATATTAGGAGCGGGGTCGCCATAATGGGAGCGGGGTCGCCATAATGGGAGCGGGGTCGCCATATTAGGAGCGGGGTCGCCATAATGGGAGTGAGTTTGGCATTAAATTGAATAGAGATGCTGACACATGAAGACAGTGCTATTCTTTACATCTGTAGGTGTTTTATGTTGTGTGAATCATAATTGTACATTGCCCTAAATGTTTGATTAATCACAGTTGGAGAGCCTTAAGCTACTCTGACTGTCTGCACTCAATTATTTCACAAATGTTACCGGAGAAGGCAAGGGGGTTTCCTATTCATGTGTTGTCATCTGTTCTCACAAATATAACTCCTTCATCTGAAAGATGTTGTTGTTGTTACATGGCAAATAATATATAGTGACCGGCTGAGAAAGGGTCATCTGGTCTTCTTACTAGAAGTTCATAGTAGTTTCTTTTCAAACTGTTAAGATTGAAACGGGTTAGAAACGCTCATGACTCCCTGCAGCTTCCTGATTGGTCGAAACTAATTGAAATCCTCCAGGCCCCTTGTTATTTGTTTAACTATTCTCCTCCAGTGGAAGAAAAATTATGTCAAGTAGAGGGACTATTTGAAATGCATTTTTGTACTGATGTTTTGATTTCTGAGCTGTAGCACGTTGAGATGTGTTCGCACATTAAATGTGTTATAAATAAAATGTATTATTATTATGAAAATGACAGAACCCCATGGTCAAAAAGTACGTACTTAAAAAAAATATATAGAATACAAATAGCTGACATCCCCTTTAACGTGTAGTGATTGGAAATAATTCTTTTCCACATAATCTACACCTATGGGTTTATAATAGGTTTATAATAGGTCGTTCATTATGGCTGTATCGAATTATAGTGCATTTGATGAACCAGGAAGTACAGTGTTAGCATGCAAAACTCTACTGACAATGACATGAATCATTAAAGTTGAGAAATACTTTTTTTGTTTCTTTTGAGGGAAATTCCTTCTTTGCATTTGAACCCCTTCAGTAATGTTGGGACGTGTCAGGTTTCCACAGAGGGAGGATTCTAACATGATGCATGTTTGGGGTTGATGGGAGAAACCAGAATGCCCAGGGGCATGTGTGAAGTAGAGGTTGGCAAAACCTCATAGCCAAGGATAAAGTTAAGGTAATTTTGTGGAAAAGCCTCAGTGATAGTCCTTGTTTAGATCTGGTGATACTCAAGAAGTCATATATTTTCCAAGACACAATTCTGTGTGAAAAGTTGAGTCTATTGAGTTGAGGTTGCTACATTTAGAGAGGAAACCACAATTAATAAGCGGTTCTTCAAAGGAATGTAATTGGCCTTCATAAAAATCACATGCAGCATTTGTTTGATCTCGTTTGACAGCTGCACAAGCAGAAAGTTGTGGGACATAGGGCCCTATGTCCTACTTAAACCTGTAGCTCTGCACATGACCCACACATCCGACTGAAGACCACAGACCAAACCAGACAAAAACATACAAACACGCTGCAATGACACAGATTCAGGATTGGCTTTTGTGATGCATTATGTTGTGCCTTCTGTCTAGTCGCAAAGTGGAAAGCATATTTTCCCCCAAAGAGATGAAAAGTTGTTTGGATTTATACTTTTCTAATACTTCTGCATAAACTACTGTATCTATAGAAGCATTTTATTCTGAACCCTTTCCCACACTTTGTTTTGAGATGCTGGGGTACACCTAACCTTTCTTTTTGATATGCTGAACAAGTCTTGTTAGAGTAAAATGTTAACAATGTAAACAAATCCACAACATGCCGTCTTCATCTTAGAAAACATGTTGTCTTTTGCATCTTCATAAGACACAGCCGTGTGCGTCACTATTTGATGCTTTGGGCTGATTGGCTGAGTGAGAGTGGTCCTCTCTTTTTCACTTCTCTGTCTGAGAACTAGTGATAGTGTCAAAATAAATAGTTTCAGAGCCAGGAATAAGTCCAATGGTTTTTACTTTTTATTTTCATGGAATCATGCAGGTGATTTTTCATCTCAAAAGAATATTTTCTCACAAACTGCCATTGGGCTTGGCAGTAGTTCAAACCATTATAGTAGATAGAACCATTATAAATATTCACCACTGTTACCAGTCAATTCCTACCAAACAAAGTAATCACTAAGGAAGAAAGTATCCGCTGGGTAACGGCTGCAAGTCCTTAGTAGCTCTGATTAACAGTTATTGTTTTGTGCTTTACAATTTTTGTTTTTATTGCCTTTTCTGCCTGAGATGTTGCTTCAGTACAATGTGCAAAGTTTTGCACTGGTCCAGACCGGAGCAGAGAGGATTCATGGTCCGAACCAAGTAGATCAGCATTTTACTTTGGACTAGAGCAGAGAAGATGATCTAAACCAAGCGGCTACTCCACCTTTTGATGTGTCCTGCTCCAACCAGAGGCTACTCCACCTCTGCTGCTCTAACCTGTCCTGCTCCACCCATAGGCTACTCCATCTCTGCTGCTGTGACCTGAAGGGCTGTGGCTGACTATTACTATTATCTTTTTTTAGAATGATCAATTTTATTTTTTATTTTTGCTACTACTGGACACCTGAATTTCTCCTTCGGGGGATCAATAAAGTATCTATCTATCTATCTATCTATCTATCTATCTATCTGTCTATCTATCTATCCTTGCACCTCACTCGTTAAGATTTATGTTAATGTACTCTTATGTTGCAGAAAACAAGGAGGTTGTTTCAAAATGTAACAGCACTCACAATGAGGTTTGTCGGTGCAAAGCAGGATTCACCTGTCCTAAAGACAAAGCATGCGACTACTGTATACCAGCCACAACAGTGCCACCTACAGGAACCCACAGTACTACGAATACCCACAGTACTACGAATACCCACAGTACTACGAATACCCACAGTACTACGAATACCCACAGTACTACGAATACCCACAGTACTACAGGTATGGGCCTCTCAGACGGCACAGCATATATACGTATGTTTATTATGTCTATCTCTTATCATATCTACCTGAACATTGAGTGGTTTTGATTAAGTATTGTTTCATTCTGGGGTTAATATTGGGACATTGACACCATGTTTGCTCTACTTTACATGCATAAATGCTCTTTTGGTGCAAATTGACATGGCCATTTTCAAATATTCACTCTTTAGGAGCTTTTGACAAAACCATGACATTGCCACCGCTGTTATTTTGGATCATGTGTTCATTTCTCTTCTCCGTGCTCTACCACTGTGGTCCAAGTTGACCTTGTTGGATCATCTGTTCATGTAATCAGTTAAAATTTCATATTTCTCAGTCTTTTTGATCCTCATGCATGTGAAACCGTAAACTAAACCCTTGACACAAGCCTATGTGGCATCAGGATGGGTCAAATGCAGAGGATGAATTGCCCTATGGGGATTAAAAAAGTGCACCTTTACCTTTAAATAAACTAAAATACATGTTGTGAACAAAACCGCCCACAACACACTGTCTTTACTTTGTTAGAAAACATGATGAGCCCTGTGAGTTACTATTTGCTCACTCTTCTCTCTGAAAAAGCTGATCAAAAGAATCATGTTTTTATTATGAAGTTGGATACCTCTGCTTTATTCAGATGAAGTATTTATGGTTAATGAAACTCTGAAAGTCTGTCTGTAGTCTGATTAAGGAAGGGATAAAGCATCAGGGTTAGCAAGGAGAGCAAACAAAGTGGCTTCATTCTAACTACAAAGCCATAGACTAATGTTTATCTTTTCCCTCTTAATACAGCCTCCAAAAGAACAACCACTGTGAGGGTTTCCACAAAACAAATCCAAGGTAATCAGAACCAGCTCATCCTGACTGGTCTAAAGGGACGATGGGTGAAGTCTAAATTCTGTTATTCCAGACTCGGCCTGGTTCCTGGTCATCATCCTCCTTCTGTGTCTGAGCATCGCACTGGTGATTGTGACAAAGATCAAGCCACTGTTCAACTGCTTATCACACAACAAAGGTGATACAATCCTGAAACATTTTCTCAAATTTCCCAAAAAAACAAAACAATAGATACTGCAAAAACTAATTAAGCTGAAAATGTTTCTCCCTCATTTCAATAATATTGTCTGACTCTAAACTGTAAAAGTGAAGGCCTGTGGGTGGTCAAGCACGTCAGTGTACCGACAGGCGATTGGACACATCAATCAATCATTTATTTGTATAGCACAATGAAAAGTGTCAATAAAATATACAATCATTTCATATTAAAACAAAGCAGCATATAAGTATTTAAAAAGGGAGATAAGAGCAATAAATAGTACAAAATAGAATCAGTTGTTTGCACAGCTAAACTGATATGTTTTCAGCATAGTTTTTAACATGATCAGGGTAGAGGCTTGTCTCATAACCTCAGGAGGACCGTTCATGTCTCAGATGTACTCTGGTGCGAGGCCATGGAGAGACTTTTACACAAGCAGATCTGTTTTAAAGTCTATTCTCTGAGCCACAGGAAGCCAGTGCAGAGACCTGAGAACTGGACTAATATGGTCGTACTTCCTGGTTCTAGTCAGGACTCGAGCTGCTGCATTTTGAATGTACTGCAGCTGTTTTACAGCCTGTTTGGACAGACCTGTGAGCAGGCCATTGCAGTAGTCTAACCTACTGGAGACAAATACATGGATAAGAATCTCCAAGTCTGCTTTAGACACTATGTTTTTGGTTCTCACAATGTGATGAAAAGCAGTTTATGTTACTGATTTGATGTGGCGGTTTAAGTTCAGGTCTGAGTCTATTATCACACTAAGATTACTAACCTGAGTTGTAGGTTTCAAGGGGAGCCGACATGGGTCTAAATAACCCGCCGACCTTTCTCACCGTTGTCCTAGCCTGGTTTCCAAACTTATCTTCTTGTATCATATCTACTAGTTAAGGATACTCCTATTACTCGCTATTTCAAGGTTGTAAAATGTTTATTTCATTTAACACATGATTGGATTTAAACACTCTCTCTCCATCTAGAAATTTTGAAAAGTAACTGACACTATTATTAAAATTACTGTTTTGATAAGGATTAGAATGTTTCGAAAAAGGTTTATGGTCACCATGAGCTCTGTCTGTGTTCACTTATAGTTAAAAATTGTTGAATGGTTTGATATTTGTAAACTCAGGTTGATTGTTCTGTGTTTCTCTCAGAGTACTGCTTTGTTAGAAAATCAACATCAGCATCAGTCTGCATGGAGGAAGAGGAGGAAGAAGCGAAGGAGGAAGAGGAAGCCTGCACGCCTATCCAGGAGATGTGCAGTGACTGTAACAAATACATCCAAGCCTAAAACAAAACTAAACTATGGCTCAAAAAGCAAAATTGTTGAAACTGGAGCTGTGATGTCTGTATATAACTTACAGAACATACGAAGGTGGTGATTCAAATGTGCCGTTTACTTGTAGACTTCATTGAGTAATACGTGCTTAACATGTAGAACAGCGCCCCCCAGGGGAACATGCGCACATGTCTTAAAGTGACAGAACCAACAAATGTATACCAATACATTACAGGAGCCATGTGTGAAAAAAAGCTGCAGTTTCCTGAGAGGAATCCGAGACGTCGGATAGAAATGAAGAACATTGGTGCAACTGTGCACATAATGTAGGACATATGTTGCTGGACGTAAAGACTGAGCCGAGAAAAGGGACAGTCAGCTCTGAAACACATTGTACATCTTTATATGTTTTACAATCAAACTAAATACTCTCCATTACTGGAAACACATGGTCCCAAAAGGACACCACCAAATACCTGTTTCTCTAAACTCAGCATTTTGTGAAAAATCAACTTTTTCCATTTTAAAACTGTGAACATTTTCATTATTCTTTCTTCCTCTTGCTCTTCCTCTTCAAGTCACCATTGCTCCAATGATCTCCATTTGCACCTTCTGTAACACGACCAATGTTCTTGAAAATATTCACATGTCTCGAAAAAGGAACAGGCACAAATCAAAGCCACAATTAAGAGATCCTTTATTTGTCCCACAGCGGGGAAATTTCAGTGTTGCATCACAAGTTTTAGAACAGTAGGAAAGAGGAGCACACAGAAAAAGATAAGTGAACAATAGCTATACTAATTCAAATAAAGCAAAATCTCTAACTCTAGCATCAAAGAACAAATATAAAATCTCTAGCTTGAACATAATAATAATGAAAAAGTATAAAAGTTTAACTAATATTAATATGAACAATGATCCATGTGTCAAAACAAGCTTTCCACTCTAAGTTTTAGATATGAGCAGACTTTTTGATTCATAAAGATTCAATTATTTTTGTCCCAGAAAGAGTCTTGTAAAAGTCAACGCTTCAGATCACACATGCTTTGTCCTGTTAGAAAACATGATATTTTATGCATGCTTGTGAGAAAGAACCCTGGCAGTCACTGAGAGCTGAGGAAGGGTGGGTCTGTCTGTTTCATAAAGCAGACTAAGCAGACATGAACTATATCGTTACATGGATTTATTACATAGTTCCAGTTCCAGTTTAAAGTTAGCTACCCCAGCTTGCCACCTGCTAAGTGTTACAAATCACAGTTTTGTAATATTCCTTCTTTGTTCACTCACATTTTGTAGCAGTCATATTTTCTACAGACCTCGATGGGCACAAGGCTGCCTTTGCCCTGCTCCTGAGACGGTAGGGACACCTCAGGGTGCTCTTCCTTCGACAGGGGCAACAGCCTTCTGGGCAGCTCCTCATACAGGTGCTGGGTGGGGGAGGCGGTGGGGTACATGGGGCAGTACACCTCATCTGTCTGTCCTGGGTCTGTCTTCCCTTCTGTCATTTGTCCAATCTGACCCGTGAACTCGCCCAGGAGGCTGAAGACCACTGTGCCGGGGTTGTGGACATGCACTGGACCTTAAACAACAAGAGGCATAATGTTGTTCAGCAACAATTATCACAACTATTTAAAATGTCTGTGACAAAATGTAAGATAGATAGTTAGTAGATGGTAAGAACTAAACATACAGACAATGTATCTTGTAAAAAAATATACTACAAAGCAGTTATACAGTACACACTGTAAATATTTAAATAAGTAAGATCCAATCAAGCAGTCAAGCTGTAGTTTTATCTTATTACTGAAAACAATGACCAAAGAACAGAAAGACGAGCATTAGGTTACATTTATCTTGATTTTAATTAATTTTGTCCAACCCCATTTCAATTTGCAGAAGAAAAATTCCAATAATAGCAACTTTTTGGAAAGATTCTACACTGTATTGACCAGTCAGTCATTGTCAGTGGCCCTTTGCTGTTTCTAACTATATTCAGTCCTCAATATAAACGTTTGGATGAATTACTCAATATTTATGTTATAGTGTAAAGTATGTATCATTTTATTGTGATACACACTATAATATATATTAATAATACCTCTTCTTTCTTTACCATAGAATTACTGTACATTACAGTAAAACCTTTAGTCTCTCTCATACCCATACTGGCTGTTGTCAAAGGAACCGCCTTCTGCTTCGCTCTTGTTATGTGGCCTGCCTCTATAGTTTCCTGCAAACACAATACATACAACATAATTAGCCATGAATAAATCCCTCAATTAAATCCATTAGTCCAAATGCGGCTTCTTACAGCAAGACAACATTTCTTCACGGCTGAAAAACAGACAATATGTCAGTTTCTAAAGCTCATGTATTCAAACGTGTATTCATATGAGTAAACTTACTTTGTTTGAAGCGATTCCTGTGTTTCAAACAGAGCAGGAGCAGCAAAGCTAAGGCTCCAACGACACACAGTAGATACAAGATAGAGAACAGGTCCTTACTGGCTTGGTCTGAATGAATACATGCACAAGGAGAGAGGAATTAATCAATTAATCCATCAATCAATTAGATGACTTACTAATAGAAAATACAGCCGTATCTACCTGATTTAACCCTAACCCTACCTGATAAAAAAAATACAATGTTTACTGTAACTTTGATGGAGTTGCAAAGTCTCAGTTTCAGCAGCAGCACTGTGGACATACTGCTGAATGAGGCCACGAAGAAGAAAAACATGGAATAGTTCTCCTTTCTCTGTTTGATTTTATTTGATCTGCCATCACCAACTTACTGAGTCGAGTGAGAGGATAGGAAGCCAAATAACAGCAATGACTCACATGGTTTCTCATCCGCTCATGATGGAAAGAAGGCTCAGTGAAAATCAGACGTGTGTGATGTGTGGTGCTGTTACCTGCTGGTGCGGAGAGGCCTGTTGGGGGCATGGTTCTTTGACAGGATTGGCAGTTTCCTGACAAAGTGGAGACACAGTGAAATCCCTCCTCACACACACAGCGCAGGTTGGAAATACTGCTGCATTCTTCAACCACCTTCAAATGCAAATCGACTTCTGCAACAAAATATATTTCAGTTAATATATCAGTAAAATATTTTCAAACTATACTTATCCGGCAGTTCTTTCCCACACAACACATTCTTAAAACAATCACAGACATTTTTTTGGGTTTTTTTTAGAAGATTGGCTTTTTTGTCAAATTCTTCTCTTTATGATTCTCTCTATATTGACACACATTTGATGGAGCTGAAGTTGGAAGAAGTCTTTCTCTTTCTCACAAGCTACATTAGTGCGATGGCTATTTTGTGCCACAATTAAAAACAGATTTAGTTCAAATAAGTGTCAGATTCAAGAAGTTATGAGTTGTACGCGAGTTATACAACAAGGTACTCTGCGATTTGGGGAAACACTTACAAAAACACAGTAAAATCATTAGTTATGCTGCAAAAAAGAGCCATTCGAATCATTAACAAAGTGTGATTTCGAGATCATACAAACCCATTATTTATAAATTCAAAGATTATGAAGTTTTATGATGTTGTCGAGTTCCAGACTGTACAGTTGATATATAAAGCAAGACATAAACATTTTCCCAAACAAATACAGAATAGGTTTCAAGAGCGAACTAGTCTTTATAAAATACGAGAAGAACTAAACTTTATGGTCCAGAGGCACAGCTCAACTCTGAAAAGTTTTAGCCCCACAGTAAATGGGGTTCAACTGTGGAACATGTTGGAGCGGGAGATGAAACAAAGTTCAAACATTAATCTGTTCAAATTGAAATATAAACAAAAGACTTTCAACAAGTACAAAGAGGAGGAAGTTATACGTCACTAGGGGGCGCAATCGGGCTAAACGTGGTTTTTGGTTTTTTTATTTTTTATTTACTTCGTTTTGTTGCTTATTATTGTTTTTGTCTTTTTACTATAGCCATTAGGATCATTGTGGACCTTGAAGAGTGATGTTGCTCTAAACAGTTGCCATTATTTGCCGTAACTGTTGCTGTTATTGTCTGTTCTTTTTTTGTGTTGTCATTTTATACATTTTGCATAGTTGCTGTCTAAAAAAATGTCTAAATGTGTTTCTGTTAATGTAGTGTTTTGGGGGTGGGCACCAATAAGCTCTTGCTTCGGCCCACTCCTTTTGAGCAGTACTTGTCTGCTCAAATAAAGAAGAAATATCGTTCACATGTACTGACATTTCAGCAGTCACTTTACACACTGCTATCATATTTATTCTGGTCATATTTTCTGCTGCTGAAGTACAATATGAACCATCTGTAATAGTGAAACTTCCTGGCTGCTAACTTCAGTGTGGCAGAAGTGACTTTTTTCACCCAAGTGTCATTAGAGCTCGAGAGTTGATTATGTTATTATCTGTATTTTGTATAATTATTATTATTTATTGTATTTCTCATTTTACTCTGCTGTAATGTGCACAACCATCACACTGAAGGTTATCCTATCTCATTGGTGGAGCTGAAGATGGCTGGATGACACTGTAAACTTGTAGCTGTATTTGGTCCATGAGCCGCAGTTTGGACATGCCCGACCTACCCCTCATCTTGTGATATACCCGTTTTAAGATGTGTAATTTAAATGTTTTTTGCATTGAGAGAGAGAAGAGTGTTTTCCCACATCAGGACTAAACATGAATACATGAGAATCAGTGAAGAGACAAATACTATAAGAACTTTTGCATCACTCGTAACTTTGTAGTGACCCAAGTTCTGAATGGCAACCCATATTTGCACCTGGTCTGCAGTCGGCGAAGCAGGGGTGGCAGCTGCTCTCACAGTTTCTCTCAGAGGTGTAAGTTCCATTGCGACACGGCTGACATTGACAGTTCTTGAGGTATTCACCTACAGACAGGTGTCAAATGATTCACTCTGACATGATGCATCTGTACAGGGCACTACACAAACTCTGTAAAAGAGGCACAACTTATCCCTAGAATGTATGTAAAAAGTATTTCTGTTTAATGTGAATGCATATAACAATGCATGCACATGTTTAAAATACATTGTAAATATGTAAGCTTGAATAAATCATAAATCAATGTACAAAAAGAATACACCAATAAATGTCATATATTTCAAACACAAACAATCATGAAGTGTCAATAATGTTAACGGCTCAAAGTAGAATATTTAGAACTGCTGCACTTTGCATTCTGTGTTCATTTCCTCCACTTGCTTTTGCATCCTTCCCTACAGCAGCCTCCTTATCTGCCCTCCATCTTTACACCTTTACATATGATCTGTGAATCTTTATGAAGGATGTGGTCTGATGTCTGTGAGCAGCTTGTGATACTTTAACTCATGCAAAGCCACTTAAAAACAAACAAACTCATATTTACCTTGGTGGCACTTAGGGCAGTTTCCATGTTTCGTCTTCCAACATGTCTCTGATCGCTGTAAAAGTGTTCATTTTGCATGTTAGGGGTGAAAAAATGCCCATTGATTTGATAAAAACGATCTTACCGGAGCAGAGGTGAGGACTGTATGGGCACTCATTAACCACAGCAGAAAACACGCCACGAGGGCCATTCTGGAACCATAAAAGCAGCGTCATGGGGCCAAAACACATCATGGTTTTCATTAGTTTTAAAACAGAAAACAGCTCCATTCAGCGAGTCAACAGCAGCTTTTTAGTTGAAACGATTAGTTGAAATATATGAGACCAATCCAGTTAAACTATTACTCAGAGAATAATCAATATTTCCAATTATAGGTTCTACTTACACTGAAAAAACCTATTCAAGAAATTATGATCACTTGCCTAATTCTAGTGATAGTTATTTTTGTATTGTATTTTTGTAGGTGTGTATAAGCAACTCATTGTTCCACTTAAATCCAGATAAAATTTCTCAAGAGTTGTAATTTTTGTGAAATAAAAACAAGCCCCTGTCCTATCTGCAATGTTAAACAAGTGTGTGTATTTACAAGTTTTAAAATTAACATATTATGCAGTCAATACACAAAAAACACAGAGTTTATCAAATCTAATTAACAAGAAGCTTATTGAAATTTACCTTTATGTGGAGGTGATACTTGGACGTCTGTCACACTCAGCCTGAAGTGTTTCTTTATTTCCTGTCTAAACCACTGCCTCCTGTGCTCCTCACTCAAACAAGCACAAACACTAATTTTTCACATGAGCTAAAATCTGACCAATGATACAGAAAACACACGACAAAGGCACTCAAGCGAAGCCTTTTATTTTTCGAATACTTTTCCTCATTCAGTTATACAGTTACACGTTTAAGGACATCTCATTTCTGTCCCTTTACAAAGAAGCAGCATTCATTTAAGTCTAAAACAGGGGTGTCCGCGTCAGCTTGAGCCGTAACAGGGGCCGACGTGTTTTTAAGTTCCCCCCAAAAGTGACGACATCAACGTATAAACACCAGGATCATAGAAAGCGCTAAGCCATGGATTTTTCAAGCCCAATGGTTTGACAGTTATTGAGCTAGAGCAGTTTACTTGTTTTTCAATGTAACTCAAAAGGAGAGAGTTGGAGCAAAACTTCATCCATGAGCACTTCATTATTGGGCTTCATTGAGTTAGCAGGTTAGCATTGTCCCTCTATCTGTAATGGTCTTTTCCCAGTTGCTTACATGCAGCAGAAATCTGTCTGATATATATGGTGCTAACTAGTTGGGCTTGCACAATTTGGGAAACATCGACATTTCTGAATCTATAGACACAGAGATGGATTTAAATTGGATTAGGACACACACATATCCCTTTGATCCACTGCCCACTGTCACGTTAAGCCGTGTACATAAATAGACAGATCCCAGATTTCCTGCCACCTGTTTGTACTATTGGCTAAGTTTGGACACCCCTGCTCCAAGCGACTACAAGCTTATAGGCAAAAGATAACATTTTTAAACCCCTTTTTTCCGCTTCCAAGTTATTGTTCAAACATTAAAAGATCTCTTCATTTTATCATTTTATCGTCGTTGCTGAAGCTTTTGCATTTCCTGTTTTCAAAAGGACTTTGTGTACATTAACAGAGCTGTATTAGTGAATAGCTGGTTGATTATAAACATAACACCAGAATGACAAATTAAAACTGCAAAAAGCAAATATCCAAGTTAAAATACATTAATGTTCTAGTAGCTTTGGTTATTGCAGTTATTCCATACAGATGTAATATTCATCATTCTTTCAAAACGAAATTACTTTGCATAAGTGAGACATTCAAGAAGCCTTTCTCCACTGGCATTTCTAAATCCAGTTAAATCATTTCAACTTTAACTCATGTGCATATTTGATTTTTGCAGTGCACATATTTCAGAAGATTGCTTACCCATTTTCTACATTTGTTCAATTATTGTTTGTTTAAATCTTTTATCATCCCAGACGCACACACTCTGGCACATGCTTACATTAGATTACCCAGGTTATAGAAACACAGCATTTACATCTGTACATGTGTCGAAATGACTTGATTTCAGTCATTAGTATATTAATGAGTCTTGCCATTAATATACTAATTATTGATGAGTGTTTGGTGTTCCGCTGCGGTGGGTCGGCTGCGGCATTAAAGTGCAAACTGTTGTTGTGTCCTAAGGCAAGACACCTCATCCACATTGCCTGGTATGAGTCTGGTGTGTGTGAATGATCAGTGCTGGTCTGAGAGAGGGCACAGTTTAGCAGCCTCACTTCAGTCGACTCAGGGCAGCTGTGGCTATCATAAAATCTTACCACCAATATTATTATTTCTGATTAAATCTCAAATCGCTTTCAAATGTATCATGCCTAAGTAAAGGGCCAATCGTACTGATGATCCAGGATGTACCATTTGAAGTCAAGTCTGTTTCCACAATTGCACACTTGTATTTCTGCTGTGTCGAAGTGCCTAAACATTTCCCTCTAAAGCAAAATATCACTTGGATCAAAATAACCCAGAGCAGCACATGCACCATTTTAAAACCTCTGAACCTGATCTTTACACTGTGTACATCTAACCATTCATGTACACTGCAAATATAATGATACCAGGTTAAAATGACCCCATTCTGCAATAACCTTGAGGTTTTTTTAGTACTTCAGGACATACATAATTTGACTTGTTGACTTTTTGAACACAAAGACACAAGCAAATCTGCCAGTGTGCAACTCTACTTTAGCAAAAAGTCAAATATACGAGTTCAAAATACTCCCATCAAGATGAACATGTTTTTATTCAGGTCATTTTAAGTAATCTGGACATCACTCATTCGCCAGGTTGACTAACGAAAGACTAATTTCCATTGAGATATATTCCTAAGCGATTATTTACAAGCTCAAAAATAGGTTTCATTATTTACATCAAGCACCTTGGTGAACAGCTTGGGCAGCGAGTATAGTGACCGGTCGTCCAAAAGCCTGTGGGGATGTTCACTTTGGCACTATAGGTGGCTCGTTCCAGGCTCGTACGCAGGTCCTGGTCTGACCTGCTCTTTACCACTATAAATAAAGCAGGCTCAGTGCAGAAGCTTGGCAGCGTGTAGTGCAGCTGAACTGGGCACTGCTTTTTATCTTAAAGAAGACATAACATGCTTCAAGTCTGATGTTCATAGTGACAATCTATGTCATGGCTCATTAGCATATTTTATTCTCACTGATATCACGATATTGGTGTCAAACTCATTTTGGTCAGGGGCAGAAAAAAAAGAAATAGGGACTGGTTGGGGGCTGAAAGAATAGAAGGGATTTCCTTTCCTTTCTTGTGAAGGTATTCTATGTGACATGAGTTTAACTGGTTGATTTTTCTGAATCCAAAATGTCGTTAATTTTTAGATTGAACCAAAACTGGACCAATTATAAAATTAAATACATTTAACTGCGGGGTTAAAATTGCAGAATAAATGTGGTTGTTTTCCTAAGAAAGTAGATGATGTAAAACATGCCATCAATGCTGCAATGTTCATAATAATAATTGAAAATAATTTTAGGGGCCACTAAAAATTGTCTTGTGGGCCGGATTTGGCCCACGGGCCTGAGTGTCACATGCCTGGTCAAGAAACAAGTTTGCGCACAACACTATTCATCCCTCGCTGTATTACTTCGCACTCTGTCCAATTGCATCAGAGGAAATGTGGTTACGCCAATCAAGATCAACTGAGCGATCACCTGCTTTTTTTCCCTTTGAGCGAAAACTGACAAATCATGTGCACATCACAAACTCAGTGAAGAAACTTTGAGTAAAAAAAACAGCGGCCGTCTCACAATAGGCTGCACTGAATAATCTGTCGTCCTCAAACATGCATCGCTCTAAGCCCCTTTGAGTGTCTGGATAATAATCAGAAAACTGTGAAAAGTCCATTCAGCATGTTATGTCCTCTTTGAAGTCTTTTTCTGACAGGACTGGGGCTCACACTCGCTTGTTTCTGAGAGCCATTTCACGATATATTCACAACAGCTCGTTCATGTGGACGTATGTCAGTGTACAATGAGGTTTTGCATCCTTGTTTAATGCTAATGTAAACTAACGTGAAACCAGGCTGAAGTCCAGACAAAACTCTATATGTTTCAAGTTGTGAAATATTTACACTGGCTGTATTCTGGATGATTTACAAATATTTATCAAACAAAAGAGAATGTGTCACACTTCATTTTAATCCACCCGTGATACATAGCCTCCCTCCAATAATAAGTATGGACGTTACTATTGGATATTGCTCAAGGTATTGCACATAATGAGGTATGTATCATGTGTAGGCTGAAATAATGTGCTACTAGCCTGATACTTTACTTTTTTATAACCTATATTTTGTGTAAAAATGTGCACTTTAACCTAATTAAGACAAGAAGTGCTCACAACTAAATATTAAGGCTATTAAACTATATCACACTGACATCAACAGAATCTTGTTTTTCTCCACAACAAGAGCTTAAAATTGGACATATTTATATTTTGTAGTCTCAGCACAGGGAAGCACCAAAAGACGGTCTGACATGAGCACAAATACCCCTGAAATATCGCTTAAGGCTGAGTCCAGTCCTGGTTTAATCCAAGTTTAGTCCTAGTGTATTTGTTTGGTAAAGTCCAATTCCCTTATAAGTCAGGTCCGAGTTTAGTCCCTGTGTAGACCCAATCGGTACGTGACATATTGGACATGATCTATTCTCATTATTATTTCAGGCGTCTCTTGCGTTCGGTGTGTTACGGTGGGAGCGATCGTTGACGGTTCTTGCTTTTGGAGTGACGTGATGTCAGGATTTCCCAGAGTTGGAAGAGGGAGAGGCAGAGGAGCGGTCGCTGTTGGTCTGGTCGCTGTCGTCGGAGGAAATGGGGGCGGTGGAATTACTGCAAATGTGAAAAAGAATGTGTTAGATGTATGAGTTACTCTAATAGCACGCGTAGATCTTGAGTCCATGTTTTTCCTTTTGCCGTATTCAAATAACACAGATATAAAAGCTATTGGCTATATAGAAACCCCTACAGTATAATCAGTGATACAAACAGTATGAGGAACAGACGAAATATATGTAGTATTTAAGATTTGCCTGGTTTTACTTGCGAGCCTAACAAATATGGTAGTTTTCGTAACCAAATCTCATTTACGAAACTGATGGCAGTATATATGAGATAACACTTTTATCTTCTTGTGCACTAAAATGTGTTGAGAATTTAGAAGGGAACATTACTCACGGATTTCTATGATATGATCATGTTGTTGTTATGAAATGTTTAGACTGAGCTAAAAATTAAGGCCGAGTTGCAGGTTTCCTGTCTGTGAAACCGGCTCACACCTCCTCTGCAGTTGCAACTATATTCCTTTGAGCAAACAGGACCATATGAGGTGGGGGAATCCTCCCCATATCACCCATTCAGAAAAGAAAATTGGCACAGAAAGTAAGCAGAACAAAAAGAAGAATACCAGCACGGGCTAAGTTCTGGTATTCAGAGGGCTGAGGGGAGAGCAATGGTGGTGCACGTATGTTATGATATGATAAGATGAATTGCAGTGATGTGTGTATTATGGTGCTTTCAGACCGGGACAGTCGTTGCGTCTGCGTTCAATGCAAAGTCAATGGGGAGGCGCGTTTCAGCGTCGCATTGCACGGACCTCTCGGCACACGCGCACGGACCGCCCAGTAGAAACGCACGGACTTGGCGGGAAAGTCAAAGGGGAGGAGAAGGAGCGGAAAATGAACGCCCACAGGAGATGGATTCCGCTCAACTTTTCCTCGAGACGTTCGTGCAGCGACCAATCAGAGAGCACGCACACCACTGACGTAATCACGCCACTACACGGCGTATGTTTTCCCCATTGAGAGCCAGGAACCGGTCATTTAAACATGGAGGATCAAGCTGTGGATAGTCTCATTGTCGCTGTTACAAACTTTCCAGAGTTGTGGAAAGTCTGCATTCCGGAATATAGCGACAGAGCAAAGAAAGATTCGGCATGGAAGGCCATTGCGCAGCAGCTCAACCTCCCTGGTAAGTTTTTTCAGTATCAGTGTAGTGAGGTGGGCGTGCTTGTGTTCGTGCGTCGTTTGGCAGTGTGCAAGCCTCTGCGTCTGAAAACTAGAGAATGCGCGTCTGGTGAGCTGGGCTGCTGCGTTTCAGCGTTTTCGGTCTGAAAGCACCATTAAGGACAAGGAAAACTATAAGATGTCCAAAAACTGAAAAAAGTTTTAAATCCCCTTTAAGAGAGGTTGTGATTGCTGACCCCTCAAGCTGGGCATACTTTGTGCAATTGTCAGACCTATTGTTCTCAAACTCACACTGTGTGAGTGAGTCGCATCTGAGGAAAGCAAAGGGAGTGACCACACAAGCGACGGACACACGTGTTCAGCTGCTCACAGTGTAGAGACACTGTACCAGAAGAGAGCTTCGACTCCTGTGTATGAGCCAGTGGAGGAGCAGATACAGTACAGCAGCTGTACTGAGCTGTACTGAGCTGTACTGAGCTGTACTGAGCTGTACCTGTCTCCGCTCTGAGTGATGAGGCGTCTGCAGGTCTCCATCTGGACGTCCAGGCCTCTTTTCATGGAGCACATCTCCATGTACTCGTGCAGGTGTCGGTTCATGTCGCTCTTGGCTGTGGCCAGTTCAAGCTGAGGACAGAATATACAGTCAATATACAGTCAATATACAGTCAGTCAATATACAGTCAATATGCAGTTAATATACAGACAATATACAGTCAGTCAATATACAGTCATTATACAGTCAATATGCAGTTAATATACAGACAATATACAGTCAATATACAGTCTATATCCAGTCAATATACAGACAATATACAGTCAGTCAATATACAGTCAATATTCAGTCAATATGCAGTTAATATACAGACAATATACAGTCAATATACAGACAATATACAGACAATATACAGTCAATATACAGTCAATATACAGTCATTCAATATACAGTCAATATGCAGGCAATAAGAGAGTAACAAGTTCTGGTTAATGCTCTGAGTGATGACGTCTACATGTAAATACAAGTAGACGTCATCAATGACGTCATCATTGAATGATATTCAATAAAAAAGTGCAGTTTATTGATGATAAGTAGGAGGACTTTAATATCAATAATCAGACATTTTAATCCATTTTAGAATGAGGGATAAAAACACCAGAATCATACAGAACGTTATGTTTGTGAATGTGACACAATTGATTATAGTAATGAGCAAGTGGAGTTGAAGTCAATAGCAGCCCTTCCCCGTTAGGCTTTACAGAGGTTAACATTGTACACAGTCTATGGATCTTATCTATAGTGAGAAAACCAGCGTCTGACCTCAATCTGGTCGATGGTCTCCTGGTATTCCTTCTCTCGGGACTTGAACAGACACTCTGTATCATTAATCACCTTCTCCAGGCAGTCTTCCTGCTGGAAACAGTCACAGGGGAAACAGATCATATACAGCTGCAAATACAGGACACTTCTAGAACACGTATTTTGACGATCAAGTATAATGCTATAAAGGTTTGTAAACAGAACCAGGAGACTGACCACCACACGGGACAAACAGAAGATTAATATGTGTTTCTCGTGGTGTGGTGTCTTGTAAAAGTTAAAAGCTGCGAACAGACACAACATTCTGTTGTCAAGCATTTACAGCGACTTATCTCTGTATATTTGTGTGCTCCCTGGGGACTCTTACTACTGTTCTGTATCTGCGCTGCAACATTGAAATCTCCCCACTGTGCGATAGATTAAGGTTCTCTTATCTTCTCTTATCATCTCATCTCTGATGTAAAGATGAAACAGAGGCTAAACACACTTGCATTTGAAAACTATGGATGACCGTTGTGAGGGTAAGGAACTAGATTGACTCTATTAAATAATTCATTTAAAGCATTAAAGGGAATCATGGAAGTAATGGTGATATAGAAAACGGGACACAGAAACGGGTATAGCTCCTTAAAGTTCACATATAGATATTTTTTGTTGGTGCGATTTAAGATGTTATATATTTTTCATTATAGAACACCTTTACAGAAACAGAATTGCAATTGCAACTGCAACACAGTAAACTGCAACCACAAAAAGTCACATGTCCAGATCCTGTTTCAAATAGAAACAATAATATGTGAGTTTGGAACCAAAGAATCTCGTTTCATGCATCTTTGATGTAATACAGTACAAGCACAAGTCAAGTAACTTTATAGGTGCAACATTGTGACACAGGCATCAAGTTCCCACAAGTGATTCTGTTGTCTCTTCTTGCACACTGCTGTCGGACGCAGAGCACCGCTATTTTGTAGCAAATACAAATAAAAGATAATAAAGTGAAACATTCCTGTCATCGCAAATGTGTTACCGATAATTCTATCTTTGTAGTTACATTAACTAAGAAATTACTGAAACACTCAATACAAGTTAAAACTCCTGTATTTTTGTGGTTAGTTGTATTGTTTGAACTCCATGGAGATGTGATGTGGGCAGAGATTACCTGGTTCAGAAAGTAAAATTCACAACTTGGTTCAGCTGATCAGATAATGACCACAACATCTGCATCCATTCAAAACATCTCAATGAACACAAATAAAGTTACCACTGTGCTGTGGAGAGTAGTGAGCAGGTTATAGAACTTTTATATAAGGATTTTATCATAGGAGAAAATTTTGTTCTTCTTCTTGAACCCTAAGTTCCTCCCACTTCACGGCACTATTCAGAAGCATTTTGTTTTATTAAAGTTAATTGAGATATTGATTGTTCATCAATATTTTCCACCTCCAGCTTCGTAAAGGAACAGCATGTCATTTTGCTCTTATTACAAATACACTGTAAAATGTGTGTCTTGCCCTAACAGCTGATGTCTGTGGTGGTTACCTCTCCTGGTGGGTGAGCCGGATCCGGAGGCAGAGTGCATCCTGGGAAATCCTCCCACAGCAGCAGTGTCTCCTCCGTCTCCTCCCAGGCCAAACTGTCACAGTCGTCCTCAAACTCACACTCACGCCTGCACCACACCAAAGAAGGATTCATTTACAATCACTTTATACTTACTATGAACTAGTTTCATGAGTTTCAGGAAATTGAGGAGGATCAAAACAGCGAGAAAGTGAATATAGACATAAATGGCCCATTTAAAATGATATCAATTTGGACGTTGTCCCCAATGTCAGTGCTGTTTGTAAAGTTTAAACGTATTTACTGGATGGACCTAGATTATTTGACAACATTTTTAATTATTTTTTCAACAATACGTTTTTTGCCAAATTGGTAAGAACAAAAATACTTAATTGGCTTAAAGCTAGTCACATAACAGTGAAATATTGTAGGTCACATCTAGATCTATCCTCATGAAAAAATCTACATCCAGAAGCAACGAGCAATTTTAACTGTTTTAATCATGATCAATTAAATGCTTTTAAATCATAACATTGTGTACAATTATCATGTTTGTTTGTTTTCTTTTTTACAAGGAGGTGGTTTAAGAATAAAGAATACTTCGTAGGGCAGTACAAATGTTCTAGTAAACCATAACGTGATGAGGTGACATTTGAACATGGATAGAAAGGATCAAGGCTCTTGTCGTCTTTCACTCACAGCTGGTTGAGCATCCGCTGCATCTCCTCATTGATCTGATTGGCCGAGGAGCCGCAGTGCTCCTGCTCTTTGGCTCCGCCCCCGTCGCTCTCCGAGGTGCTGACCGGTTCATCGCACTCGCTCCCGTTGTACGACAGCGGGGTGGGCTTACGTCGGATGTTCAGCTGGTTGTTTGGGACCTGTAATCAGACATAACATTACAATGGGACGACTAGTGGCAAGGCAAGGCAAGTTTATTTATATAGCACAATTCATACACAAGGCAATTCAAAGTGCTGAACAAAACAAGAAAGCATTAAAATCATAAATTATCACAGAACATTAAAAAGAAAGATAAAAATATAAAATCCCTCAGTTGTATGCACAGTTAAACAGAACTGTCTTTAACCTGGTTTTAAACATTGTCAGAGAGGAGGCCTGTCTCAGTGCCCAAATATCAATGTATCTATAGTGACTAGTGACAAAATATAAGTTGTTCACTAGTCACTCTCATACAAAATCAATCCAATTAATGCAGGGGGGGTGTTCAAGTTTCAAGTATCAATTTCATACAAAACTCATTAGTGTCAGTATCAGATCCATATTGCATCATCTGAAAACAGGGGGCAGGAAGCAAAAATCAGTCCCTTTAAAGTGGTGCAGAGCTGTTGAGCCTCAGCTACAAAGACCTGGGTTCAATTCCTAGGACAGGCGGGGACTTTCTGAGTGGAGTTTGCATGTTCTCCCTGTGTCTCCGTAGGTGTCCTCCCCATGCTCTTGCTTCCCCAACCACAAAAACCTGTACAGTGGAACTATGGACTGTGTATGTAGACCAGTACCCATTCTTTAATACAAACTGCCCCCACTCAAATCAATAAATACAATTTGGAAAACTGAACAAACACAATTAAAGCTAGTTAGGCCTTTACAAAATATCACGAAATATCATTTAACTTTTTACTGTATGTCAGGTGTAGTCTGATACAGCTAAAATGTGAGTCACTTGTGCACTTGGCCATAACTCCACAAACATACAGTACCAAAGACCATTGAAATGATTCATAACAAATATTTAAAACTTCATTAAAAAAAACTATTTGAGTGTAGATTGAGGCAGGTTTGGATGAAATCTGCCTCGTGTAAGTAAGTAATATTTATTTAGCGTCTTTCACAGACCAGAGTCACAAAGCTGTTCACAATTGTGGGCATTTGTCTCTTGCTCCACACAGAGATGGGAGCGGGGTCGCCGTACAGAAGGCACATTCCAGACCTATTATAGTAATGAAACAGTAGTTCTCACCTGGTACATGTGGATGACGTCCTCACAGTTCCTCTGCTGAGCCACGTCACACAGGCGGGTGGTGATCTCGATGCGGCGGCAGATGTCCATGTCCACCTTCATGGCCTTCTCCTGGATCTTACTGTCCAGATCTGACAGGTTCTGTGGAGAAGAAACCTTTTACTCATGTTGCCATTATGATCAGCTGGTGGCTTGATGAGAGAACAGCTTGAATATAAATTGTAAAATAGTATGTCATCGCAACAGAAATATGCAGGGCCTTCATCCCCACCGCTGTCAGACTGTACAATAAGTCACTTTAAGTCACTAATGCACTAGGACTAAAAAACCTACACTGCTATTGCCACCGTTTCTTTAATTGCCATATATATCCTGAACAGACTTTTTTTTTTTTCCTTTAACATGTTGCACACTTCTGTCTTTTGCACAATCTGAGTGATTCTATCCATGCCAAATGTGAAATGTAAATTTATCCTGTGTGAGATCAATTAAGTCTATCTTAAAACAGAACAAAGCTGAGAATCTACGTCAAGGTTTCTCCAACGTTTTGAGACCTGGGACCCCTCATTGGGACAAAACCATCAAATTATGGAAATTCATAATTGTAGAAGTTTATGGACCCCACTTTGAGAACCACTCACACATATTTGCATTATGTTGTCTCGACTTTGACACGCTCAGAGTACTGCTTCATTCAAAGCTGAACCATCCAAAAGAAAGCTTAAAACCACAGATTGTCCCAAAATGTGAATGGGTCTTACTACCATCACATCCCATAGAAAAAATCTCAGCGAAACCCTATGGTGAGGTTGAACATTTATTATGAAACAAAACCTTCTTCTATTTGTGTGGAAATAAGATCATCCCAATGCAAGCTGACCCCACACATTAACCTCAACTGTTGAACTGGGACCATTTCAATCATTTAGTTCTGTTATAATAATGAATGCCTGTCTACAGGGAAGACACAAAGGCCCTGTTGTCTGCACGGTTAGTGGATTATGTAATGTACACTCACGTTGCTCATGAGGCCTTTGAAGAGAACCAGCTCTGCCTTCAGATGCTGCACGCGGAGGGCCAGCTCGTCCTGACAGCCCTCGCTCTCCTGCAGGTCCTGCAAAACACCCACAATGGAAGCCAAAGAGTCACGTACACCACTTAGACCGAGACTTTCAAAAACCCAAATGCATTATTCACTCAAGTCTAGGAAGCACAAAGCAGCCATAAAGAGGTTTACTCTCAATACAATCGCAATGTGGAAATGTTTAAAAGACATTTTCTGGTGGAGGATCGTCAGCATTCACTTAAATTGACACAAAAACCACCAATAACCATTTGTTATTACTTATCATCTTTACCATCACTATTGCCTTGTAGCATAATATGAACTTCTCTTTCTTTCATTTATTAAGGTTTTGCTTTACTGTATTATCGTGCAAAATAGCTGGTTATTGTGTAGAAAATTGCTTATTTCTATGGTGATTGCCAGATTTGAAGTCATTTCCAGACTATACAATAAGGAGAAAAGAATGTTGCAGATTGTGACAGTCACTAAACAAATCTATAACTTAAAGCTGTCACTATAAGTTTGGGATAAGAGATGGAAGGACTTGTTTTCTGACAATAGTTCACTCTTAGTTTAACTTTTTATTGTCTTTTAGTGTCTTTGTGGATGCCCTGTTCTCCAGTGCAATTCTTAATCATTCATGTGCCGTAGCTGTGGTTCTGGTTTGTGGGAAAGTTTTGCTAAATGGGTTAACTGCACATTACGGTAAATTACAGGAAGAGTAATCGTGCGGTGACATCAACATTGTACTTGGAACTAACAGAGTTTTTCATCGTACATTGGTGTAATCATGTTCAAGTTTATGAAAGTAGCTGTAGGCTTTTGTATTTATTATTTTAAACCTTTATAAACACAATTTGAGGATAGTTTGTTTACCTCCTGAAGGTCTGACATCTTCTGCTGCAGATCCATCCTCATGCTGCTCTCCTCTTCCCATCTGCACAAACAGAAATACACACGGGTCACGCCTGTCGTGGAAGTGTAAGATGCACTGTACAAACTTCTCTGCATTTGACCCATACTGCATTGGGGCAACCTGTCACAGCCCAGAGAATCTCCCACCTCCTGATCTGAGCTTGGTCAGGATTCACAATGCTAATATATAATGCTGTAATTCAATTGTTTATTTGTATATAACAGGGATCTCCAACCTTTAGCTCAGTAACTACCAGTAGCTCGCCATCTTCTTTCAGAAAGCTTCACAAAGAATTAAGGAAAACACACAATGCTGATTAATGAATTAATTGAGTCATAAGCATTTCATATCAATCTACTATATGTACCTTATGTGCACTAGTCCAGGGGTACTACACAGTATAATTTATGATTATTATTTAAATTGAACATTTTTTTTAACTACAAAAGGATGTAGCTCTCTGTCATTCCTGTTCTGTTATATATCATATACCAAGAGACCTCTGCTCTTCAATGCTCTCTAGTAAAGTGGTTTCAGGTTGTTGGAAGATACTAGAACGACCAGTGAGAACCCATGGAGACACAGGGAGAAACATACTTCACACAAAGACACATGTGCTGTGAGGAATTGTACATCAGCCACAGAGCTGCGGCCTGGTTAGTACTGTGATGGGAGACCATCACAGTGCCAAACTGTCATTGTGTCCTCAGGCAGGACACTTCACCCACACTGCCCAGTGTGAGCCTGGTGTGTGCATGCAGAATTGGAGGTGGTGGTGCCGGAGTGAAGGAATAAGATTCAGATTCAGACTACTTTATAAATAACGCTGTGTGTTCCATGAAAAGCTTTCTTCTTCCCACTTCTTTTTGAGCCCATACTATATATGTTGTACAGATCCTCCCTGTAACTTTTTTGTTTTGTTTTGTTCTTAATTTGTTGCTCACGTAAGTGGGCATAGTGCTTACTGCACGGCGCAGAATGTTTTAATTTTGTATGGCTCAAAATAAAGAATTAAAATCAAATCAAAAGCACTATAAAAGTACTATGCTTCAGTACCTAAACTAATGCATAGTACTTTAACGTAGAAAACTATTGATGAGGATGCACATTTACATGGTTAATAACATAAATGATCTAAAATAATCTGTCCCCTTTCACATTTTCTTAAACATTAAAGACATATTTGTGCTTAATTTGAAGTCCTCAGTGTTCCATATTTGCAGGAGGAGGAACAGTTGCTGCAGAGGCTGTGTTTAGCAGGCTGCAGACGTCGCCCCCTGTGGGAATACTACAGCCAAACGGCCTGAGTCATGAGACTTGTTGACACAGAGGAGGCTTGTTCGATGAGTAAGGTGAGATGCAAAGCTAAGAAGGGCACTGCAAAAACTGAACGTCCAACAAATAAGATTCTGTATTGTAGAAGTCTTTACTAATTGCGTACATAAGGTGCATTTATCATCATTCATAAATGGTTTCATAATACTTTAGCTCTAAACTAGTGAAAGGGACAGATATATAATATGAGTAGTATTGTTATACTTTATTATAGAAAAATATATAAATGATTTCCCAAACATTTTTAATCTAATAATTACAATGTTGTAATTATAAGACAATCTAAAAATGTCTTATGGCAAGCCCAGTCTTGCTGTGTCCAGGTGAAAAACAGTTGTGGATATTTGCTCTTAACCAGAGAGATATTATCGGCATTGTTCTCTTAGAAATGCATTATGTATGTCATCCTGTTTCAGTTTGTGAAGTGCTTTGAATTTTCCTTTCCCACTCCCAATTCCCGCACATTACTTTGCGTGGGAATAGCGCTGTACAAAGAAACTCGCTTTGTCTCACCAACCTTTTGATCCTATTGACAAAAGCTATGTATTTTGTGGCCATTTGAACCTAATGAAAACGTCGGTTGAAAAGATTTTATGATAGGGATAAAACATACAGTATAACAAACAGGCATCAATTCCAAACTACGGAATAATGAATGGGAGTCATGACGGGAATGATGACGTCCCAATCTCGTATCTTGAAATGAAGCCAGTTTAAAATCTCATCTTTTTTTGCAGAGAGTGTAAGCAGCTGCCCCCCTCCTTCACTCCTCAGTCTGTGCATGGTGCATTGCAGAGGCTGAGCTGTGCGTGCGGAGGGCGTGTGCGCGGAGCAGGAAGTGCAAAGTCGCTCAAAAAACGCAGACAAAACCAGAAGCCGGAGCCCAGGGAGGGTGTGCAGGTGCGCCCCACAAAAGATGAGAAATGACTGAGATTAGAAAGGCCTGGGAACGCAATCTGTGCACATTCTGTACACAAAGGGAACAGAGTATAGTCCATTTGGAGCAGCTAGTTTTGTTTGGATAGAGCTGGAAAGATTATTGGAAGTGCAAAAGTGAAATACCATCATTTCAATTGATTTCACAAAAAATTTCTCATGTCTATTGTGAAGCTACTGAAAAGAAAGACAGAACTTCACTCTTAAATGCTGATTCATGCATGTAAAAGCAATGACCATCTTAAAAATGCACTTAGTTGTGTTACTTGTGATGTCAAAGTTAATGTCAATGTCAACTCATTTTGTGTGGCACATTTAAAACAACAACAGCTTAAAGCATCAAGAAAAAAAAATTAAAGCAGCATGAGATACACAGAAATACATACATAAAGGCGAACAAATATGTCTTCAGGCTGAATTTAATAATGTCCAATGACAGGAGGCCCTCGGATATACAGAGATTGGGAGCAGCAACAGCAAAGGGCCGGTCTCCTTGAGTTTTTGAGACCAGATCTGGGGACGTTCAACAAAAGCTGGTTTTCTGACCCCACGGATCGGACAGGAGCATACAGAGATTACAGCTCTGTCAAATACAGTGAAGTCTTTATTATAACAATGCTATATTTCTACACTATTAATTTATTTGATCCCTTTCATAACTTTGAGCGAAGAAACATGTCTCGTGGAGAAAGAAAAAAATGAATAAAGAAAAATTATGAATCATAAAAGTCTTAACATAAAACATGGAAGTTAATCAGAAATACCATTGCAGGTAACAACAAGTCTTGTGTTAGTGTCGATCATGTGCTTGTGTAGTGCAAAGGCAAAAGTGCACCCTGGGTAAATATGAGAAGGACAGATTTCTCCTGTGCTTTGTGTCCAGTGTGAGTGATGGCCTTTGTGAATTTACTGAACAGGTTTTATTCAGAGAAAAGGTTTCGATGACTATTGTGTGAAGTAGGGTGAGACTCCACACTGTTCACCAAACATACAGTGTGGAGTCTCCAAAGAGCTGCTCCGATGCAGGAGTACATCTAAGAGAGGTTCAGGTCCAGTAATAGTGACTTGTAGCTACAGTATAAATACAAGAAAAGAAATACAAAGAAATGTGCAGATTTTTTAAAACAGTATTTCCTGAGAATTTGAAGTAATTTTGCGATGGCAACAGAAACTACTACTACCACTACAAATGGCTGTGATCAAGTTGAAATATACATTGGAGATTTTGGGATCACAAATTGACACAAACAGGTTTGAATGGTCCTAAACCATCCTTGATGGTTGGGTGAATTCAATAACTTATTGTTGAAACTAAAGTATGTGTATAATTATACTTTCTGAAAAATGACCAAATGACCCAAATCCTAGGACGGTCAAAAGGCAGACCACACTATATCCTCCAACCACCAATGTCAATTTGTATCATGATTTTTATCTTTCTTTTTTAATGTACTGTGATTATTTATGATTTTAACTTTGAGTTTGTGCTATACAAATAAACTTGTATATTTATATATACAAGTTTATTTGTTTATTTGTACTTGTGTGTGTATGTCACACACACTTGTACACACACACAGACACACACACGTTGCACACACCAAAAAACCTTGCCTTTATAAGGTCCAAAACAGATTCAAAGCTACACAAAACATGTGTGTAATTTCTTCAGAGGACACAGATAATTCTACAAAAGAAGGCCATGGTGCGTCATAGAACCATGTGTGGTACTCCTGGTATTGGCCCGAACCACAATGCTGCCCTGTGATTGGCCAAACTCTAACCAATGGCGCCTGTGTCTTCATGTTCAGTTAGTGGTCTCCTAATCTCCCTTTTCATAAGAATCTCATGCATGTTAAAACTGCAGGAACAAACATCATTTCAGCCGTTACAATCCACAAAACATATCACATTACGGAGAATTTCTTTGGTTAATGTTTGTGTCTGTCACACTGAAGTGTTCTGGCCAGAGTGGGCTTTTTTGTTTCGGTGAGTCGATGTCTTTAAACCCTCTCCCTCAGCCGTTTCAGTGAGGTGCAAATCACACAGTCATCAGCTGACACGGAGCCCTAAATCAGTGTGCTGACCGGAGGTATCGATCCCAACTCAACTGAGAATTATTCCTGAGGCCTTTTATTTATTTGTTGTTTTGTCTGGGTATTGAACAGTCTTACAGCCATGCAGTGATGATGATCCAATAGAACATTATGGCCCCTACACCATGTTTTAATAGGAAATGTCCAAACTTTACAGCCACCATTTCAACAATCTCACTAAGACCCATGTGCGTGGCTCTCCTAGAATCATACCTGACATGTTTTATGCTGTTGGTGACTGGGTTGAGCAATGGAAGCCAACAGGGCTGTACAATCAATACTGTTTTAATCTCGATGTGGAAACCTAAAGGAATCACTTTGGAGAATTTGATATGTGAGAGTAAATAAGATAATATTCATCTGACAATTTATTGATCTCACAAATGTACAGTATGGTAAAAGTCTGTAAGGCAGAGCTGACGGTTTGACTTTACTTTGTTTTGTCTTTACTATTGTGGTTTAATAATTATACAAAAAATATGAAATTATTTCTTATTTATGCGAATTTGCAGTTAGTCAGTAAAATATTCGATTCAAGATCATGGGACGTAACATTGTGTACGTGGACAATTGTCTAGAGAGAATTCCTTCTATTTATGCTTGGCTTTGAAATGGAAATATTGGTTTCATTTTTAGTATAGTGAGAGACTGCAGTTCTCAAAATATGTGCCAGAATGACAACAAAAACATGAATAAAAAAAAAAAGAATTATAGTAACATTTGTGGACAAAATTGTGAACTGACTCACCTACTGAACCAGTTTACAAATTGTATTGGATGATGATGATGACGAGAAAAAAAAGTCCCCACTCATATCTGACCTTCATCCCTGCAGTATATTTAGAAGAGCCGCTGTGCTGTATTTGTGGCCTGCACCTGCTCTGGACACACGTGAAGTGGACCGGAGCCAGAGGATATCGACTCATTCAACGTCTTAGTCTGCTGACAGTGCAGCTGCTTTACAAGCCCCCTGTCGTTAGAAGCATTTAGAAAAACAACAGAGGCCCTGGATACTGCATATGTCACACACACACGTACACACACAGACACACACAGACACACACAGACACACACACACACACACACACACACACACACACACACACACACACACGTTGCACACACACCAAAAAAGTAGAACAATTGTGACAGGAACAAATGGCTACTGGCTACACCTGTTCCATTCCCAGTTTATAACCAATGTTGATGCATTGTGGGTAAAAGACAATGCACTTTTAAAGTCCCCTTAGACAGCATCAGTTAAAGCTGGGGTGGCTAACTTTCAAACCTCAATAAGTTTAGTTGAATCCACGTAACTAGTTCCTCACCCTCAAAACAGTTTGGTTCTATCTCTAGTTTTCGCTCATATGTGTTTTGGCTTCTGTCACATCTTTAGATCAACTTCAGGAGGGCCAGCTCTGCTCTGGGCTGCTCTCTGGACTCTGTGGAGGAGGTGAGGGACAGGAGGGTGCTAGTCACCCCCCTGTCATGGACAACACCTCTCACCCACTGCACAGGATTGCAAAAGAGGAGGAAGACTGAGGCCCCCTCAGTGCAAGAAGGAGCGCAGGGCCTTTATCCCCACCGCTGTCAGACTGTACAATAAGTCACTTTAAGTCACTTGCACTAGGACTGAAAAACCTGCACTACTATTTCCACTGTTTCTTTAGTTTGGCACTTTTTATTGTACATACAGTAGTATATTCTGCATTTAATATGTTTGCACATTTCTTTCTTTTGCACAATCTGAGTGATTCTATCCATGCCAGATGTGACATGTACATTTCTGCTGTGTGAGATCAATAAAGTCTATCTGATCTTTTTCAGACGGAAAAGTGAAAGAGAGACTCAGTAAATCAGCTCTCAGCCCAAAACGTGGAATATAGACAGGAATGCCAAAGAGAACATACTAATATGAAGACAGTATGCTGTAGTCTGATTTGTTCACAATATTTTACGCTTACAAGATTTTCTGTTGGGGCAAACAACATGTATGATTTACAAATAATTAGGTACCCAGCTTTAATGACTTCTCATTCTTGTTGGAAAGGAACCCAAAAGGTTTAGGTGCAAATGCAAGAGCAAGAAACAACAAAACATTGCACACTCAAAATGTAAACAAATGAAGGCTATAATCGCTGAAATCCAAATTAGACTAACTCAGTCCAATGGAGAAAAGCTCAGACCATGTGGTGCAACTATGTGTGATGTGTTTACCTGCGCTTGTACTCGTCTCTCTCTCTCTTGACTTTGGCCAGCACGTTGTACAAGGCCCTGATCTCCGGAGTGATGGTGTCTATCTGCACCCCCACTCCGTCTGGGTGCACCCAGGACACCCCAGGACTGGTGATCCGCTCCCCACTCGAGCCGAAGCGCCTTGTGTGGTTGTAGGACCAGATGGTGCCTGGGAGGAAGCGTGGAGGGGGGTTGGTGGATGTCCCAGTGCAGGAAGTGGTGCTGGTGCTGAGGACAGAGAAGGGTCGGGCCCAATTACTCCATTTACAAACATAATGTTTATTTCTATAGCGCATTTCAGATTAAGGTCTCCCAAAGTATGTTCAGAGTTCAGATAATTTCACATTGTCTCCACACACAGTGATGACAGAAGCGAGACGCCGAACACACTGGTGCATCAAAGCCTCCAACCAACACCATCCATTCACTCACTCGCTATACTGATAAATATTGTGCATGTTTTTAGCGGTAGGGGAAACCGGAGCACCTGAGAAAACCTAACGCAGACACGGGGAGAACATGCAAACTCCACTCAGAAAGAACCTGTTGCGATCGGGATTCGAACTCAGGACCTTCTTGCTAAGAACCAATCAGCCACCGTGGCAGACATAACTTTGTCTTAATATCATAAACCTATACTTTCCAGTAAACGTCTAGTTTACTCTTTGTTGACTGTACTTTCATCTGAGAGGCTTGAATGATCTTCACTGTGAGCCGGTTTAAGTTCCAAAAGCTTTATCTAAAGACACTGATTGGTCTGGTTCACGATCAATTCTGGTTCACTTGGAGTAAAAATGCTGTATGTGGTAATAAAACCACCAAACAAGTGAACTTGGTCCAGTAAAGTGAACAAGACTAACTCACCTGTGGCACTAAACAGCAAATGCCACCAAATTCTGTTTCTTCAACGATATCATATCATTTGGTTTCATGTCGTCATGTGGTTTTCCCCTTTTCCAACCAATAACAATCAGTTGTTACACCCAGGCAGTTACTGTTTCCACTAAGTCTATTTGTTTTATTTTATGTTTAAATATATGGTGTTTTTTTCTATTAGCAGGGACAGGACATTCACGTGTTTCTGAAATACTGTATGCACCTATTGCTGCATGGCTGTGCACTGTAATCATCAGGCAATAGAGTAAAGGGCAAAACTAGTAGGCCTAAAAGTAAGATCAAATAATGCAAGCAGTACTTTCCCCTTCTTAAACAGCCCTACAAAACTTTCCTTTATAATTAGACTATTTACAACAATCCAAGTTAATATTTTTGGCTTCTTCCTCTCACCTCTGGCTGGGAGCAGTGGAGCCCGGGGAGTCCACACAAGGAGACGCGTGGCTGATGGTGATGGAGGGCGGGTAAGAAGGGTGGTTGTCCCCGGGCGGCGTGAACAGCGAGGTGGGCCTGCGGGCTGAGTTGTTGGTGTTGTGGAACGGCAGCGACCCGGGCCTCAGCGAGACGGCCCCCGCGAACCCCGTCTGCACACCGGTCTCCTGCGTGGGGCCCCTGTTCACTCCCTTCTGCTCACATTGGCACGTCTTACAATTACCATCCAGGGCCTGCTGCAGTTGCTTCTCCAAGATCTTATTCCTTCTCTCCAACTCGTGCACTTTGGCCAAGAAGCAGCGGAACCTCAAGTTGAGCGTTTTGAGCACGCTGATGTTGGAGCCCAGGTCGTTGCGCAGAGCCATGGCAGCTGGTTGTGGAGGAGGAGGAGGAGGAGGCTGCGCGCTCCGGTGTTGATAGTGATGGTGATGATGGAGGAAGGGCGACGTGTGCAAAGAGCCAACGGACTGCTCGCTGGACAGATCGGCCCCTTGAAGCAACAGCGCGTCGGGGAGCAGGCCCGAAGGCGAGTCGGGGTGTCCAGGGCTGTGCAGCTGGTGTGGCGGATGTTGTTGTTGGAGATGCGCGCTGGGATTGGCCCCCAACAAAGGATTCATGCTACGGTAGGAAAACCTGGAGCGCTGCAGATCTGGCATGAACACGGACTGTCTACACAACTATGCAATGACTTAAGAAAAAAACTCTCCTGTAAAGAGCACCTGCGCCGCGTCAACGGATTATGCAACGCGTTAAATTAAGACTTTATCCGTCAAAGCTGGAAGGTCGCCGACAGACAGGGATGAGATCAGCGCTCCCAAGAAGGACCGCAGCGACAAATGGACGGATCCAACCAGGGGTGGGAGAGGGGGACCGGGGCTCAGATCTTATCCAAAGATAAGTTAGAAAACAAACATCTGAAATATAAATGTAAAAACACCAAGAACGCACGGGGGAGGAAAGCTGAGTACTGTTGGCTGAAGTGGCGGCATCGATGTGACCGCAGCACAGAGAAAGTGCGGTGCGCCTGGGAGAGCGGCTGCGCTACCGTAAGTACCGGGCAGATGCGCACGCAGATTGCAAAGCCAGACTGATTACACATCTATTGTCAATTGTAAAACGAAGGATGGTAAAACAATTCAATACATATTGGAAACAGGTCTTAGAGAGGTCTCAATCCACAAATTTAGATTATATATACGTGAAATGTAAATCTAGGGCTAATGATAACTTCTCAATTATTAAGTTTTTTTGTGTCTCATATCTCTGGACATGTATCGATAATCTGCACTGTTACATGTTTATTGTGCCTCTGATCGTATTTCGAGTGACATCAGACACATATGTTACATTACTTTTCTTCATGTTTATAAACCACAGCTCACATTTTTCTTTAAAGGGGTTTTTAATCTGAGGGTAAAGTCACCCCATCCCAGAGTTGTTCTCATTCTGATTGCATGTTTTAAGTTATAGAATTATAGCGGGCTATTGCACAAAGACAATTATTTTACAATTGTTTAAAGCAACACTATGTTAAATGTTTACGTGGTTCACCTTGTGTTCCCTTCTTGATTATACATCCATTTTCATGAGTCTGTCAGTTTCTTGAAGCCCTGCTCTGCATCATGATGCTTGAGTGAACATGTGCACTTTTTCGTCTCTGGCGCCTCCTAGAGGCCTTCACGCGTCCAAACACTATCTCATACAGACTGTCCCTGAACTCCCTGTGCATGATCTGGTAAATGACTGGGTTCATCATGCAGTGGGATTTGGCAAAGAGTGCGGGGATCACAGTGACCACAGGAGGCAGGCAGGACCCCGGGCTGCTGGAGCTTCCTGGTCCGGGGTTGGAGGACTCAGAGAGAGTGTCGTTTCTGGAGACCAGGGCCGAGATGAGGGACACTGAGGCGTAAGGCAGCCAGGCCACGAGGAAGACGACACACACCATCACTGCCATCTGCAAGATCATATGTGACTCAAAGTGGTAGTTTATTTTTATTTACATGATGCAGTTAGGGGAAATACATCAACATAACATCATGATATATTTGCTTAAATATTAAATATTGCCTAAAGTTAAAACATCATGTTTTAATTTAAGGCTCATTTCCACTGAGTAAAAACAGGTACAGCATCTTCCTTTCAAACTCAGCGACACAACCTGATAACAACCTTAGATAGAAGCGCTTTTGCAATTGCAAATAATGAGATTTAAAGGACCTACTCAACTTTTCTATATGAAAGATTTGTCCCTATTGGTCTTGTGTTATGTTTGGTCTTGCCTTGAAAAAGAAATATGGCGTTTTTTTTAAATAAATAAAATTTGGAGGTATTACGCTCTGTAAATGTTTATGCGTATCATGTGACTCAATAACAAAAAGACAAAAGAACGAATAATCGAGTAGCCCTGGGCGTATTATATATAGTTGGGGCCCTCCTCATATGACATATCTGTGTGAAGTGGGTCAGTAGGTGACAAATACCTTTGCAAGTTTGAGATCTTTGCTGTGAGTGTTGGAGACAGCAGAGCAGGGTAAAGAGGCCAGGGCACGGTTCGATGTGTAGACCTGCAACAATCAAAATGTACAGTAACGTGTCCCTCAATATTGTTATATACTAAATCATTTTTACTCCTATTTTTAATCCTATCACAATGAAAATGTATAGTATTACAGGTTATTTTTAAAATGCAAAATAGTTCAACACTAATCAAATATGTATAATCGTAAACCTTGTGAAGAATGGACAGGTATGAAGCGATGATGGTGATAGTGGGAAATCCAAAACAGAAGCACAAGAAGAGGTACACGTACAGCCGGTCAGTGTCCGCCGTCTGGATGCTCCACCTGGAAAACAAACACACATCTTTACATTGCCTTCAAAAAATGCACACTTTGGTTCCTTATTTATCATGTGTACTTTTTCTTAGCCACTTTATATTGATAAAACATTACTTTCTTACTATAATGAAACAATGACATGCTGTAATCATAATCAAATGAGAAAGTAGGAGAAATGAGTCACTATATGGCACCGTTTAAAAATTAAGCACTCCATCATTTCTGATGAATGCACAGAACAAACATGATGTACTGATCTGAACTTTAACTGTTTTATTATTGTCATCATATAGACTTAATATATGATGACAATATATATTTTTTTGTTACTCTTTCCACAGAGTGGAAAGAGTAACAAAAACGTTTACTGAAGCAGGCCAAAGTTATACCAGTCGACTGTGCAGCTCGTTCCATAAGGTTCTGGTCTGTAACGTCCAAAGCCAAAAGCAGGAAGTGAAGCCCAGAACACAGTGAAGAGCCAGCTGACCGCGATGATCACACAGGCATGAAGGTTGTTGATCCTCTGACCTGCAAACAAGCCACTTATCAAAAAACAGACCTACAGTGAAAGTATTTGGCCCCCTTGAACCTTTCAACATTTCGCCACATTTCAGGCATCAAACATAAAGATATAACATTTTAATTTTTTGTCATGAATCAACAACAAGTGGGACACAATCGTGAAGTGGAACGAAATTTATTGGATAATTTAAACTTTTTTAACAAATAAAAAACTGAAAAGTGGGGCGTGCAATATTATTCGGCCCCTTTACTTTCAGTGCAGCAAACTCACTCCAGAAGTTCAGTGAGGATCTTTGAATGATCCAATGTTGTCCTAAATGACTGATGATGATAAATAGAATGCACCTGTGTGTAATCAAGTCTCCGTATAAATGCACCTGCTCTTTGATAGTCTCAGGGTTCTGTTTAAAGCGCAGAGAGAACCATGAAGACAAAGGAACACACCAGGCAGGTCCGAGATACTGTTGTGGAGAAGTTTAAAGCCGGATTTGGATACAAAAAGATTTCCCAAGCTTTAAACATCTCAAGGAGCACTGTGCAAGCAATTATATTGAAATGGAAGGAGTATCAGACCACTGCAAATCTACCAAGACCCGGCCGTCCCTCCAAACTTTCATCTCAAACAAGGAGAAGACTGATCAGAGATGCAGCCAAGAGGCCCATGATCACTCTGGATGAACTGCAGATAACTACAGCTGAGGTGGGAGAGTCTGTCCATAGGACAACAATCAGTCGTGCACTGCACAAATCTGGCCTTTATGGAAGAGTGGCGAGAAGAAAGCCATTTCTCAAAGAGATCCATAAAAAGTCTCGTTTAAAGTTTGCTTTTGGCCACAATGCAAAACGATATGTTTGGCGTAAAAGCAACACAGCTCATCATCCTGAACACACCATCCCCACTGTCAAACATGGTGGTGGCAGCATCGTGGTTTGGGCCTGCTTTTCTTCAGCAGGGACAGGGAAGATGGCTAAAATTGATGGGAAGATGGATGGAGCCAAATACAGGACCATTCTGGAAGAAAACCTGTTGGAGTCTGCAAAAGACCTGAGACTGGGACGGAGATTTATCTTCCAACAGGACAATGATCCAAAACAAAGCCAAATCTACAATGTAATGGTTCACAAATAGACGTATCCAGGTGTTAGAAGGGCCAAGTCAAAGTCCAGACCTGAATCCAATCGAGAATCTGTGGAAAGAGCTGAAGACTGCTGTTCACAAACGCTCTCCATCCAACCTCACTGAGCTCGAGCTGTTTTGCAAAGAAGAATGGGAAAGAATTCCAGTCTCTTGATGTGCAAAAAGGTGGCGCTACAAAGTATTTGCGCAAGGGGCCGAATAATATTGCACACCCCACTTTTCAGTTTTTTATTTGTTAAAAAAGTTTAAACTATTCAATACATTTCGTTCCACTTCACGATTGTGTCCCACTTGTTGTTGATTCTTGACAAAAAAAATAATTTTTATATCTTTATGTTTGAAGCCTGAAATGTGGCAAAATTTTGAAAGGTTCAAGGGGGCCAAATACTTTCGCAAGGCACTGTAAACCGGTCCTTCAAAGGCCGGTCTGCATGTTTCCATTCTAACCAAGTAGGAGCACAATAGACTACCTAATTCCTCAAGTGAGTCCAAGACCAGTTTGAAATCTGAATTAGATCAATATTTAGAGACACGCTACAGACATGAGAAATTGTGTTGTGGACAAATTAGAAGAAAAGTTAGAAATATAGGATATGGGGAAATTTGCCACATTACAGCAATGTGTTCAATTTGCATTTACATTTGGAAACAAGCCAATTTACACGGATACTCACCATATCTTAAGCAGCATATTTTCAGGCAGCGGTCCAGAGATATGAGAGAGGTGGTGATGAGAGAGCCGATACCGAACACCAAGCCCTGAAGGCCATACAGAAGGCACCCAGTGTCCCCAAAGATCCAGCCATGGCTCAGACTATAAGAGTGATGAACAGGGGCATTTATTTGATGAGTAGTAATACATCATTAGTCAGTAACTAGATTAAGTAACAATACTTTTATCATTTTGAAAGAGGCCTCATAAGAATAAAACATTATACAAAAGTATCTATTGTTTATTCTGTACCTTTTTTGTTATTGATATATTGAATGTTCAAATCTCGGTATTGATACAATGACAATATATATCTTTCAGCCATAGTCCGTATTAGTGCTGGTTTTTGACCACAGGAAAGACAGGAATGTGGCAAAATAAATGGGTCAATGTCGCTCAGTGTGTAAGGAAGAGGCGACCCCACGTTTTCTGTGAAAACCTTGGGTTTTATCTGAAGTTTTTACTTGTGCTACAACTTGGCAAAGATTGGCCAAATTAGGTGGATTAGGTGGATGGTACAAGGGAAGAAGTTTGAGTTTATTTGTTGGTTACTGCAGTGCTCACATACCTGGAAATGATGAAGAACGGCATACCCACAGCGCTGAAGCCAAAATCACACAGGGCCAAGTTGACAATCATGAGCTCTGGTGGTTTAATTTTGCTTCTTTTTCGATGATAGACCGCGAGCACTGCCCCATTCCCGCACACAGACGCAACGCCTGCCGTTCATAGAGCACACACATACATGTTTATCTTCATTATTGATTTCATGCACAAGTTATAAGTAAGTCAAATAAATCACAAGGGCAAAGCTTCTCAGCCTTTTTATCAATGAGAGCTTATTTCATAAATAATTTTGCTAAGGTGTCTGTGAACCTTCTACTGTAAAACAGGGAGCTGTAATATCAACCCATCGAACCAACTCAAAATGTGAATAGAATTCAAGGTATTCAGCAATTTAGTTCTTACATATTTGTGTGTTTTTCTTATTTCATTCCAATCAAGGTTTTTGTCGTAGTACTAGGTACAGCCCACCTCCATAGCAGGAGCAAGTCTCCCTAAAAAAGGGCAAGAAAAGATCCCCCACAAGATCTTCATTGGCTCCCAATCCAGGCACAGATTGGCTTCACAATCCTTTAGGACAGTTGGAAGGCTTTGTTTCCAAAGCCTTCCAACTGTCCTCATATTGTGTAGTGCTATAGTCCTCCTAAAGTCCTCATATATTTCCAATTTACATTAAAAATATCATTCACAATAATAGAAATAAATGTATTACAAAAAATGACATTTTTATTTAGAAATAGTTATTGTAGTGACACGAAATCAGATTCAGATTCATTTATTACGTTGTTTCCCGCGGGAGAAATGTGTCTTGGAGCAGGAGGGGTCAGCAGCACCCACAGATACAGACATAAAAAAAAAACAGACAACACACACACACACAAAAAGACAATACACACATAAACGACTGAGCTCATTCAAGAGTAAATTAAAGAGTCTCATGGCTTTAACATTCTTTCGGTGGGTTCTTTAAGAACATTGGGTTCTATCTTATAATAAATGTGCTCTATCTGCTTCTTTCCTCCCTAAAACCTCACCTTGTCAAATTTGTACTTGTAAATCAACTTCATCACATAAAAGTGTGCAACACAACTTATCAAGCAATATTTCAGAAAAAGCTCTTTATATTTCCCATATATCCTAAATAAACAGAAACCTGCAACCAAAAATGCAATTATGGTTGAAAATCAATAAATAAATAAAACAAATCAACAAACACACCTGTGAGGATGAGAAATGCAGCGATGACCAGGTCGGCGGATGGGGACAGCTTGGACTCAAACTGGGGCTCTACGGAGGAGTTAACAAGCCAAGAGTTTTCCATGGGTGCATCGAGCTGAAAGAGCACCCAAAATGTACGAAAGAAACCCATTTAAGCTCATTTAAAGTATTTCACCTCAGGGCAAAAAAACAGTCACATCTGGATCATCTGAGAATCTTGGAAAGTACAAACTCAAATCACAAGACAACGCAGTCCTAATGAATTAGTCAATAATATGTGCTGTCATTAGCAGCAAATAACATTCAGTATTGAAATATTCTTACTTGGGAGAGCTGCTGTATCCCTGCAAAGGTGTTTCAATCTCTTACCTTTTACAGAGACGTCTACGGCAATGATGGAAATGCCAAGAAACTGTCCTGTTGAAGCACTGATGAGAAGATGAAATGTGTGCATATGTAAAAGACATGGTTCAGAGGGGTGGGAGGAGAGAGAGAGCGAGGGAGAGAGAGAAAGTCTAGATAGAGAAATGACCAAGGAGATTAAAAGTATTTTTAATGTATATGTGCGATTTTTACATAGCTGTTTTGCTCCAACAAAGTTTTGATGTATTTTTAAGGTCTGTATCTTAAAGCTCCCAGATTCAAAAGTCTGACGTAAGCTTAAGCTCCATATTTGGTCAAGGATTTGCAATCAAAAGAAAATGTAATTACTTTTGTTTGACAAATTATCTGGAAAACATTTGAAATCTAATATTTGTAATAATCTTTTATATTCATACAGCTATTGGTCCTTTAATTGCTCATAATTGTACCCAAAAATATACATGATAGAAAAATGAATATCTCATGTTTCAAATGATATAAAGCGCTTTAGAGGATTGTGGACGTCTGTTCTAGACTTCATGCAGTTATGAGAGGCTCCTCCCACTACCATTCATACTGCAGCATGTTTTGGATGGAAAGGGGAAACCGGAGCACCTGGAGGAAACTCATCCAAACACAATGTTCATACAAACAACACTTGAGATATACTGTATAAACATGTACACTTTATTTTATCTGGAGCAGAAAATGATATTTTTGTAATGAATTAACTTTAAGACTTATTGGCGAATATAAAGTTGAGTGATGTTTGAAGTAATTGGAGACGGAATTGTCGACTTATTGGTGACATGTGGACAATGTTGGCGCTGAACCTCTGAGCGGAGCCACAGGTGACATTACAGCACTACCACATAATCTCATGTGCTTTACATTCATCTGCATTTATTCACACTTTTCTTTACACTGTGCGAACTTTTCAGACTCGGAACAAATAATGGCTTCTCAATCAGCCAAAGGTTTAAACATTTTTGAAAACACTACTATCCTGCCGTCACGCTGCAATGTTACACTGCAAATATCCTTAGAACAGAACCTGGTGTTCACAGGAAATTATTCATATTCCAGACATTTCCACTACTGCTGTAACTCTACATTTCGTCCCCACCTTTTGCTGCGTCGCCTTGGTAACGCTTATCATACATCTTTTAAGTGCACTATTCCCACTTCTGTATTGTGTGATGAAACAATCATGTCATCACTGTGGGAAGAACTAAAGGTCGTCTAATCCAAGTAGATATTCATAATTCACAAAAGGAAATGTACGAGTCATAATAGGTGTAGGATTGTAGGGAAAAGAAAACGCCAAAGCTTCTCACAAACAGAGGACTTTATTCCACCACTGGCTGCAGCCGCTCCAGACCACAGACAGAAGACTCACTCATCACCGTAAACAACAGGACATTCAACTTTGATAAAAAACGATTGGTCGCCGTATCGAATGGTTTGCGTGGGACCGTTCCTCAGGCTTTCATGGGGTCAGCAGGTCGAGCAGACGGGAGAGGCGCCTACTCCTTGGACGCCATGTGAGCCATCAGGTCACAGACGCGGTGACTGTAGCCGAACTCATTGTCGTACCTGTCGATACACAACCAACACACGTTAGAAGAATAAACAGAAACATTAAAGCTGGGGTACCTAACTTTGAAACAAGACTATAAAAAGACTGAGCAAATCCATGTAACTTGTTCCTACAGCTGTCAAAGGAAGCTTTCAAAGGCCGCCTCGAAAACCAGATGATTCATTGAGGGGATCATCCTCCAAACAAATACAAAACAAATCTTTCCTTTCAAAAGAGTTTATATCAACCATTTATAAAAAAGTTATGCTAAATTTTAGCTAGAGTAATTTTATTTAGTATAGAGTTTAGTGTAGAGTTATTTCATATAAATGGATTGATTTGTACGGTTTTTTTTTTAGTCTAGAGTTTAGTCTAGAGTTTAGTCTAGAGTTTAGTCTAGAGTTTAGTCTAGAGTTTAGTCTAGAGTTTAGTCTAGACTAAACTCTAGACTAAACTCTAGACTAGAGTTGCGTTCGTCTTATCCTGTGCTGTGTTCCTTTATCTTGTGCTCTTCCTTCCTACTGTTCTGTATCTTGTGATGCAACACTGAAATGTCCCCACTGTGGGACTCTCACTCGGCCAATCAGCTCTCAGTGAGATGTTTTCTATTAATGGAGGCAGCATGTTGTGGTATGACTCTAGCAGGTGGATCAGTGCCCATTTCCTCATTAATTAATTCATAGCAACTTAATTCCCTTTTATTTTTGTGCGCTCCAAAGTTCACAGGTTTATCTTTTTGCTGACTCTGCACATGTGCCATTCACAAGTTAACCAGTAATAATGTGTGTGGTGTAATCTTATTTGTTCTGTCCATGTCCTGCAGCTGTAAATACATAAACACTGCTCCTTTCATTTCTATTGTTCTGTATACAAATGTTATCTTATCCTTTATTAGTGAATGAATATTAAGACAACTTTTAGGAAAACAATGCAATTTTAATGTTAGTAACAAAAAATTGAGTTTTGACTTTCCATGTAAAGGCAAATTATGAAGATCTTATCAAAAAAAATCCAAGGCACTCATGGTCAAAAGTTTAGAGTTTAAAAAGCCTTTATTTTCTCATGGCTGTAATTTAAAATACACAGCAACGCGTTTCAGCCTAGCTAAACTAAACTATTGACCACGTGCCTTGGATTTTTTTTTATTTTCTAAGATAGTCATATTTTGCCTTTACCTGGAATGTCAAAACTCAATTTGTTACCAAGTTAAACCCCTCTTCCAATTGAGCACTTGGTCTTTTAAATAATTTTACACGCTTGTACCACGCAGCACTCCTTACCCTTAGTTTTTTGAGCAATTTTAATGTTACACTGAACTTAAGGACATTAGGGTATTTCATGCTGATCAAAAGTAATAAAGAAATCAATTGTAAATATATGTATGCCCGTTTTACTTTGAGATGCAGACATGTGATTATTGACAATGGGCTTGTCAATAAAATGCACTATTGACACTTTCTTAATTGCCACTTTTATTGTACATAATTTATCATGCATTTAACATGTTTGCACACTTCTTTGCACAAATTTTGTTTTGAGTGATTCTATCCATGCCAGATGTGACATGTAAATTTCTCCAGTGAGAGATCAATAAAGTTTCTTATCTTCTACTTTTGCATTCTTTCCACCACAGACTGCCGTGCGTCTCGTCTGCAGCATAAATAGTGTAATACTTGTTTCGTGGGGATTGTCAGACTTACCATGACACCAGTTTGACAAAGTGGTCGTTCAGAGCGATGCCAGCACCGGCGTCAAAGATGGAGGAGTGAGTGTCACCGTTGAAGTCTGTGGACACAACCTGGAAAAGGAAAGTGTAAAGATAAGTCGTTAGTTTGACTTAAAGCTGGGGAACCTAAATCTCAAACCACAAAAGAATGATACAAATGTAATCCATCTCAGTTCATCCTTATTGTTTCATACAGTATTTTTGGTCTTTATCACAGCCAATCAGCTCTTGGCTCAAAATGGTCAAATAGATGCACAGCACTTTTTATTACGATTATTCAAAGGATTAAATGTCTGGACTGCATGTTTGGGTCAGACTGGACTCTGTTGGGACAAACTTATTTTAAGACAATACTGGTTTTTATCAATCTATCGAACCTGCCCTGAATACTTTGACAGTTTAATAAAGTGTACTCAATGTAAACAAAACTATTAATCTGCAAAGTAAAACTAACACTTAATGCCTTAAATGCATCGAGACTCAAGGCTCAAATGAAAATGCTCTCATACCTGGTCTTCTGTGTATCCCAGGTAGCCCTTCAGGGGGCCGTTGGCAGCTTCCTTCACCACCTTCTTGATGTCCTCATACTTTGCCTTTGATTTAAAAAGGCACAGGTTAATCTCATTCACAGAAATTATAATCTTAAAAAAGGCACATTTTTTCCATTGAAGAGAATGCAAACATCACTCCAGTTTTCTAATGCAACATTGGATATTTTGTTTTAACATTCAATATCTGCCAAAGCCAGATTTATAAATCACAGGTACCTAGTTACAAAATGGATCTGTTTTTAATCGGTGCTTATGGTAAATCTCAAGGGGATATTCCTCTTGTGACAGAAAGAAACCATACTAAAACTGACATTCTATGTTGCCACCTGCCGAGAAATAGTTACATCCATTAAAAAGACCAATCAGGATATTAGCTCATGATACAAACGCAAAGAACTAATCTTCCTGGATTGACACAAATATTAGAAACCAGGATCTGTGCATTCCTTATCCAAATGTTTGTACATGATTTCATTTGACATTTGTGAATAACAAATGGAACTCACGGGCTTCTCCAGGCGCACCGTCAGGTCGACTACAGAGACGTTGGGTGTGGGGACACGGAATGCCATACCGGTCAGCTTTCTGCAGACAAACATGTGTGATGAGTACAATGGAGGCATAATTCTTCATTTATCTCGCAGTATCCTAGTAAGAAACACTGAGAAGCTACAGGAGGGTTTGTTGCATTGTTCAGGGCTGTTCTGAGTCTGTCCTTGTAGCCATCGTCAGGCGTAGGATCATAGAAGTGCACAGAGAGGACATTTCCACTATCACACTGGCAGATGATGGAAACAATGAGACTAAAGAAAGTGCACAATGTGTCAATGACATCAAAGTGTTTCTATAGTGTTCGTCATGAGCAGTGTTTCCACTGTTGATTACGGCAGCCGTGATACGTGAAATTTCCCCGCTGTGGGATGAATAAAGGATCTCTCCAATATGGTGAAGTTAGATTGGAAATAACTGGATTCATTTTACTCGTTTTTGTCCAACTCTTCTATTTATTGGCCGCCAATGCAGACTAATGTTCAATTGGAAAATGACAAGTATATACCAGAAAAATGTCAATTCAGTCTGACAGTTTATCTTATTCCCTTGCTAACTTTTTCTTTATTGTTCTAATACATTTTAAAAAGAGACAAGCTGCGTTTACGCCTCTACATAATGTTTTACATCAAATGTTCTTTTTCGTGACATCAGAGTCCTTCCATCTCAACACATGGGTCATGTTCCAGTACAGTGAGCGGGCTCGCCTCTCCACAGATCTGACACAGACCAGTAATTTGGCCACCCGTGTGTCACATGTAGACAGTTCAGCGACATGCTAAACACTGAAAGTAAGGAGTCAGGGAATGCAAACTGGGTTTTTCCATTTGTTATCAACATTCGTTAACCCAAGGATCAATGTGTATTTTGTGTGTGTTCCAATTGTTGAATCTCTAATCTGCTCTTGGCGAATCGATCAAGACAAGAGGCATTTTGAGTTTTCTAGTTCTAGGCAAGGCAAATAAATAATCACAGCACATTAGAAAGTTAGAAACAATAAAATCCCTCAGTTGTATGCACAGCTAAACAGTTTTTAAACATTTATTTAAACACTGTCAGAAGAAGTCTGTCTCAAATTATCAGGAAGACTGCTGCCGATTTTAGCAGCACTCACCCATTGAGCTCTGGGATGACCTTGCCCACAGCCTTGGCCGCTCCAGTGGAGGCGGGGATGATGTTCTGACTGGCTCCACGTCCATCTCTCCACAGTTTTCCAGAAGGTCCATCTACGGTCTTCTGTGTGGCGGTGATGGCGTGGACTGTGCTCTGTGGGACAACAGTTTACTCCTCCCAAAAAAACAAAATACAGTAGTTTAAGTGCATACACATAACTAGACTCTTACCATCAAACCCTCAACGATGCCAAAGTTATCGTTGATGACTTTGGCGAGAGGAGCGAGGCAGTTTGTGGTGCAGGAGGCATTGCTGGAAACAATCCAAATGAATCATGTTAGACAGGTACATTCCAGTAAAAAAGATTGTATTTTTTTAAAGGAAAAAATGTCTTTTTCCCACCTGACGACCTGGAGGGACTTGTCGTACTTTTCGTGGTTGACGCCCATCACAAACATGGGGGCGTCGGCGCTGGGGGCGGAGATGATCACCTTCTTTGCACCGCCCTTCAGATGGGCCTGACGTAAAGACAGAACTTTTCAAAAAACAGATTTCAATGGCCGCAAACATTTTACATGACAACCCATTGGTCCCATGGTTGCGTTACAGCCGTCTATCTAGATTTTCTAGTTGTAAATGTGAGAAACTGCTTTTCAGCTACAGCGTTTGGAGCACATTACGTATAGTTTAAAAGTCAAGTGTAGACATAAAAAAAAGAAAAAAAAAAAGCTCAGACTTTCAGAACATCTTGACAAAATGTATTAATGGAGTTTGCATATTGGGATACTAAAATTGGAGTTTAGTGTGTCCAACACCATTCTTAAAATCTCAAATTATATTTTTTCCCTTTTGTCATTTCACTTTTGTTTTTATTCTGTTGTGTTTGAGAAGTTTGCATCTTTATTCAAGGGCATAAGAATTTATAAAGGGACTTTACATCATTTCTTTAAAAAAAAATAAATAAAAAAATATAACCTGCTGATTCAGGCTGATTCCGCTGGACTAGTGCAGGGGCTTCATCTTAGAAGAACAAGTGTATTGTGTGTACTTCGTGTGCCCCTTGTATGAAGTAGAAAGTTTCTAAAGAATTCCGATCTATTTTTTATATTAATAGATTAGTTTGCCTTTTTTATAACTTGTTGCTCCAAGGACCAAAGCAATGTCTAGGGTGTGACATCCTGTTACATACAATATAACAGCTTCCAAAACCAATCAGCATAAGTCAATAACATTTAAGACCAGTTTTAGGACCTTTGCATCCAACGTAGCACAGAAAATCTGGACGTAGCCTTCAATAAAAACCACTAAACCTGGATCAGAACCGGACCGAGCCGTGTCAAACCAGTGTGAGCCCAACACAACTGACATTCACTATCGCTCTGATGCAGGTGTGGTGTGTTGTGCAGTGCATTGTGGGTCTTCACGTACAGAGGCCTTCTCGATGGTTGTGAACACTCCAGTGGACTCCACCACGTACTCTGCTCCGGCTTCGCCCCATTTGATGTTAGCGGGGTCCCTCCTGTTAAAACACATATCAGCCATGTTTAATATAAGCATTATATTGTTTATGTTTAACATAAGCAGAATGGTAGAGTTCCACCGCAAAAAGCTTAAGAGAACCAAACATGAAACATGAAGAGTCAGAAAAACTTCATTTTCATTCCCTGACTGAAGCCTTCTATTTTCTAGTAAAGCAAGAGTAGCTTCTCATAAATACGAGACATCAGCATCTATCACCTACTCCAACAGGTGCCTGCTGTTGTGTCCCTGAGCAAGACACGTACCCTCACTCTGCCTGAAATCAGAGTGAAATAGCCCCAAGTAAAACTCCTACTTACCACTAGGTATTAGACATGGATATTTTTATACTAGGTCCTTATCAGTTCATGAAATCATGTAATGTTGGTCTGTGTCTTTAATTACAGAATTTCACCGGGATCACTTACTCGTGGAAGACAGTGATTTTCTGTCCATCGATCACCAATTTGTCGCCCTCAATCTTGACCTCACCCTTGAAGCGGTTGTGGGTGGAGTCGTACTTGAACATGTAGACCTACAATCACAGACAATGATTAAAAACACTGGGTGTAGTATGTGGGGATACTTTTACTGTCTATGGGGGGTACACGTATCAAGAAACACTCAAACATTTAACCAAATTACCAATTACACATTTTAATTCAGGTTTTCCCGGCCAGAAAGTGCATTGTAAACAGGTTTATAATGTTACTCTAGACTTTTAGTTCCCTCACCATGTATTCCAGGTCAATGAAGGGGTCATTGATGGCCACGATCTCAACCTTCTTGTTGTGGAAGGCAGCACGGGTCACCAGACGACCGATGCGGCCGAATCTAAGGCGAAAAGAGACTGTTATAGAGACTCACCACAAGAGGGCGCCATATACACGCTAAAGTTCACCTGAACATTTCGGGACATTTATATTCAGGCCAGTGTTCTAAATATACAATCAGAGTTGGTGGGGGTCTGTAGGGGTTTTCAGCCTCAACAGCTGTAATGCTTCAGTGTACAGGCCTTATATTCCTTCTTAGATGGAAATTTCTCCATAAAGTGACTAGATTTCCCAGATTTTAAATAAATAATTTAAGGAAAAATGTATATATTACTTGAATACTTTAAATCTGCCATTTGTAATGTTATTAGGGACCGGCCAATTTTTAAGTCTGAGACATCAGCAGGCAGTATGCAGGTTCTTTCTGTTTGCAAGTTTCTCACTATGTCTGGGTGAGTTTCCTCACTTTTCATCAAAATTATTACTAGTATCCAAACTATAGATATTTGAGCAAGTAATAATAAAATATTCCCAAAAGAGACCACCTTGGACAGTGGACACATTCTGACCAGTTTTAGAAAAAAAAAAAAAAGTTACTTCAATACGACAGTAGTTCAAAACCTATGCAAAAAGTATTTTAAACTTTTATTTTGCATCATAAGTTAATTGAACATTAACATCCTTGCTTTGGCAATTGGCATAAAATTTAAACTAGTTTGTAAGAAAAGATTATTTTGATTCGGATTTTGATCGGATTCCAAAGGGTCAATAAAGATGGGATTTTTTTTCTAGATTTGATCAAAACAAAGCTCCAGTGATTCCCCTGCAGCCATCTTCATACACATGACTCTTTACACATCATGAGAAGGTTTTAGGTCTCAAAGTGAATATCTCCAAGTGTTTTCACAAACAAGTATTTTTTATAATCCTGTCTCAGTGACAGACAAATGCTCAGATCCAGATTTGAACCCTGACATTCGCTGGCATTGTTTGGCTTATGTGCTGCTTAAAGGGCACACATTTTCAGCCTGGTCTTTTCTGTAACAGGAGATGTGCGGCTGAGAAGCGCTAAAGGGCAAAGTTTAGGGGGAGGATCCACAGGGGGAGTGAGGTTCAGCCACTGTCCCAGCGACCGCAGGGCTAAAGTCGAATTTAGTGAGGAGATTGCTCTGATGACGCCACAGACAAGGTTACTTTTTAACCTGGAGTTTCTCAAGTTTTATGCCCTTAAGTTTGAAAAATGTCCTCTGGGAAGTGCAAATGTTAAAACTTTGTCTAGATTGAAAAGTCATCCGTTTGAAAATACTAAAATATCTAACAGCCATCTTTTGCTTTCTTAACGGCACAATCTTAGAATAATAATCCATAAAAAAGAATGCTTTGTTTTTGTGGAATAAGGCCACACAATAGCAACACAATAAGATGCCAAAAACAGAAAAATACTTTTCAATGCCGTTGTCTACTGAAATATATTTAAGTGAAATAATTTTAAGTGAAATGCATTTACACCACCGTTCAATTGGCCTTTTCAGTCTAATCATTTAATATTGCCTTTTGGTGCAAACACCCCAGTGCCCTGCAGGACCACTGCCCCCATTGTTATCAGCTCAAGGCTCAAAGTTCAAAATGTATTCGTCAACATGTTTGTGTGTGAACTTTTTAAAGGACAATTCCTTGCAGCAGTTTTCAAGGTTAAAATTAGGAGGAGCACTAACCCACGATCAGCTCCTGTTTATTTCACATATAAAAACTACTTTTTGCAACCATTACTGCAAACATCATTCATACTAAGAGAGAAAAGGACCACATTAATTATTATTGTTATCATTTCCTTTTCATGCACACACTGAGCCATGCTGAATGCACACAGGCTCTTGATGTGTTTATTAATAATCCAAGGGCCCATTTAGGTCTGGTGTCTGCAGTTACATTTGTGGACAGTGTTTTAGTTCTTACCCATTGATGCCAACTTTCACCATTTTGCCTGAGTGGGTCTAGTCCTCTGAAAACATGAGACAAAAAACAAGAAATGTCATTCACTCAGTTCATGCAGCAGCAGAGTTCAGAGAAACACAATGCAAGAAACGGCTAATACTAGATTTGTGCATTCATAGTGAGCAGCGTGTTACCGTTTGTGAGAGTCTGTCCAGTGGGTGAGTGGGGGAGAGCAGACTTTCGCAGAGACTTTTATGTTTGAGAGGCCCCGCCCCCTGGATCATATCTGCCACGCCCACTTTTAATGTCAAGGTTACACGGTCATGTGGTTATAATGCAGCAAAAAGACAGACTTTTCCAGACAATTATAACATGCAACAGGCAACATCTGTGTCAACAAGTTTGAAATGTAAAGGATTATGTTCCCACTAAAGGCCCCAGGTGGTGCTGTTGTCCTCAGAAGGTAAGGTCAAAAGGATCAGTTAATATATAATAATAATAATAATAAAAATGTATAAAAGAGAAGCTTGTTTGCTGATAACGCCAGGAAGTGTTGATGTTTTCAGCTGATACATTTAAAGGGACTACACTTTTTGACCGGGGATCTCAAGTCTCTATAGGCCTCAAGACCTGATAAAGTTTGATTTTAGATATGATGCTAAAGCTAAATGCTACTTGAGATGTGTTTACTTTAATGTACCAAACTGACATTTAAATAAACAACAGATGGGCCTATAGATATCACCTTTGAACCAATGATCAGAGAGAAAAGAGAAGGGAGAAGAGAATGAGAGGGAGATGGATCCAACCTCTGCCTCTGACATTTAATGTCCAAAGACCACGACCCTTCAGCTCCTGAAGTCTGGTCTGCAGGACCACCTGTTACGTCACACTGCTGAACTTTGAGCCTGAACTTTGAAAAGGAATGAAGAGTACGGATATATAGGTGAATATCTATCATCACATTAAACCAGTTTAGGGTGAATTAACCTTGAAATGCAGTATTTGATGATGAGAGCTGCATAGTGACACAGCGGCCATCTCTTGAGTGTCACAGCCATAAAGTCCAGGGTTTAATTCCACTCGAGGCATGTTCTCTCTGTCTGTGTAGGTTTCCTCCAGGTGCTCCGGTTTCCCCTATAACTAAAAACATGCACATTGGTTCAGTGTGGTTCACACAAAGTGTATTTACAGCTCCGGCTGTTCATTAAAGCACACTGTCTCATCCAAATAACACAATAAATAACAAAACACAATAACACAACTAATAACAGTTGCAAAGAAATACTGCAGGCATTAAACTGCATATCATGGATCTGGAGGGTTAGACAAAAACCTGCACATCACCAACGTGAACGGATGGAGTCGGTCAGAGTGGCAAACTTTGCTTTCACCCTTTTAGATCAAATCTACACATATATAACATGTCTGCAATGGCAGAGGTGACGTTTGTACTGGATATATGAACCCAAATGTGGTCATACTGTAGCTGTCTCACTTTCCAACAATTGTTGAATCAACAAAGGTGGAGTGATTGATCTTATGCTACAATTTCACTGATTTCTATGTTTTACATAAAAGTACATGTTTTACATTACATTTGCGTAAATAAAACAGTATGTATTCTATATAAATACACACATTACTAGTGTGCAGACTTTTCTCATAGTAAATACATGAACCTGAGGTTTTTTGCATTTCAAAGGAACAAGCTTTATTGCACTAATAAGTATAACTCAGATAAGGTTTATGTTGTAGCTTTGTGAAAAAATGATCTAAAAACAGTGAATAGGATTTCTATATCAATGATATTAAATAAATCTAAAGGGTTGGGCTTTTAAATCTAAACATGTCTGCAGCTGTGGCTTCAGTAGTTTACATCACTGTGACTAAAAGCACAGTGTAAACACCTTTGACTGTTAAAGCGTTACATAAAACCAATATAAAATAACTGCTGTTCAGATAAAAATACAAAGTTGAAAGTTTCCTTGACAATGGAGCAGTTTATAAACAGACATTCCTCCGGTGCCAGGTGGCGTGGGGCAGACTGGACTCTCGCTGGCCCTCGGGAGCTCACAGCCTCGGTCTCTGCATCGCTGCTTAAGGTCAGGGGGAGGAGGAGAAGGTCGCCCTAATATTAGACTCTGCTGTGGACTCCGCACTCATGTATACAGTGACCGCCATCAGAGCACATGACTCTGCTCTGTGTACCTGCTGCCACACTTCATTTGTTGCAGGAGTTCCCAAAGTGGGGTCTGGCTCCCAGCAGGGGGTCTCACTTTCCCAGTGGTCTGGTCATTTCATGTTTATGTCCACAACGCATGTGCTTTTCTACCTCCAGGTGGTTCGTCGCTTTAAAAGGAGGCACATCAAACTGACTTTGATAATGTGCATAACTGTGATCGTTCTTTAGGTAAAGATGAGTTTCTAGAATTTCATAATTGAGTTCATATTATGCGTTTGAGGCTTGCACAAAACACATTTGTCACTCCCACTTTAAATGGAAATCAGAAATCTCTAGCAGTCACTTTTGTGTAACAAGTGCACGGGGGGGAAAACAATGGGAAGCCCTTGTCAATCCTGGTTCAACATATGAAGTGTGTTAGAATTCTTTAACTACATTCATAAACTTAAAGAATGTACAAAAGTAACAACAATGAACAGTGAGAACATGACATTGAGCTCCACCTGCTGGTACAGGATTGTGGCTGGTTTATTTGTTTAAGCAACATGACAATACAATTATTTACCACACAAAATAGAATAACAGAACATATTTGTACCCAATCACGTCTCATAGTCCAGGGGTTCTCAAACCGTGGGGTATGGACTTGATCAGACAGAACCGATGCGTTGTCTGAACTCACTGGGCCTTTTCCAAAATGTCACACAACATAAAAACATGTCACTTCATTATAAGCCGTGGTCCTGTTCTAAAGTACATTGCCTTTTAAACTCATCAGTCTGGCAAAACAGCAAGGAATAAATCAACTCTGGAAGCTACGACTCTATTGGCAGAACATTTGAATGGTAAAAATACACTTTATCCAGAAACTCGGGTGTGTACATGTGACAAGAACGCAGCCCTCACAAATGTCAAATCCATTTATTCATGCAAATCATATATCAGGAAAAATATAAACATAACCAGGAAATATTTATCATAAAAAAAATGAAAAGACCATCAACAACATAGACTTAATAAACAGAAAGTGCCACAAAAAAGTAATAGTTTTTACTTTTTATATTTTTTGGAATGACTTAAGTGTGAGTTGTGTGCGAACGGTGAGTGAAGCCACAAAAGCTACTGTACGAGTCGAGAATTATTACTTACATTAAATATATTCCATTGAGCAGGACCGGACTTTAACCATTTACGGATACTATATACATTTTGAACGCTATTGCTACCAAATAAACAGGTGAAGAACTAAAAACGTGAGTAAGCTATTGGCCGAATTCTGGATTACACCACCAAGAGTTAGCCGTCTTTTCAGGTTATAAACTGATTACAATGGATGCATTTTTAAATTTAATAATATGGACGTTTATTTCTCCCACTAGCCCCTGTACAGGCAAGTTCTAAATAAGCTCTTGATGTGTTAATGACTACTACACAAAAGTGGCTATAATCTTAAAGTGAAGGCAGAAATCACTTTGGGGTACTTCAACTTTTGAGCATTTTTAAATCTAGGCTTTGAGGATAAAAGAAGGAAGAGAGGTTTGGTTCAGAAGTAAATGGTGTGTCGAGAAGGAAGGAGTAAACTTGACGAGTTGCCTAGCAGCTGTGGATCTAGGGGAGGGCCAAGAATGACAAAGGCCCCCCTCTGCCCCCCTCGGCCCCCCCTAAGCAAAGAAAAACTCTTATTATAACATCGCACACATTTAAGACTATACGAGTTTTCTACCAATAATAATATATTAATAAGTATCCCAAAAATGGCCAAAAATTCTGATTAATAAAAATATTTGGATCTGCCGTTGCTTTCTAGTTGCTTTCTTGATGACAAGAAATTAAACCATAAACATTAATACCAAATGGTGTCAAAGTCAAGCCCTGCATTTTGAACAAACTCAGATTAACGATCTACACAGGGACCAACAGTGTCTACAGACTGTGTTCGTGACAGTGGAAACAAGGATTTCAGATGGAGGGCAAGATTCAACACTCACAACACTGGTTATGATTGTTCTGTTAACAAAAATACATTTCTCAGAGAGGCCACCATTGATGAAGCAAGTAGTTTTCGTACTGAGCAGTGTAAGTGTTGATGACTATCGTAGTCAATGGTTCAAAAGAGTCTGTATCATGTGACGTCATCAGTTGAATTTTCTATCCTTGGCCTCCAGCAAGTCTTTAATCACAAACTGGATTTATCGGTGCAAAACTATTGTAATTCATTTCCAAAACTGATGTTGATGGCAGATGTTGAACTGAGATATTCTTCAAATAAGTGCTAAAGAAGTGAGTCCAAGAAAGTAACAAAAAGTGAGGTGCATTTTAATCCATATCTAAGCCTGCCCTCCAACATAATCTCAATATTCTAATGTCACATGAACCCTGACCTCTGACACACACTAACACCCCAGTCCGCTCACTGAACCAATCCGGTCCAGTTTGAGGCCAAAACAGCCCCGGTTCCAGCCCCTCCGCAGCCGGTCGGGCTCAGCTCTCTTCTGCCCGGCCAGAGACCCCCTGAGCAGCCTCAACCACGGGGTCTGCTCCCCGGACTGACCCCCCGGGCCACTGGAGGGGGGCTGCTCGTCCGGCGGACTGTTCAGCATGTTCTCCAGGTCATCCAGGGTCAGAAGGTCTTTGTAGCGCTCCAGAAATTGCTCTGCAAACTGAAGGGGAAAAGCTTAGACTTAATTGACAGAGAACGTGTAATTAAATCAGCCATACATCTCATTACTCCTCCCTTCCTCTTTGTCATTGCGCACACGCTCACGATCCTGGCGTTGGCAGTTGATGGATGCATTTGCTTATGTTACTGATCACATACAGTACAAATGTAAAAGTGTTCAGACTCTCCGTCTGTGAAAGGTGCTATATATAATAGAAATACAGATTATTTAGTATTCTTTATTAATTTCTGTTTTATTGTCTTATCCTATATTTTTTCAAGATGAAAGGTATCTTAATTTTGTAGACGTTTCCCAGAGAAGAAAATGACTGTGGAACCTTTCAAAGCTTGAAGCAATAAAATGGTCGATGCTGATCACGACTCGCAGGAGTTCAAACGAGTGTCTCGTACCTTCTTTTGGCATTATATCACTCTTATATAATGCCATTAAAGGGCCTTAAGGAGCTGAAACAACATGGGAACATATGTCTGCCTGATTCGTGCATGTTGGACTTCTTTACAGTCTTTTTTCCGCCGATGGAACTTTTGACCACTGAGACAGACCCTCTGTGATGTGCAAATGATCTGCTCAAAGCGTCGCAAATATCATCGATGGTCTGGACAGAGGCTGCAATTTCTATTTGACTATATCCACTAAAGACGACAGAAGTACGAAGACTCGTCTCTTTTACCACATTGTTTCAGATCAAAGTCAGAGATTTCAAATATTTAATCATAAGAAATCAACAGATTCTCAGTCTACAGCAAGCAGCCGAGGCATGTTATGTCTCTGAATTCATAACAATTTCATGTTGTTTAAACACATCACATTACATTATTGTATCGTTAAGAATTATACATATTGTGATAAAAAATTTAATTCAGCCGAAAAAAGCCCCAACCTTTCACATAGAAACAAGTGGTTTTGACATAGATGGTTATAGTATAGTGTACCTGAGCCGCGCTGGAGGGCGGCAGGGAGCGCCCCTCGGGGGTCTCCAGGGGCGGCAGGAGGAGAAGAGCAGCGCACAGCAGCAAAGGACACAACATGGCCTCAAGAAGAATGACACCTGCGACAGAGGGTCAGGTTGGAATGGGAAATGACATTTACATCATGCACACATTATTAGAGATAATCTGAAGAAGGGCTGTTGCAAAGAATCAAATTGAAAAAAAAAAAAAAAAATCCAGAAACTATTAGAGATTTACAGTATAAAGCCCCATAGTGTCAAAATTGTTAGAGCATGATGACAACAATGGTTTATACAGACAAAAGCTATTGTAAAAACAGAAAAATCACCACCACAATTAGAAGAATTATTGTTATTGTCACCCAACAAAATTCACACACTGGAATTTGCTTTGGCATTTTGATGCAAATAAACTATGTAGTATAAACTAATGCAAAAAATACCAAAGAATTAATGAAATAATTTTGAAATAAAACTCTAAAGATGTATGATTTGTGAAATGCAAAGTCCTCACCGTTTGCAGGAGCGTGTGTCGTCTCACAGACTCTGGTCCATGTCTCTGCAGCTTGAGTCGTGGGCACCTGCTGAAGCATCACTCTCACCCAAGCTCCTCCCTCCTCTCCCTCTGCTCTCGGGGATGGCACCAGCTCTTTTCAAATGCAAAATATCTGTTCAAAATGAGGCTACATTCAACCTATATTGAAGAGTATTTAGGACACAAGTACATTTTGGGATTTCGTCTGATTTTTTCGGTCTAATTTATTTTCAATCTTCTCTTGCAATGTTCCATCTACAAACATATTCGGCCTCATCAGTGACTATATATAAAGTTGGCCTTCAGGGTACAACCATATCCCACTCACTCCTGCCTTAGGAGTTTGAGCTATTGCCAAACCGTAAATTGCATATAAACATTCCAAGATCTCCAGTATTACGGGAAGAAACAGCTGTAGAGCAGTGAGTTCTAATTCATCAATAAACTGACCGATTGATGATTAGTAATGCTCCCGATAGGTTTCCCAAGTGACAGTGAAGGATGGGCCACATGCAGAGGACATACTGTATTTACTTATGTATAGAAAAACCTACCATCCCATATCTTACCAATATTCTCCAACAGCCACGTTATACTCATGGGAAAGTGTGTGTTTTATGTGCAGCCTTGTCTTAAACATGACATGGATGAATGGTATGGTCCTGTAAAGTTCACATGGCAATTAGCACAGTTGATGCATGTGGTTTTGGTGAATATGGAGCGATTGAACTAATGTAAATGTAACGGCCATGTTCTTATCTTTGTGCCCTTTTTCTATCAGAGACCAATTTCTCTTTCAGGAAACGATAAAGGCTGAATATAATCCAATATTAAATCCAGGACAAAAACAGGACTAGACCATCTCGCGGAGACCCTTTGGCGAAGAGAAAGCGACTGGATTTTTTTAATGATGAATAAAGAATGATACTAAATGACGTGGAATGAAAGAACTGTAAATATGAAGAACAAAGTGACGTTGTTTGTGAGCTGTGAAAACTCATCTGGTTTTTCAACATTGGAATAATTTTGCAACCATAAACGAAAGTAAACGATGGACACTATTAGCGGAAGTGAGGAGTTAATTATTCTGCATTCATTGTTCAAACGCCTCAACAAATTGGAGTGGGTAAAAAAACATTGAAAGACCAATTTGAAACTGATTATTCTGTACCCCCCGTTCAAACTCTGCAGCATCCATTAAAAAACAGCTAAATAGTCAGATACCTCCCAATGATGCTGCCTCACCCACTAACTCCCCCCTCCTCCCTCCTCTGGACCTTTTCTTTGGCATGATGTCATAGACTTGGACAGAGTGTGCCTGTCATTGCCAAGGTGACTGCTAAAGAGCCAGATTTTCTCAAACACAAAAAGGAAATCAAAGAGAAGTGGACATTCTGCAAGCAAGGACCAGATGATGATGACATGCGCAAATAGTAACACCGCGTCCCAACCAGGGGTACAGGGGCCATTGGAGCTGTATGAGCAGCTAGTAATGAGGGGTCTTTGAAGAATTTAAGATATGTTAAGAATTACATTAATCTCACGTACACAAGAATGGACCAGGTTAAATTAAGCCCAAATTCAGACAAATGTCTTGTTCATTATTTCAGTTGTGTTTGAGATTAGTAAGAAGTGAAGGGGTCAAAAATCTTGACAATAACCAATCATAATTTTGATGGAAACAGGACTTTGTAATTTTTCCTCAATTTGTTTAATTTTTCACCCTGTATATTTTTTGCTGGATAGTATGAACGCAGTTGGTTGTGCTCAAAATAATAACCGTATAAAGATGTAAATAAATCACAAACTATGCCCCGAAGAAGCTACCTAGCCCAGCTGTGCCTAGTTTTAAAATGCTAATGTTTTTGTAAATTGTATTTCAATGCGTTAGGAACCCTATAGAACAGTTGTGGGCAAATATTTTCTTCGGGGGGCCACATTAGGATATCGCCTTGTTGTGGAGGGCTGGACCCAATTTCATGTGGTTAATTTTTGTTTTTGTTTATGCAAAAGTAGTCCAATTTTAACATTTTGGATATTTTGTTTTTTATCGAACACACATGAAAATACCATGTGTTGGTGGTAATTTCATTCATGAGAACAAAATATATGTATAACAGGCCATGGCAGCACATACAGATACATGTCTTCATTATTAGTCTAATGAATATTCCATCCATCCATCCATCCATTTTCTTCCGCTTAATCCATTTCTGGGTTGGGGGATGGCAGCCAGAGCTGCACCCAGTACACATAGCACCAGCCCCTCACTGATCCTCCTGCAGGTGGTGAGTCCACAGGAGCTGAGATCTTTCAGTGGGAGCTTCAGGCAAAGTGGGGTTAAGCGTCTTGCCCAAGGACACAACGACAGCAGTCATCAGTGGGACTAATGAATATTATCTTATATAAAATGAATAGTCAGGTTAGTGTACAACTTCTGTTTCTGAGAACTGATTCACATCTATAATGCAGAGAGTCCATCTACCACTAGCGCCTTCCAGCACAGAACGATTTGAAGAAGTTCCACAATTCTGATCAGGTCTGGCGTCAGAAATTGAGGTTGAAGTTTCCCATCAGATCAAGATCTGATAGGAAATGTACGAGCAACATGTTGGAGTTTTGGTCACAGATCCATGTTTCTTATGTGTTTGAGGTCCTTGTCCTGTTGAAACACTAATTTGATAAATCACATACACACTAATTTATTAAGAAATTATTAGAAAAATAATTATAAAGAAATAAATAAATAAATCACATATTTTGTTTTGTTTTAGATAAAGATATGTTTCCAATGCATCCACACACAAAAAATGACACGCTGCTTATCTTCCGAACATAACTGTACATTGTTAACATGTTTTGGCTGGAGAGCTGCGAGCCATTCACACAACCGTCACAAGCTTTGACGTGCCATTTATCAGCTGAGGTTATTTCCTGAGTCTGAGTAGGACTGACTGCTCACTCAACCGAGTGACAGTTGTGAAGATTCAGCCAAAACATGAAAAGATGTTCAACAAAATCTCTCTCAACCAGTAATCTTTGACCAAGAGCCAACAGCAACAAAACACTCATTACCCACAACTATGCTTCTTAGAGATCTAGCTGTAAATGCTTCAATATCTATCTATCCAAGAGGGTTATATACAGTATTGGACAGAAGAGAAAAATCCTTGTGCCTTCCTCTGGACAAATTGACCCGCCATCAAGATACAAAATAAAAATTTGAATTTCGATGCCATTTCCCCATTTGAGCAGGCCTGGGTCATTTAAACCCTAATTTTGGGTATTTTTCTTCTACTTTGAATCACTATGACAGGTCATTTTGACCCGAGGGTAGCAGAGCGGAGCTAAGCAGAAGAGGGCTTGAATTGTGTACATGGGAGACTGCTGGCTCAAACTGGCAGCCTTACTCCCGTCAGTCTACCCCAGGGCAACTGGGGCTACAATAAATAGTTTACCACCAGTGTAGGGCAGGGGTCGGCAACTTTCATTATCAAAAGAGCCCTTTCCCCCCTGGACAGCGAGTGATAGCCTCTTTTGTGAAGCCTTTCCCAGCATGCTCTTGTCTGAGAGTTACTGTCATGTCAGGTCCATCTGCTCTGTAATCTGGCTGCAAGGGGTTAGACACGACTCTAAAAGGACAGACATTACAGAACACTAGTCATTATGCAAACAACATGATTTCACTCCTGGAAGATCATACAAGATTAACGTGTACCTTGTTTAGGTGGTGAATGACAAACCAGTTTGAAAAAAATACTAGTCGTCCAATATGAAATTACAATTTGCAAAACCAAACAATGAAAATAAAGAAGGCCTATAACGTGCATATTTGGACAAGGTCTTCAATTAGCAATGGCAAGAAGCTTGACAATTGAAACACCCAGCTATGACAGTTCTGTATGCTGATAATCTACATTGGTTTTTCCACAGTAAAACATTATTTGATTGCATTGACCTTATTGATGTTGAAAGAAGCCACTTAAAATGTGTCCTTATAAAGTCTAACAGCAGGTGCAATGATGGCATTAGCTCATTTTTTGGCAGCCGTCTTCATAAAGCATAAATCAGAAATGATGCATCTCTTATGGAGGGTGTGTGTGGGAGAAAGTGGGCTGAAAAGCAGACGGGGCTCAGTGCTGAAGTCTGCGCACAAGTGGGAGGAAAGAGGAGGAGGATGGGACACAAAGGGGAAATACTCAAAGGTAATGATTGGGCTACAGGTGGGCAGGTAGCGTGTTGTCCAATCTTTTATAAAATGGTACACAACATATGGATCCAGATTATCGATTGTCCATCCATGTTTCAGCTAAAGAATAGAATGTTACTAAAGCTATTCTGGTAAATGAAAGGTTGTCTTTCTCAAACACACATATATGTCTATGGAAGATTGAGCTGCTGTGTTTGTAAATTGTGTTGTGGGAATTTTTTGCAAGGATAATAAATGTTCATGTATGATCTTTTGTAACAGATTTGAACACGCACAATCCCTTAAGCATTGACACACATCTGGAATGTAGCGTTGGGCCAAGAGCAGACTTTTGGACCATCCCGTAAAGCCATTTTTTGAGAGGAAAGAAGGCGGCATACAAAAGCATTGGGCAATTCAATTCCGGGTCCACCCCCACCGGCTAGGAATGGGATTGCAAGTGAGATGTCAGCACACATTTGAGCCAAGACACCCACTGGTCTTTACCAACAATAACATTTCTTAGTCCGTGACAATCCCAGAATTCCACATATTTTGTAATTTTCTTCACATGTCTACAGAAGGACTCAGAGCTGCAGCAATGTGTTTAACAAGTGCTCATCTAACTTTGTTGACCTCAACGTTCATGCATAATACGTGAACACACACACACACACACACTTGCCTACGAACATGAACTGTTTTGAACGGTGCTATACAAGAAAAAACTTGTTTATTAAAAAGATTATGAACATTGTCATAAGTCACATCGTGTTAAAATATACACAATACTATAAAATACATTATAAGCACAAAAGAGGAAAATGGAATAAAAACATAAAAGTGATGAAGTAACAAAATAAAAGACTTAATTTCTGAGGCGAGTTCGGCGAGAGGTACGAGCAATGGGTGTCGTAACTTTAGGCGTCTCATTCTCCGTCATTACGGCATCTGGGGGGGAAGAAAAAAAAGGATCAAATTTCTGTAAGGTAAAAATGTATAACCAGATGATGTATTTAAAGTGAATGTCAGTTTTTTTTTACTGAAGAGAGATAACGTTTTTGAAGACTAGCACTGGATAGACCCACCCATGCTCACCCCGCATCTTTTATTTCAACCAATCTGAGGATACATTTATCAATGTTCAGAACATATTTTTCCAACCGTGTCTCAGGGTTAAGAATATGCATTCTTTTAAAATTGAAATGTCATTTAGGTTGCTGACGTCATCTTAAAGTAAGCAGCAGAAATGGTTAAAGCCCTCAACATACTGTCACTTCTGACAAACGTGGGCAATAATTCAACTGTAAAATGCCAAAGTGAAGGCAACTCCATCATGTACTGGAAAAGGATTAAGAAAGACTTGCCCTCTTCATCCTCCTCATCGCTGCTGAATGTGATCATCGTCTTCTTTGATTTGCGAGTATTCCGAGGTGTAACAAAGCTGTCATCCGCATGGCTCGAGGAAGCCTTTCTCTGACCTGTGTCACAAAGATCAAAAGTGTTCAATATACTGTACAGTATAAAGACATTTATACATGTTATGATGTTCGCACCCTTCTTGGGCTTGGGCCGGCCTCGTGCCGGCAGGGGCGTGTGCAGAGCAGTCTTCTCAGCCTTCTGGTTCTCCTCCTCCATCTCTGGGCTCTCTACGTTCTCCAGGCCTTTCGTGTGGACGGCAGTCAGACGCTTTTCAAACTCGTCCACTTGAGCCTGGGGAGAAATACAGAAGCCTTTAGCATCAACATCACAGGTAAAACTATGTTAAAACATATCAAATCATGGCAATATATGCAAACCACATTTAATAAACTACACTTGTTTTTAGTCAAGTTGATTACAAAGTCTTGGGTTACATTGAAATGACAGGTTACGCTGCATAATCACAAAACAAATGTGATGCAAAATAATAGTGATTAGTAAACAAAATAAAGATATGGTAACAGCAATATTGCAGAATCTTGTGATATCCAGTCTTTAACCTAGTGGGAATACTCTGAAGACAATTATGAGGAAAAAAACACTTTATATGAAAAGTTTGCATGCCACTGGTCTGGTCCATAATCCGGGAGGTCACCTTAAACTGCGCCTTGGCTCCTCGCCGGAGCTTGGCCATGATGGTGAGCAGTGGTTGGTAGACTCCTGGTTCTGTCAGTTTATCGCTGTAACATTCCCAACACTCCTGCAGCCGCTTGAAGCCACGTTCACACATGGACAGCAGGGATAAGGACACGGCCAAGTCACACCACTGCCTCTCAGTCCTGAAGGAAAACAGACACAGGCCAATATGTCAGACAAGCAAAAGCAATTCATCATTCTGAATGGCAAAAAAGAGACAAACTCATGAATGGTTCAAACTTAAGAATTTGTATTCATTTAGAGGTAATCCACTTACACAGTATAATTTTAACTAAATTTTCTTTTAAGATTAACCACGGTATACTCCACCGTCCCTATAAAGAAATGTTGTCCTCTGCATTTGACCGATCCTTCAATGGCATTAGGCAGGCCTTGACATTAAGCTTTGTCAGCCACTTGCCCTTTGGGCAAGTACCATTTATATTTTACTTGCCCAATTATTTTGCAATACAATGATTTAACAAGAGTTTGGCAATAAAGTGGCACTAAATGTGTGGAAAAATATATAGAAACACCAGTCTCTGCCAAAAAAGTCAAATAAGGGCTCTTAAGTATGAAAAATAAAAAACAAGACGCCTGTTGTGGTGTATTCTATTCAGTGGGGGAGGGTCCCAGCTCAAAAGTGGCCAAAATGACGTGAGCTGACATGCTTGCAATACCACCCCGGGCCGATGGGGGTGGACCCAGAAGTAGAATTAGCCAATGCTAACATATAGCGTTGGCAGACCTCTCAAAAACGTCTTTACAGGAGGGACCAAAAGTTGGCTCTTGGCCCAAAGCTCCGTTCCGTGTGTCAATGCTGAGGGGGGTGAATTTTTTTGGTCCAGTCTAGTTTACTTGCTGTGAATTTTTGAAGTCTCTCGTTCAAATGAATGGAGCTGCGCCGGCTGACGCATGCGCAGATGCGTTTTTTTCACAATTTTCTTGTGGGCGGGACCACTCGCGGCCATTTTGGATTGCTCCAGTAGAGCACATTTTTTGGCCCATTAGTTAGAACGGCGGAGATAGGGGTGACTCTGTCCGTTAATATATACAGTCTATGATTCTATTGGATTTGTTCACAACATTTTACTTTGGTGCACAACCAACATGCATTGTTAAATGCATGGGCACATTTTGGGTACCCAAGCTTTAATTTTGTGAGTTTGCTTGCTCTTTGGGGTGAGACAAGGTGGAGACCCGCACATGCAACAAACTGGGATGGTCTTGAACGCGCGTCTATGTTTTCTGTCCGCAGAAAGCACCAAAACAACCGGCATTCACTGGAAACAGCGAACAACAGCCCAGCATTCACACCGTGTTTCTATCTCTGTATTGTTGTCACAACGGCCCCAGCAGAGGTAAATACACACACATTAGAATTTTAAAGAAAGTATGGTAAACTAGAATTTACCATACTGCTATCCAGAATATATAACTACAATATGTGTTTATAATATTTCGGGTGTTCATTTTAACATGTTCAGATGAAATATGTTAAAAAAACTGCATTGAAGTTACACTTTTCCACAAACGCTAGGGGGCGCCAAAATTGGAGTGATGACGTAGGAGAATGATCCTTCACAGCCGTCATGGCTGGAATCAATCAATCACTTGGGGCAATTAATAAGCACGGAGAGTTGCAAGTTACATGCTACATGCTAAAAATCTCAATAAAAACACAAATACATTTACACACACATCTGTATGAGCAGTGCGTTAATAAGATGTTTGGGGAAGAATCGGACGTTTCACTGTCATCTGCACAAGGTATAAACATATTTTCATCAGTTTTGTACATTATAGTGTGCAACTCTTTTAACCTTTTTGCCTTATTTGTGAGATTCAAGCTAATTACTTGGCCTAACGGTCCCCAGTGTTGGGCAAGTTAGCTAGCTGTTACTTGAAATCAAGATATCCTAAAACATGCTTACAAGGCTAATATTAGTTTTTACATTATGCCAGTCTCATTTTGGTTGCTTTTGATTTATTTACCACAATGTACATTGTAATATCCAAAAAATATATATATATTAGATTCTGATATATAAATAAGTAACAATCTTGACTATTTTATGCAAGAAACTGCTAGACCTATATTGAAATTCACACACCAAATTATACCGCAATATATACCGTTTACCGTCTGTGTCCCTAATTATACCGCAATATGAATTTTAGGCCATATAGCCCACCCCTAGCGTGAACACACCGATGTGAAATGCATAACCAAAACAGAAAAATGCATTCATTTATCTGGCTTTGTTCTGGTGTTTAGCCCAAATTCAATTTTCTAAGAACGTCTTTTGTCTAAATCCACTTTTCTTTCGTAGAGGGAATAATGCCCTTCGTTTGAGGAGAGCATGGACTGGTGAGTCAGAGCAAAGCTCATGGCGCTGCCTGTAATGCTCAGCTGCTGCCATTGTGCATGGGAAAAGGAAATATCATTAAGAGGACAATGTCAAAGCAAAGTGGAATGAAGGGCTTGCATTCAATAAAAAGACATATCTATCCGTGTTGCTGTATTATGATTGGTATGTCAGCATGTTGTTGCCGACACGCTGACATTTTCCCCATCGTGATAAATATTAATGGAGGAAAATAGTAATAATGAAGATGCACTCACTTGGCGGTCCTGAAGCGCTGACAGAGTTTTTCAACCAGGGATTCTGTTTGCCTTTCTTTAGTAATGTAAGAAAACAGCTGCCTTAAAAAAAAAAAAAAAAAAAAATAAGTTTTAAATTTTCTTCAATGTTGCTGGTAAATGAGAAAGGGGTCTTACTTCATGATTATATTGAAGTCCTCAGAGTTCATTCCCCTCTCTGGATCAGACAGTCGACTGATGATGTCTGGGAGCAAGTTGTAAATGGCATTGTCCTTAAAAAAACAAAACAAAAAACAGGCAAAACATAATAAATGCGAGTAAGGTATTAGGCAGTATTCTAAATATATATAAATGTATTAATTAAAATCTGCCGATACCATTTACTGGCCTAGGGCCGTAACAGGCCCTTTTAAGATAAACAGGCTGCCTCAGCCTGAATACCAACCTATTCATAGCGTTTTGATGAAAAATTTACTATTAGGCAACAGCAGAAATTCTTAAAAATGCTAGCAGGCTGCACACATTGAGCTCTTTAATGAATCACCTCAACATGTATGACACCATCTCTGAAACAAATTTGATACATTTGATTTAAACAAAAAGGCAAAAAAAATTTTATTGGATATCAATGCTTGACATTATGGTTGTCTGCTTGCCCGGGGCAACTAAAGATTTGGGACAGACAGGTGCGCTGTCTTAACAAGTTTCCCGATTGGGCAAGTGATGCATTACTTTAACCCATTCAGGCCGAGATCCCCTTCCCACATTTCTACCTCTAGAGCCAGGAACGGACGTGTCTATTTCTTTTTTTGAGCAATTCTCTTCATTGGAAAATTCTCTGGACCAATGAAATGCATCAGGGATAAACCAGAGAAAAAATGTGTTTGCGGACCCGCAATTTCCGACTTTTTCTCACCGCGTGCACTTGCTGCCGTTTGCGTTACGCACTCAAACGGAATTCACATCCTCCATTCTGACCCCGGGAGCAACTGCAACCACTTTATAACGACAACCGCTTTGACAACAGCTCAGTGAACGCACAGCCTTAACGTGGTACTGAGCGCAGACCATAGACGCGCGGGCAGGACCACCCCTGGTTGGTTGCAAGTAAGGGTCTCACCTGTACATCCTGTGTGACCCCCACATTTTACCAAAACGCAACCAAAACAAACAAAACAAAGTTAAAGCTCGGATACCTATATTTTTGCTTGCAATAACAATGCATGTTGGTTGGGCACAAAAGTAAAATGTTGTGGACAAATTAAACATAACACACCACAACAGGCGTCTTGTTTTTTTATTTTGCAAACTCAAGAGCCCTGTGAGTCATTTAACTTTTTGGGCTGAGAGTGGATATTTTATATTTTTTCCACACAGTTAGTGCCACTTTATAGTCAAATTTTTGTTAACTCGGGAAGACCTTAGCAGGTCTTCCCGATGATGGGTGAGAAACCTTCCTTTGCGTTAACTCATTGTATTGATAAATATTTGGGCAAGTAACTCCATCCATCCATCCATTTTCTACCCTTTAATCCATTTCTGGGTCAGGGGGGTGGCAATCAGAGATGCCACCCAAGTCTCATAGCACCAGCCCCTCACTGACCCTCTGCAGGTGGTGAGTCCACAGGAGGACGGCTGCTCTCTGACTGTGAGCATAGCCTTGATCTTTCAGTGGGGGCTTTGGGCAAAGTGGGGTCTTGCCCAAGGACACAACAACAGCAGTCATCAGTGGGAGTCGGTGGAGAAGGTGCAGAGGTGGGAATTGAACCCACGACCTTCTGGCCTTAAGGCCAATGCTCTACCAACTTATTGTCAATTTTTGTGAACATATCTCCAATGCATATTAAAAAAAGCCTGAATCGTTTTCGAGCAGTGATGATAAGCTGAAATGTTTGTTTAATTCCAATGTGTTTAAATTGGCTACTTATGTTTGTAAAGCCTGGAAGTGCCAGCAATCTTGTTTATTCAAATAAGTTATATTTGTATCCTGTTTTATATTGGTGTCTTATAAGCCCATGAATACAGTTGTATGCAAGACACAATAATAAATAAATATTCAATTCATATTACAATTAGAGCAGGCAAGATACCCAATCATCAAAAACTCTTGTTAAACTGTTAAACTCTTAATTTCAAGTTTTAGCACACTAGCTTGTTCAACTAGTGTGGTCACTCCTGTCCCCTTCCTCAGATGAAACTCACTCACTCACACATTGTGAGAACAATAGTTTGAGGACAATAACGCAGGTCTGAAAATTGCACAATGTATGACCAGCTTTCGGGTTTATATTAGCAGGCGTACCTTGGAGGACAGCTCATTGAAGAAGTTCAGGGCAAGGCTTGCGATGTGTGGCTCGGGGTCAATTAGCAGCAGTGCAACCTCACTGATCTGCCCTTTGACTTTGAGCACATCCTTCAAGACGAGCTGCGTTAGAACTGTCACAGCGGTCTGCCTCACGGATGGCTCCTCGTCACCCAGTCTGCAGAGCACACGCTCCATCATTAAGGGATACACACAGTTATACTGAGGGGAATGGAACAACAGCCTTTTCCTCTGATCAATCAAACTCATTACAATCTCAAACATGACCGAAAAGTCAGGATAGGTTCTCAACTGATTTTAGACTAATTTTGGTGTTCTGAGTCCGAATATCACATGCATTTTGCTCTATCAGGTCAACTTTTTGAGATACAGCCATAGTGTTACGGATTATGTACGTCTACGTTATTATCAATTCTGCTTATCAAATTTGATGGAGTAAATAAAAACTGAATGACTTTGGATACGTTGACTTTTATTTCTTGAGGAAAACGGAAAAAACGTCAAGGGTTTCTCAGCTGATGATCCGCAGAAACGTGTTTTTATGCAAAATCGATTTTAAAAAATATTTCTGTAGCAAAAAATCCTGACCTGATTGAGCAAAACCAAGGTAATTTTTGGACTCAGAGCATCAAAATTAGTCTAATTCAGCTGGAAAACCCTGGACTATTTTCAAAAAATATTGTTTTGTTACCCAGTGTAGTGAGTCAGAGTTTCTAATGGGCAGTGGGAGAGTTACGAGCTTTTATTCATCCCGCAGTGGGGAAATTTCAATGTTGCAGCACACATACGGGACAGTGGTAAGAGCACAAAGGAAGCACACAAAATGTACAAAATTAGGGCACGGTCAGATGGGTTTTTACAAATGAACTAGGCCAAGTGGCCCGGATCGTCGCCAGAGGGGTGTGAAGACGGCCGTCAGTCACAAGGTTTTATTTTTTGAACTGTGGCAGTCGAAATGTAGTACAACCATAGAAAAATACTACCCTAAGCCACTACCTCGAGGTCCAGTCTGACAGCAGCAGGAAGGACAGACCTGGGGAACCTCTCCTTCACACAGCGAGGGTGAATAAGTCTGTCACTGAAACTGAGTGTGAATTGTTGCAGGAGCGCAGTAAGGTAGGGCGGGGCCAGATTATGGAGGGACTTGGTGAGGAGAATGAGCTTGTTTTGGATGTGATATTGAACGAGGAGCCAGTGGAGCCATTAAAAAATTTATTACATAAATTGTAATAACATTTTTTGATCCATATATTGAAAAATGCAGAGAATGCTAGAGGTGTTACAATAAATCCAACCTTTATAAAAAGGGTGCCCTTAAAAATAATACTTTCTTGTACAGCTCTCAAATAACTAGGAACTATTTTCAAAGTATTTTTACTTTGTAAATACAACAAGCCAATGTGTAACAAGTCATTTCTATAAAAGATGCTCTACAGGGGAAACAATGGATCTTAACAATGAATAAAAAATAAATGCCCTACTCCCTGACCTTTTGGGATCTGATGTCCTGACCTACTTGGCCAACTAATAGATTATCTAATCGTTACAGTGGTTTTCATGTTTGAAAACTTCCAAAACGGTTAAGGCAACACCACATTTTCACAACAAATGAGTTTGTGCCATTCTCAGTTTTAAACCAGTTTTGCCAAATTCACCACAACAAAAGACCTCATTACCCATTTGAGCCGAGAGCTTGACTCTTGGCAAAGGATCAAACCTCTGTACATGGCACTAGTACTCCCCAAAGCAGAAAAATAAAATACAGTCCCGTAATAAGCAGACAATTCATTCTTAATGCTCTTATCAGGAGGATTCAGGGCGGCCGAGGAGAGAACAGTGGAGGTGAGTGGGAGACTGTTAGGAGACAGTATGAAACGCTTATCTGAACGTGCACACACATGGAAGGCGGGGCGCTTCAGAAAATGAATACTTAACGTAACAAGGAACAAGTCTCCATGCCATTATTATTATATACATAAAAAGAAACTTAAAAATGATCGTTTCTTGCTGGCTAATTGTTCTACATAATTACAACTCACAAGCTGCAGAATTCGCACCAGTAATTAGTTTCATTGTCACCTCATGTCTTCCCTGCATGGGGAGCATGGGGGTCTGAAGCACCACCCCCAGATTACTACAAGAGCCCTGGTTTAAAAATGCCCTCTTGTTACCATGGAAAACCTGCAGACTCTTCTGTACAATAGCACGGATCATCTCAAAAGGGTTGCTCCTTGATCAAAAGATTTTAGAGATAGTCTGTAAAACTTTTCCCATCTTGCGGCTCAGTGAAGCATTAGCAGCGGTGACACTTCGTCGACTTCGTCACAAACCACCTCAAGTTTGATCCGCACGACAACCTTTGGTTCATATATTACACAAGTACAGAGAGGCAGAGAGGACAGGTCAGCTATATCCACAAATGATTCAAGAAGCTATACAACGAATTAGGTACTAGTTGTAATGGTAAAAAGGATTAATATTAATCCAACATACATAATTTTTGTTTTATTTATTTATTTAGAGGATAAGCCCCTTGAGATGGATCATCTCATTTTCAAGGGGTTCCTCAAGATTGTGGGGCCAATCAATGGCAGTTATGGCCTGAATGACTCCCTGTGCAATGTTTTGTTTTGCGTGCTTGTGTGGAGGAGTTTGCATTTTTGGCTCCGGTTTCACCAACTATTAAAAATGTTTACCTGTTCAGGGTAAAAGAGGCTACAGTCTGGTATATTTACAGCAACTACAGTTCATTGATACACAGTCCCATCCAAATAAACAATGTACTTCGTGTACTGTTAAAGGCAGCATATGGAGACCCACATTAAAAAATTAGATCAATTGCGAACTAGGCTTTACAGGCATGTAGAAGTCCATCCCTGATCTCCCTTGGACTCCATGATGCCATTTAGTGACAAATGCATTCATTACAGAAAAGCTGTAATTATACTGCGGTGGACTCCAAGCAGTAATTAAGAGATTTTTTTTTTAAACATTAAATGCACTCAAAGAAATGTCCAGCCACATATGCAAGCCCCACTTTTCAGACAGAAAAGTGTCTATACATCTTTAGCATGAGTTGATGTATTGAGACTTTTGCAAGGCACAGTATAGTTTGCAGTGGTTCCTGATGGTTCAGTGTCAGGATTTGGACAAACGCTCATGGCTCCCTGAATTACCTTGCATAGAGGTTCTGAGTCCAGGGCTCCAGGATGTTGGGGAAGCGCACGGTGAGGTCTCCGAGGGCAATAATTCCGTTGGCCCTGACGACTGGGAGGGACGAGCGCTCTAGGACAGTGAACATCAGACGCAGGTTCTCCTCACAGGTGGACGGGCTGTGGAGGAAGAGGCTCTTCTATTTAGAACTTAATATGAGCCACCTTAATACTTAAAATAGGAAAAAGAGGGGCACGTTGTACATATTACAGCCAAGTGACCTTTCAGGCATCTATGCCTTTCCTCAGACAAATTACAAATACAGAGTGTGAATGTTTTCCTTCATGTATTTTCTCTTTATGATTAAACTACTTTATGTTTATTAAAAAGTGGAAAACCTTTTACTTTGCGCTTGAAAAAGGTCAAAAGGTTCCTGTTCCGTTCACCTGATCATCATGAATTGCGAGAGTGCGAGACAGGCTGCAGTGGTGAGCTGTGGGTGAGAGTATCGTCCTGGAGAGCTGCAGACTTTCACCAGCAGAGGCAAGAAGGCACAGAGCAGGTTCTCCTCTGCAGATACAATCATACAGTATGTACATTAATTAGAAACGGGGGGAGACAATGCTCCCACAAGATACCACAGGTTGTGTCAAAAATGGGAAAATATCTATATTTAAAAAAAAAAAAATTATTTAACACCATGTTAAAGGCACACCGTGTAACTCTTGGCCACTAGGGGCGCTAGACCTGCAACTTTCACGTTTAGCGCCCCTAGTGGCCACAAGCAACTCAGCACTGTCGCAAAAGTCAACAAACAGTCAGCCGGTGTCTTTTGAGTGTGTATTCAGACAGTAGTGGACCTGTTGGTTGAAGAGGGCTCATTGACTCACGATTGAAGAAAAGAAGACATCCGCTGAATAAAGAAATTGCACAAAAGTGAACAGAAAACCATGTCTGATCAGGTAAGTCGTAGAGCTGTTTTATACCTAAAACCAAGTTCTTTGGTTTGTAGCCTGTTAGCTTCGTCTGCCCGTATTTTGCTTCTACTAAACAGCGAAAATAATGACAAAGACATTTTACTGTATACTAGGAGCAAAGACTTCACTTACCAGTCTAATAACGAAGTTGAAAAAACAGAATCAGATTTACATCCAGCTTCTTCTTTCAACCTGCGCCAACGAGCAAACTCCTTTCCCAGATCGACCCTTGTTTTTCCTCGAGCACGATCCCTTTCGCGTTTCCTCTTTTTAGCTTCCTCCGAAGGTTTAAACTTTTTCCTTGCCTCAGCCATGACCAGGAGTCGAGCAGGTGAAAAATGAGTAGCAAAAGCCTTAGCTCCATGAGTATATCAGCGCCTGTAGCCGTAAAGCAAATCTTTCTTCCAAGTCACGTGACCTGGTAAACGACGGTGCGTCTGCTCTAAACTTACATGGGCGGTATTTCAAGAGGGCAGCCCCGTCGGAGCATTGCAAGTGTCAAGCGCTGTATATTGGCCCAAGTATTCATATAAAATAACTCATATGTGTCAACTCTTTAGGTCACAAAGTCCGCGGTGTGCCTTTAATATAAGACAAAGTGGTCAAAAGAGGGTCATACCAGCGAGTAGTTCAGTCTCACAGATTTTTCTAATCAGTTCGGCCTCTGTGTCTTCAGCAGAAGCTCCCATCAAGCCCAGCTCCTCCTCCATGGCACTTTCATTGGCTGTTTGCTGTGGAGGGTAAAATGTGATAAAATATTGAACTCATTCAACTAAGACTCCTCTATACAATATGTGATGCACTTTAGACTAAAAACAACCTGGTCTACACGAGGTGTGTGTTCTATTACAAAAAGAGACAGTGTTTGGCTTATTAAAATGTCATTTTTGTCTCCTGCTGAGCAGAGTAATTACAGCTCATGTTACCTGTGATGCCACTTTAAACTGACACCATTCTTTGTGGCAGTGTTTAGACCCCTGTTAAGGCACTTGATAGTATAATGCTTCATTAGCACCTTTATAAAATGAATGTAAACTATGCCCTTTTAGACTATGACTACTACCAAAAAAGTTTCAATAACTGAGAGCAGATAATCATTTTCTGTAAAAGTGAAAATATTGATGTCAATATTGATAGCTCCCATGGTGGTATGTAGCTGCAGTTTTACGGCAGACTAAAGTAGATGCTGACTTGGGTAGATTAAAATGAATCGTACCATTAATACAGTGAAAGAACAGTTCTGACTGAATCATTGAACTTATCAGACATTACTTAGTTTAGGCACATAAAAAGTTAGGTCTGGCACACCCATTGTGTTGCTCAGTAGACTAATAAATGTTAGTGTTGTAGTTTTTGACCAGTACACTGGACAAGAAAAACAACTGGGTAAGTAGTACAAATGTTGTCTGCGCTGATAAATTCACCACTGTAAAAGATTTGAACATTTAGCACAAAGCAGTGCAAGCTCCCTTATTAAAAAGGTTGTTCTGACCTGACCTGCAGTTAAAAGTACGGATCCTACATAGACAAAGGGAAGAACCTTGTTACTATGGAGTGGGCCCAAGGGCAGATATTTGTATTATTTGGGGGATACAGCAAATCATAATGGTTATATGGACATTCTTATAGTGGATTACCTTAGACTTAGACGGCCCCTTATCCTTCTCCTCCCTCTCCTCAGTCTCTCCTCTCCTCCTCCGCAGCTCCGCGCTCACACTGCGCTCTAGATGAGACACTTGCCAGAACGCCACACAGCCGCAGAGCCCCAGCAGCTGTGCCAGACATACACTGCTCACTGGTAAAAACATGTCACAATGAGGACTGGAAGTGTAATCCATGTGTGTACATTACAAAAAAGGAATTTAACAAATGCATATCCTTTATCATATTTGGTTTGTTTTCAATAACTCCAATCCATTTTCTTCCGTTTCATCCGTTGCCAGGTCGCGGCGGCAGAGACGCCCAGACTTTCCTGTCCAACACACTTCCTCCAGCTGGGGGGTGTTTTCAATAACTTTTGGAGCTTATTTCCAACAAAAATTGCTCTAACATTTTGTGAACATGCAAAATTTCAGTGCAGTGCTAATGATTTTAACCATTAACTATAATGACTTGAGGCATAATTAATTAGATTTTTTAGTTTTTTGCATTACAAACCTTGCTCCCCTTGCTCTGAGTCTTGGGAGCCCTCTTGCACAGAGTTTTTGTTCATCTCTCCACTGTCTGCGATCTGATCGAGGAGGAGGCGAGCGCAGCGCTGCAGGAGACGTGAGCAGAGTTGATCAGGAGACTCTGCCAAGAAGTAGATGAGTCTGACTGCCTGCTCCATGAAGCTCTGCCAGAATGGGTCCTCCATCACAACACCTTCACAACAACAGAGTGAGCCATAGCCAGACCAATACAAACACCAGGTCAACGTTTACTGCAGCTACCTTCAGCAATGGCGTGAGACAGAGCGGTGAAGAGCTGGTGTTCCTGGGGAAGCCTAAAAGGAGCTCCTTTTGACTGCTGCAAGACAAAATATTCCACAAATAAACTTTAGTGAAATTAAAATAGATTATAATAGTTAATAATTGTGCATAATAAGAATGCCTTTTCAATGTAGAGTGTAATCGTTGCGCAATAGTTCTTACTCTGACGTGGTCTGTGATGCTGCAGATGGTCATCACGGTGTCTCGGGCCAGAAGGAAATCTTCTGTCACTTTTTCTCCCAAAGCAACAGAGCACAAAGTATCCAAATTGCTGAGCACAACCTCCCGCTCTGATCTGTTCAAAAAGGAATGCTGATTAGATATGCAATAATCAGTAAGTCCTAATATTCATAATTTCCTAAAGTAACTTAAATGCAAAAGGGCAAAAGTAAGTAATAGAATGTCCTGACCATCAACAGAATTCTTGCGTTGTATAATTTAAATCTTCCCATAAACGTTCACATCCCTGAATGCGATTCGACGCAAAATAATGCACTTCATGACTTTAACAAAATTGTGCAGCTTGTGCAAAGTCATCAGGTCTAACGAGTCAACTGTTCGCACTACACTAATGGCCATGGGAAAATGGGTGGGAACAGTGCATAATATTTCATAGGTTTTTAATGCATGTGGATGAGAGAATTCTCTGTGTGGGCAAGAGCCTCTTGCTCTCTACTTTTCCAAACACACATCAGTCTTTGATTAAGGCTCAAGGGGAATATAAAGCACTGGCAGGCAGCCTAGATGAATAGCGAAGAGTCGTGACTTTAGCCGCAACGTAGAGCAGCTAAGGTGATGCCACTACTCATAATTGATTAGCTTTGCATTTGTTGTGAAGCTTAGACATTTTAATTAAGAGTGTCTTGTTTATGAAAAGTAGTTTTTTTCATAGTAAGTATTTTAATTAATTACATCCAGTCACTGGGAGCATTTGCCACAATTTGAAAAGTAATTGACAAATTCTTTATTTGATCTATTCAATTGATTAAAATTATAGTTATTTCAATTAGTTTATAATGTTTTTGTAATATTTAAGGTCACCTAGCAGCCATGCCCAGTAACAGCAGAGCGGCTCTTCTATGAAGGCTGGAGGTCTCTCGTTTCCCAGTGAATCTTTCCCATAGGACCTGTATCACAGTGGACTGTAGACTGCTGCCACTGCCAAAGAACTCTTGTACCTAGAAGACATGTAACATAATTGAAATCAAAATGAAAAAAAAAAGTTCAGATTATTCCTAGATTGTTGCTACAAAGGGGTACTCACAATTTCTTCCAGGCATTGGATTGTTCCCAGAGATGCATCAACCATCAACTCGGAAAGGTTGTCAACCAGAGTCTGCGCTTTTGTCCTGAGCAAAAAGACTTAATAAAATTCTGTTTTTATTACAATTTGTTTGGTGCCATATTCATTCTTTATCATCTTGCACCAATAACTAAAAGAAGTTATACATATTAGCTTAAAATTTGCAAAATATTTGGAATTTTGTATATGAAATGATGTCAAGTAAGGCTGGGTGATACAATACTGTTCGCAGTAATACCGGTATAATTGAGTGACGTAAGAAACTTAAATACTGCGATAGTATTAGTGTGTATGTGTAAACTGGTGAAACAGCGGCTGCGATTAAAATTTCAATTTACCCACACCACAAGCCTTTCCAGCGTCTAGTCTGTAGAAGTCGTTTTAATGCTGTAAAACCCTGTACCACCCACTTTATACATGCGCGCAAGCTTTGGCATCCCTGACCTTGTGTGTGAGCAGCCTGACAGTACAAACTAATTTTTATCTTTTTCATCTAAAATATTCTTTATTTTAGAAAGAAATTTCACGAGACGTTCCAAGAAGGGGTTTTTAGCGTCTACTAGAGACTGAAAACAATAAATTGAGTCCAAACCTGATGCTATCTCCTTGAGGGTTGAGGTAGAGACGCCTGTAGGCCTGAACCACAGCATCCTTTATAGCAGCGTCGGTCGACCAAACCAGTGGCAACATCTTACGCACGCCACTGATGGAGTTTGCAACGCTGAACTCGCAGACAGTAACACAAAACTGCACAGCCTCCTGTACCACTGTAACAGATCGGAGCAAATAAGAACTATGGGCAGCTTTTTTGACTGAAACCGTGAAATAAAAAAAATACCTGAAGTGGTTTTCCAGTAGAGCATTGTGTTGATGACAGCGATGGCTTTCTCCACCTGCAGAGCGAAGGCTTCTGTATCCGTCAAATATTGAACCAACATCTCCTGTTTCTTAACCTCGCTCTCGTCACCCTCCTTCTCTTTTTGTGGAGTTGGGGGAAGATTTTGGCTCACGTCTGCAGAGTCCTCATCAGAACCTTTCCATTCAAATTTGAGAAAAGGGGATCACTTTAAAATCAATTTAACAGGAAATTAAAGTTTCATGCACCAATAAAGTCAAATTCATAAATCCAAGCGATGCACTAGAGATTTCCAATAGAGCTATGCAATACAGTATAAAAAATTATGGTTTAACATGTTTAACATTTGGTAATCACGTAAATATTACATATTTACGTGAATATTACATATTTACGTGAATATTACATATTTACGTGAATATTACATATTTACGTGATTATATTTGACTGCTAAACTGCAAAACAGAGGCGGCCAAAAAAACGCCAGAAGAAAAATACACACAAAACTCTGACCTCGATTTCACAATTGTCTTATCTTTGAATTTCAAAAAATAAAATACATTTGATTTATTGTTATACTCCAAAATGGCATTCAACCTATGCACACTTGCACAGGGCAAGTCTTTAACTTTACTGTTAACCACAGTTTTGTCAATTGTTAGCATCCCTCAGATTACCAAAGACAGTACTCATTGCAAACGAACATTGAACGGAGCAGAGACTATTCTGGCCTCTGAAATCCAGACCAACAATACACTGTTGGGCCTTGACCCATTATTCCCCTGAATTTTAGAGGAATAATTGCGAGTCTCAAGCCTCTTCTCTGTAGACAGGCCCTTACAGCAGAGCAGAAAGACTTCTCTGCTCAGCCAAGATTACCTGTCGGTCAGAGCCAGAAGATCTAAGATCCTGTTCAGTGAGCTCATATTCGCCTTGGTCTCATCACAGGGCAGAAAAAGCAAAAGCAGAAGTGCATAAAACAATGCACTTCCAAAATTAACATAATTACATTTTTCCCCAGGGCCAGGAAATATTGTATTGTTTTATTAAGGTTCTGTAGCATGTGCATTACACAGTAAAAGAACCAAATTACGGGCTGATTAGTTACATTTTACAGTAAAATTTACAATTTCATATTGGCAAACATGCTTTTATATTGAATCAGTTAAGCTGCCCAGTATATGTATATTTGCTCCACAACATACAAAATTATACCCTATTTAGATTAGTTCACCGCTAGAATGGCAAAATAAAATCAAAGCTTCATAAGTATAAATTGACAGTTTAAAAAAGTTTGACAAGCCAATGGCCGATTTAAACATTTAAACAACAAGTACTAAGGTCCTTAGGAGTTAGAAATTCAGATATTTTTCAGACATAATTCGGACATTGACGGGAATAGGTTTACTGCTGTGGTGGCGCTTTGACGCTAGAGATAATGCACGCTTAGTGTCACTTGAAACAAAACAAAAAACAAAAATTTAAATTTTGAAACTCAAGTGTCAAGTCGAAATGTCAATCCATTTAATGATGAATTTGTAAGAAAAATAAAAACAGAAAATAGAAAAACCACTGAACTTAAATCCTTTGACAGTAACACGTATAGCACGGTAAAAACTGTACTCAGCACCACACCTGAACCATGATAGTGGCTTCTTTTTCAACCTGAAAGCAGAGGACACTCGCAGAGCGCCCTCTGCTGGATATTCTCCACTAACTGTTATTCTAAAGAGAAGCAGCGAAAGACTTAGATTTATTTAATAGCCTTTTTGCCCATTTATGTCACCACATTATAGAGCACATGATTCAAGGTTCTTGCACCAGGGTCCTAACACGGTTATTTTTTTATTACAAACTAGTCCACCTGTTTATTTTTCTAGGAGAGTGAGGGGGGGACCCCAGTCTAAGAATTAGCATTCCGCTGTCTGCACTCAAATCATTTTGAACAGCCTGGAAACTAGAGTCCAATTTTTTGCAGGGATTTGGGAACCAATCACAGAACGGGGAGGGACTACTATTCAAACGAAAAGTTTGTTTACAAATCCACATCATGGCAGCAGACGCGACGCCATCTTCCCTCATGTTTAACTTGCACAAATAACAGTAATCATTTAGCACCATTGTGTAAGCATTAGACTCTCGCTTCCGATCGTGGAATATACGCATCAGGTTGAATTGATACAAATGGCGCATATGTGCAGATGTATATGACAGACATTCATTGCACCCATTTAACGGCTAGGGACAATTGTAAACCGCACCTCTCCAATGAGGAAAACAGTGTACCAGACTACACTACATATGTAGTCTGGTAGGGGACCCCAAAGCTGCTGGACAATATTTGGATCAAGTTTTCTGAAAGAAAAGTCCAGTTCTATCCAGATTAGTGAATTTTCCATTTTAAAATAGGTAAAGGTGCCGGGTACTGTTGACTGACTTAAACTTTTTCTTTTTCTTTTATTTATTGGCTATCTTTATTTGGCTTTTAGTTTTGGGATCGTTAAGAGCATAAAAAATAGGGTGGTCGTTTTCTTGGGAGAATTATAACATGCCATGGTATGGGAAGAAGGATTTTTTTCCTATCGTACATTTAATCAACAAAAGATCAGCCGGATATATTAGTTTCCATTAAGATTAAAAGGTGCCGTATTAAACCAAAAGTAGGAATATTGTCATGCCAAAGAATGGGACGCAAATCACAATTGGATGTTCTTCTCTATGGTTTGTACTATAATAAAAACCACTCAGCCTAGGCACCTATAGAGTGGAATGACTTACTTATGAGACACTCCGTTCATTACCTTTGAAGATGAATGCCAGAGTGTCCATTAAAGTCTCAGAAGAGAGAGTGGACAGACGAGAGAAGATGTCAGACTCTGGGAAACATCTATGGGCCTTTATACACAGCCGCACTGCATTTCTGTGGAGGAAGAATATAGGGACAGTTACATGAGTAGATTTTTTTAAAATGGATAAATCCATGTTGAAATGAGCAAAGGTAAAAACAAAAAAAGTTTTCAATATACATTTGACATTTTTATGTTAAAATTGTGTTGCCTTTAATATTAGAACTACTGTAATCCTTGCAGACCATGACAACATCAACATGTCCCTCAGATTACCAAAGACAGTACTCATTACAAACCAAACAGTGAATGAAGCTGAGACACTTCTGGCCTCTGAAATCCAGACCGACCACACACTGTTGGGCCTTGACCCATTATTCCCCTGAACTTTAGAGGAATAATTTCAAGTCTCAAGCCTCTTTTCTGTAGACAGGCCCTTACAGCAGAGCCGAAAGACTCCTCTGCTCAGCCAAGATTACCTGTCGGTCAGAGCCAGAAGATCTCAGCTTCTGTTGGGTGAGCTCATATTCGCCTTGGTCTCATCACAGGGAAAATATTAACACCCAGTATTAAAAAGCTTTGAACCGTGTGCATAAAGTAAAACAAAAAACTGCACTATAGTTCCCAATTATGTTAATGACAAGCACAGATCTATATAATTGTGCAGAAAGTCTTTAGTCTCGGACTGACCTTCGAGCCTTCATGGTTTAGAACACAAGGGAAACTAATTTGTTCGTATCGTCCAGATTATCTGTTTGTGAAACACTTAAATTAACACTTGGATGAGAAACCTTTCTTTTTATCAATCATCTGTACTCCTTAGCAGGTTTTCCTGATGTTTTGTTCTTAATCCAAAAGGAACTTTTTCAAGGGAATGAAAGCTCAGACAGCAAGTTGGAGATAACCTGTGGGTGTGGTGTGAGTCTTAGGTATATAGATTATTGATCCAAAAGGAAATTGTATGATTGCGAGCAAGGGATCAAATGTACAAATATAGGATAGAGTTAAAAGATAAAAACATATTTAAAAATGACAATAAAATACATTTAAATCATTTAAAGAGAGAAGTTATGGCTCCCTCCCTCCCTCCTAATTCTCCCCCGCTCCTCCCTAAAATTAACAGTTCTAAGGTCTGTTAAAATGTGGTAGGGAACAGGTCCAACGACCCTACTAGGGCTAACGATCCGAACTCATTAGCATGTCACTGACCTGTTGTCTGCTGCGATTGCTCGAGTGGGGTGCAGGTCTGCCACTCCTAACTCATTAGCACGTCACTGACCTTATCTATTGTTAGGACGTCGTCATTGATGAGGCAAAACAAATCTTAAACCGCCTCCTCTGTTTAGGGATGGTTTGCTCACAAAAATGGTTTGAGAGAGGAGCAAAAGAAACCAATTTTGTCTCGAGACAGAATTTTAACTTGTGTTCACGGTGTGGTTGGTGGCCTTGAGATGGAGATGTACAGCAGATTGTGGCCCACTAGAATTTTCTCTACAATGTTGGTAAAGTCCTTTCTGTAGAGTTTGTCTTGTTTCTCCAATATAGTGGTCAGTACACTCTCTTCACATTAAATCTCCAACTCGCGGCCTGAGCTTTCATTCCCTTGAAAAAGTTCTTTGGATTAAGGATGAAACGTTGGAGAAAACCTGCTAAGGAGCACAGATGATGGATGAGAAACCTTTGTTTTGACTAATCGCTGTACGACAGAGCTTACACAAACTTAACACTTGTCACTAGGGCTGTATATATGAAGATAATGTCTATTCATGGAACGGAATCATAAATTGAATCAAATGTGAGGGACGGGTTAAAAAGCCATGTTAGTAATTAAGGTTTATTTATATAGCACATTTTTACAGACAAAAGGTCTCCCAAAGCACTTTACATTGAGCCGAGTTCAGATATTGTCCCAATCACTCCATACACGGTGATGACAGAAGCGAGACGCCGAACACACCGGCGCATCAAAGCCTCCAACCAACACCATCCATTCACACCTATTGTCCACCATAATGTTCAAATGTGTACTCCGTGTTCAGTAACTTATACTGGGTCAGTTATAGTCATTTTGTTTACCTTCTGAAATAATTAAATGAGAATTGGATTTTTGAGCTGAAATTTATGGGGAGAAAAGATGCAAAACATTCATACCTGTATTTATTGTCACGAAGGCACTGAGCAATCTTCACCCCGGTAGTCCTGTCATCCTCATCCTCATCCTCTTCCCCTTCCTTCTCTCCTTCACTGTCAGCTCTGGGCTCGAGCTCAGCTATGACGGTCTCCAGCAGCTCCGGCTCCATGGCGGCCCACAGCTCAGATGCCTTTATCACAGCCACTGCCAAAACACAAGCACATTACAGTTAAGGGAAAAAATAAATACATCTATAAAACATCAGTGTCTTCCAATTTACAATACAAGCAATAATGAAGATTTGGTCTTAATTTTATTTAGGTTTTTTTGTGCTGCACTAACTCGATTTTAACAATTGAATTTTGGTACCAACCTTTTGATAGATAAGAAAAAAAACTGCAATTTTATCTAATAAGCTAAATAAGGCTGTCTGAACAGAACAATTAATTTACTAAAGAACTTTTGCACATAAACAACTACCTTCCAGTAATCCCATTTTAGTGAATTAATCCATGCAGTTCTTAACTGTTGAGCCGTCAATTTATCATTGTTTATATCCCTCAGATTACCAAAGACAGTACTCATTACAAACCAAACGGTGAACAGAGCAGAGACTCTTCTGGCCTCTGAAATTCAGACCGACCACACTGTTGGGCCATGACCCATTATTCCCCTGAACTTTAGAGGAATAATCTCGAGTCTCAAGCCTCTTTTCTGTAGACAGGCCCTTACAGCAGAGCCGAAAGACTTCTCCGCTCAGCCAAGATTACCTGTCGGTCAGAGCCAGAAGATCTCAGCTCTTGTTCAGCGAGCTCATATTTGCCTTTGTCTCATCACAGGGGCGGGAAAAAAAACGTCATAAAACTACATTTTGTAAATAAGACAAGATCATTAAGATTAAAGGTCATCGTAAAGTTGGCTAACATTTCTAATTTGTAATTCTTGCAAAAATTACAAATTAGAAATGTTAGCCAACTTTACGATAAATCGCCTGTGATATGTTTGCCAGCTTAGGTGCTACTGGTAACCATTTAGTAAGTTGTGGTCCAAAGAACATATTTTAGAAATCTGCTTGTGTTTTTTAATTGAGCCCTTTCCATAGACTCTAAATATTAGGTCCTTATTTACACCTCATTAAGGGCCTTTTGGAGCGTTATTGTTCTTTTTGAAACTTTGAAGCAAATATCTACTGGAAAATTATTTCAGAAAATGATCCTTTATCTACCTGGGACTTTTCCAATGAGCTTCTCCTTCATCTCCTTGAGTTTGGACTTCTCTTTCTCCAGGGGTTTTTTCAGATCTTCACTGCTCAACTGAAAAACAATATTGAATTGAAATATTACAACCTGTTCATCTTTGGTGAATTGTATTTATTTACCTTGCAGCTGTACGGATTGTGTGCTATGAATGCTGCCAGGAGCTGGATGGCACTCTTAACCACATTTATTGACTTGTCCATGAGTCTCCCCACTGTGAGCTTCATCACCTCACTGTAACGGCACAATGGCAGTGCCTGAAAGCAAAAACACATCTATAAAGAAGCGGTAATAGTCTTGCAATCAAGATGAGATGCAGGACTCATTGAAGCTACAAACCTCCTATCTAATCAATAAAAAAAAAAAAGATTTAGAGTCAATTGCAGGCTTTACGCTAAATACTTTACATGCTGCAAAAGAGATTATTGGTACTTAAACATATTTCAGGAAAATCTATTCTTTCTTAATACAGTGTGATTAAGGACTAATCCAAAGATGGGGACATACTTTGCTGTTCACGATTCGAGCGAACACTTGGATGACCCTGGCCCTGACGTGGGAGTTTGTGTCGTGTAGATGTTCCTGCAGCGTGTCAAAGAAGCGATCGCGGTCAGCTTTTCCCGCTTCATCGAGTCCATCTCCACACAGAACACGAACTAAGATGTCCCCCAGCACCTCACAGACGGCGGTACGCATCGTGTGGCTCTAAAAAGAGGACAGATGATTAACTGGAGAAATCTATTACCATCTAAACATTCTCACTTATATTTGACTATTTAATTGAGAAATTATTACTGCCCATGTGTTTAAAGTTTTACATGTTGAAATATGGCAAGTTGGCAACCGATGACACCTGGATAACAAAACTTTTTAAGTTTCTATACAAGTAGAACTTCAAAATAAAACGTCTTGAAAATGAATCATCCCTCAGATTACCAAAGACAGTACTCATTACAAACCAAACAATGAACAGAGCAGAGACTCTTCTGGCCTCTGAAATCCAGACCGACCACACTGTTGGGCCTTGACCCATTATTCCCCTGAACTTTAGAGGAATAATCTCGAGTCTCAAGCCTCTTTTCTGTAGACAGGCCCTTACAGCAGAGCCGAAAGACTCCTCTGCTCAGCCAAGATTACCTGTCGGTCAGAGCCAGAAGATCTCAGCTCCTGTTCGGTGAGCTCATATTCGCCTTGGTCTCATCACAGGGAAAAAACTGACACTCAGTAATTTGACTGAACAAAGCAAAAACCTGGATTGCATTAAGGTGTTCATTTGGGGAAACTGATAAAAGTATGAAGCTAGAGTTTGATATTAATTAAAATACATTACCTGCTTTAAGGTAATGTACAATTATGTATATTTTTGTACATAATTGTATATATTTTTATTGATTGATTTACCTCTCCTTCCAGGTGGGTAATTAACACACTGATGAAGGGAATCAACAGTTCAGGGACAAGGGATCCAAGTTCAGAAAGAAATGCAGCAAAGGCTTTAACCCCTGAACCCTCTCTGGCAAGCTCCTCACTTGACTTCAAACCAATCTCCCTGATGATGAAAAAATTAAAAATAAAAGGGGGAAAAAAACATTTGTTAGATATACATTTAAAACTAGAATGCATAGTGAAAACTTAAAATAAACAGACCTTATGACTTCTCCTATAATTGCTCGGACACCATACTCATTGCTCCAAACAGACACTGCTTGAGCAAATACAGAGGACAGCTGCTCAAAGTGTTGGAGCAACTGAATCACCTTCACACTCGCCCCTGTAGAAGACCACCACAAATGCAACCACTCAATACAATAACTCACCTTAAGCAGCATTTCAGAAAGTGTTATTCAAGGCCATGCCTCACCGAGAAGATGGTTGTATTTCTTAATCATAACTCCCAGGAGGTGGATGATGCCGTCTCTTGTGGGTTTGCTTTTAACATGACTGATGGTTGGGTTCTCAAGCAATTTGTAGCAGCAGCAGGTGACACAGCTAAAAAAAAAAAAAGAAATTGCCATTTTAAATCGGGGATTAATCAAGATTGACATCTTTGAGATTCGAATTACTTAGAAAAGTAAGCTTCAAAATTAGTTAATTATCTAAATATTGTTTGAATTTAGTTGATCAGCATCAACATATCCAAAATCAGGAACATATTTTTTGCAGGTACCTTTCACTTTGGTTGTTAACATCTATTGCCAAAAAACACAAGTTTTAAATTCATTTTAAAAAATGTTCCTAAAACTACAAAAACATTGAAGCATTCAAAAAAGCAACAAGAAATCACCCCTTTGAGGGCTCAGATTTATTTACATTTAATACCAGCACCGAAATATGAAAATAAATAGGAGGCACTCCTGCATGCACATTTCTACGTACCTAATAAACTCTTCCTCCACCAGAGAGAGGTTCCACAAAGAACGAATGTCCAGCTGGAAGAGCTGAACCAAGGACTGTAGAACAGCCTCCCTCTCACTGTCCCACTGAGGTATTCCCTCACCTGCCTTCCCCTTTTTCCCTCCCTGTGGAAAAAAAAATTAATGACAATCTAATGACAGAGAACTAAATGCCCTCAAATGAAAAGGCACAAAGTTGAATCATTTTTTAAACAATCATTTTCTAATGATCTATCCAATCACTCAACACAACAGACAAAGCATGCACATGCATACACCCTTCAGACCAGATAGTGGTCAGATTAACTGTAGATGGGTGGTCAGACACTGCAGTAATATTATGCTAACGCTACACTGTCAAGATTACCCACTGGACCGAAAATGAGGTGCTCTTGTAGTTTGATCCGACAAATTTACACAAAAGGAGAAAAGAGAATCAGTCAATACCTTTCCTGGTGCAGTTATAATACTTTGTCTGTACGAGTCACTCTCGAGCATCTCTGAGAGTTTACAGAGCAAGTAGACACTCATTTTAACTGCATTCAGGTTTTCTTTGCGTTCTACAGCCGGTGTGGAGGTTGACATCAGAAGAGCAGGCAGCGAAGTAGCCAGGCCCGCAACAACTAAAGGAGAGACACCATTAACAAAACAACACATTTGTGGCGGTGATTATGCCAGTATACCTTGAATGAGCAATTCTAAAGCATCCTCTTTTACGCCAAGTTCAACTGATTTGCTGTGTCTGGGGAAACAATGGGTTAAATTACTCATGTTTTAAGTAATATGTCTAATTTAACCTGTTGGTTTAAGAGTTATAAACAAATAAACTCATTATGGTTGTCAAATAGTATAGTAAGATTGTTCACTGTAATAAATGATCTAGGACAAAAACAAACGATTGTAATCATGAGCGAAAAGCGTAATCATAATACAAAAAAAATGCAGAGCAAATTCAAAAGCAGCTCAGCCTCAGAATAGTAACAGAGTTGAAATCCAGGCTCCATAGCCATGATGGTAAACACTTACAAGTTAGACAAGAACTTACTGTAGCAAGCTGTATCCAGTGTCAAAGTGTTGCAAAATGCACATGGGCCCTTTGCTTCGCAGTTCTGCCTTGAATCCTTAAACAAGCAACCAGATGCATATCACGAATATTGCTCAAACGTCAGAGTCTTTATATATCGTTTACTTACTGCTGAGACATTGTGGGATTTGTTTAGGGGAAGCTACATCTTGTACTACATACTGATTGATTCCACCAGTTTTCACCAAATCGCCGATGCACACCGGCACAAGAAAGTCCCAAGACATGGCTGAAAGCAAAACAAACCAGGACCTGGTATTGGTTTCCACTGAAAAGCTGATCTAAAGTTAACAGAGCAAAAGATAAATAAATGCATGTGAAAACTAGAAACCGTTTTAAGAGGAGCAATAATCTAGTTAGCTAGTTAGCTAACTGGTTACATGGGTGTTATTAGGTCAGTTTGAAACCGCGATGCATAAGGTACATTGAAACCATAATACCTAGCTAGCTAAGAGTAAACAATACGCCGATACACATATTAACCTACAAAGCCAGACGTGAATACATTTGCTTACCAGTAAAAATACCTTTAAGCAGCTCAGACTCACTAAGAGGATGTGAATGGCAAACTTTAACGGGCTAGCATTTACCCGATATGTAGCGTTAGTTAGCTTATCTCGAATAGGACGTTAGTTACGACAGGGCATCTGTAAATTAACAGTAATAAGCTTACTTGTAGTATGTGGAAGTCTCTCCAGCCTCAACCTGCGGGTGTTGCTGCTCTATGCCTGGTCCGGCTCCGTCTGGATCAGTCCCTGCATCAGACCCTGTCCCTGTCCCACGGTTCAAACGGCCCCGAGCCTGAGCATTTCAAATCTCCCTCGCGCCAAAACAACGCACCAGTGACGTCATACACGGGCGACTCTTTTCTACAACTTTTTGCCTACTGTATGGATCATGGATCTAATATGCTTTTTGCTCGTATTTATCATAGTTGCATTATTATATTTGTATAGTCTATGGGAAAATATTCATATTGTTGTTTACAGCTATGGTTTAATCCTAAATCTAAAGCTTACCATGCCTAAACTTGAAGCGAACAAAACAGGTACCTTACATAATATTTACTCCGAAAGACAAAGCAACGAGAGAAAAGAAAATTAAAATATAAAAGGGGCATGTTCTCAGACCTCATCTGTCAACTGTACATGTAGCTAATGGTCACTTGTCAATGAATGAAGAAGTTGTATGGAGTTCTTTGTATTGCTAAGAATGAGCGATTTATGAAATAATTTTAACTCGTTCCTCCACTTCACAAAACTCAGAATGGTATTATATTATGTGCTAATAGTATCAAATTATTTACAAAGTCAATTAATCTATCCTCATTAAACACACCATACATTGACAGCTGTTGAAACTGAATTTCTTGCTGTAACCAGAAGTCACAGAATTTTATAGTCAATATTTCCCATGAGCTGCTGACTTATCCATTTGTTCTAATAACTAGAACCTGTGGAATTGGTTAACACACTAATTTCATATAAGATCTTGTGCAAATATGTTCAAACTGAGCTGGTCATTACAATAGTATGCAGAAGTGAGTCATAGTCCACTTTTGGTTATCTGAAGGTCAAAGAAAACATCTATTGGCAATGTGGCACAGAGATTTTGTCTTGTATAGAACCATGTGAACACTATTAAAACTCTTGTTGTGCCACTAATGCTGTGTAGAAAGAATGAAAACATGTCTTTGGATGAGACGCAGTGTAAATGTGCATATTTTGTTATTTTCTTGAGTCATACTAAATCAAATAAAAACACATAATTAGATACTTGAGGTAGTAGCTGTATTTTAATTGATTGATTCACACAATCACACAACCTCTTTGTCCCAATGTCAGCTACAGAAGTTAATTCCAGTCAATTATGTCCAACGTTGCACTCAGTCAAATGCAAAATTAAAAAAATGTAACGGTATTCATTAATACTATGGTGAATGTGCATGATAATTTCATTGCCTTACAAAAAAAATACAATAAGCCTACAACTCTAGCCATATTAAAATGTCAAATGCCATTGTTGACAAAAGTATGAAAACATTCAACAGTATTGTTTTAAAGTTCATTGAGGGCATTTGTAGTGTAGTTTCATTAATAACTAAAGCAAAATATACAAAAAAATAAACATCAAAAGATTATTTTTTTAAAACAACTAACTATGGTTATACAAATCATAAATATGTAACTACCACTTAGTTCTTTCAAAGCACATGACTAAGGGTCAAGGCAAAACATGTAAACCAGATGAAGCACCAGATATTAAGGAATGAGAAGAAAATAAAATTCTAACCATTAATCATGAAATATATTCACGTGTTTCCTAATGTGTCCCCACATCCAAGTATTTTCATGTTCACTTTCTCTTTCGATCTTGAGAACACCGAGGGCAATACCTGCAAACACAACAACCACAACACAAAATCAAAGAATATGATGAATGATGGTAGTTGAGCCATTCATTATTAAGTATTGTTACCATTTGCCTCTTGGTTTGGTGGTCAAACCCACACATGCGAAATGGAACCACTCAATGGAGCACTAGAGGAAAAATATAAAGAAATAATGAATGTGACAAGTCATACATACTGCAAAGTATTATCGAAATGTACATTTAAGTTTAGTGGTAGTTTCTAGAGCACAAGGACAGAAAGCCTGACCTCATCAGATGTTGTCTTGTTTGTCTAATAGTTGGATGGAAAACAGCAGGAAACACTGAGTGCTTAAAAAAAGTCTTGTGTGTAAATGATGATGCAGATACAGGAACCCCCTGTAAAATCCTTGCATACCAAGAGTCCACTCTATTGCATTTGGGCAGAGGTCACTTCCTTTATGGAGGAACCTCAAACAAGTGCTTCCTGGTTCCCTTCAAGTGCAGATTGTTTTAGTAAAAAGACCAAACTAATTTCTCCAGTGTGAGATCAATAAAGTCTATCTTATCTTAAAGACTAATATGGGAAATAAACAAATAAAAAGCAGGGTTAAACATGACAAACACAAAATGTACAACTAGCAAGAGCAGTGGAGTTAAGCTTGGACTACTGGTCCTTAGCCTGCAGTGCCTTCTGTGACACCTCTCAAGAAGACTGTTGTTGTCATTTTGGACGATACAAATACATTGATTAAATTAAAACATAGTTTAAGCGTCTTAGTATTCAGTGAAAGTTGCTGCTCCAAACCTTATTTGATTAAACAAATCATCCGTAATTTGTTCTTGTTTCTGTCCCAACCACCCTCCTAGGAGAAAATGCTTTACTGCTTTAGATCTTGCTTTATGGATTCTTTCCAACATCAATCCCTACCCCCTGCTGGTGAAAGCGGATACAGCACCCTCAGTCAGTTTAACGTGAATTGAATCAGATCAGTGCTTATGGAGTGAAGTGGGAACATGGTCTTAGCCCATAAAAAGGGACACTACACTCACGTCAGTATTGTCACAGCCAATCATCTCCCCGTAGGAAACCTGGTGGCACAGGCAGTAGGTGGGCTCGTTGGGATCCACAGGCATGTCCAGCACGTCAGACGGGTGAACATTTCCAAAGTTGGAGGAAGGGCTGTTGAACTCCCCACTGACAAAGGTGAAGCATTAGGGAGGATTACAATTCAAAAAAGTTTATGTAAGACAATGTACACAGTGATGGATACACTTAGACTTAAAATGAATAGAAATGATCAGTAACTTCTCGTATGCCATTTAAATTACATTACAAGTTAAATTTCAATTGAAGTTTAGTAGAGATTTAAACATAAATATTCAACTTATTCTTCAATATTTACAGCTGTTTATCATAGGGGGGGGGGGGGGGGGGGGGGGGGGTGGGGGGGGGGGGGGGGGGGGGGGGTGGGGGGGTGGGGGGTGGGGGGGGGGGGGGGGGGGGGGGGGGGGGGGGGGGGGTGGGGGGGGGGGGGGGGGGGTGGGGGGGGGGGGGGGGGGGGGGGGGTGGGGGGGGGGGGGGGGGGGGGTGGGGGGGGGGGGGGGGGGGGGGGGGGGGGGGTGGGGGGGGGGGGGGTGGGGGGGGGGGGGGGGGGGGGGGGGGGGGGGGGGGGGGGGGGGGGTGGGGGGGGGGGGGGGGGTGGGGGGGGGGGGTGGGGGGGGGGGGGGGGGGGGTGGGGGGGGGGGGGGGGGGGGGGGGGGTGGGGGGGGGGGGGGGGTGGGGGGGGGGGGGGGGGGGGGGGGGGGGGAGGGGGGGGGTCGGGTGTGGGCGGGGGGGGGGGGGGTGGGCGCGGGAAGGGGGGGGGGGGAGTTGTGAGTGGGTGGGAGGGGGCGGGGACGCGGGGTGGGGGTGATGCGGCGGGTGTTGCTGGGTTGGTTTTTTTTTTTTTTTTTTTTTTTTTTAATTTTTGGCATTTTTTCCTTTTTATTTTTTTTTTGTTTTTTTTTTTTCTTTTATTTATATTAATTTTTTTTTTTTTTTTTTTTTTTTATTTTTTTTTTTTATTTTTTTTATTTTCTTTGTTGGTGTTTTTTTGACTTTTGTTTTTTCTTTTTATTTTTTATTTTTTTTCTTTTTTATTTTTTAATTTTTCTTTCTATTTATTTTTTATTTTTTATTTTTATTTTTTTTTTTTTTTATCTTTTTTTTTTATTTTAATTATTTTTTTTTTTTTTTTTTTTTTTTTTTTTTATTTTTCTTTTTTTTTTTTTATTTTTTTTTAATTTTTATTTTTTTTTTTTTTTTTTTTTTTTATATTTTTTCTTATTTTTTTTTTTTACCTCTTTTATAGTATTCTATCTTGTTTTGAGTGCTCCTTTTTTATTACTGCAACCAATGATGTTGTCAATATGCAACAACAAAAATGGGATTCATTTTCTGTTCTGTCTGCCTGTACTAAATCAAAATTAACCAAAACATTAAAATATAAACTAACAATCAATTTCTGATAAAAGCCATAACCCCAGCGCTTATTCACCAGGGCAAGATCTATTTGTTAGAGCAAAGTGTCAGAAAATAACATTTGTATTTGTTTCTTCAATATGCAGATTAAGGCACTGGAAACAATAAATTATGTATTTATATTCCTGTTTATAACACAATTCTTCCCCCCCCTGAAAAGAAACGTATTGATACTCTTGAATTGATTTCAGAAAGTGGAAAGTGAATGAGGTTGAATGAGAGTGCGTACGGTTGGAGCAGCTTCACTTTCTTCTGAGCACTCTTTGGGCTGCTGTCTTCATCTGAACTCTTCACTTTGGACCTCGTTTTGGCAGTTTTCTTCTCTTTCTGTCTTGTATCGCCTAGAATCAAGTTTTAAATATAGTCAAACAAAACACATAAAAAATTTAAAAAATTTACCAAACACAAAAACCTATAGAAGTACACAGCACACACAGAATTCCTATCCATAAAACATACAGACCTTTTTTTCCTTTGCTTGAAGTGGAATCATAATCTGTGCTCTCGATCTGCTTCTCTTTTAAATCGGCCTCAAATCGAGCGAGGTCAGTGTCCAGGCGCCGGATGTGTTTATCGACCTGAAATAAACAGTAACTTTAACAGAACATAAACACCGGCCAAATAGCATATGTTTAAGTTTGGGCTTCTCTATGCCAATTTATACAACATTAATCTATTCATCAACTCATAAGGCAATTGATAATGAATAAAGCGTTATCAAGCGAGTTAAATAATAGTGTATATTTACTGTGGGACAAATAAAGCTTCTCTCATCATATACTCCATGCTCCAATGACATTGTATACAAATTACGTACAGACATATATAGGCTCATATACTAATACTTAGCCATTTGTTAAACACATATGGAAGTTATTACCATCTCATAAGTCTGCATTGCAAGTTGCACCTTGTCATCTCCAAATTCTTTGCATTTACTGTAGGATTGTTGAATTTGTTGCAGAATGGAGAGTTTTTGTTCAGATGAAAGAGTCCTGGCATTAGAGGTGTATTCTTTGGCCAATGAATCGATTTGTGATTTTAGATCTAAAATGTAAAACAAACAAAAATTAGGTTTCGTACATAATATATATATTGAAAGTTCAGATAACAGTTTCACCTTCTGTGCGTTGATCAAGATCTCTCATTAAATTGAAGTTTCTCTGCAATTCAAAGGGCAAGTTTTCTATACCTGTAAGAAAATATTTGCAAAAACATCAATTTGACAGGATAATAAATCACTTGGTGTAATGCAATAAGAACGATTTCAATTCCAAGAAAACATGCCAAAAAATACCATACAACTTTGCAATCACCATGATTACATGTAAACCAAATATATTTTGGGAATATTAGGCTGGGGTTATCACCATGGAGGATAGATAACTAAATAATAAACCAACTTAAAGGCTGGTGCAGTGGTTGACAAAAGGATGAGAACCCAACTATGAACTGTTGTTTCTCTAACAGACCATCCTCTCCCCCGGGGATCTATTGAACACCTCAGACATTATTTGACACCAGCAGCTGATTGGAGCAGATTGTTGATGTGTTGTATTTTCAAATGAGTTAACTTTATTGCAGAGTGCATGGCACTGCACCAATTGTGTTGTATCATATTTTGTAAGATATCCATCTTTCTAAAACCGGTAAAGAATGGATGTAAAGTATCTAAAAAACTAAGATAATAAAGAAAAGGTTGTTGACTAGAAAACAAGCACAATAGAGTGACATGTTGCAAAATCTAAGCTACTCAAACTGCAGTTATCATAAAAAAGTTTGTTATCTCACTGATATAAAAACAAAAACAATGCAGAATGAAGAGTAACAGTAGTTAGCATAACGTTAGCTTGAAGATTTAGCACGCACACGAAATCGCTCACCCTAAACAAACGCCCTGTTAAAATATAGCTGAAAGAACGTCACTGTAATTTAAAAAATACATTTGCCGAAAACTGGGGGCTGATTCTAAAAAATATGTGCGTTTCGTTTTTGGGGTTCCGTTTCCAGCGATGTTAGAACCCTAGCCTGCGCCTCAAACGGAGAATCAAAGAAACCGCGTACTGTTAATTTTTTTTACAATTCCAAGATCACATACTCTTACCCTGACTAGAAAACAACACCATAGGCTAATTGTTTATTCATACAAATATTCGAGTCCTACAATATCTGCAAAATTATCTTACTGTCTAAATAATGCTCCAGGTACATCCCGGCCGCCATCTTGAAAAATGTAAACAGCGCCCGGAAGGTTAGGGGTGCCAGGTTTTAGACACGTCCTCCTGGGAAACACAAATCTTATCTTTACACATTTAACAGTGCAGATTAAACGGTAGGTTTATTGATTGATTTAGAAGTCGTGATTGATGTAATGTTCCTGCTATTGCTTCTGCCCAGAAATCTATCACAAATCCCCGACCATTTACATTGCAGGAGACAGTGAGGTTGTTTTTAATACCGCCAAGACTTCTCTGCAGTAGAGTCGGAAGAGCTTTTGGGGTATTTATTATACCCTTTACTTGCAAGCTTTATGTGTGAAGTGTGGTTTTATCCTAAACATGCCTTAAATTTTATTCTGTTTCAGTCTATTGTAAAACAGAACAAATAGGTTTTGTTTTATTAGGTGTATGGTTTCATTTTTAACAGCTTTTCAAGAACAAACCCAAATTCAGAAAATCCAGCACACCTCTAAGCCCCTTACTGCCTTTAAAGGTCACCACCTAAAACAAATATTTTTTATCACAATGGCAGCACAGTTGTATTTTATTATTTTGTATAACACATACAAAAATACTTGTCCATGTGATTATACTACGATCTGGCCATTTAAACTCAAGAAAAAGTAGAAAATGTAAATTATCAAATAAACATTACAAATCAAATCGAGTATACTTATTACTCGAAGCTAAACATGACCAGCCCAGTCTATTGACACCATCAAGATACATTTATTATAGACATCATGGATCTTCGGTTTTCTGCAACAGCTTTTTCAACTTCTTGAATTTGTTCTTGCCCATCCTCTGCTTGGCCTTCATGGGTGTTTTTCTCATTTTCCCCTGCTTCTTTTCAAACTTGCTGCGTTCTTTCTTTTCAGGTTTTGACACATTACTTTCCTCTGTCGCCACTTTAGACACTTTAGCCTTCGATAAAGTCTTTTCATCCATCTTTTGAACCTTGGCTATCTTTGCCCCTTTGGGAAAGTCTTTTTTTCCAGCTGGTTTCTTGGCAGTCTTTCCATTCGTGTGGGGCTGTGAAGTTGCTCCTTTGGCAGGAGAAGTCTTTACCTTCAGTTGATCTGAAGGTTTTTCCTCTGAAGAAGTTGCAGCTGATGCATCATCAGTTTCTAATTTCTCGACTTGTAAAGAAATATGTGACTTAGTGACTGCCATTTATTTTATCAAACCTGTATAAATCTTCTTAAGACTCACCTTTAATCTGAGTTACAGTAGGGATTACGTTCGAAAATTTCTTCAATTTAGCCACAAAAAATCCATCCATGTTGTGAGAGTGTGGATAAAATCTTCGGGTGAGGCGTAGTGTTGGATGGAACCTGCGCTCTTTGAACCTAAGAAAATAAGAAAAGATATAGTAATAATCAATCATGTGGAGGCTTTCTAAATAAAGGGCATTAGTCTTGTGAAATATTTACCGTGTGAAGCCCTCATTTCCAAAGTCAAGACCAGTGGGAACTAATTTTACATTTCTTTTCTTCAAAGCGTAGTCCACCACCCATTCATTTTCTTCAACCTACGCAAACAAAAATCCATCATTATTCCATAAAAAAAACGTCCTGTATTGATTAAAAAAGATTTTGTTAATTTTACCCACCATTATTGAACATGTGCAGTAGATCAAGTAACCTCCTGTAGCAGAGTCTGCATTGACAGAGTCTATGGCTGACAGAAGCAGTTCCTTCTGTAAATGAGCCGAACGCATGATATCGGCCTCATCCTATCAGAAGATGACATATCACAGTTATAACAATAACGTAAAAGTGTTAAAGATACTCCTGAGCAAATAACCCACTTTACTAGTTTTTACAGCCGGATCCTTTGCAATGACTCCGGTGCCGGAACATGGGGCATCCAGCAAGACTCTATCAAACCCACCCATTACCTGAAAGATAACGGTACCATATATAAACACTACAGTAGCAGTAAGTTTAGGCACAACTGTAAAACTATATAAATGTAATTAAATGTAATTGATAAGAACTTGATTTACCTTTGGAAACTGCCGGCCATCGTAGTTGCTTACAACAGTATTTGTGACGCCCAAACGATGGATATTTCCCACCACGCTTTTTAGCCTATCTGCATTTACATCATTAGCCACAATAGTGCCAGTGTTTCTCATGAGTTGAGCTGTGGAACAAAATACGCCAAACATATATTTCTAAACTTTGAATAATTGATAAACAATTCTCCCATCAAAAAAAGCAAAAACGTTTTACCAATATAGGTGGTCTTGCCTCCAGGCGCTGAGCTCATGTCCAAAACATGTTCTCCTTCCTGTGGAGAAAGAGCCATGACCGGCAGTAAACTGGACGCTCCCTGCAGCATATAGTGACCAGCCAGATACTCCGGGGTGGCACCTGTAAAGAAGAGAGAATTATACACAGTAAAATAAAATCACAATAAATGCAGATGTTTTGTGTATGCAGAACATTAAAGAGCACAGAACTCACCAACAGGAACAGAGGAATCGTAGATGATCAAACCAACTTTAGACCATTTACCCAAAGGATCCAGGTTTACTCCTCTGTTGATTAAAGCCTAGAGCAAGATCATAAATAAGTGTGTCACAGATGCACAACAGTGTAAAATCATCCTTTATAAAACAGGCCTTTACCTGGGCAAGGTCTCGTCGTCTAGTTTTCAATGTATTAGTTCGAATTGTGACAGGTCTGTGAATTTCATTTGCTTCAAGGAATTCAACCAACTGGAAAGCAATGTTGATAAATTAGGATCTTTAATGCCTTTTCAAAAATGGGTCTACATGCTCAAATACTCACCTCTGATAAAGGAAAAAGGTCAATTAATTTCTCAATTAGGAAGTTATTGTAGCTATAGTATGTGCAAAGATCCTTCTTTAGAAGAGAGATGTAATCTGACCGATCTTTGCCTTCTTCTCTTTTTGTTGAGAAGTTACACAAGACCTCAATGTTGTCCTTTATTCTCTGATAGATGAGCTTCAGGTCTAAAAGCAGGACGCCTAAAGCAGACACACAACAGCTCACAAACCCGATGCACAACAGCAGTCATAAGACAAAAATTAGCTTTACCTTCTTTCTCAGTCTCTTCTGTTTTGGGAAGCTTGAATATGTCCATTTCATCAATATTTGTTTGAACCGTATCTTCCTCCTCTTCAGCATCAGAGTCAGCCTTGTCTTTTTCTTCTTCCTCCTCTTCCTCCTCCTCCTCATCATCATCATCGTCACTTTCAGGACTTGCAGATTTTTTCAACTTTTTCTCCTTTTTAGCCGCTCGTTCAATAGGAAGAAGCTAAAAGCAAAATAATTTTCAGAATGGATCATTTTTATGGTGAAATATGAAGCATAGATTTTAAGCCTTTCTCATTTCAACATTGAACATAATCTGCTGTTTACACAAAATAAAAAACACTAGGAAGTCATCCTACCTCTTCCTCTTCACTGCCATCTTCATGTGCGCCATAGTCATCCACCATTTCCTCATCATCATCGTCGTCTTCTTCCTCCTCCTCCTCCTCCTCCTCCTTGGCTACTACGCTCTTCTTTTTGTCTTTTGTTTGAGATATCAGCACTTCATCTTTATCATCTTCATCCAATTCCCAGTGTTCATCGCTGTCATCCTCATTTTCTTGTTCTTCTGTTATTCGCTTTCTTTTTGATGGTTTCAGCCATTTATTATTTTCATCGGTAAAACCTGCTTTAGAAATACAATAATCAGTGAATATACACCAATGCAAGTCAGTGTCAGTAAGGAGTTTACCCTTTGTTGGTTTCTGCGCAGCGGTTTCTTTACTTTGAATTCTTTTTGCAGCTCTGACAAAGCATACAGTAAAAAGATTTATTCTCACTATAAGTAACAGGAAGTCACAAATTGGGAATATGCTTTGGCTCAAGGCATGCACAAAACAAATCTTAATAGAATTGCTACTATACAAGTAAACACAATAGACAGGTTAAATTACGCAGATGAATCAATTAAGTATTACCTTTTCCTCCCTCTGCTTGAGAGTCGTTTCTGTTCCTTGTCATCTGTACATGAGTAGATATTTTTTAAAGAGTGCAACACTAGCAATACAGTATGCGTTTGAAGTAATTGAAGTATACCTTCAGTTAAGAACTTTGCAAGCTCAGTTTCTGCCCCTCGTTGTTTTCTGGACTTTCTTCCTGGGCCTCTCTTCACTTTATTTGTTGGGTCAAGTTTTCTACCCATTGTTCAAACCTGGAATCAGAAAAGAAAGACAAACTCAAAATAAAACAATATAACCAAGATCAACTTGTGTAATTGAAAATAGTCAATTTTATAACTTTGATGTCTACACCAAGACATTTAATGCAGAAGTAATTTGGAAGTTTCACGGTCAGGGCACTACTTGACATAGAATGCATAAAGAAATTCTAACAAGATTCGTTATAAGCACGTTATTCGCCAACAGCATTTGCTCAGTGCAGTGTTTCGGCCTGGTGACAGCTTCTACCGGCGAAAGTCATTATTTTACTAAGTTACACCCAAAATTGAATACATATGTACGCATATAGATAATTGTTAAGATAATTACCAATGAAAATGCAGTGTAAATCCTTCTTCTAATTGTACACGTACGGAGGAAAGTCACACGTGAATTTTCTTAACACGATGCGATGAACCTGGAAACATCCGGCACACATTGATGACGTAAAAGGCAAATATAATGATTATTCTTGACCACTTGATGACTTAAACGCATGTACTCTTATTATTTTCTACTATCTAAACCCATTTATTATATTTTGAGTTTAATTATTTACTATGGCACCAATAAACACATACAATGGTAATTATTTGGATAATGTGTGTGTGACGTTTCATCTGCGACACACACACGCACAGCAGTCGGTGATGCAGCATGGCGTCTGTCGGTAAAAAGCGTGGCCTCGAACATTTAGACGAATATGAACCAAAACCAGCTAAACATCTCCGCAGCCTCCATGACCGTATGGCGGAGAGGCGACTTGTGGTAATTTTGGAAGGGGCTTCGTTAGAGACAGTGAAGGTAAAGACGTGTATGAGATTCGATGTAACTTCTCTTTGCGGCCACAATTAATACTCAATCTTGTTTCTTTATTCAGGTTGGAAAAACTTTCGAGTTGTTAAACTGCGATCAACACAAAAACATGATTGTCAAAAGTGGAAGGAATCCAGGGCATATACGACCTGATATTACCCATCAGGTAAAGAGGGTATTGTTTGCAGTGCGTCCCATTTCACCAAATTGTGTTTGGCCTCAGGAATTGACCTAATTAATGATAGATGGTAGTAATGCTAAAAATGTATTTGTATTATAAATCCATCGGTCATTTGTTTTTAAATTGTTTGTCAACTGCCTAGGAGTGACAAGAAATAAAAACATTCCTCTAATCTGGCATAATTACGCCATATCAGTATTAGCATTGTCTCAAACAAATTAGCTTTTGATTTACTGATACATTAATTAGATATATAGATCAGCGCATTTATTTTAATGCCTCACTCTCTAAAGGCAATCACTGAAACAAAACATGTTGTCAAATGTTTTTATAAGTATTTTTTGTTTGTTCTTTATGTTCTGAACTCTGAACATTGTAAAGCGTTTTGGGTGACCTTTATCTGTAAAATGTGCTATATAAATAAACATTACTTACTTACTTTATTACAGTGTTTGTTGATGCTGATGGACAGCCCCCTGAATAGGGCTGGCTTGCTACAAGTATACATTCACACAGAGAAAAACGCCCTGATTGAGATTAACCCACAGACTCGTATCCCAAGAACATTCCCTCGCTTCTGCGGCCTCATGGGTAAGTTCTCATAGAGCTGAACAAAATTGACAAGATAATATGTGAAGAAATTATAAAAATAAACAGCAAAAAAATTTGCAGCTCATCAAATTTGCTTCCAATTGTGTTGATTCATGTTGATGATAATAATCAATTAAGAGGGCAGAAATTCTTAATGTATAGGTATGATTGAATGATTATGCCTGCATGCCTTTTGTTAATTTGCGAATGGGAATTTTGCAGTAATTGTGAGTTTAGAATTTTTTTAATCTTAAACAGAACTTTTACGATACATTTCCCACCTTTTTAGGGTGGGAGACTATTTGTACTCTCCTTATGCAGTTTGTGGACACTTTTCTTTACATGATATGAAGAAAGCTACATTCCTAGTGTGTCAATGTTTTCCTGTGTTTATCAATGTTAATAGATATTTTTGAATTGCAGTACAATTGCTCCATAAACTGAGTGTACGGGCTGCAGATGGTCCTCAGAAGCTGTTGAGAATGATTAAAAATCCAGTGTCTGACCACCTCCCTCCTGGCTGTCCACGTATCAGCACCTCCTTTTCTGCTGGAGAAGCAGTTTGCCCCAGAACCCTGGTGCCTGAGGGACCAGCCGCCATAGTCATTGGAGCATTCGCACATGGAGCAGTAAGTAATTGATATAGTTGGGATTGGGATTATCAAAACATTTACAGAAAGTCCCAAAAAATGGTTCCTACTCAAACTTATGTGTGTCAAATGAGGACTTAAGTTATTGCTGAAATGTCAAATATTTTAAATCATTGATTGTACCATCTGATCGACAGTGTAGTTTTAACATATGTTGTGGACAAAAGGATGAAAACCAAACTAAGAACTGTTCTTTCTCTAACGGACTATCCTCTCCACATTTTTTTCCAATTAACCTAAAAGCTCCGTCAGTGGGAAAATGGTGATGCTCCCTGGTTCTATTGAAATTTCAGTAATTATTTGACACCAGCAGCCAAGTCAAGCTTGAAGCCTTTGATATTGTTTTTGGTCTTCTTAATGTTAAGTCACTGTAACTAATTACTTGCCGACAGCATTCATCAATTACGAACACAATGATGATTTTTCCTTCTTCTTCAGGTAAATGTGGACTACGCAGAAAAGATAGTTTCCATTAGCAATTATCCCTTGTCTGCGGCATTGACATGTGCAAAGATGTGTTCAGCATTTGAGGAAGTGTGGGGAGTACTCTGACAAGGACAGCGGCTTGATTCCTTTTAACAAATCCATAATGGACTATTCTAAATGCAAGATAATGGTGATTGTCCACCATGAAGAAAATCGTGTATTTTCATGCTGTTTCAAACACTAGTACTTTCAACAAGTGTGGTATGAACAATGGATGTGATATGGATTCATTGTCACTATATTTTTTAAATGCAAACTTCCAAAGCTTCATCTGTCATGTAAATTATTTGAAACAATATGTTCTGCAAGAAGGAAGGGGAATATACTAATGTGATTCATGTTGAGATGGAATACGTGTTACTACATTGTTTAGCTTCATATCCTCATGTCACAGAAAAGACCTGTCATTGTCTACTTTAATATAGTAATAATTGAATTGAACTGGATATAAAATAAAGACCATATTAATGAGTAAGCTCATTTATTACAGAATCTACAAATTGAGCCTATTTCCTTTTTGATATTCTTTGTCCTCTTCGTCTTTCTTGAATCAGAATCATTTTTATTGCCACGTAAGTAACAGGAAGTCACAGACTTGGAAATTGCTTTGGCTCAGTGCAACAGTCAGAAAGAGATAATAAAAAACACTAACCTTGCCTGCAAGCTGAATTCTCGCGGTATTTGTGAGTTCACAAACACTCGAGAATACATCTTGTACCGCTCCCGCTTACACTTTTCGAGTCGAACCACTGGGTGTTCAAGCCAATCAGGCGCCAGTCTGGGGGTTTAGGGCGGGATATCCGGGTTTGACGAAAGCAAGAAGTGCCGGGCCGAAGCAAAACAAACATGGCTACGCAGGAGGACGGACGCGTAGCTGAGGCTATCAAGTCAGTTTTAGCAGAATCTCCAATTTCTTTTTTGAAAGATGAACAGCGAGAGGCGCTTTGTGCATTTCTGGACGGCAACCTTGGTAGGCGGGCACACAGCGTCACTTCGCCCAATCAGCTTGAAGTATTCTGCTGCTTATCCCTCCTTTCCCCGAAAGGATTCTCCGGGAGAAGTCCCAGATTGATATCGTGGAGAACGCGTTAGAGTTCTACACAATCATCAATCTGGCTCTTGCCAGGTTAAAAAAACACTTCTAAAGAATAAATTTAAATTTAAAATTTAGTTAGCGCCTGGTGGCCGGGCCTTAGCCCACGGGGCCCGGCCGGGCTCAGCCCGAAGGGATGACGTGGGCAGTCCCTCCTGTGGGCCCACCACCTGCAGAGGGGTCCGTGGTGAAGCGGTGCTGAGAGGACTGGGCGGCAGTCGAAGGCAGAGACCTCGGCGACCCAGTCCGCACACACAACATCTGGCTCTTGGGACGTGGAACGTCACCTCACTGGGGGGGAAGGAGCCCGAGCTTGTGGGGGAGGTTGAGCGATACCGACTAGAGATAGTCGGCCTCACCTCCACACACAGCTTGGGCTCTGGAACCCAACTCCTTGAGAGGGGTTGGACGCTCCACTTTTCTGGAGTTTCCCGCGGGGAGAGGCGGCGAGCTGGGGTGGCCATTCTCATTGCCCCCCATCTCAGCCGCCACGTGTTGGAGTTCTCCCCGGTGAATGAGAGGGTCGCGTCCCTCCGCCTCCGGGTGGGGGACAAGTCTCTCATTGTTGTGACGGCCTACGGGCCTAACAGCAGTGTAGAGTACCCGGCCTTCTTGGAGTCCTTGGGAGGGGTACTGGACGGTGCACCGCCCGGGGACTCCGTTATTCTCCTGGGGGACTTCAACGCCCATGTGGGAAACGCTAGTGACACTTGGAGAGGGGTGATCGGGAAGAGCGGCCCCCCTGATCTGAACCCGAGCGGTGCTCAGTTGTTGGACTTCTGTGCCAGTCACGGTTTGTCCATCACGAACACCATGTTCGAGCACAAGGGTGTCCACCAGTGCACGTGGCACCAGGACACCCTAGGCCGGAGGTCGATGATCGACTTTGTTGTCGTATCATCTGACCTTCGACCGCGTGTCTCGGACACTCGGGTAAAGAGAGGGGCGGAGCTGTCAACCGATCATCACCTGGTCGTGAGTTGGATCCGCTGGCAGGGGAAGAAGCCGGCAGACCTGGCAGACCCAAGCGTATAGTGAGGGTCTGCTGGGAACGTCTCGCTGAGCCCCCTGTCAGACGGACTTTCAACTCACACCTCCGGGAGAGTTTCTCCCAGGTCCCGGCGGAGGAGGGGGACATGGAGTCCGAGTGGACCATGTTCTCTGCCTCAATCGCCGATGCGGCGGCTCGTAGCTGTGGTCGCAAGGTCTCTGGTGCTGGTCCCGGCGGCAACCCCCGAACCCGGTGGTGGACACCGGCAGTAAGGGATGCTGTCAGGCTGAAGAAGGAGTCCTATCGAGCCATGATGGTTCGGGGGACTCCTGAGGCAGCTGTCCAGTACCGGCAGGCCAAGCGTGCCGCGGCCCGGGCTGTTGCAGAGGCAAAAACCCGGGACTGGGAGGAGTTCGGAGAGTCCATGGAGCATGACTATCGGTCGGCCTCGAAGAGATTCTGGCAAACCATCCGGCGCCTCAGGAGGGGGAAGCAGTTCTTTGCCAGCACCATGTACGGTGCGGGTGGAGAGCTGCTGACATCGACTGGGGATATTGTCGGGCGGTGGAAGGAATACTTTGAGGTTCTCCTCAATCCCCCCGTCACGTCCTCTGTTACAGAGGCAGAGGCTGAGGATGTTGGGGCGGGTACATCCATCTCCCTGGCTGAGGTCACCAAGGTGGTTGGTAGCCTCCATGGTGGCAAGGCTCCGGGTGTGGATGAGATCCGCCCTGATTATCTAAAGTCTCTGGATGTTGTAGGACTGTCTTGGCTGACACGTCTCTGCAACATCGCGTGGCGATCGGGGGCAGTGCCAATGGAGTGGCAGACCGGGGTGGTGGTCCCTCTCTACAAGAAGGGGGACCGGAGGGTATGTTCCAATTATCGTGGGATCACACTCCTCAGCCTCCCCGGTAAGGTCTACTCCAAGGTACTGGAGAGGAGGCTACGGCCGATGGTCGAATCTCGGATCCAGGAGGAGCAGTGTGGTTTTCGTCCCGGTCGCGGAACACTGGACCAGCTCTATACTCTCCATCGGATACTCGAGGGTTCATGGGAGTTCGCCCAACCTGTCCACATGTGCTTTGTGGATTTGGAGAAGGCGTTCGACTGTGTTCCCCGGGGTGTCCTTTGGGGGGTTCTCCGGGAGTACGGGGTCGGGGGTCCTCTGCTGAGGGCCATCCGATCCCTGTATGACCAGAGCCAGAGCTGTGTTCGCATTGCCGGCAGTAAGTCAGACCTGTTCCCGGTGAATGTTGGCCTCCGACAGGGCTGCCCTTTGTCACCGGTTCTGTTCACTGTATTTATGGACAGAATATCTAGGCGCAGCCAGGGGTCGGAGGGGGTCCGGTTCGGAGACCACAGGATTTCATCTCTGCTGTTTGCGGACGATGTTGTCCTGTTGGCTCCAACGAACCAGGACCTGCAGCATGCACTGGGACGGTTTGCAGCCGAGTGTGAAGCGGCTGGGATGAGAATCAGCACCTCCAAATCCGAGGCCATGGTGCTCGACCGGAAAAAGGTGCCTTGCCCTCTGCAGGTGGGTGGAGAGGTCCTTCCTCAAGTGGAGGAGTTCAAGTATCTCGGGGTCTTGTTCACGAGTGAGGGAAGAATGGAGCGTGAGATTGACAGGCGGATCGGTGCAGCGTGCGCAGTTATGCGGTCGCTGTATCGGACCGTTGTGGTGAAGAGGGAGCTGAGCCGAAAGGCAAAGCTCTCGATTTACCGGTCAATCTTCGTTCCCTCCCTCATCTATGGTCATGAGCTTTGGGTAATGACCGAAAGAACGAGATCGCGGATACAAGCGGTCGAAATGAGCTTCCTCCGCAGAGTGGCTGGGCGCTCCCTTAGAGATAGGGTGAGGAGCTCAGTCACACGGGAGGAGCTCGGAGTAGAGCCGCTGCTTCTCCACGTCGAGAGGAACCAGTTGAGGTGGCTCGGGCATCTGTTCCGGATGCCTCCTGGACGCCTCCCTGGGGAGGTGTTCCGGGCACGTCCCACCGGGAGGAGGCCCCGCGGAAGACCCAGGACACGCTGGAGGGACTATATCTCTCAGCTGGCCTGGGAACGCCTTGGGGTCCCCCCGGACGAGCTGGAGGAAGTGTGTGTGGATAGGGAAGTCTGGGCGTCTCTGCTTAGACTGCTGCCCCCGCGACCCGACAACGGATAAAGCGGAAGAAAATGGATGGATGGATGGATGGAAGTGCACACAACAGGTGCACACAATGTAAGGTGACAGCAGTACAGTGAAGTAAAGTGACGTATGATGGGCAGTAAAGTGACTTTAAAAGGGCGGGGGGACAGGTTAAGAAGTGTTCAAGAGTCCAACAGCAGAGGGGAAGAAACTGTTCTTGTGGCGGGAGGTTCTAGTCCTGATGGACCGCAGTCTCCTGCCTGAGGGGAGTGGTTGGAATAGTCCATGTGCAGGGTGAGAGGGGTCGGCTGTGATACGACCAGCCCGGCCTCGAGCTCGGGCGACGTACAGGTCCTGCAGCGATGGAAGGCTGCGGCCGATCACCTTCGATGTGCTGTAGTCTCTGTTTGTCCCTGACTGTGGCTCCAGCGAACCACACGGTGATGGAGGAGGTGAGAATCTGTCAGGATTTAGCAGAGAGAGACGGATCGTGGTGTGCCAAACTCTGGAAGTTTATTTAAGTTTCTCTCAAGTTCCACTGGTTTACTTTGTTTCTTTCTCTCAGACAGAATAAAGGCAGTACACAGTTTATATAGTCATTGTCACGTCACACATGGAAAGACATACGTGTCACAAAGAGACAGTCACATCATAGTCATAACATGGAGTCCTTGTAGAGTCCTTGTACAGTCCTGCACGTAGGCCATATTGCTATCTAATACTAACACCCTCCCCTTTGATCACATAATCACATGTGATCACTCAAATCGATCAATCAATAAAGTGGAAAAATAAAAAAAACTTTAAAAATTATTAAAAAACAAAGAAAATGTATGCATTAAACTCAT